CGACGAACAAAACATCTACGAGAACGAAAGCATACGAATACGTAAATTTTGATTCGTTTCGCGTGAATGGTGCTAAAAATATAGAGAAAAATTTGGACTTTTAGTGGTTGTTCGACCATGTTCACAATTTTATGTAACTGTCGTAGAAAGAAACTCGTGGTCTAGTCTAATAATGCTCTAAATCTTAATTATGTAAATTAAGTAGAGAACAAATACGACACAAATTTTCCATTATAATGTGTATTTAATTTTGTTTAAATTTGTTCCTTCAAGGAATTGTCACGAAAGAAAAGTAGATTTGTTTTACGAGTGACCTCGTAATTGTGAAACTTGACATCAAGAATATGTGACGAGTCGGACACGTCATTGTATGGCAAGGGGTTAGCGCCTTATCAGCAATTAGGCTTGATTCAATTGCAAGATAAGAGAACAGAGGCAATGTTTGGACCGATTTTGTCAAAGTTATGGGACCAGGGTAGAGAAACTCTGGTGTGGTGCGTTTGCTCGCGCTTACGAGTTGGAAAAGATTATAGACGATCGATAGTCCGGGGAACGGGAGTCGATCGCGACCCGGGAACCTAATCCCGCGGTATTCCAATTCCGTGACGTAATACCAAGTTTGAGTTCAATCGCCCTTTAATCGAATTGAACGTACTACGATTCGAGCGCGTCGTTGCTCGTTTCTGGGTCGCGAAGTCAGCAACGAGAGAAACGATTCTGTCGATCTATGTCTCTCCGGATCGAAATTGCAACGAAAGAAAGATCGAAACGAGAAAACTCGCGGTCTCCGATCTTGGAAATCAATATTACGCGTCGCGTAAAAAAAGACGGTACTGCAATCGTTTGGATCTCTTCGAGGACGACTGCGATTTAACCCTTTGCGCTCCGACAAATTTCTATCAATAAGAAGGACGGAAAATGTCGATGGAATTTTATGGCGCAACTTCGAAAAATAAAATAATCGTTGAATATTTATTTGCTAAATAAATAAATAAAACTTTAATCGTGTCGTCAAAGGATTAAACAAATAAATACTGCGTTTCTTCAGCGATGCTAATGGACTCGGACCAAATCAAGATGGCGTCCATCGGACTGCGAAGCATTTTCGAGATACAAGAGCGCATTTGGACGATGTTAAATTGAAAAATAGGCGCGTCACAGACACGTTCGCGAATCGTAACGTTCGTACCTTGGTTCGCGCATCGTGGAGGCCTCTGATTGCACTACTGTTAGCTGCCATTCCTCTGTTATTGTTCGGTCAAGTCCGCGAGGACGCGCGTATCCCTTAACGCATCGTTGCATTAACATCGGGCAATGGTAAACGAACCGTGTGTGAAGCCACGTACGAACACGCTCGACGTTAACCCAAGACTGTGGATCGACGGGAATTTATTGTTTGCTCGTCGCATTAAGGCGATGACGTCAGGATTTCTTAATATCCCGATAAAACGGTCGCCGCGCCCTTGTTTGCGGTACGACAACGCTCTACGTCCATAATGCTCCGCGATCCACCGACGCGGAAATTAAAACGTCCATCTTCTTGGAGAATAACCCCTCCAAAGTCTACGATGTTCCAATAAAAAAAAAAGAAATCGAACGAAAAGTTCGTCGGTGTCGATCGAAGAACTTGCTCGTCCGATCGCGCTGGAAACGAACTGCCCGCTATTTTACGTACGTAATCGTATGCTTCTAAATAGACGTTGAAACTGTATTAATTTGGTTCGCAAATCTCGTCGGGTATTTATAAATATCTTCGTTTGTTTTGCGTTGTTACGAGAAACGAAATTGCAGAGGCTCGACGTTCGACCACGCAACGAATCGCGTCCGCGTCGCGTGTGCCTGACACACTAATCCAATTTCCATGCGTGCCATTCGAGTCGGTTTAATCGGCGACGCGATTTCGCGCATCCACGCGTCTCGCCATTAATTGTGCTTGGCTCGCATATCGTTGTTTCGCGGCTCGATTTATCGACCACTCCGTGCATCGCGACTGGGAAACCGATTATTACGAAATCACTGCACTCGAAGTCGTACAGGAAAGTTTCAGCAAAAATGCCCCGTCGTTGATGCGTTAATAACTTCAATTTTCCTTTAACGAGCAACGTGCAAGCGGCCCGCGTGTTTGCGTTTAGATTTAGATTTAGATTATTTGCGTTTCGTATTGTAATATAAATTATAACGTTCGCCAGGGTAGCGCGGCGATCCCACGAGATACGCGAGGACGACTCGAAGCGGAAGCGTTCGGTGCGCGTTCGACCGACACGACGATCGATATATATCGATTCCCCGTGAATCGCGGGAAAATTAATTGCAGTAACGGGTGGCGCGTTGCTCGCCGACACGCTTCGATTACAGGTACGATTCGATGTACGCTAGCCGCGATCGATCTCGATAAGGAAACACGCGGTTCGCCGACCGTGTATGCGAATAGCTTCTTTTTTTCTTCTTCTTCTTTTTCTTTCCTTTGTCCGTCACGTTCCAGCGTCGAACGTTTTTCGCGTTTCACGCAAACCGGAAAACGGGGCCGCGGTTTCTCTACGACCGACTCGTCCTAAACTCGGAAACTTTCGTTCGCGAACCGTTTCTAAATTTCGATGGTCGCTCGTCCACTGCTTCTCAACTTTTAATATTTGTGGCGCTGCTTTGCTGGTCGCGGGAAATCGAGAATGGAAACGAGAGAGTGAATTCATCGGTAAGGTTAAAAATTAGAGCGCTTGCGAGAGGGTTAGCCCTCTGGCGGCGAGCACGAGTGATGACGCCACGATATTCAACCTCAGACGTTGCGCTTTTTTAGTTGACGCGACATTTTTTTACAATCGAGGAGCTACGTCGAAACACTTCCCACGGGAAAAGGTTTTTCCTCGGGAGCGTTTCGCACGAGTTTCGCGCGAACTAAAACCTGGTATCTCAGGATGTCGGCTTCTCACGCAATCTCGCGAGGACGTCGAGGAAAACGAGACACGAGCGACCGGATCTGAACACGGAATCGTTCCCGCGGTCGGGCGACGAGCGCGTTTGCATGACTCGAGGATCTGGGCGTTTAGAATGCTTTTAAAATGCGTTTCTCTTTCAAATTTGACGATATACTTTATGGAAGACGCGCGAAGATGACATAAAATGGAGATCAATGAAGGTTTGAAATTATTTTCTCCTCCCTCAACCCTTAAGTGGATTATTTGGTCATCCGCAAGTTTAAACTAATATCGTGCAATATATGTAAATTGTAATTATTTGAAAATTTATGTAATCCTCCAGTAGTACATTATTTTTGAAATGCTTTAAAGTTGATTGTCCATTTACCAATTTGGTAAAAATCAACATTCAAAGTCCACTTAAAGGTCAACGAATGCGAGTGACAAAAAGTGTTTGCAAAGCAAATACACCAAAGAACGGACATTTTCCTACGTCTCGAGGGAGTTTGAAACCCTTTCGTCCTCGTTGAAGAGACGCTCATGCAAGTCTACCGAGCGTTACGAGTCCTGCGCGCCAGGACGAAATCACGGTTAACGAACGCTTTGTTGTCCTCGTTAAAGGAAACTAAGCGGATAGTGATTCGCGTCTCCGGCGGGCTCAGCGGGTCGGAAATCTTCGATTCCCAGCGAGTTCGTGACCCTGCCAGGGGTGAGCCAAACGCTGGAACTAATTCGGAGGAAAGCGGGATTGCGCACAGGTGCCTGGAACTACCCCAGCCCGATCGAACGAGCGACCAGACCGCGGAAAACTTTCGAACTTTCGTCCAAGTACGACGGAAAGACCCGCCAACCGTGAAAGTCGGATGCCCTACGACGAAACTTTTGCGAAACTCGCCCTCCCGGATCGGAGAACGCGACAAACGTCTCGTCCTTCCCCCGCCATTGCTCTCGAAAGACCGCCTAATTTTCGTACCGATCACCTTCGAGTCGTTACCTCGATCCTCGGTAATTTTAGATTCGTTCGTTAAACCAATATTCTTAATTAAACGTTCAGAAGCGTGCAAACAGTGAAATGATCCCTTCAGCGTATTCCTGAAACGGTGAGTTGCTGTGTAATTATCGAAGAAAAATCACATGGATATTGGATCTTTCAATAATTAATTAATTCTTACGAAATTTTTCTTCGATGTCTCTCGCAGTTCTCGACTTTTTTCAACCGTTCATTCTTTGCGAAAACTTTGACGCAACCCCCCCAAAAAAAATTAAACTTGGCTATTGGGAAGAATTGCACGATAGTAGATAGAATGGAAATTGAAAGGTAAATTACAGTAAACGTGACACTCCTATTGCGCTCTAGTGAAACAGTTCAAATCACAAAAATCTCAGAGGCAAACTGTGATCTAAATTGCTGGAAATGTGATATTTTACGTACCACGGAACAAAATACCATAACGAATTAGACTTAACAAAGTTGGAATAAAAATTCCCGATTGCGAATAAAAAAGGTGTCGGTTTCGTCGTTGTTGATACCTTCGAGGCTTCTCGGAAGAACATGCAAGCGAGAATACACCAAGTTTCGCTGCTCCAAGATATCGAGAAGAACCAACCAATACCTTCTGGGTCTCTAATTAGGAATATTTATTTAACTGGTATCGAGCGAGGAATTATACAAAGTTACAAATTCGAGGCTAAATTATTTGTAAAATTTCGACAGAAATAGTGATCGATTGTACGGGTGATACCGTTTTCAGAATCATTTCTTTCCTACGATGGATGATACCCGAGACAACTAATAGGATCTATCGGTTACGTAAATTTCATCGAAACGACGGACCTGTTCCGGACACCGTAGCGAGAACGAAACGGAACACGGATTCTGGGCATATATCTACGTGAGTTCTTTCGCAGCTTGCGTGCTTGCGTCACGAATCGCGGTGCCCGCGTCCCACGCAACGCCGGTCGACGCTGCTTTCTCCGCGATGCGGGCGGACGTCCAGTCGATGGTGTCGAACGAGGATCCGTTCGATCGTCGTCGATCGCGCCCAGCGAATTGTCGCGCGTAAAGATAGGACGTAGGTGGATACTCACGTTTGCCTGAGGGGGGCCGGGTGGTTTGCGAACGAGCCTCCTCGATATCCAATGTTACGGTTCCGAAAGCAACGCCGAAGATTCAAACGCGACGATGGTGGTGCATGGTGCGAGCTTCGAAACGTCAGCTCCAATTCCAATCGACGCACGGCTTCCGCGCGACGATCTTTCTGGATTCTCTTTCGCTGGATACGCGGCTCGAACCGCGATTTAGGACGAAGGACGACCAGCGAGACGGAGCAGGCGGTTACGTGGCGAGACACCGGACATCGAATCGAACCGACGCGCACGAAGGTCGACGGTGGACTGAGGCTCGGACGCTCGGCGCAGCTCCCACGAACGGTGGAGCCTCGCGTTCGTATTGTACGACGCGACGAGGAGGCGCGCGCGAAGCGCCAAGCACGCCCGGATTCGTGCGCAATTGCGCACAATGCAACGCAGTGCAACACTCGTCCACCTTCTCGCGCAATTAACGCGTCCGTGCGTTTCTCGTTTGCCCATCCTTTTCGTCCTCCTACGTACGCGCCGTGTTCTCGGCTCGTTGCGCGACTGCTCGCTCGACTGTCGCGCTGAACTTGAAAATCCTGTACGGAGAGGACATTCACTGTACCGCGATATATCATAACCAATACGATCTGTTCTCTCATACTCGTGAGAGGCGTTCGAGCATCTTCTTCAATAAATGTGTTTCTTGAAAATATCTCGAGAACTAATCATTTTTTTCCCCCAAGATATCTTAATTATGTTTTACGTAAAATGAACAGTGGAATGGATCTGTGCAATAAAAAATATGCATTTCCACTTAAAGAAAAGATGCAATTCTTAATTGCTCGTGCACCGTTGAATTTAAAAAAAAGTCTTAATCGTTATAGATTGTCAAAAGTATCTGGAGTGGTCAGCAGCAGTCAACAGAGGCCAGTGGAGGCATGTAGATCCACGCACCCGTTTGGTTGTCCAGGTGGCAGGGGAGGTGAACCTCTACGTGGCGCGTCTCCTGGTGGCGGATGGGGTCATCAGCCTTCTCAGGCTGGTAGCTCACCCAAACTCATGGGTTATTTGCCGCGGGTGAGTCCTGCAATCAACGTGGCCCCGTGACCGACGGCTTGGTCCCATGTCACCCCGGGGCCGCGGACGTTGGTGACCAGACGCTTACGGTTCAGTGGAAATGCGGTGGGAGGATTGCCTACCACCGCCAGGGGCTTGAAAAAGCACGGCGCTGCGGGGGACTCTGTGATGGCTCACTATAGAGTTCCCCGTCAGACGACTGAGAATGGTCATCGTGGTGTTTTAACCGGGTAAGAGTCCGTCCGGGGGCACTACCAGTCGGCCCATGAGGATTTCATGAGGTGTCCATGAGGATTTCGGTAATGCATCCTAGCAGACCCTGCCTCAGACGCCGGGATAGTGGAAGGTCGATCGAGTGCTTGCGTGAGAAACGGTCCCTCTGGCGGCGAGTACGGGAATCGACCCCACGGTACAATGCAATGGGAATAAATGTTTACTCGTTCTCTTATAGAAAATCACGGTTTTGCAAAAGTCCAACCGAGTGAGCATTTTTAACAGTTTTTCACTAGAGATTACGAACCATTTTGACCATTTCCGGTAGTTCTGGTATTAAACTATAAACAAGATAAAACATACGTTGAAATGAAAATAAGCCGAGTAACGACAAAATGTTTAGTTTACTTAAACAAGAAATGAAAATAATGCAAGGGAACGATCAAACGATGGAGAAAGCTATTAGAAAAATCCTTACGCTCGACGATCCTTTCGATCGTGGTTACGTTTGTCCGAATGAACATCGCTGACACGCGAAGGAATCTCCGCGCGATACGTTAATAGAAACAACGGTAATAACAAGAAAGCGAAAAGAAATTTCCGTGGAAAGGTATCGTGACGCGCAGTAATTTTTGCTTAAAAACCAGGAATAACGATAGCCGGTGTTGCACTAGCGCGAGAAGCATTTGCATACATCGGAAAGCTTGGACGGAACGGATAATGGCCGGAACGTAAATGCACGCATCGGGTTCGTTACCCTTGCGTCGAACTGGCTAGTTGTGTACAGCTACTCGCCAAACAGCTAATTAACCGTCCTGAATGGACTTTCGTTTACGATCGATTTTATTTCTATCGCGTGGTACAATGTACAACATCGATCGCTGGTGAAAAAAATTTGACAAAAAATTACTAAACGTTCGTGTGTTTCGTACAAATTACGTCCTTACGTAGTGTTCGTATCGAAGAGTTTCATCCGTAATTATATGGCATTAAAAATATTTTCATTAGGAATCTTCCAAGTACATAAAAAAGTATATGTATATAAATAGTTATAAATAGTTTCACGAAATTAAGGAAGGAAATAATGACGAAGAACTCGACACAAAAGCATGGTGGTTACACTCTTAAATACAATTGTTGCTATTAACACTCTCGATTGCTGTAAAGAGATGATGGACAAAGATGTACGGCGTTTTTTTATTTTTAATGAAATGTCATCGGGTCCTCCAGTATGCTTCGGTCATAATACATAAATTAGCATTCTTAATTCGCGATAATTAAAGCTATTACTAAAGACATAATCATCGATGTGAACACAATGTTCGACGTCGCCGAATTGCACTCGTCTGTGGTGCACGTCTTGCAATCATCACTTTGGCTGCACGCGTGTTCGTCTGTGCTACAACCTCTAGTCACTTCGTTATTATCTGCAAAATAAAACGAAGACTTTTTAAACACATCGTGGAAGTAGGTAAAACATTTTTCCTTGCGTGTTAATTTAAGAAAAGATCTTAGAGATACCGATTTTTCATTTTCTACGCGTACTTCTACAAACTTTATCAAGCATTATCGATTGTCCATTATATCGACCGAAAGATATAAGAAGCAAGTTAGAAATAAATAAACGAGGAAATTTTTATACCGAAATGCCTAACAATTTCAAGTGTCACGTAACTTTTACTGAAAGGATCATTTACAATAAAGTATAAGTTACCTTTGCTGGTTTGTGAGTAGCAATATACTTTCGTTTCGTCGGCGAATGGATGCATTGGTGACAAACGATCCATCAGGCTTCTACGATTCGTCTGCCGTGCGTAGTAAGCTGCAAATGTAAGCATAGCGGATTAATTCATATTTAAATGTGACAACACTTAATTGAAGATAATAATTATTTAAGCAAATGTTCATTTTCATAAATATATTAATTCAAACGTTAAATTGCTTAAATATGCAACAAGTAAGATTTCATTAAATTGTTTCCTTATTAAAGAAAATAGAGAAAATTCTCTAAAATTTATTTGTAACATTGTTTATAATTTTTATAAATGACAAACATGTCACAAACACCGAAGCACTGCAAAAGGTAACCATCGTTATCAATGAACTGATTTTGAGATAATTGATATGCAATTCTGTTGAAAGGCACACCTCAATTGTACATACATTAATAAAAAATAAAGTTTGCTTGGTTACATGTTCGTACATAAAAGCAATTTTTTTTTAAATTTTTCCCTTAAAAAGCAAATATTACTTAGGCTATTATCGATTAAGGATACTAACGATGCCTGTAAAGTAAATGTCGATCATACACATTTACTTATTAGTATCGATTTACTCGACAGCCTTCGAAACTGTTGATACTAAAACGTGTTTCAAACAAAAGTGAAACGGTTTAGAGTGGGGGGAGTGTAGTCACAGTCCGATACGATTATATGTTTCTCTCAAGTGGACGCGTGAAGGGCATACGAAGGTTAACATTGTTTTCGTAATAAGTACTTCGATTAGCGATACTCGCCATTCCCTGAGCAAATGCGATAAACCACTTCTGGTAAAAAATCATCAATTTAAACGATACCGTCAGCCGTACGTGTACGTGACACAATATCCCCACCAACAGTTCTAAAACTTCGATTCTGAATTCATTTAGTCGAAATTTCTTAAGCTCCCTGCTAGTATGAGGAACAACAAAAGCGAGTGAGTAACTAAAGCGGCTATGCGACAACTCGAAAGACAGCACGTACAAACTGCACTTAGAAAATAATGATATTGCGTTTGTGATAATGTTTTAATACACTTTCATAACCTTACCCTTATTTCTCAAATAACTAGCGGAGACACTCTCTACCATCTTGGATTGTAGAATAGCTGTAGATTCCTCGTCGGGAAGTTTCTCGGTGGTAGATGCCTCGGTGCTAGATGCCTCGACGGGAGGTTTATCGTCGGCAGGTTTCTCGGTGGTAGATGCCTCGACGGGAGGTTTATCGTCGGCAGGTTTCTCGGTGGTAGATGCCTCGACGGGAGGTTTATCGTCGGCAGGTTTCTCGGTGGTAGATGCCTTGGTGCTAGATTCCTCGACGGAACGTTTCTCGGTGGAAGATCCCTCGGTGGTACTTGCCTCGGTGGTACTTGCCTCGGTGGTAGTGTCCTCGGTGGTACTTGTCTCGGTGGTAGTGTCCTCGGTGGTACTTGTCTCGGTGGTAGTGTCCTCGGTGGTACTTGCCTCGGTGGTAGTGTCCTCGGTGGTACTTGCCTCGGTGGTAGTTTCCTCGGTGGTAGTTTCCTCGGTGGTAGTTGCCTCGGTGGTAGTTGCCTCGGTGGTAGTTGTCTCGGTGGTAGCTTCTTCGGTCGTAGGTTTCACAGTGGTAGTCGATGGTTTAACAGCAGGGCACTCCTTACTCATACTGGCATTCACACTCTTGCACGAGTTGTCCGTCGAGGGAACGCATACGTAGCACTTCAACGCACTTCCTAATTCAAAAGCAGATTCGCGTAAAGGGTATAGCCAAATAATGGAGCCAAATGTGCCCCCAGTCCAAATTGAACGTGGAATTAGTCATTCGATAGTTTATCGAAAGAAAACCCTACGTGGCAATTTTTAACTTGAAATCTCGACGATGGGGGTAGTAATAGAGTGATAAAAAAAAAATCATGATTTTGCACAATTATTCCTGTCCTATTGAGTAAAAAAATGTAAAAAAATTCTGAAACATTTCGGGTACCAGGGCACATATTTTGGAAGCTTTTCAGATTTTTTGATTTAACCCAGATAGTAAAATCGCTCAAAATTATTGTTATAGATATTCGAAATCAAAATATTTTTTAAATACTTTCAGAACATTTATACGTAAATATAGATCATTGTTATATAGTTAGCACTTGAAAAGAAAATAATGAATAAAAATAAAAATAGATAAGTTGAAAAGAGAGCTTACGTTCGAGAAACTTGCAGCGGTTTTACAGTCGGAAATGACCGACGATAAAAGTTAATGGAACGAAATACGCGACAGAAATCAATTACGGCAGAATTCGTTTCACTGAGTATTCTTTAAAATTGGTACTTTACCAAATGGAAATGCGACACATCCAATGATGGACAAGACAATCAACGCTCTGTGCATCCTCGACATGTTCGATTCTGTGTTTCGATTGACGTCGATACTGCGACTACTCATACGCAAGTGTTGCGAAGCTTGGAGAAATAGAAATACTCTTTCCGAGCTTATCACGATAAACTTCAAGCTTATCTCAATACAGACCTCCAATCAATACCATCGCCTTGCCGTAAAGCGATTAAAGTATACGCAAAAATTTCCGTTGTTCCCCTTTATCTATTCTTAATTGTTCGCCGTGGCGTAAAATGATTAACGTATACAGAAAAATTTTCGATACCGTACATCCGTTGCTCCCCTTTATCTATCCTCAATCGTTCTTCGTGTTCATCTTCATCCGTTCGCGGGAACCGACCGAAGTATAACGAGAATAATACCTTCGATGATTCAAATTTCATTTTTTCAATTGAAACGCTTACAATCTGTACCGATGAATCAGTATTGCACGTACTCTGTTTGTTACGTGTATCGACTAAACGATGTTCCCGATCGATCAATTATTTAATTCCCGCGGGTTACCGCGATTGATAAACTTTGATGCGCCTCGAACTTGGACCCAAATACAAAATTACACGATACAGATTGAATCGTGACGCTGTGAAGACCGAGAGGGCCAGGTGGTTCTTCGATTCTTAAAACAAGTGTATTACGAGTACCAATAGTTTTATATATTAGTAAAAGAATAATACGTACTGTATGGAACAAATACGTGGCGTGATATTTTTTTTTTAAACTGGATTCTCTATCGCGTCAGTCGCCGTTTTCACAGATTATCATATGCACACGTTGTTGCAAATTATATTCAAGGTTGTAAGGAGTACGCGTTACCGTAACGTATCATGACTTTTTTGTCCGTCCAACCGAGAAAACTACCAGACCGTTATTTCAACGTCGACTCCTCCGTTCATTTCATTCCACTATGAACGCACGATTAGGCGAATCGATCGAGCAGTTACGACAAATCTTTTCTTTACGAAACGTTCGTCATACCATCGCATCGTCGATACAATCTCATAGAAAATTAAAACATAGAAACGATAAAGTACACGATTTACAAATATACTCATACCCGTGATTGGACAAACCTTTTTTACCCGTGTAACGAATAAACACGTTAGATTTGAAATATAAGCTTTTAACGAGATGGCCGACAGATAGACAAATACAAGATCAAGATCAAGTGCAGATAAATGCGAATTTTCTTTTTTAATTATTGCTTGACAATTTTACGGGCACGTAACTGCACCGTATTCCATCCTCTAATAGTGTTTGATTGACTGTTTTATCAAATGAGTCTGTTTTTTTACCGTTGTTGCTTGATAAATAGAATACGTAGATACGGTTGGAAGTATTATCTTTAAAACAAAGGATGCTGAAATACCCCTAAGCGTTGTAATACCATTGTTTACGCTAAGATAACATACAATCTTCCCGTTACTTTGTTATAGTTTTATCAGATGCGTGAAAATTATGTATCGCCCTTCCGGTGGATTCCCTTCCAAAAAAACAGCTTAACAAGGCACAGTAATTTCTTCTGAAACGTCGCATACTTTCACAAGCCTGGAATACAAGTTTAATGACAAACTCTAAACAGACATATTTTTATGGACTATCGTGACGAACGATTATATGGCGATTAGAGTGAATATGAAATAATATACAGCCTTGTATGTGTCACATATTATCAGAGCTAGGAGACAACGACGAATAAAAGATAAATAGATTATTCGTTAAAGAATTAAACAATTAATAATGTAATTATATAAATTTCGTCGCGTCATCTGTTCCGTCGATAGTGTAACCGAGATGTGCAATTCACGTAAAGGTGACGCAACATAAACAAACATTTCCTTTAATTATTCATTATAACGTAGGTATGTTCCTACGACGATTTTTTCGTTTATAGTGTCTTTTATAGATATCCACCCGCAGTACGAGCATGTGTTTATGGATCCGTCACGATATTCGTCGAAGGCATATCTTTTTACGAGTAAATGCATTATTCTTGTCGACAATGCATCGTAGATAGCGAAGAATGTTAGAGTCACGTATCTAGTAGTTTCGTGTATTGTTCTTTTTATAGATCTCGCGTCGTTAAATTGATCACTTTGATGTACGTTTCAAAATATAAATAGCGTCGCAGTGGTCGAACACAGCGACAGTAGAAAAAAATACCGAAACACGAAGGCCGTAACATTTTTACTCGCCGCAGCAATTTCTCTGATGATTGCATTCGTTTCTTTCGCGGATGCAGAACCAATCGCTGGCCCACTGGCTGATCCGGTAACATGCTAATATTATTCGACCACCTTAATTGGGTTCTTCTAAAAATGATTTGCATTGGAATTTATAAAAAAACAAAAAATTGCTTTCAGAACGCCGAACCGCTAAGCCCAGCAGTTCTAGCATCCCTCGTAGGTGGTTAATAACGCTGGAAATCAATGTAATATGCTATATACCATACTATCGTTGGTTCTCGCTCTGGAAGATTGTTCGAACTATCGCGAAAAAGATTCAACGATCGATGTTGTGCATTGGCGTCGATGACGATCGATGGATTGAAGATTCTAGCGCTTCGACGTTTGTGCTTTCTTAATTTCGATCGTTCGCGTGTCGTGGCAGGTCGTGGGAGCAAAGAGCGAGTCCTCGAGGGTAGGGTTCCATTATGAATCGTTACCTTGACTCGAGACCATTAAGGAAAGTCAAGGATCGTTCGTTAAATGAAACACGGAACGTTAAAAAGAGGCACCGGGGTTCCCCTTAACTATATTTCCTGTGCTTCCCCGTCGTCCTCCAAGGAACGCGTGTCGTGAGAAATGTTTATGAAAACGCCCCGTATTTTAACGCCGAGGAAATTCCTACGAATAGATTTTATATTGTATTTTTATAATTCCATCGGGTACAGATAAAGCTCTAACGTCGTTATCTTTTTAACGAGACTTTTGAACAGATAAACGGTTAAATAAAATTAAATCGATAAGGTACTGTTACTTGAGTAATCCTCGTAGATAGACATTCAGTTTTATGTCCTCGAGTGTAATAATCGCGCCGATTAGGTATTGCGAAACTCTCTTGACCGTAGTTCCTGCATGCTCTGAAACTGTCCAACCGCGCGACGCTGCATCTGTAAAACGCTATCGTGACGGTGCATCGATCATAATTACGAAGAAAGAGAATCACCGTCTTCTCCCGAGAATCGAAACGATAACAACGCCACTCGTCCTGTTTTCTGATTCAAGGTTGCAAATACTGCAACGACGATAAGGGATATCCGACAGTTATTGGCAACCGGGACGCAAATTTCACACCGAAAGCTCTCACGATCGAAAGGGAAATACCGATTTCGAGAGCGGCCATTGACCAGACGTGGAAACTAGTAACGGACGATTTAAAATTCGGACAACATTGGAACGAGTTATCTTTGCAACCAAGAATTATCTACGAACCTATATTACATATTCTTCCCGCAATTGAGCAACTCGAAACAATTGCACAACACGACTGGCAACGTTTTCTACCGAGTTTCCTCAACCCTCGATGACCATTCATCGATGCATTACTTAAACGTACTCTCTTAGTCTCGATCGGGACAAAGGCACATTTCCTGTTATGACAACTCTCGAAAAGATAAGTAAATTCGTTAGAATAATCCACATGCTATCTTCAGGTATCAACAGATAATAATTTCTGAACCTACATTATCGTTCCACGATGATAAAAAAAACTTATTATGAACATCCTCGAAGTTTCTTATTCGACGTACGAATCCGATCAATAATGACATATCTCGAATTACAGATACTACAACCAACTTTACCATCGACGATCTTAATCCAACTCGTAATTACTGGTATAGTGCCAACAAGTAGAAATATGAACGCAACTATAGAGGAAATAATGTTTCGAGCATTAAAATAATCAATTTAAAGAAACGGTTCTATCTCGTGTTCGATTTTATATGCGAATATCGCTATATAAAAAGGCACGTATTCGTGGGCTATCATGAGAAACGAATATATGGCGATTAGAGTGAAAAGAATTAAATAATTAATAATGTAATTGTATAAAGTTCTGTCGATAGTGAAACCGAGATGTGCAATTCACGTATAGGTGACGCAACATAAACAAACATTCACTTTAATTATTCATTATAACATATGTATGTTCCTACGACGATTTTTTCGTTTATAGTGTCTTTTATAGATATCCACCCGCAGTACGAGCATGTGTTTATGGATCCGTCACGATATTCGTCGAAGGCATATCTTTTTACGAGTAAATGCATTATTCTTTGTCGATAATGCATCGTAGATAGCGAAGAATGTTAGAGTCACGTATCTAGTAGTTTCGTGTATTGTTCTTTTTATAGAACTCGCGTCGTTAAATTGATTACTTTGATGTAGGTTTCAAAATATAAATAGCATCGCAGTGGTCGAACACAGCGACAGTAGAAAAAAATACCGAAACACGAAGGCCGTAACATTTTTACTCGGCGCAGCAATTTCTCTGATGATTGCATTCGTTTCTTTCGCGGATGCAGAACCAATCGCTGGCCCACTGGCTGATCCGGTAACATGCTAATATTATACGACTACCTTAATTGGTTTTTCTAAAAATGATTTGCTTTGAAATTTATAAAAAAACAAAAAATAACGTTTGCTTTCAGAATGCCGAACCGTACAACTCAGATCTTATGCTCCTCCTACTTCTAATAATAAAACGTTTCAGCATCCTACTAGTGTCTTTCATAATTTATCGCATAATTCCTAAACCTTTTTATACGTATAAAATAAATTATAAATTGCGTAAATTGTCACAATCGTGTTTTAGTTTATTCAGTAATATATTGTTAAATCCTCTGTTACCCTGAAACCTTGAAAACAGACATAGTGATCGATAGACGCGTTATTCATTGTCAACCATAAAATGTAACGACCATATGTTACTACTGTAGATACAGTTCAAAGTAATAGCGCAACAGGCAATAAAAGTTCCCGATTGTTTTTCCTTCGCCATTTTTTATCAACACTTTTAGTGTACGTTGAAAGGTAATACAAGTCCCGACAGTGATTTTAGTGGATTCTTTCGTTATAATTATCAGCAAAACGAATGCATTTGACAAAGAAAACAGAACCTGTGCAAGGAAAACTAGCAACAAGCAGCTACAAGTATGGACATCATGAGATTCTTACATAGTTCTTTTTTAGAACACAGATCCAGAGGCACGTTTCTAAGGAAGGCTGCGAATATTTTGTCGTTTGAAATGATAAACAAGGCACAGTGAAAACGATATATGGAGCAATTAATGATGCAAATCTTTACTGTTTTAAGTTTAAATTCTACTTTGGCCATTATTCTCCTCCAACCTCTTCTTTAACAAAACTAACTCGAACTACCCCAACTCTTGCATTGAATTAACTATTAATGGTTGAAAAACATTGGCTATATTTATAATAAAACTTTGAAGTAAAATTTCTCAAGAATGAAGGCCACTTTGACTAGTAGTATCCCAAAAGAAAGAATAACATCGAAACATTCAGAGGTTTTAATGTACTAAGTACATTCAAAGTTCTATGTATGTAGTTTTAAATCTTACGACAACTTATAGAATACAATCGTCTTTTATATCACGAGAAACAATTCTAAATTCACTAGCTCGGTTTTACCCAGGATAAAAAAGCTTTTCGAAAGGAAATAAACGGAATTCAAGTTCTTAAATTAGTAAAATTAGGGATTAGAGAGAATCGAAGTTCTCGCGATACAAAATCATACATAATTTTAATCTTTCCATTGGAACAATCGAAATTTTGTCGAGTAGCCATCGTATGTAGTACGGTACACGATATTTTAAGCAACGCAAAGTATCGTTAAAAGTTGAACTTTGCAATGTCTCGAAGCAAAAATTTATAATTCTCGAAATGATAAGTAAACTCGTAGAATTAGTTTAGATGCTATCTTCAGATATCAACAGATAATAATTTCTATACCTACATTATCGTTGTACTTGAAGTTTCTTATTCGACGTACGAATCCGACCAGTAACGACATATCTCGAGCCACACAATTTTTTCCATTATCGATCTTGTTCGAAGTCGTAATTACAGATAATATGCCAACGAATCATCGTAGAAATATGAACGCAACTATAGAGAAAATAATATTTCTAAACGCGTGTTAGATCTGTGGCGACCTGGAAGGACTTTGAGCTACAAAGATGGCGGCCAGAACACGTGTATCGCGCGAAACAATTCGTAAAATTATTTTAGCTCTTGCTCTTACGTGAAAAATTTCTAACTATAACTTTCTCAGGAATCTTTTCTATTCGAAGGTATGTTTCACTATAGATGTTTCAACATTTATCGGAACTCACGTTTCATTCATAAAATTACTTACTTACATAAACTGTTCGATGTCCATAAAATTAAGGGACAACGAGTTATTCCAGTTATCGACGTAGAAATGAACTAACATTCAACACTAATAAAACAATGAAGTTATACTTTTTTTTTATTATTTCAATCCATTACATTTTACGTGTCTCTCTATTGATTTGATACTCGCTAAAAATGTTACGTTTTATTCTTCAAAATTTAGGTGTACATATATATTACATGTATGCAAAATCATTTTACGGCTGTGATATTCGTTTCAAGCGTCATTTACCTATACGAGGTATGAATGCGGGATGGTTTGCTGCAGCATTCTGTATAGAAATATTTTAATTAAATTATGACCCAAACTATCGTCAGAAATGTTTAAATAAGACGATCGAATGCAAAATAAAGCGACATTACCGCGTCTGGCGAAGGATCAGCTACAGCTTCCGCATCTGTCGTAGAAACAAATGCAACCAATAAAGCCATTGCTCCGCCAATCAAAAATGTAGCGACCTTCATGTTTTAGTTTTCTTTTTTCGACTGTTGCCAACTTCGACCATCGTAATATTACTTATACTCGCAAACGAACATTAAAACAACCAACATAACTATAACATATCGTCTGATCGTATATGCGACTGTAACATCACTATCCGTGATATAAAATTAGCAATGAAATCAATGAAATAACAAACTGTAAACAATCATAATCGTATTTTAGTTTATCCAGTAATATCTAAGACCATGAAAAACAGACATGGCGTCATTAGATACAGCTGAAAGTAATAGCGCTACAGCAAATAGAAGTTCTCGATTGTTTTTACTTCATTTTTTTTTTTATTAACACCTTTTAGTGTACGTTAAAAGATAATACTAGTCCCGACGGTGATTTTAATGGATTTTTACGGTATAAATAGCTGCACGCCGAGTGTGTTCGACAAACAAAACAGAACTTGTGCAAGGAAAACTGACGACAAGCAGCTACAAGTATGGACGCCATGAGATTCTTACTCAGCATCGCAGTCGTTCTGATGGTTACTTTTATATCATTCAGCAACGCAGACCCTGAAGCTGATCCCATGGCAGACCCCGTAAGTCGAGACAACTTATATTTGTATTGGTTTAGTAACTTTTCTAAGCGACCGTAGTCTTAATATCTTGCATGTCATTCGATATAACAGTGGAAGAGTATTGCTCCGTCCAGTTTTTGCATTTCTCAATGTTTTGGGACGTTCTAAATATGAAATATTAGTCTCCGTTTTGATCTGTGGATCATTAAATATGGTATGAAGAAGTCTAAAGAAAGAAATTGTAGATATTAGATTGAATTTATGGAGCGGACTTGCTTCGTACAATTTCTGTGATATGTAATATGTAATACCGAACTTCGATCGATCAGATGTTTGTAATTACAAAAAAACTATTTTCTTTTTCAGGAAGCAGACCCCGAAGCAAACATGGCCTCGCTGCTGAAGAAAATATTGCCCCGCGTAGTAAAACTAATAAAAGGATAAACAACCCACAATGGAAACGTCCCACAGATCTATATATTATAAGTACAATGGTGTTTGAAATATACAGCAATTAATATATGCAAATCTTTCGTATCCTGATTTAATATTTCCTCGATCTCTTCTTGCTTTAGCGGATTAAGGCAACGAGCTTCTATTCCCGAAGCTCGTCGCGGTTTTATCGAAGAAAAATTCTTAGGTATCGATCGTTGGAACTAACGGCCTAATATTTCTCAAACACTCTGTATAAACGAAATTCGTTGTCTATCTCGAAACTGGTTCGTCACTGATTTGTCATCGACGCGAAATTAGCGGGGTCGTTTCCGTTTATCGTGCAAGAATGGCACACGTTTGACCCATATAATGAGTCTCGCGGAACAAAAACCTTCGAATGAGGTGAAAGCACTAACGGAGAAAGCCTTGACTCATTGTCGCGACCTTCCTTCCTGATTAAAACGGACCAAGAACGAGTGACTCCAACATTGACTTCCCGACAGGTGCGAAATTCCCTCAAGATCTACATAACGAAACTCGTCGCAAACGCGAATCGGTTTATCTGATGATAGTCGAGACTCGCGATCTACTTATCTCGATAGAAATTTCGAACAACGAATAAACGGCAAACAACCGTTTATCCATTACTCGTTAAATGAAAAGACAAGTTGATTATCGTCACAATTCCATGATATAACTTATTCTAAAAATAATCAGTTGATACACACCACGCTCGTAGGCCAAATCGATAGTCTAATTGACTGGTTTCCTCCCCACCGATCAGTCTTCTACGCTCTAGCTACTGTCTTCAAGGTTCTTGCTAAACTTGTTGAGTTAAGTAGGCACTTTAAATATAAAGAGCATCGATTCTGTACAGTGTGGTTTACTAGAAACTACCTTGGTTTATTCTTTGCCAGTAAGAAATATTAATTCTTCTAATTTCTAATCGTATCGTGATTAACGACCATTGATGTCAAGTTTCACAATCATGAAGCCACTGGTCATCGATTGAAATTAACACATTTTTACAGTCGCCTGTACGAACAAATTTAAACAAAATGAAAATAGTGCACGTTTGAAAAATTACATTAAATCGTACGTCAAGGGGTTAACGAAGAGAATGTTCGTTTGCTTGTTTCGTTAAACGTTTAACGTTTCGCTAGGGTATCTCCGGCATCTACGAGCTCCTACGAACGTCGAGATTCGAATCAAATTTGCAACGTAACGCGCACGCGCGTACGAATAATAAGTTTACTTAACTTTCACGCGAATGGAAAGGATCAGTGGGTGGGTGGTGAATCGCGGCGAAACACAAAGCGTTACTCGGCTGCGGTTCAGGTTACGCGAACGGCCAAGTTCAGGGCCAACGAGATTCAATCTCTCGTTAAAATTACAAAACGAGATTCCACGGGGCATTCCCTCTCCTCTGATCAACCGACTTTCACTCCGATCGTGTCGCGTCACAAGATCCTCTGTCCGCTGGCCGTCGAGACTCATCAACGCGAAAAGATGGTCCTTATTTATCGACTTTAGATTACTTTTTGATGCACCCCAATTACGACGCCATTAGATGGGTACAGGTAAAGAGAAAAACATATCATATTTTAATATTATCCACACGAATGGTAGCAAGGTAATAAAACGAACGATCTAAACAACAACAAAGGGACGTTGGTGTTGAGCAATATTTTCGATAGATCGCGAACACGTGTAAATCTTAATTTTCCTGTGATGGGGATGGAACTTTCTCCTACGCGTAACGCACGTGGCTATAGACAGATAACGTAACCACGACAGGCGAGGTAGCCGCGAGTGTTCGCGGCTAGAAGGCCAAAGCTGGAGCAGAGGAAGGGAAGTAGCCTGCTGGCCAAGTTCAGGGCTAACAAGATCCGATCCAGTCGCGTCTTTTTCCGTCGGTTCGAGCGCCGCAGAAGGCGCGTCTTCCGCCGTAAAACCTGAACCTTACTTCGACGTCGAGTGAACTCCCTTAGCCGTTCGAGTCCCTCTTTCGTTTCCCCTTTCTTTCTTCCACTCTTCCTTTCCTCCCTCCCCTCCCCCTCCTTCTCTTGGTCCTTGGAATACGTTTGTTTCTATTTTCTCAGGCCCCGGTCCAAACCAGACTCGCCGTTCGTTCCTTTTACCCTTTTATCGACTTCCGATCCTCCCCCTCCTCGCCTCACCCCGGCTACGATCTTACCGCCGTTTTTCTCTTTTCCGTTTCTCCCGCCTTCGGTACTCACTTTCCTGGCCGACCAACGGCGCACCGCCAGCCGCGACGAGCTTTACCAACGCGACAAAAACTGCCAAAAACTTCGAAGAGACACAGTATCAACGCTACGGAGCAACCTATCGTCGCTTGAAATTATTTACTCAACCCTTTGCACTCGAAGAAGTTCATTGTAATAGAAGTAACTGGCTACACGAATAGAATTTTTTAACGCCATCTTAAGGAATATTAAAATTCTCCTTTTTCTCCCAGAGAAATTTATAAATGTTGATAATTTATAATCTCTTCATTTGCTTTGTCAACCTGCTTTACTATACATACACCTTAAATCGAGTTGTAGTGTATATGAATAACAATTTTTCTGACAACCATGCACATTCGTGCGACGCTCCGAAGCTCGAAGGGATTCGCGTACTTGGCTGGTCCCCACCCCCCCCCCGGTCCCTATTCCCGTCAATTCCGCAACTCGAGGCTCGTTTCTGCCGTCTGCATCCTGGAATGCGGTTGTTCCACTCTATACCGATATTACCGCCTACGTTCTACGTACTGAAGCCGCGCGCGCAACGACGGTTATGATGTAAGAACCGCGAACGCGCTATCCTCCTGAAACTGTTGGAAAATTGGGTAAAACCGATACCGATCGTCGACGAAAGTTACTAGGGCATCGAAGAACGAATACATAAAATTTTACATTGCAAATTTACCTGTCGCGAAGCTCCCTGCAACGAATTATATATGATTTCCCAATGAGGACGTCATAGACGCCATATTGGTTGTTAGCTTACTGGAGTCACTGTTTTACAAATTACCACGAAAATCGACGAAATGTAAATGGCAAATGTCTTTAGATTAGGTAACGCACGTGGGAACGAATTGACAGAATACGTATGAAGATTCTGATAACGAGGGAAACTTCACGGTTACCATTTTTCGAACGTTCGTCGACACACAGTGTTTCCAACAGTCGACAAGCAATTAAGATACAGCGCGTGCAACGATCGAGAATATCGATCGGCGTACGCACGTGTACCGTTACGGTCATCCATTTGCCACTGCTTTTGATCGCTCATGGGCGAGCAGAGGCCATGCAAATTGGAACTGTGTCGCCGGAAGTGGGGCTTCGAGACGCGTCGAGCACCACGTGCTAGAGGACGAACGGGCTCGATCCTAAATTGCGAAACAGTACGTCGCGCGGTGGAAAAGAGTCATCGGTTTTCTGCTTATAAACACGATTAAATCAAAAATTTAACTGAGTTTTATATTGAAATACGTCGAAAAAAAAAACAAGTTTCATAACGCCCTCATAGATAATACCTTTCAATTTAGAATTTAATCTTTAAATCTAAAATAACCTCTAATGGTTTTAAACAGTGCTCGATTAGTATCTCCACCTTTATCAATATACGCATAGAAATTCAATTACAATAACACGATCGGCCGAATAATTATCAATTATAACATTATTTCTCCTTCGCATTGTACTTTGTACGAGAGGATCACCGAAGACCTAAAAAAAATGGAGGTCGAAATGTCCGAGGAAAATGTAGTAATCAGTTCTTAAATATAAATATGTATGAGGTTCTGTGAAAGTCCAAGTATTACTTTCCTTTTGAATAATTCCTGTTTCTTGGATTTTTAATACCTTCGTAACGGCTGTCTGGCAGACTGACAAATACATATTTACAAACTCTCCAATACTTGGTCGGTGCAAAGACTTCGGTTTTTTCAGCATCCTCGATCGGATGTTTCCCGTGGAATCAGCGCGTCTAGAATTTAAACCTTGGCCGATGTCACGGAAGAAGGCTGCTCCGAATGGGTCGTTTGTTATATTCGTCTTCGATGTCGTGGAGATCCGGCGGATCCGCGAAACCGCTGTCCTCGTACCGGGTGCACCGTGATCCTGGCGACCTGGGAGGATGAACCGGATGGACGCTGGAACGGACACGAATATCACGGGGGGGGGGGTTTCTCGATCGTCGAACAGCAATTGCAATTATCGTTTTAAAGAACCTGGTGCATCTGGAGGGACTGGCCTCCAAGGGCTCGTCGTATCTGCGCGATAGCATCGTGAAATCGCGATGCGCCGCCACCATTTTCTGCAGTCTCGAAATTATCTCGTAATCGGGCGTGCAAATTGGCTCCGACAATAATTTCACCACGGAGACACGGAAGCTTTGCAGCTGAAACAGGAAATTAACGATTTGCCAGTTGTAACCGTGTATCGCTGCCAGTCGCTGGGCGACTCGCGGCTGCAGCCTTTTTCTCGGCGCGAAAAATTATTTTCCTTTCCCTGGAAATAGTAGCGATCGAACGACAGTCGGCCCTTCGGTCGATCTTCTCCAACGATTTAACGAGTTTCGGTCGTTCGTTACGATTCGTGGCTGCGTCCGCGACTCCGCGGCGAGCTCGCGTTCCCGGCGAAAAAGAAAGAAAGAAACGCTTGAAACCGTTTGGCGAACTAGCGCGCCAGGCACTCGACAACGAGTGCGCTATTACTCGATTGGGTGTCAACGAGAACCATCGGGATTGTTTCAATGAATTGACGAGCCCGTTGGCCTCTGGCTCTCGACCGGTATTGTCACGGAACGAGATCTCGTAATTGAGATATGCGCATCTTTGATCAAAGATCAAACGCTCCGAGCCCGTTTACTCGCGAAGCCTGAATCGACGAACGGAAAACTACCCGGTAAAAGTTCCATTTTGGAAAAGATCGGAGGAACAATTCTCAGCGATGTACTCCCAGAGTTGGACAGAATGTAATTTGATTACGTTGACGATAATTATTTTACTTTTCAGTGAAAAAATTAAATAAATTAATCTTTAATCAGATTACATTTTGCCTAGTATCGCGCGAAATGCGTAAGTACTTGAGACTCTCGTTTGGTGATCTCGGAAAGGTTCTGCTTGACCTGGGCGAGCTCCCCTCTGATAAGCTGCAACGAATGATCGTTTATGGATCTCTCTTGCTCGGCGGTTTCCGTGGTGCTTCTCATCTGCTCCTTCAACATGGCCAGCTTTCTGTTGCACCGCGTTCTCAGCATCTCGCTCTCGACCAGACGTTTCTGCAGCTCCTCGATCTTGCGGCTGCGCTCCAAAGCGGCTATCTGTTTTCGGGGAAACAATCCATTATAACCGGAACAATGGAACCTTGGATCGCGGATGTCGAAAAACTTTACGCCCCTTGTAATCGGCTGCCTCCGTCAGTTGCGCGCTCAGTTCGCGGTTTCGCGACTTCTCCTCCGAAAGCTGAACCTGCAACCGATCCAGCTGCTTCGACAGCTTCTTCGCCCTTCAAATAGAAATCATTCTCATTCATGATATATTAATTGCCCATAGGATATACTAGGCGATCAAGGAACCACAGTATCAACTCTCAATCTCAACTGAATCGTTTTACTTAACCCCTTAACGTTCATGCCCGAGTCTGACTGCTTTGAAAAACGATATTTATTTAATCTAATGGTTTAAGGGACGATAATATTTGTTTTCCTTCAAATTATACGTTGGATACAACATTGTAATTAACGGAAACCACATTTTTAGAAACAAATCCAATAAAGAAAACTGATTATTCTTGGTTAACCCGAAAAATATGGGCGTTAAGGGGTTAACGTCGGTCCTTATCAAATTGGTAAATGGAAATCAACTTTTCAAATAATTAAACAGTTATTATTTGAAACTTGCGGTCCCGATGATCCACTTAAATCTGTACGAATTAATTTATCGTAACGAGAGTAAAGGGTACGTGCCGAAGATTCGCCTCGTCCCTTTCGGTTTGCAGCAACGACTTCATTCTGACGCTATCTTCTTGCAGCGACAGCTTTCGACGAAGAAGATCGAGATGAAGATCTCTGCGCTGCAACTGTTCCCGCAGCGTCCTCACGCGACGTTGCAATTGATACACCACCGAGGTCTGAACAGAACAGAGACGAGAATTCGAGCCCGTGTAAAAAAATGCGAACGCAAGCGCGACGGACAAAGCGTATCGCATTCCGCGCGAAAAGTTATCGAATTCCTATTAAGCTCGTTCGGCTACGAATAACAAAAGAAAGCTTCTACGATCGACTACTGACGGCTTACTTCTTTCATAGAAGAAAGCTCGTGGAAGGACCGCTCGCGTCGAATCCTCGGCAAGGTGGTGTACTCGTGGAACGAATACTGCGAGAAAGCGCGCGATTTGCGGGAAACGAACACACAGAACAAACGAGACGTTAGCAAAGTGACAGCGAGAAACAACGACGAACGATCGAAACATGTTTCTTTCACCTTGTCCACCAGCTTGTCGGTCTCCAATCGGGCCAACTGCTCGGCTCGCACCAAAAGCGACTCCGTTTGAAGATCCAGGCCCATCTCTTCGGAGATCTCGTCCATCTGCATCACCTTTCCAAGCCGATCCAAGAACGCGACGAACTGACGAAGAAATTTTTTTTAAGGTGCAAGCGTGTTTTTATTTAAAACGAGAACGGATTACCGTCTGCTTGTCTCGGCGCAAGGACTCCTTCGACAGCTCGCAACTGGTGAGCTCGGACTCCAACTTGTGAACTCTGCCCTCCAGGTTCGATCGTTCGTTTTCCAAGTTTCTCATCTTCGATACCGTGGTATCGATCAGTTCGCTCTGTCGATTCGTCGACTCCGTCGCTGCGCTCACTTTCTCTCGGAGACTTTGAACATTCTAACAAAGGGATTTTCGAAACGTTAGAAACATGGTAGATCGTCGATATCGACGTTCTACCGTGATTAGAAATAGTAATACGATAGCCTGATCCTTGGACTCGGCCAAGATCTCTCTGATGCGATCCTTGATGGCGTTTTCGTGCGACTCGACGTATCTGTTGGGGCCGCCGACGAGTATCGCCAAGGATTCGAGAAAGTGACGCGATTCGTTCTGCATCCGCTGCATCTTCTCCTCGCGGTGCTTCAGATCGTCTGCGAACAAAACGAAACAGTCAGAATGGGTATTATTTATGAACGTTTTCAAATTCCATAAATACTTAGTTTGCACCTCGCAATTGGCAGATGAGCGTCTCTTGGCTCGATATGTTTCCGCTAGCACTGCTTATGTTCCTGTTCGCATTCAGCAGCTTGTCCCTCAGATCGCTGGTCTCCCTTTCCGCGACTCTGTACTGCATCTCGAGGCATTCTTTGTCCTGCCAGGTCGAACCGATTGCTCATTTAAAAATCGCGCGGCCACGATATTTAAGAGGTTTCGTCGATAAAATAAGATCTAAATTTAGTGCCTGTTTCAAACGATCCAAGTCGATCGATTGCGTGGACACTTGTCGCTGTAGCTGTTCCTTCTCAGCGACGGAACGATCCAGGGCGTCCCGACAGCTTCGAAAATCCGCCTCGACGACGGTCAGTTGGGCCTCGAGGTTCGTGCTCTTCGATCGTAGACGATTCGCCTCCTGCACCAGCTCCTCGGCCTTGTGAATCACGATCTCGGGGCCAGGATGCACGGTCTCGCAATAGTCGACGTTCAACGCGTGAGCCAATTTTCGCGTGCACTCCTTGTTTTTAAACGTAAGAAGAGTTGGGGAAAACTCTGTTACTTGAAATCGATACCCATCGCGATAATTGTACCAAACCCCTAACCTGGAGATTCGAACGGGCGCGTTCCCTTTGCTGGATCTCCTCGGACACGTTCTGCTCTAGCTGGCGAGTTTTCTTCTCGCACTCGCGTATCTTCTCCTCGTGGTACTTGAGATCCCGCTGCAAACCCTGTATCGTGGTCTCGTTTCTGCCCTGGCTCGCGTAAAGATTCCTCTCGCGTTCCTCCAGCTCCTGACACCGTGGACAAAATTTTAACGCACGCACCGACCCGCCCGTAACAGGGTCAGACCGCGTGAAACAAGAAGAACGAACGACTAGGAGATCGGAGCAACCTGTATACGTTTTTTTAGACTCGAGACTATGGCGTTCTGTCTGACCGCTTGCTCGCGAAGCTGCTCGGCCTCCAGCTGCAGCTCCACGACCCGTTGGTCCCTCGATCTCACCGCGATCTTCATCTCCTGGAGCTGAACGGTAAATCCACGGATTACTAATTCGCCTTGTCGAGACGACCAACGTTCGTTTACCTCGGAAGTAAGCCTGTCGCGCTTGTACTCGAGGGCTGCCAGTTCGCTCCTCAGCGTGGTCGTCAGGTCGTGGGTCATCGCGTCTTCCTGGCAGATCTGAAGCGACGGATTGACCTTTATTTCACACGTAACTTTACCCTCGAGGTCGTTCGAAGGTCGTGCTCTGCTCTGCCTCGATAAAAGATATCGATGGGTTAAAAAAAGACACGAAAAGATCTCTCTTTAGATACGTTATCACACGTGCTGGGAACAGGATTAAATCAGGCTTCGACAACGCAGATATACCTGGACTTTGGCATCGCGTAGGGCCGACGAATCGAAGTTTTCCGACGCGGATACAATGATTTGAAAACAAACAAAAAAAAAAAAGACGTGAACGCAATTTTTATCAGATGGTTGGATTTCATTTACGTCCCGTCACGTCGGCTCGATCGATACGCGTTTCGCGCTGCAACTCCAGCAAGGGTGTCGCTCGTAATTATTTCCCGCGCGCCGAAAGGCCCCGGTAATTAAAGCATCGTTAAGTTAAAATTAAACCGCGCATCGGGGGAATCGAAAATGGGAGAATGTCTCGCCGCGATGCGAGGGATGTTCCACGTCGACGGATCGAATCACGGGGGCGACTGATCGATCCAGCGTCCCCGTCCAAGGGTGCCATTTTTAATTACAGATCCTTGTTAAGTGACAGACGGCGATCGAGTTCGAGCAGGACCTTTTTCAACAAAATTATAAGCTTCGAAACGACACGAACTCTGGAACAGTTCGAACGATTTTCAGTTTCTGTTGGATACAAAAATCATCTCCAGTGACGATTGTATATGAAGGGAGTTTTGGCCATTGGTTCTACGAACTCAATGGTGTTTATTATAGAAAGATAAGAGTTATTTCTCTCGCCTTTCTTCTGCGGGTGAAGTCACTGTCTTGCAACAGATCTCTTAGAGAACAGAACTGAATTCTTAGATATACCTTCTACATATCATTCAATAAAAAGTACATTTCGTTTCATTCGTAATCACACGTTCCATAGCCCGACATTTTCCAATAGTTTCCAAGATAATTTTTAGGCTAATCGCGGTCACGAGTTTCGCAGAAACGTACAAGACCGACTAGTTTCGTCTGCCCGCGACAGCGAAGTTACGTGACTGGAATCGAACCTAAACGCGAACCCGGAGACTTCGCGACCTGGCTCTGATCATTTTACTCGGATACATCCGTGCACGAGACCGCGCCATTGAAATTCAGAACGGCAACCAGCGCGTAGGCAAGATTCTTATACGCGATGGTCCCACGAAACTAGGTCGGTAGCGTCGAGACAATAGAAGATGGAACCGAATTTCCATTGCTATGAAACAATGTCTAACAAAAAGTTTAATTAAATAATACCAAGTTGACTTTCGTAAGCTTTCCCGGGCTCGCTGCGCGGTCGAATAAACGACAGCGCTATCTGCCACCCCTAAAGCAAACAAGCTTTGTTCGAACCACTTTTTCGTATCGTATTTTTCGAGATATTTGCTCCCGTAAATTAAAATAGGATACTAATAATTATATAGAACATTGCACGGTGGCAGGATTATCGAGACGCCATTGTTTTTTTTTTTTTCAAGCTTGCTTGTTAAATAAGATTAAAGATAGATCGTATCGTAACTTGCCTACGATAGAGCTCTCGTCTACGCTGTAAGCATAATCGGTAATTATGGTTTCACGTTCTATGCACCGATAGAAGATCACGGTTCCGATAAACCCGCATCTGGGTCGGTGTTTCGATAAAGCCGCACGTGACGGATTGATCTTATTGTACAAATACCGATAACTTTCACCGCGACGAGTCACGACGCGACGCGCACCGGTTCTCGTATCGAGATAAACGCGTCTATCTTGTCAATTTTCTGCCCAACGATGCGACTATCGTAAGTGTCGTTGCACACGAATCTGGAGCAACCGCGATAATTGTGTTTTCTACGGGAATTCAATTTACAATTCGATCCTTGCCTCGTCCAACTTATACTCTAAGTACTGACCGTACAAATTTTAACATCCATACATATTACATTAATTAATACATAAAGCCCTACTCGTTATGGGCCTCCAACTACCTCTTAACGCTAGAAAGACTGAAACTTGGTATATACCTATGTTGGCCAAAAGCAGTCAAAATGACTGCATTGTGAAAGACTAACTAATGTGTAAAGAAATTTGTTTAAAATTAATTTTCAATATTATGTTATAATATTATGAATTTAGGGCGCAGAAATAAAATAAACAACTTGTTAGAACAAGTATCACTGCATAAAGATTCGAATAACAAGTACTACTTTAGCTTATCGAGAAACTGCAATTTATCAATAGGTCTGGGTTAGGTCTGGGTTAGGTACGCCCAAATCGACAATTTATCATGTACTTGTATGTTATCATGTGTTGGTAATCGAAAAAAAATGAAAACTGTTATTTCAATACAGAGTCGAACTGGTCATATAAGAAATTTACTCAATTCAATAATAAGAGTCATTTGATTATTTAAAATTTCCCAAGCAGTCAAAATGACTGCTTTTGGGCGATATAGGTATAACACATATATATATATATATACTGGAAATGAAGGAGGGGGGAGGTAACTACAATTATTAATAAACGCATTTATATGTTGTTCAAAAAGTCACAAAATTCTAAGAAATTGTGTCATTATATACATAATTGTTTTTCTAATTGAAATTAAAAAGCAGTCAAAATTACTTCCTTGGGCAATCTAGTGTTAATATAGACACACTCATAGCGAAGCCAAATATTGAAGCTTGTCTTAGTATTCATTCCTTTTTCAAAAATTCTAATTTACATATTTAGTGTTAACGGACATTGTTATTGTATTCACTTGTATTATTATTATATTCTCTTGTATTATTTCTGTATTCTATATTATTGTACCCATTTATGTTATTTCTGTAAAGCGAAATAAATCCAGAAGGGTTTCAATTGCTTAAATAAAAAAAAAAAAAAATTAATACATAAAAGTGTCATTCATAGCAATATACACGATCTGTACAAATTCATGTATCACACAACCATTTTGAATATCATTTTAGACCTAGTTTTAGACTAAGTACGCATATTTTATTTCTCTCCTTACATCGTGAAATAATATATAAAATGTACAAATCCAACCTGCATAAACATACAAAAGAACAATCGAACACGAATAATAGGGTAAAGAAAAATGTAAAAGGAGGAATATCAAAATTTTTATTCTCCGTGTTAGACCATGCCTCTTTGGTTCCACGCGAGAATCGAATAAAAGTCGTATTGGTCGGTTTGGGTACGGGGCACGTGTTTCGCGAAGCGCGTCGTCTCCACGGAACCAACGATCAAATAAAAATAATTAATTCTGGATTCCGAGAACGCGAAAATTGCGAATGGCGTAGGATGCTCGAGGGAGCCGGCGATAAAGGTGCGCGGCGACAGGTGAAATCGATTCTGTGCAACGCTATGGCAACCGAGCCCTTGCCGCGCGAGTCAATACATTTACCATTCACGCGAAAACGACGTATAGCAAGCACGTGCAACGGTACGCAAAGGTATACAGACAATAACGACGCGACGATCCGTCGCGGATAATTGGCTGGTGCTTGCGTAACGTGCATAATATCGAAAGCATCGAAACAACAACGACCCCCCGATGGTTTTCCCCAACTTTCTCTCTTATCATTCGTCCGTAAACCGGCGAGCCCAATTTTCTACCGGAAACCAAACGAGAACTACGAAATTATACACGAAATACAATATTGAGAGGCATGGTTCGATAACATTTCTACGATAGAAAATTGTAAAATAAAAAGAAACGGAATTTCAAACGAAGGTAAAATGGCGACGGGATAAGAGGTTAAACGCTTCTGTCCCCGACGCGTTGTACGTGCGTACCGGGAAGCTCTGTGATAGAAAAAAGAAGTGCACGTGACCTATTCAACGCCCGTAGGTTTTGCTAATGCGCACACGCGTTGGTATACGTGTACGGTGAGCAGTGAAAAGGCTGAGTGATAAGCGGGTGCATTCAATCCCTGTGATAAATCTCGCCTGTCGCGGACGGAAGAGACCTTTCGAGGCGACGATATAGACAGAGTTTCAAAGACTCGCAGATCCTCCTCGGTGGTTTCTCTCGGTTCCCTGGCCGCCCTTGGCTCCTCCTCGCTCGACATCTTGACTCGTTCCACGCTGACCACTCTGATCCTAGGGATTTCCCTTGCCGCGCGAGACGAGTCAACAACGAGTTACTTCCTCTGTCGACATCTTTTGGCGGCACGACTGCGGTACCCCCACGGACGCGACGACTCGACGGTGGAAAAACGTTTCCAACGAAGACGGAGAGTCGACGCGAGACGGGCCCGTCTGCCTACCAACACCCACGCGCACGAACCTCAAGATAATCGAAATTCATCGATCCGAAACCCCGAGCTTCTTTGCCTCCCGGTACCGACTCGATAATATCGTTTTCGTCGCAAGAAAAGTGACTCGAATTTATATGTACGTGCAACAGTACCCCGCTTATTGCGTCAATACGGAATTACCACCGTCACGATTTAGTTTTCTTCGCGCCAAAACACCATCATCTCGGACGAGTTAGGCAAAAATGTAATCTACTTATTTACGATTACGATTTCAACGTTATTACACGGTTCAATGATATACGACTATGATTACACGATAACTACAGCAGTTACTTGGTAATTACGGTGAAAGCATGAGCATAAACAAGCAATCAGATTAAATTTTGCCCAACTCTGGTAGCCGGCAGCTGCATAATTAATATCCTATTTGAAAGACCCGTTTGATCACGATCTGTTCCGAGAACAAATCGTAACGATAATCGTCCGAATATTTCTACGTGAAATCTGGAGATACCGACTTGGATTCAAGAAAAGAGACCAGTCATTCACTTGACTATTACAGCCTTGAAATTATGTATAATCGAAATACAATTTACCTGCTATTTTTAAAGCACACGTTCGTTCATCGAATTACATCATGAAATGTACGGAATAAATCAATAACGTTCACAATAGATACCTAACCGTTTTCGACCATACAAGTTAATGTAAACTATGTACGTATTCAGAACGTAGGCGCCATCTAACGCTATGGGGTTGTATCAAGTACCAGAATATGCCAGTAAAATCAAATAATTAAAGATTAATAAAGAACCTACAAATTTGGGGGGGCTTACATTCTTTAAGCAATTACAAAATTCAAAAGACAATGTATTTAAAGTACCCTTAATTTCATACGATTTACAACATATTTCAGTATTATCTAAATCCAAGAGTGTTCGATATGGCGTGGAATGTAACAAAAATCTCGTGTCATGCGTGATTGCTAAAATCGATACCGATAATTGATTAATTATATCTCGTTTGTGATTAGTTTTTTAGCGATTAGATTATTTTTATGACATCGATTAGATTATGTATTTCGGGATTTTATTTTCGGGGCACCACGTTTTACTCGCCAGACTTTTTATTGCGAAAATAATTCCGCAAAAGTACACGTTTCTGAGCCAACCGTGTAACGTATACTATTTCGAAAAATAATATAACAAAGTAAAGTATAAAATAATCCGACAGGGATATATAAACCATCTGAGAAAAGATTTATACCGTTGAATTAACACTAACCGTAAAATAAACATCGATCACGGTATTCTTTAAAGGTGTTTCTTCATGACTTGATGTATTACGATGATTGCAAGATCATCAACGCTATTAAAAATTTCAGGCTTCGAATCATGAAATTCCATCGCTAGTTATGACGTTGCAGCGACGTCATTATTGTTTTTTTAAGCGTTCGCACCGTCGAACCTCATGCTGTTTCGTTACCGCGAATTTTAACAAATATGCCGGCTAAAGTAAAAAATAAAGTATTAACGTACGAAGGTTGCAATTATTTGCGATATCGTTTGCTGCTATCTACGCTTTCAGGCAAACCGGTGCGAATAACAGATATTAGAATCAAAGATGATGATCCCGGGCTTAAAGGTTAGTTTGAATCTATGGTACTTAAAAAATATTAAATCATGACACAAAACAATAAAGAAACACGTACGATACATTGTATTCTATACTATAACGCGCGAAACTTAATTATTTCGTAATTACGGTATACTATTAAGAAACACGGAATTTCCATTGTAATAACTTAATATATCATGTGTATTAGAATACGAAGTGAGTTTTATACGTTTATTGGATAAAATTACAAACGGATCAAGAATAGAACTGAACGAAACTGGGACCAATTTATATTATAATCCTGGTTTATTACATGGTGGTGAATTAGAGCATGATTGTAGCTTGCAAAGAGGCATTGGCTATTATTTAGAAGGAATTATGATATTAGCTCCATTCTGTAAAAGCCCGGTCGATATAAAACTTAGAGGAATTACTAATAATACAATAGGTGGGTAAATAGTTTGTTATTGGAAATTATTATGATCAGGGACACAAAAATTATCTATTAAAATTGAATGATTCAATGTTTAAGATCCATGTGTAGACAGAATTAAAGCAACTGCTGTACCTATGTTAAAAAGGTTCTTAATGGGTGATAACGAGGTTGTATTTAACATTAAGAAAAGAGGGGCAGCACCTTTGGGTGGTGGGGAAATACACTTCAAATGTCCTGCTAGCCGTAATGTCAGAACTATTCAAGTTAGTCTAATTCTTTATTTGAAATATTCTAAACTGATGGTTATACTTAAAAAAAGTGTATTTGCAGCTTCAAAATAGTGGCATGGTAAAAAGAATAAGAGGTATTGCATGTAGTATACGCGTATCTCCTGCCATTGCTAACCGAATTGTAGAATCAGCCAAAGGTGTTCTATTGAAATTTTTGCCAGATGTCTATATTCATACGGATCATTGTAAAGGTGCATCCAGTGGAAAATCACCAGGTATATAATTTATTTTATTCGCTTCTACATGTTGTGAGTTACCTCTAACATTTATAAACACATCAGGTTTTGGACTAAGTTTGTTAGCCGAAACCACAACAGAAATTGCTTTTGGTGGAGAAGCATTTTCACCTCTAATGACAACAGGTTCTTTACCTTGTGTGCCAGAAGACCTTGGTAAAGAAGCAGCTATGAAACTAATTGATGAAATTTATCGGTATGGCATGTGTAATTTTGATTGATAGAAAACACTGAGTAATCAAATTCTAATATAAATCTATGCAAGTTTAGAAATGGATGTGTGGATTCACCTTTTCAAAGTATGACTGCAATGTTCATGGCACTGAGTAAAAACGATGTTTCAAAAGTTGTAACAGGACCTTTGACACCAGCAATGTAAACAATTATATATCTCAATTCCTACAAGTATTAAAATTTATGACACAAATGAAAAACAATATTGTTATTACAGGATACAGTTTTTACGGGATTTACGAGACTTTTTTGGAACGGTATTTAAAATTGAACCACTCAGAGAAGAGGATGAAATACTTGATCAAGTTGTTTTAACTTGTGTGGGTGTAGGATATACTAATATAAGTAAACGAACATTGTAAAATATGTTATATTTTTGTCGTATGATTACTTTTGTAATTTAAATTAATAAAGAATATATCTTTGTACTTTAAAAAATTGCTTTCAGAAAATGCATTAAAGCTTTCACAGCACAAACATTTGTGCGCGATTTGGTTTGGAAGGCCAAGCGCGGAAAGACTCCATTTTCAATACGTTCCATAAACTTTGATAATTCTTAGACCATTTTTTGCAGTCCAAATACGTTATTTTTTTCGGATGTCTTATATTACAATGAAGATTATAATACCTATCACAAGTCCGTAAAAATGTTTCAAAAAGAGCACGTCTTGTTATAAATAAATTACTACCTTTCTTTCTTCTAGTAGCTCCTTGCTTTCTACCCTCAACTGCTATTTCTGTATCACTGTGAATGAACCAATACTACAATTGTTCATCTCCAGCATAAATATAAATGCATATTTTAATACAAAAATTTACCGATGTCTTACAGCACACCATATGATACTCGATGGGCATGGATTCTTTCTTTGAGAATTTTTCTGCTGTTGGAAAGAAAATTTAGCTCGCATGATTTTTAGTCTGTATATTTCTTCCTTATTAAATCGTTTATACAATCCACGTTCCATTGCTTCTAAAGAGAAGGGACATTTTCCTCCAACCGTGATACTCTCCACTTTTATTGTAGGTATTAGTATTGATAAAAGTGAACCTTGTAATCCAAGAATATTCCACCTAAAAAAGGTATAAAACGTCATTATCATAAGTTCTGCACATATTTAGAAGGAAGTACGATAAGCCCGCGTCTGATGACTGAATTTTTTCCCCATTATTTAGTCGCAAAATCATCTTCATCTCTAATGCTAATACTGACTAAAAACTTTTACATTTCTCATTGTATCTTTATGAGATTATTACAGTAGTGCCCACTTAAGTGACCACGCTCGGGACTGGCCGCGGTCATTTAAGCGGGCACTACTATATCTGTGATTTTTTTGGTTCCAATTTTTCGTCAAAAAGCGCAGGCTTATGGTATAGTTTTGTCTAATTTTATTTACTTTGCCATTTTATCTGAACAAGACAAACTAAGAGTAGGATTACCCCTCCCTGGTTTAGTACGCAATGGCCCAATTACATGATAATTTACTCCAGTAAGATGAGGGTCTTGATATTGTTCAGTTTTAACACATTTTGCACCAGTTCTATATATATCCCCAAGTATCTGTTCCTTTTTATTATCACATGATTTCATAATCATCTCTCCTTCATCGTTACAATCATATTTTCCAATTTTCATTGGTGGTGTATTATTTTCATAAAATTCATCTTTCAAAAATATAGAGCAATCTCCGCAAGGTGTTTGACTTGTGAAAAAATGGAATGATATTCCGTCTTTTAATTTAATTTTATTCGTACTGTCCATTGTAAAAATATCGCTGCTAATGCCATCAAGCAGTAAATTGATTTGTTCGTACAAATATCTTAAAAAAGCACGTCTGGATAAAACTTCAGCATGAGAATCGTTTAATCTACAACCTTCCTCGTATAATTTTGTATTTATTAAATCTATCTCACCTAAACACTTTGTCCCTGTAGCCAGAGCTACTAAAGACAATAAACCATCAGGTTTTTTTAATACTATACCAGACAGTACGGTCCATTCTGTCTCTGAAGGTTTACCAGTTTTACTAAGTTTTGTATATTTTTCTATACAAAGCTTTGCAATTTGGTCTGCAAAATCTTCCATACTATTATAATTGACATCAAACTGATATCATTAAGTAATAATTTTTTTAAAGCATAACCAATATCTTTTTCACTGCTATACACTGTAGCTGTGTCTACATATAATAAAATAACAAAATGGTAGAATTCTTTGGAATACATTTATAATTGAATAAGCAATCGGTATTACTAATTTATTAATTGTGTATACATACCAATAGACCTATAACCTGCTTTCAAACTTTCATCAACAACTTGATATATTATATCTGCTCCTTGGATCTTATATGTGCCAACTGAAAACAAAATGATTTTATATTTAATACTTTGATTTAAACTAATATTCTATCTTATGTAATATTAATAATCTTACATCCAATGAGAGGCATAAGATAACCACTTGAAAGAAGAACATTTTGCATTGCACCACTCATAATGTAACATTTCATTTATAAAATGTATCAACATCCTAGCACATACTTTTGTATAGTCACTAAATAAATACAATCACTTTTACCACTTTTTTTTCAGCGCGGTTTCTCGTAAAAGATAAACAAACTACAGAATTTATTGGTTAAGAACTCCGAGTTCCGAGTGCCAAACTTAAAATGCACAAACTTTGTACAGAATACAAATGACAGATCTGTGCTCAAAGGGAACTACCCCTCCACTGTACGTACAGGTGGCTGTGCACTAGCATGCATAAGTGTAAGGACAACTTTTGAACTGCATTGCACTGCCATCTAGTGTTCACCCCACCCGTCGCTAGATGGTTTATGTGTATGTAGATGTACAACATTTTATACTCATGGAGTTATTTACGTTATTAAGCGAAATTTTATTGTGATATGAAAAATATTATTAGATTTTACTCACCGATGTGATATGGCCCCTACAATTCAAACTAATGGTAGTACAACCGAAAGAGATAAACGTACGGCTAGGCCAGCAGAAAAAAGGTAAACAAGTTATCATAGAGTATAACCATAAATTAACATACTATGCACACTTGGTGTCTGTAAACATCTATTAGTAATGCATATGTACATCAAATTGTAACACTTTGTAATTATTTTTATTACAGATCCGAGTTAATATGTAGAGTTAAATATTGTAATACATTGCCAGATATTCCATTCGATCCTAAATTCATCACATATCCCTTCGAATCCACTAGGTAAGTCTTATATGTTCAAATTTAAATAATTTTCTGAATAATCTATGATCAAATGATATTTTTAGATTCATTCAATATAATCCAACCTCATTGGAACGTAATTATAAATATGAAGTATTGACAGAACATGATTTAGGTGTGGAGATTGATCTTATAAACAAGGATACGTATGCTGGTGATGTTAACGCTCAATTAGACCCTGCAGATGAAAAACTCCTGGAAGAAGATGTTCTTACTCCACAAGATTCTAAAAGATCAAGACATCATGCCAGAAGTGTGTCTTGGCTTAGACGTACAGAGTATATCTCTACAGAGCAGACTAGATTTCAACCACAAACTGTTGATAAAGTTGAAGCTAAAGTCGGTTATAGCATTAAGAAGAACTTCAAAGTGAGTTCATAGTTTTGTAGTTTAATGTATCTTTGTACAGTAGTGCCCACTTAAATGTCCATGGTTATCTCCACCAATTCTTGGAAGCAAAGAGGCTTCGTACATCGAGCGTGTCGAGCGTAATTTGACGCCGGTCGTTATCGATACATCGTATATATGGCACTTATCCTCTTTCCTTATCTCCGTTAAATTCTGAGAAGTAACCATGCCCATTTAAACGACCGCGGCCGGTCCCGAGCGCGGACATTTGAATGGGCACTACTGTAACTGTATCAAAAACGGATTTGCATTTGTATATTTATATTTTCAGGAAGAAACACTATATATGGACCGTGAAAGTCAAATAAAAGCTATAGAAAAGACATTTGAAGATAACAAAGTATCAATTGAAAGACATTACAGTAAACCAAATGTGGTACCTGTAGAAATTTTACCAGTATTTCCAGACTTCAAGGTATTTTAATATTTATTTATAAAATGTTTAATAATTTAAGTATTTCAATTTTTTATAGCATTTTCATTATTTAATTTTAGCTATGGAAATATCCTTGTGCCCAAGTCATATTTGATTCGGATCCAGCCCCGACAGGACGTTCCGTGCCGGCTCAAATCGAGGAAATGTCACAAGCCATGATTCGGTAAAATAATATAATGCATATTTATCTGTGTTTCTGTTGGTAGGGCACAAATATTCTAACAGAAATGTTGTTTCAGAGGTGTAATGGACGAAAGTGGCGAACAATTTGTTGCTTACTTTTTACCTTTGGATGAAACATTAGAGAAACGCAGGAGAGACTTCACAGCTGAAATTGATTATGCAGATGATGAAGAATATGAATATAAAATGGCTAGGGAATATAATTGGAATGTTAAAAGTAAAGCTTCAAAAGGATACGAAGAAAATTATTTCCTTGTTATAAGACAGGATGGGGTATGTAGAATTAATTAAATCTAATCTTAAAATGTAATTATAAATAATATTTCATCGTTTATGTTGCAGGTATATTATAACGAATTAGAAACTCGCGTGCGTCTTAGTAAACGTCGTCAAAAAGTTGGACAGCAACCAAATAATACGAGATTGATTGTAAGGCATAGACCACTCAATGCAAATGAATTTAAGATGCAAAGATACAGGGAAAAGCAATTGGAACCACCTGGAGAGGAAGATGAAGACGAAGAAGAGGAGGAGGAGGAGGAAGAAGAGCCTCAACAAGAAACCGAGAAAGCTGATGAAAGAGGTAATGTTACACAGTGCTAATATTGTTATTTCTTATATGAAATATATTACTTACAACGTATATCTATTTTAGAAAAATCCGAAAACGAAGCCGGATCCAAAGCATCGTCTAGAGCATCCTCTAGGGCGTCCAGCAGAAAATCTAGATCTCGTTCGAAGTCCGGTTCGAGATCAAAATCTCGATCTCGATCACCGTCAAAATCCAGATCTGGTTCCCATTCGCGATCTGAATCACGGTCCCCCTCTAGATCGCACAGCAAATCTAGATCAAGATCCGGTACCCCGCAATCGAAAAACTCTTCTAAATCAAGGTCCCGGTCGAAATCAGCTTCAAGATCTCGTTCTGGTTCGCCAACCAAGTCTCGATCTGGATCACCATCGAGCTCGAAATCTAGATCAAAGTCGAGATCTCGATCGAGGTCAAAATCAGGCAGCGGCAGTGGCAGTGGTTCCGGTAGTGGCAGTGGCGAGAGTGGTTCCGAAAGTGAATAAATAATTAAGAACATTTTTGTTGAAAAGTAATCGACGCTACTGAAAAAAAATTTTTAGTAGTACTTGCGGGTAAACTGAAACAATTAGACATTTCTTAAAGCCACTAATGGACTGTTATTTTGAAAGCGTTTCTTCATTATATGTATATAATGATTGTCATAAATGTATGGCATATTACGATACAATTAAACAGTTGACATTAATAAAAAAAAATTACGATTTATAAAGATCGTTATAAATTATTATTACACGTGGTGTTAACAAAAATATGAAACATTTTTTTCAGGATTAATTTGATATGTTAAAACAATGAAATAAGTTCTTTTATCAATTTTCAATTTGAAGCTTCGTTTTCGAGATGTAAGCAGTTAAAATTTACAGGACTGATTTATATATATTAACATATTAAAAACACGCATCGTACGCGGTTTTGTTGATACCTTGCATATGTATAATTCCCAATGGTTGGTTTCATCAGTGGTAAGAGAACGATTAACGGTAAAGGTCAATGAAAACTTTTTATTTCCGTAACTCTGTTTATCTCCTAAATATAAAACTATTGTACTATATCACAATAAGCTATAATACACGTACGGAAATGATGCAGGTCCTTAATATAAATACTATTTAATAAAAATGTACAACAGATCGATCTCATTCGCATACGAAGTTTTTCATAAAATACACTTGGAAAGTGTGAAATTTTTATTCCCACTACACGGCTGCGAGGGTAGATTTCACATCCATTTTAGAATACCAAACACAAGATAAAATTCGTGTCTCTGTTTATCCATGAAATTAAACGTTACGTAACATGATGTCTCGTTCTTTCGTGAATTCATTTTTCTCAAATAACAGTAGTCGGGGAGATGTATGCATTTGTAATACTGATACACTCGAACAGGTTATATACCCGTTCCGTTTTATCTATTGTAACAATTCATTTATTTAAGTACCGGAAACTGCTTGTACTAGAACTTGCAACAAAGGATAGCTCCATGCACCAGGCTCTCGCGTTTTTCGGTTATCCACCGCAAATCGACTACGAACGATCGATAGATCAATACATAGGTACTTGGAACATTTTAATTCCCACAGTTTGCTACGTTTTGAAATGTAGCTATCCTTTATTCGTGTCGTTTGAGTAAGCGCGTAACTTCATGCATTATTAAGATCTTTATTTTTGTCCTTTTACCAACTCCAACTTTTCCAAATAAACAAGTCTCTAATCACGTTTGTCTATAATAAAGCATGACAATCACGCTGTAATGTCGTCGCTAGTGATACTACATTTACTAGAAAAAAAAATATTTGATCTGTCGTTGATTCGTTTGCGCGCCATGACGAAACGGGAACAAATTGTACATTAAACTCTTCTTACGAAATTTACGAGCAGTTCTAATGCTGTTGTTCGTGTAAGTTATTTCAGCGCGATCCTCTGTCTCATTGACCTCTTACCTTTTCATCATTACCTTTCTCCCGATTTAAATATTCACAAACTTCTCCGTCCCGGCATTCGAATTCGATCATTTACTCGCGTTACGTATTCCGATTTAAGTTATCGATTATAAATGATCGGATTCGAACGCCACGTTGGTAACGCCGTTCATAGTAGGTACTTCCGACTTCTTCTCGCCGGTGATCTGCCATTTCGCTATCTTCGAGTCGCTTTCTTCTTGGCTCTCGACCTTGCTCTTCGCTTTCTTCTCTTGCTCCAACAGTTGACGATCTCTTCGATGTTCCGTGTACAGCCAGCTGTTTGTAAACAATCGTTTACGAATATTGATTTCTTAGACATTCTCCTTGTACGATAAAGACTATTAAATCGATCAAAAAGTCCAATCATGATACATGTAACTTGCATTATTTGCTCTCAATATGCTTGTAACAATAGGTCTAAATGGTAGTCTTTCTTTTTAATTCAACCCTTACGGTACACAGGGTGTCTAAGGGTTAAAGTAGCAAAGATATTAAGGAGGCCTGTTTCTAGCGATTTATCTTGCGTACTTCCAAAACCAAAGCGACTTTCTCACCGACCTAATAGTCTTCGGTCATTTGGCGACCAGAAGCAAAGTATGTTGATAGCAGCGTCCTGGTCGCGTGTCGGGGCCGGAAAAGGAAGGACTTACAAAAACGCAAAGACAGCTGGCATGGTCATGCAGGCACCAACGATGAAGAACGTCCCCGGGAATGTTTTCATGGTCGCGGCATAAATGGAACTGTACATTGGTCCGTAAACGAGCGGCATTAGCGATTCGCAGACGCCGAATAAAGAGTTCACTTTGCCTGGAAAATGTACGGGGGTAATTATTACAGGATCTTTCGCGATCGAGGAATTTCTTTTGCTACGGCGTGTTTCTTGCCTCGATTAACTTTGCGTTTCGCGTATCCCATTATGTAAGACGGAAATCGACGGTTCGGCGAGGCCGACGCGATCGGTGGAAGATGAAAGAAGGTGGAACGAAACGTAGTCGATGAAAAAAACATGGTCAGGAGGCTCTTAGATCATTAAGCGGACAGGAAAGCCTCGTTAGGCTTCGTTCGTACCGAGAGAAAAGTTCAGGGAAAATTGGTTGGAAACGATGTCGACTCGTTAGAAGACACGATCAAATAAAATTATTCTATTTACACGCGGTTCCGAGAAAACGATCCAGGACGAAGGTAAACGCGTTGAAATATATATTCCGATTGGGTCGAAGGTTACGCGTTACGCGTTACGCTGGACCAGGTGTGAACCGTCGATTGATTATATAATTGTACAATTCGTTACATTGTCGCCTGCTTAATTGATTTTATCGCAGTCTTATGCAAATTCAAGCATTCCGTTAATTATATCGGACAAACATCTCCAGTGTGCATGATGCAGTAATGACGTTCGCATAACGGTACCTGGTAGATATTCAGCAACATCATTCCGCAATGTTGCGGTGATAAATAACGCGTTTGCATCCACTTACCGAGCTCGTCTGTTGACACTAGCTTAGATACTATCGATCTCATCGCTATAAAAGACGTTCCGTTCACGATTTCAACGATCGCCCCTGGAATTAATCGCATCGTTATCGTTCCGTTAATAAACGCTTCCGGGATTTAATTATTCATAACGTTACGCTCAGCGTGATGAATTAGATTTACCCAGGTAGATCATCCAGTCGGTGGTCGCGAACGCGTAAACGAATCCAGCCAAAATTTTGCTCATGGAGCTCATGATACCCACGATCGCATCGTCGATCTTCAAAATGTGACTGAACACGCCCACGGATATCGCAGTACCTGCAATAAAAGAACGTTCTATCAGAAAAATACAAGCGAGCGATCTCAACGTTTATTCCACGATCAGCAGACATTTTTCATCGACTCTTCGATCATTTATCTTGCAACAATTTCAACGTCCGTCAATTTCCTTCAAGGATACCAGATTACACGTTTCTGCAATCGCACAATGCCGGATCAACGACTCTGTCCATTGATCGACGCTTTTGTACGGTTTTGTAATTTGTAGAGCCCCGGATTTTCACAACAATTCCGCTCGACAACAATGCTGTTCGTTGCATAACCGATTCCCGTTGCTCTCGCAGTTCGATACACAAAAAGGCAATCATCGTACAACGAGTTTTACAAGCTTTTAACGCCTTCGTTGGATTCGTTTAAAGGATTTCGACAAAAAAATTTAAGCACCGACGATCGAAAGTGAAACGTAACGACGAACAGTTCGTTAAAAAGGACAAATTCAATTTACGATACTCCGCGTCGAACGCGCCGGATGCATGGAAATACGTTTTGATGCACCGCATCAGACAAGCATTAGATGCAATCTCACGTGCAAAATGCCATTCGTGCTGTACTCGGTTTCCCCGAGTTTCTCTATATAATTTCGATTCTACATTAAAGAGAAAAAGAAACCAGTAATTCCAGCATCGATGCAGAATTAAATGTCACCGCGGAAATTGATCGTGGAAATGATGGTATTTATTAACGCCATTGATTGTAGCGTTATTTTTTTTTAACGTCATGCGATTTCATTACTCGCGAGGCAAACATTATCCACGAATCTCTTGCTGTTAATTGTACAAGTTGTTTGCAGGATGTAAGTATTATTATAATTATGTACGTTTATATTTACAGGTGCAGAGAATTAAGATAAAGACGATTAATGTGTTTCTGAAACGATTAGAGATTGTTATTTAAAAAAAAAAAAATTATGACTTACCAATTAAATTCGTAACCATGGCAAACGTGGTGAACATGCTGAACATTACTTCGTTCCAATGGTATCTATACCTCATGTAAAGATACATCACCGCTATCTCACCTGAAATTTAAATTGAATTAATTCATCGATTCGCGGTTCCTTTGCCCCGTTTTTAAAACCCTCGCGAAACGATCGAACGAATTGGTTTATCGTAGATCCTGGATTCGTTCGATCAATCGTTTCCGGTAACTTCGCGTTCGAAGGGAGATTGAAAATAAAAATTACAACGCTTACGTCACGGTTTCGAAACCATGGGTTGTAGCGAAACCATGTGGGTGGGACGGTTCCGTTTGCACAGCATGAAAGATCATGGTCAAAGCGTTTTTCAGAATTGCAGTTCGCGTTCAGCGTCTGCAATGTTGCATTGCCGTCAGCGACGCGGTCCGTAATGGGTTTAAAAATTAAGTTGAAAATTATAGGCGGAAGGCCAAACGTTAGCCGTGAGGAAGAACGAAGTTCCTTCGTAGTATGCAAGTTTTTGCTCGAATAAATTACCAGAACAACGATAAAACGGTCCACGGTAATATCATGGCGCCAGCTAGTGACATTCTTTGAGTTCCTCCAGCAGCCTTTCCGGCAGATAAATCGTGCATTCCACCCTAATCGTTACAATTTTACTGAAACCAGAATCTCGTTGGATCACGTTTGCTGTACATTTCATAAAAATAGTTATAATTTCGCGTACCGTTTCGATACTCTGAAAACTACTAGTCAGTCTTTTGAGCCGATCGTTTAAAAACGATGATTTCAATGTTTCCTGTCGTTACTTAAGGCTATCCGGAAAAACAACTCGTACATCTACGAAGTATCTCTTTCTTTCGGGTATTTCACCTCATTACGAGAGGTTTTAACATCGTGAGAATCGAATAGGCGGAGCTGCATAGATCAAAATCGATCACCGTGACGCGTTATGTTACCGCTCAAGGATATTTTTATCACCATAAGATTTTCACAAACTACTGAGAAACCGCGATACGAATTTATCCCGAGTAATTTCGACGCGTTATTACCTGACATTAGCACAATAATGAACACAGCGTTATACAACAAGTTCGTTCATCAGGGCCTCCATTTAATCGTTTCCGTCGAGTTTCGGTCATTATCGCGTCATTGTCTTGTTTTCCTTACGGCCGTTCATTTGTCGAAACAGACGCTAAAAATTCGCGTGAATCAAGTACGATTTATTTTTTAAAAATAAATACGTGAGAATCAATCCGTTTCGAAAAATTGGAGAAGAGGGTGGTGTCACTTTTGGGATGCCTTAAAGCACATATGAAAGATACGCTCGTAGTTTATACGTAAGAATGTTCAACCAGGATTGTATATTCGCTCGGAAGAGCTGATAACTAGGATTCCCCAAGCCACTACGAGGATTCAGGGAATTCCGACTAAGAACCTAATTTTCGAGTTGACTCAAGTGAGAATAATCTGCAGTTAACACGAACCTACACGATAATTCGTTTCATTACGAATAAGCAAGACACTCGAAAATTGTTCGACCACGAGTGGGTCAAGTTCGCTTGCACAAATGACGCGGATTTTTTAACTTCGACCTTGATTTTTCGCTCTTCCTACAGACAAGTGAACGATCAACGTTATCTAAATACTAGGAAATATTATGCATCGAACGATGCGACATTGTTGCGTTCGATTATTCCCGCCGGAGAAAAATTACCATGCAAATGATAAATCGATCGTCGTTCGAGCACGATTAATCCTCACCGACGTTTAACGTGACTTTGATTAAATTTTCTTATTTCAAACACCGTCGCGAAATACTCCAACGGGTGATTTTAATTGTCGTCATCGTCGTCGAGCGAAAATAATCTAACGCGACACTTTGATCGTTTCTACGGTAATTACGATGCTACATTTTCGAGGTGTTTTCGTAAATAAATCGTGGACTCGATCGTGGCTCGAGCGGTCTACGTCTACAACATAGATCCGCACTTGTCTGTATGTAAAAGTAACGGCCCCAATATGTTACAGCACGAACCCTTCGAACCACCAAGACTAGACTTATTTCCGACGGTCAAAGATCTGAAATTACATCAGAGTACTTAAGTAATCAGACGGTATTAGCATACGTACGCTCAGAATATAGTTCTAATAGGTATGTTGACTTCGCACATACACTACCGGTCATAAGTTTGAAGCCATCATCTTCATTGTCACTGTTTAGAATACTTCTGACGAACGGTTGCTACCACAGGAAATGCTTTTTTTTTTACTAATATTCATAGTGATTGTTCGACGATGTCTCTTTGCTCGAATCGAGTCGCAAAAATGAACGCAATTAAAGTCGATCGATCAAACTTAATACTTGACGTCTTCTTCGAGCAACCTGACGATTCTGATAAATTCTTTCCATCGTCTTTGACAATAATTTTAAGATACGGGGGGATTCGAGAGTTTTTACAGCAGGTAGTACTGTTTATAATCTACGTTTGGTGCAGCACGAAGTGAAAGTGTTACCCTAAACTCTATTTATCCCGAATAGACACGCGAGTATCGAAATAAAGAATTAACAGTAACGAAGTGGTGGAAGATTGTGCAATATAGGCGAGGATTTGTTTAATAGGGCACGGGATTCGTGTTACAGCAGCGAGCTCGTTTCCACGCGTATCGATTGTCGTTAAAATTTTTTCCAATAATCGTACTTGCCGGTTACCATCGACTATAATAATAATAATTATTACTTTTGCTGATAAACGATAGGGCCACGCAGCGGAGTTTACTATGTCGAAAGAGTCCTTAGGTTGATCGAATTAACGGCGTCGCTTGATTTAATTAGCGTACACCAATTGCATGGTCCAATTACACAATGTTTCAGATGATTGGTATTAATATGCTTCGGTCACGTACTGACCATATTGATAGATTAACTAGCTTGCTGTGTTCGAACACCGTACCTTTATCGAATCAACGATGAGACTTTGTTAACCGTTTTACCCTATATCTCGGAACGAATACGAACGTTTCGTACGGAAAATATATAATAAATATAACCGTCCTGTCGAAAACCGTATTAAGAAACACGTAATCTTACGAATACACGCGTACGCCTAATTGTTGAGCATTGAAAATCAGGAAGAAGTCCATTATACAAAATTGTAATAATCAGGATGATTACTCGTGCCGTTTTACAGGTCGGACGAGACTGAATGAAGAGCTAACAAAACATTATAATGTCGAGCACATTAGCAGTCTAATTAAATTATGACGAGGACGGTTGCCTTGAATCCTCTGTTGCAATACGAATTCGTGATGCGCCAATAATCCGTAATTGACGATGCAAAGAGGCACCGTATTGTCATTCGAGATTAGCAACCCGGTGTTTCGAGAGAATGGGGACACTAAAATTTCTACGTTCGGCGTTTGAAACATTTTAGAGAACGTTACGATATCGCGGCTCGTCGTTCGTCGCTTATAAGGCGCATCGATCGTACTTTCGCTAATAAACGTCCCTCCGTATCCTCCGTTCGTACAATCGCGTTTTCCAAACCGTCGAACGATAATCGTACCCTCGAAGCCGACTGCAAAGCATTTTCATAGTCACTGTACACCATTTTTTTCCACTTTCCCTCGGTTCGCTTGTCGCGATCGAATTATTGCAATTACCTGTGGAAACGTGGAAACGTACAGTTACCGCGATAGAAACGGACAAGATTAACGAGAGTTACGTGAAACTCTTTCCACTTTCATTCGATCGTTCGATGTGTACCGTGAGAGGGAAAGAAAGAGAGAGTTCGGATACACCTACGTGTTCCACGTTTTGCAGGGGAATGCAAAACAAAATGCGGACGGTCGAGGCAAATTATGCCGGTTATTGGAGGAAAGCCTCCGCGGTTCGTTCGATAACGAGACAGCTTTCGATGATTTTTAATCAGAGAAACTTCGATTCGAATAAAAATCGCGAAAGGTAATACAAAAATATCGATGATCCCATCGAGCTCGATGTCGATTCGCGCGATAAGCTTCGACGAGTTTCTCGCGTTCGAGCGTCGACTCAGAAAATCGTGAAAGTCGACGAAAGTAACGTCGAACGATAAAAAAAAAGCCGCTGTTTCGAGACGAACGGAAGATCGAGTTATCGTTTGACCGCGTTTAGGCGATCCGCTGGAGCGTAGAGCAAAGAAATAATTGCACCCGATGAGAGCGCTCTCGTTGAAAACGATCCGCGCGCGTGCTCCGATCCGTACGAAGTGTAAACATAAAAGCGTATGCGCGTAACTTGCAACGGAAAGAGAAATCGAACGATGCAGGTTTGGCGGGAAAAAATTGCGGCAGATCAAAACGTGTTTACGTTTCGTTATTCTAGTCATCGGGACGCTCGAACGGGCTTACGTAAACTCAGTTTGTTCGTGTTTCGAAAATAATCGGTATCTCGTTAGAAAAACGAACGCGTTACCGGGCACGCGTTGCTCTAGATCTCGTCGATCTTTAAATAACAAATATTCTTTCTGTATGCATTATCATCGGTGGTGAAAGTTACAATATCATTTCCATAGAAATTCGAGAGATTTCAGAAGTTACATATATCTAAGAGTTTTCGTTTGTTTTGCCATTCGGCCATTAACGCAATAAATAAAAAAATAATCGTCGCCGTCCTGGTGTTTTTTCCGATTCCGTGTCAGCTTTCGTGCATCCGTTCGCGTAACGACGAACTCACCGTAAAGGGGTCCGAATACAACCATGACGACGATCATCAGCACCACGACTCTCTTCTGTCTATTGTTCGTGCCCTGTTTGAATGCCACGCGAAACGTTTCCTCGATGTGCTTGAACGCGAAGAAGTCCAGGATCGCGTCGCACAGGGACATCCTCTTCTCGTCGGTTTTCTTCGCTTGGTTGAGACGCGCCCTGGGCGGCTCCTTGATCACGATCAGCCCGTAAACAAAGCTCAACACGTAACACACGGTCGATATGCTAAAAACACCGTAGAAGCCCAGCTTCAAGTACAATATACCGGACAACGCCATACCGATCGGCACACCGAGGGACAAGAATACGTTGGCGGCACCGATCCGTAGCGTTCTCGACTCCACGGACGTGATGTCCGCTATGTAACTGAAAACACCCATGAACATGGTGAACCAGCCGCCGGTCAACGACGGCCAAAGGGCTTCGAATACGCCGGTGGCACCCATCGGCACCTCGTAGAAGAAATACGTGCATAGAAGCATGCTGACGCTGCTGAGGAACTCGCCGACGATCGGCAGAAGCATGCAAGGCTTCCTCAGGCCGGTTCGATCGCTCCAGGCGCCCATGAAGAGGATCAGTATCGTCGGGAGGCCGCTGGTCAGGGCTGTCTTCCACGTTTGCATGCCGGCTACCAGCTGCTGAACAGCGGTCTCCTCCGCCTCGTAGCCGGTGGTGTTTCTGTTCGCCAGCGCCGTGCACACCTCGTCCGGATAGGCCAGGTTCACCCTGCAGGCCTTCTCCAGGCTGAGATTCTGCGTGGCCAGGGACGCGAGCATGCACGGTATCACGTAGCAGGCGATCATGGGTTCCACGGTGATGTTGCTGGTGAAGTAGGCCCATTTCTCCCGTAACGTCATCGACTTCCAGACGACGCCTTGGTCGGACGGGTTCACCGAGTCCCCGCGTTTCTTCTCCACGGTGGTGCCAGCCACCGGATCGTTCGGAATAGAGTCAGCCATCTTCGACGGGAAGAGGCTGTCTATCGAGCCTCTGACTATTTACGAATGTGCACGGACCCACCCAAGGTACACGCACGGTGTGTGTTCGAACGTGAACACTATCTCGTATCGAGAAGCTTCAGAACCTCTATCGGGCGAAGTCTCCAAGCGTGTCCGATGTTCAGAGTCATGCGAGCCGGTTTCAGGAGGATCGTCAACGTCGAGGAACGGGATTGATCTTTCGAGCTGTTGGAAGTATCGTTCCTCCGTCGAACAGTTACGAACGTGTCGATTATTACGGATGCGGTTCCTGTTTCACGGTGTATACCGCTTCGATAGATTTCACAGCCGGTCCGCGGGAGAGACCGTCTGGCCGTCTACTCCTGGCTAATGCACCATTGTGCATTGCGATACGCGTGTCACCTCCTTCCCTTCTTCTTCCTCTCGACCACCTCCTGCACCGACTCTTCCTCCACCACCTCCTGTTCCCTTCTTCCGTCCCCTCTAATCTCTTGGCCCTCTCCACGTGCGGCGAGGTACCCTCGGGTACGTCCACCTAGTCCGCTAAATACGCGTTGCTCGTCGAAACTTCGACGGTACAAATTGTTTCTGCGACGATGATGCCCAACCACGCGCTGTCCCGGCTCCGCGACGCTTCCGATTCCGCTCTCAGGGGCTTTTCAGGTCAAGGTTAGCCATCGCACCTCCGAAGCAAATACACGTCCGGCCTCCGACTCGATCTCCTTCTTCGTCTCCTTTTGACGATTCGAGAAATCATTTTTCCTCTCGAACCTGAGGACTACAAGCTCGCTTTAACGATTCTAAATCGTACTCCGTGATCTGTATTTTAGAAGAAGGTCGAGTCGCTGAATATAGTTTCTTTTTCTGTTTTTTTTTTAATTCGGTGCAAATCGTTACCTTGAAAGCGGCAGGAAAACGTCCCTCTGATTACACGTAATGTCGCATTACTCGTGCGTTTCAATGTTCTGGCTGGCTGAACATGCGACAGAGATAAGAAGATGGATTTCTTTATCCCTGCTGACTTGTTTACAAAATCCTTTCGGTTCTCTGTTCTCCGATCTGTCTCTTCTCTCAAACGTTACTTCCTCTAAGCACACAGCTCGTTGTTTTAGGTGCCCCGAGGGGAAAAGAGCGATTCTATATTCTTTCCAACAGCAAGAGAGATATGTAAACAGGGAGCACCGTTGAAATCGTCATCTCTGGTAGGCCAGAGTCGAGGTGCCGTTAAATGTAGCAATTTGTTGATAAAATAATCACAACGGCTGTCTTGTCTTCTACGGCTAGAACCTATTTCAGGCAGGGCCGTCCCCCTCTGGACACCGCCACCTAGAACGATAAATCAAAGATTGCATTAAGTATACCGACGACAACGATTTGCTCGTGGGATCTTTCTGGTCCCGTAATGACGTTTGCTGGGCGGCCAATTGTGACGAATTGGCAATTACGTTACTTCGTTCGTGCGTGCTTCGTGGGCTTAAGATTTTTCTAGACCTTCGAGCGGCCCGGGTTCCGTAGAAATTCGGTCAATGGTCCCGGCGGTCAAATTTATCGTTGAACGCTCGTGGATTTCCATGGTTCGCCAAAGATGAAATTCGTCGAGATCGAAATAGATCTGGAAGAGAATTAATCGTATGGGCGCGAAGCTTTTCGGGGAAATTGCTAAAATCGTAGGACATGTAGCTGGATTCGATATTTGAGTTACGGCCCTGGCACTTAAGTTGATCGTATGACGTCTTCAAGTGAGTAATGCTCGCAATTCGAGTGATGCTATAAAAGTATTCGATCCAGGGCCGTGACAGACCCGTTGTTTTGATGTTTCACCGACACATCCGCTGTCATCGCATGCTCCGACTCGGAATAAACCGTTTCAAGGGTCAAATGCTACAGTACGTTCGAACGCTCGGTACACTTGCATCCTTCTTCTTTTTTACGATTCCGTGCACGGGATAATTACGTTTCGAATTATCGAATCACATGCAATCGCGTCAACTTCTGGTATTGGATTTTTAACGAATTTCTTTGGCACTCGACACGCGAGCGCGTAGATCATAACGACAATTTCTTCGACTATTATCCAATTACCCTTAGCGAAGCTGGACTACGTTTTTTAAAAAATCTACTTTCGTAGATTTGCATATTTTATTGGGCTAATAATATGCAGCGAACAAATTAAGATTTCTCCGAGCAGAGTTTTTTAATGTCGTCGACAACCTTCGCGTTAAACGCGTCAATGATTTTTAGGTTTCGCCTCTTTTTGTACTAGACACAGGAAGCAGTATATTTTATGGTAAGTCGTAAGGATAACTATTTGCAGTACGATATTGATCCTCTTTAGTATTTATTTCTTATTTATTGTTATTCTCCTTCGTTAAAAAAATCGTTACGTTTAGGCGAGAATCGAAGGTCTAAATATAATAAAAAACATTAGTCATGTATTCTATGCGTATAACAACGATCGTAACCTTAGTTTCACAGTAATTAATTAAGTACGAGGACTTCGTAGTCTTTGAAGGACAACTCCTCTCCGTCGAAGGGAATGTAGAGGCAGCCGTGACTGGGTTGGACCTGCGAAAGAATAACATTTTTCATTGCTTGAAACCGCGGGAAGTTACGACCCTTTACGTTTACGCCATCTTGTGATACTAGGAACAGACAATTCCGACCTTGCCAACTGTTTGGGATCCATTATGGAGAACGCGGCCAATATACAGAGACTCTCCGTCAGAAGTCTGTCCTGCGACTACCGCTTCGCTTGGAACCTCGCCATTGCTGCTGAACTCCCATGCGAATTCGCCCAGGCACAGAACCTAAAGAAACGAAACACATTAAAGATGCAATCAATTTCAAATTTTAGAACTCCACCCTTAGAAATTATAACTAGAAATATTTAAGTCTGGACGAGTGTTCAACATTTATCAAGAAACTGAGAAATCGATCGAAGCGATTAGAATTCAGGTAACAGATTCTGTTGATCGATGGAGGGGGGGCTACAAGTGTTCGAGCCCCCCTCTCCCTTTTACCTGCCACTCCATATACGTATGTCATTTCGCTCCAAATCAATTATTTCTGTATTTGTTATCACAGATTTGTCTAAATATGTGTTAGTCCGTGTAACTTTGCTAACTTGGCACTTTTCATTGATTTTAAAACATGACAAGCTATCTGAACTTTTATTACATAAAAATATTCTGCCGCGTATTCGGCACGTCGAGTATCTCGAGTAAACAAATTTTTCGATCGAACGTCGGATAATCGAAAATGTAAGTAATCGATATAATCGACGATGATAAATTATCGAACTGAACGACATTAACGGACGAATTAAATACTAAAATTTACCGGGACATCGGTAGAAGAAACGGTCACGTAAAAACAAAGTTCGATGCAAATCGCACGAAGTGTGTTACTATTTTACGAAGCAAAACGGCTTCGCCTTGACACGAAATCTCAATTCCGTGTTTGCATGAGTCGACAGGCCACTTCGTTCCATCAGGAAATTAAGTTCATTATAGAAAGGATTTATTATTTGTTAAAATCATCGAACCGGCTAGCGTCTCCGCTAGTTCGCCTTGAGTTTAATCGGTTTCTCTGCTACTATCCCGAAGGAATAAGAAAAGATAGCGTCGATATCGTAGATTTACCTATTGATCGTCAGATTAGATTGCCAGCGAACAGACGCTAATATGGGATCGATTTCTAACTCGAAATGTTTAACTCCTTACAAGATAATGATCTGGAAAGAATTCGTAATGAGAAATAGGAAACACAGGATCAGATGTTACGAACGATTCGATCGAGATCAATTTCTATCTCGTTATTGGCGTTTATGTCTTTTCAAAAGTCATGCATGATTTTAATTATAGAGAAACGCGTAAACTTATCGCGATGTACTCACTTCGAAATCGTATTTAGCGTGTTCCTCTCCGTTGTGGCACACGTAAGCAACGCTTTTATCGGGAATCACTTTTGCCGGAAGCATGTCACCTTCGTGGAAGGCTCTGCCGACAAAGATGGTCGTTCCGTCGGCGTCTCGTCCTCCAACAACTGCATTTCTGGGTAAACTTTGCTCCGCGCTTCGATGAATCCACCTGTAAGCTTTGGTGCAAACAATTGCTCAAACTGTACCAACTATATCATGCAAAATATTTACAAGTCAACTTTCTCCCATTTAATATCTACAAATGATATTGTATAATTTAACACAGACTTTTGACATCTACTATTATCTTTCAACAAATTATAATAATTAAACCATTCGTGAGATAAAAGTGTAAATACATGTTTATCTAACATTAACGCTACGAACTGAAAATGGCAGCGTTAAGTAATTCCTGATAAGATTATTATAGAGTATATTTTTATAATTGATTAAAAAAGTTTTCAAACTTAAAATATTCCTGATTAGTAGAATTAACTATGCACACCTGTAACACTTACCTGGCATCTTGTAGTCTGTTTCGTCTGCCTCTTGAAGAAGAAATGATGCTTATCTTGTATCAACAGCTGATTATAAACTGTCCTAATCTTATCGTAAATGTGTTGTAATATTTGTATTCTTTAAATCGTATGATAGAACACCTTCTTCTAAGAACATTGGATAAATTGATTAACGATATCATGTTTAAACACATTTCGGTTCAAAGTATTTCTCACGCACGAAAAACACGAACAAATTGCTCCGTAATAACATGTTATTATAAACTCAAATTTATTATTAATTTACGTAATATACATTGATTAGGTATACACAACTTATATGTATCAGTTTACTTAAAGCTAAGAATTTTGTTCGTAAATAATACAAGATAATTAGAATACGTTCCTGCATATGGGGCAGGTGGATTTCTGGCTTGTACTGAACCACTTATACTGAAAATAAAAATGTAACTTTCAAAAATGATCTCGATAAAAACTGCAATTATTATGGACACAAACATACCAGACAAGCTGTGTGAAACTTCTTCCGGCATCCATTGCACGATAATTTCGGTATTTGGTATGAACTCATATGAAAAATACTGAAACATATGTAACACTCTTCGACACCGGCGAATTTCTTATCTAAATTCTTTTTCCACAATGCAAGACCATCCCATACAGATCCATTCTATACGGAACAAACCAACATTTGTAAAATGTCCTCAGAAAAAAACGTGATCTAATTATCTATCAGTATTATTACTTGATGCGTAAGAAATATGGACAACTGCATGTGACAATTCCGCCAATTTGCAGTTCCACCTGTATGTTGTCCAGGTTCGACCGTAACTGGTCCCAAAGGATGATTAGTTGACAAGGTGATAGTGAGCTCCAATTTCGTGTCAGCCATCTGATACAAGGCTACAACTTCACGGAACGTTGGATGAACCTTTACTTGCATATTTTCACTAATATGTAACTTGTTATTTGAAAGCTCCTCTTGGCAAAGCATAGGGCTAATATAATGCGTTGTGATCTTGTCTACTGCAGCACTGACTCTACTGTCGCTGGTGCTCCACCATTGCCTTACCAACACTGGCAAATGCCTTAAACTATTTGTGTATAACCAGCACACTATATGATCCAATCTCCATTCCGTCCAACTTTCTATAAAACAATGAGAATAAACGAATTTTGCAATGAAATTTTATCGGGGGAAATAATAAGCACGAGTACCTCTAAAATCGAGAGATGGTTCTGTAGAAAATATCTCCGTTAATTTTGCACCTTTATTCTTATTATCTTGGAGTACCTCTACCGGCATTAAACGGAATATGTTATTTAATAAACTCGGGAAGAAATTATCTCTGCAAGCCGTATAAATAAACCGTTATAAATTTGTAAAGAATTTCTGTCGAATAATAAGAAAGATTCAAAAAACGTTAAAAGAATTTTACTTGAGTATTTCGGCATACTGATAGAGCAGATCTCCATGAGCATTCGCACACATGTCTAAGACGATAGCCCAGGATAATAAATACCCCACGGTGTACGTGTAGGAATCCGTGTATGGTTGGATAGTGCAACTAACTGTATCACATAATCTAAAAAAATATCATGATGAACAGTATGCTCCTTCGATCGTGTTCTATGCGAAAACTTACTTGAAATCCATCAAAATAGCGTTCACGATGTTCTGCGTACTTTGCAATACGTCTTCCACTTTTTTAATGTTCAAATTATTCGCATCAAAGTTTTCTAACTCCACGGTTGCTTTGTCTTGTTTCACAAGCACCGGTACTGCGTGTTTTAACAAATGATATGCGCCCAATTGTATACTAACTACGGGAGACTGAAATAATTTTAGCGACAATTGTACAGTTTGGTTCAAATCAACGGGTACTTCGGGAGACACGTTTGATTGATTTTCGAAGAGTATATTTCCGTCTGATATTTTCACTGCTTTTCCTAGATGATCCAACACTACGACAGGTTTCAATCCTGTTGTTTTTTCATTATAAGAATCTGTACAATTTTCAACAGATTAGAAAAGTCAACAATTATAAACTAGTTTGCCGTTCCATTTTTTTAAAATAGACATACTTGCGTAAAACATCCAGGATTTAATAATTCCGCTTTGTATAACACCAACGAAAAAATTGTTCCATTCCTCTAACAACATTTTCGGTAAGTCTGTTATCTGTCCTTGTTCGTATTGCTTAATTAAATTCTGGAACGCATGGTAAAGCTGACAAACGGCTACTGTCAGTGTAGATACCTATAATAAGGCAATAAAGGAGAGTATTAAATAAAATTAATAATGTAAGCTATCATATACACACTTTGAAGTCATTAGCGTTCTGTTCTGATTTCGCAATGGTCAATTGCCACAGAGCCAAAGATATCGAAATAAAATTCCAGTGTTCGAATGTTAAATTCGATGGAATTTGCGTTATAAGTTCCGTTAGAAATCTTATAACTTCCAAAGGTAAAGTTAGTTTTTCCCACGGAATCTGTGAGATATCACTATAAAAAAAGAGATACGAATGTATGTTTCATAATTAATTCGACAGATCTTACGAAATTTTATTAAGTAAAATTATTATAGATACCAATCAAGAAGTAATAGCATAGGGTTTTCCTTCTCATACGATATTAATTTTTCTAAAATTTTAGAATAATTCAAATTGGTTTGTTGATTAATAAGCACATTTCTTGCTGCTATCATTACATGAACATCATCTGTTGCTATTGAAGTGTCTTCCGAACTTTGAAGTTTTGACAGAATCTAAAGTAAAGTATTCTGTCATTATATAAAATATTAATTTACAATACAAAAGATTGTAAATTAATATTGTACTACCTGTTGTCCTTGAAGATACATATCATTATTTTCAGTAGATAAATTAATATTGCTGTAAATTTTAAGTAGTTCTTCTGATTTCTTCTTTATAGATAATTCAGTGCAACAAAAGTGTATTATGTATGGTAACATACTGCCATAGTTTGAATAATTCCTGTATAAATATGTTTAAAATAAATTTAGTAAAGAATGAAATTAATGATCAGTCATTATAGAAAGAAGAACCTACATATTTATGTGATTCACAATTTCAGTATAAATGTCTTCATTAATATACATCTGTATTTGTTTAAAACTAGTTTCAACAGTTGTTAAAATATTAATTACGTTGCTGTAATGTTTAGTCTGAAAAAGATTAATTAGTGAAGCATTACTTTCATTTTGTACGATTAATTAAATATTGTAGTGCTATAAATTATTATACTTGCAGATTTGTAATAATTTGTATAAATTCGTCCTAAAATAATTGTATATATAATATTTATTAAAAGATTTGTAACTCCTGGTAAATTCATATTGTGTATCAATGATTTTTCAATATTCGTTTCCTTTCCTTCATCTTCCTCCTCGTCTCTGTTTTTTAATCTTAAGCACAGATTATTTAATAAATTTGCATTAAATAATGCCCATTTTAAACAATTCTCGGTATTATCTATTACTGTAGTACTAATTAAATCAATGGACATGGAATTTTGATAAATCTGTATCCTCTGATCAAGAGTGGATACATATAATTTACCACTTATTACTTCGCCATACATAATTATTCCAGTTACATCAGCCATCCATGCATTTATATTCACATCTGTTAAAAATGTTAAAATAATTTCTTGTTCATAATCTTCATTTATATAGACCTGGTTATTGATTATAACTTCAAGAAAATCAGCTGCTATGCCCACCAATATTTCTTTGGTATGCTCTTCGCTTCTATAAAGCATTAATCATGTTATAAAATAAACAAAAACATTTCGCGCATAATAATAATTATCTTACGAGTTATATATCTTCTTCCATATAATGGCTGCAAACTTTTTAGTCAACTCCATCAGTGCTGGTTGAGCTAGTTTTTGTGTAGCTTGCAGGAGTCCCTTTTTCCATACATCATGCATTATTTCAATAAAAGTGGAATTGTTACTAAAACAGTCTTGAGAACATAATTCAAAGAGCGTTTCTAAAACATGTACAGCTCCTAATTTCAACTGTTCATGAGTCCATGTCAATGGAACAATACAAGAAATTAATTTTGCAAAATGTAACAAACACGTTTCATCCACTTCACGAATTGAATTACAAAGTATAGATACAATTTCATTGATTGCCTCTTCTTTTATTAATAAATCTAAAAATTATAATAAATACTAATATACATGTTATTTTTTGCTACATTAATAAAATACAATGCAATCAAATATAAAAACTTACTGCCATCGTCAGAAGGCTCAAAGGCTAATAAAATAAGACTCTGATTTTTCTCTAATTCAGAATAATCGCCTGAAGCAATTTCTTTTACTACATCTAACAATAAACTAGTCATCCTAGATTGTGAACACCATTTCTTTACTACTGGATCATTTCTATGTTTCTTTGATAGAGCACAATATAGAATGCTTCTTATTGTCACAATATTTTCAAACTAAAAGTACATTTATCAAAATATTAATATGTACAATTTTATACATTTTTACAAAATTGTGAACATTCTTTACCTGTGTAAGTGACTTTAAAACATCATTTTTCTCAGCATCATTCATGTACTTAATGATATTGAATATTAATTCTACTATATCTTCTGTTCCTATCGATTGTTCCAGTAACCAATTTCGTAAAATTTGATCATAGAAATTAAAGAAGTTTATTTTTATTTCCGAAGACTCTGATAGGTTTGTAAGTTCTTCACTTTCAAAGCACGTTATAAGTTTATTTAAGCATGTGATATACTTTTTAGTGCGATGTTCTGTGATTTCATTGAAATATTTTATGCAAAGGGAATGAACAAATTTATTCAGCTCAGCAAGGAATTCAGTATCCTTATCAATTTTTGTATCTTGAGTTTGAGACTTAACTTTTATATCCCCTTCTGAATTAGAAAATTTCACCTTTAAATTTTTACGGCCGTGTACAGGTGCTGTTTTCAATGTAATCAAGAACTCAATTTGAGAATTACTTGTATCTGATTCAAAATTGTTGGATGCGTCTATGATTGAATGGAACAGCGCATTGAGTTCACGCCAAAATTCTTGTATTAAGTAGGAATATGATTTGTAATCTTTGTTATATCGATTTTTACTCCAATACCGCACTAATTGTGTAATTTCGCAAAAAAGTATTTGTTTCATAGGAGTATTTTCCTTTAAACATATTTCTAGGCATGGCATAAGCTGAAATAATTCAGTATTAATTATAAATACTCCTACACAAAGAACTGCATTAACATTCAGTATGGATAAATGATATAAAATAAGAGACCTGTTTTTTGAGAAGTGCACTGCATAAATCTTGATTATTAACATTTAGAAGAATAGAATAGCGTAAACATTCAACAAATGACGTTGCTATTGCAAACATTTCTGAACGGCCCATTTGTACGTTTTTTACGGAAAATCTAAAAAATACATTAAGGTATTTCAAAATAATGTATAATTTAATATAAACAATAAAGTATTAATTATACCGATAACCTACCCTTGTCGCATATTATCAAAAAAGTTTATGTACAAATTATAAGCATCAACATTTAGTTTTGGAAACTGACTGATAAATGGTAACAAATTTGGGTAAACAATACTAGCACAACATTGTCCACCACTTCGTAAAACACGCCATAATTTTGGCAATACTAGTTTTTCAATGCTCACTACACAATACCAATCCTAATAAAAATGATTTCATGTAATTCAATTAAACTTACTATACTAAATATTGCGTAAGTAACAATTATTTACCTGTATTTTATTTATAGTTACAAGCACACATTCCCATATAGCAGACAAGAGTGCAGGTTCTGTTTCATCAAGATTATTCATAATAGTTGTTACAGTTCTCTTTTTTTCTTCTTGTATCAGTATAGCAGTATTCTCAATCAGTGATGTTAACACATTGAAAAATGCTGTTTTAACAGATAAAGCATCATACTTCTCTAACTTCCAAAATTTGTTATTGTTTATAATTTTTTGATGAATATCGATCATTTTTTCAATCTCCTGAACAGGAATTGTCTTTAAATAAAAACTATAAGCTTTTACACTTGCTATTAACAACCTTTGGTACTTTGCTTCCATTTCTTCTGCAGTGAGACTCCTAGTAATATGTATAAACTGGTATAAATACAAGTTTCTACATTTAATACCATTTATATTTCATAGTTACAAAACATACTTTTGCAGAGACAAAGACTGTGGTGTATGAACAGTAATGCTATCACAGATATATGTTAAAATTTCACACTGGCAATGCACAATAGCATTAATAACTTTTTTTGGCGAAAATGTGTCCTATATATAAATAAAAAATTTCTTGTTAAAAAGATATACTCAGACTTTATCAATTTCATGTGTTTTATAAATAACATGTAACACATATTCACATTGAATGAATTAGTAGCAGCTGATGCAGCAGGGGGGTATGTATCATGTTGTGAAATGAACCAAGCTCCTGCAAGTTGTTTCAAATACAATGCTATGCTCTTGCCTACACGTTTCACAACAGCTGCATGTGCCAATTGTGTAGCTTCTCTTACTCTATGTTCTATATCTATAGATAAGGTACAATATATCCGTGGCCAAAATGGTAACATTCCTTCAACAGCTGATAATTCTAAATCTCTACACAGGACAACAAATTCTTGCAAGGCCTGAAAATATAATGATTTAGTTTCAATATTATTTACATATGTGACAACAATCTTACTTTGTACTTAGTTGTTGCATCTTTTTTATTCATTTTTCTCAACACTAGTTGAAAATTGCTATCAACATTGCTCATTTCTATCTCATTTATACTACAGAGAGATAAACCTGGTAATATAGGTACATATCCACCATCTTTCACAGCTGAGAAACCAACAAAATTTGGCAATGCAGTACCCAGAAATTCTGCACTGCGGCCACTATTTGATGGCTAAAAATTACAAAGAATTGGCAATATTAAAATGTATTTCATTAAGAAATTTTGTTTTAATGGATCAGGCACAACCAATATGAACAATATGGACAATATGGACAAATTTTTCTACAGTGATGAACAAAAGCTTGGAATTAGTTCACTGTTTTGTAAACACTGCTTCATTAAATCACTACACTAACTATCATTTCGTTCGAAAGAGGGTAAATTTAATTTCAAGATTTGAAACGTTCTCACAATAAAAAAACTTAACCTATAATTTCTTTAACATTGTGCTTTATTATTGATATGAACTTTCGCTTACTCTTGCATTGTTTTTTGTTCGTTGCGCTTGTTTATTCTTCCCCATGATGATTGCCCCAAGAATAACATTAAACAATGGATCTTGCAATTCTACAATAATTTTACTCCTTTAATTCTCTGCCAGAACCACGTTTGTAACAGCTGATTTCTGAATGTTGACAAATGAAGTGTGACGTATACACGTTCTAATCGTAATATATCTTTTGAAATTGAATGAAAAATTGAAATTAACTAATGCATAATATTTCGATTTTATGCAATTTGACATTAATACCTTGTTAAAAAATAGTATGCATGAAAATTCTGTTAATCGTTGTAAAAAGAAATGGTGTAATGGAATATGATGATATGTATATTGCATAAATATGATAACATAACAAGTACTACATTAAGAACAACTACTTTATTTTACACCAAGTAAGAAACTATGAAATGCATGTAAATATTTCTTTTCCTTATTTTTGTATTATGAACACATAAGTATTTGTTGCAGGTTAAGGAAACTATCAACCATGAATGTTGGAAACAAGTTGGGTCAAAGATTACTATTATCATATTGTTCTTTCACGTGTATTTACTTTCCTGGTATTCTAATATTGCTCAAACTAAATGATAACTTGTATAATGTGGGAAAATACAAGTTTATTCCAGTACTATTAATTCTGCTTTTTGCAGAAGTGATTAAATTATCGTTCCCTATGTTTCATTCTGAAACAGTAATTATAGGGAAAACTGAAATACGGGCATCTTCGAAAGCTAGAAAGTATTGGTCAAAATACTTGAAAGAAATTTTTAAATTTTTGTTAGCTGCTTTTCTCTTGTCTGTTGTATATTATATAGTTATTATATTATTTGGTGCTCCTTTATTTATGCATCACGAAGAGACTACTATGCTTACGCTGACACTGACTGCTCTTACATTTGTTCCTGCAAGTCTGCATTTAGGAGTAGATGGTGTATTAGAAATCATGACAGGAGCACAGTCACAGAAAGGCAATGTCTTGGCAGATGCTATAAAAACTAACATTCAAACAACACTTTTGGGTGCATGGTTAGGAGCTATTGTAATTCCATTAGATTGGGACCGTCCATGGCAAACTTGGCCAATACCATGTGTAATAGGCGCTCTTCTTGGTTATATGATAGCCCATTTTATTACTCTTGCAAAAATATTACCTATGTTAAAATTAGGTAAAAAGATTCATAGATAAATATTAATAATTACACAGATAGTTATATATTATAGTATTATAAATGTCTGTCATTTTTATAAATATAGCAATCTGTATATGTAGTCATTCATTTCCACATTAAGAAATTGTATAATAAACTGATGTCTTACATTAAAATAATTCCAGCTATTAATTCCTATTGATTTAGTTTCTCTAGAGCAATTTGTCTTGCATTTTATAAGGAGATTTTATAGTTACAATGGAACAAACTTGTATTATACATATATTGCAGTTGTATGTGCCAAAAGTAATTAATAGACCTATGTAAAGTTATAAAAGCAGCTAAAATAGCAAATAAATGTTCTATACAAGATAAGCACATTATATACCTATAAAGTTCCTAATGTTAATTATATGATAATGACTGAGATCAATTTTGTTACACATTCCGTATGTAAATGTACGATTAATAAATTATCAAAAAATTAAACTAATAGTTTTGGATATTAACCTCAGAATATGAACATACATCCTACACAAAATAATTATTACATAAATACGCAGTTATTAACTCGGTCAATTACCGAGTCTCATCACGAGGAAGTTGCTGCGAATAGAGACCCGCTTGTTTTAATTTATTAATTTGTTTATAATTATCTAACAAGATACATAAAATATACATAATCTTCCTTGTTGTTTCTGCCACTTATTCATGATACCCTACCCTGAAAAGCGAACGCGAAAAAATAATCGCAACACTAAAAACAATCGCGATCAAATTCATATCATTTGCAACTCTAAAGTTAACTATGAAACTAATTATTTGCAAAATTATTTAGACAAACAACGCGAATAACATTCATTTTTCAAAACGCTAATAGCAAACCGTTATCAAATTCTAACTCGCGACACTACTCTGAAAACAAATGCGAAAATATTCAGTTCGCAACGCTAAGGGTAATCGCAATAAGTTTATAATATTCGCAACGCTATCTTGGAATCAAACGCGATCATTTGTATTTCGCAACCTAATGCAAAACGCGATGTCCGAAACATTGGACGTGTGGTACCAAGTACCATCTGAGAAACTACAACTACAGACGAGTAAAGTAACGTTAGTAGTAACAGGAATGACTTTTCAGGACAGGAAAGCCATTTGTTGTAGTCCACCCTTGAGACAGTTTGTCAGGGCCTCTTCGACTCTTTTTAAGTCTTTTCTTTCTTCGGCGGTCCTGTCGATGCCTGAAACTTAATACTAAGCTCGAGCACTCTGTGCAATACAAGAACCTCCAACAATAGGAATTCAGAAATTCATTTCTAAATCTGTTGGTATCGTTGCGAATGACATGAAAATGGTAATGGGGTTTCGAGACCCCATAAAAATAGGCCGCAAAAATACATTGGATGAAGGATCTACTTCTATACTACATCTGTGACAATACTCTATAATTTTTGATGAATCAATGAGAATCAAAACTAACCTAGCGAAGAAGTTCTATATTTATGATGATCTACGCAAAGTGGATCGCAGCCAATTTGCTAATATTATTCAGTTTTTAATTAATAATTGCATTACCCAGCTAAGAGTGATACGATTATTAATTAAACGCTAAATAATATTACCCAGGTCTCACCACGAGGAGGTTGCTGCGAATGGAGACCCGCCCTAACCGATTCCCAACCACCCTCCATTAATAAATATCTTTTGTGATGAGCGAAGAAGCAATAAACGAAAGTGCAACCAACGAAAGTGCAACCAACGAAGGAAACAACCAACGAAGGAAACAACCAACGAAAGAGTTATTTGAGAAAGAATTTGCCTAACTATAAATCTAAATTCGTTTACATCCTACCTATCTAATCATCTAAGAAAATACATAGAAAATATATTCTTCCTTGTTGATTCTTCGACGAAGATTTCCTGAAATATACTGTAACATTTTACCTAAGTATAAATCTAAATTATTAAAACATAAACTAAACAATCTGAAACAAAATACATGAAATACATTCTTCTTTCTTCTTTCTTCTATTTATCCCACGATGATTTCCTGAAACACAAATGAAGCAATATCAATGAAAATTGTAACAATTCTTAATTATTACCTCTATAAACCGAACACTTCCGTAGGAATTTGCTCTGTAACAGAAACTTGTCTAATAGATTAGTAAGAGAACAAACAAAACAAAACAAGTAAAACTACGAATACTACAACTACAGGCAAGTGCAGTGAGAAAGTAAAAATAGTACATAATAAGCGAGGTTACTTTGACTCTAAAATGTATTCGTCGCGAAATATCTTCTTGCACGTCAATTTAATGATATATTTTAATAAATAAAGAAAGACTTTGGGTATCTTCGATATCTTTCGATATCGAAGATACTCAAAGTCATCGACTGAATTATGAAAGTGAATTTAATTATTGAAGAATGTAAAGAACAATCGGAAGCTACTAATTTGACACTGATTCTAAAGTGAATATAATTATAAGTATTATAAAAGATATTAAAATCATGACTCTACTTTCGATCGATATTACGATATTTGTCATATTGAAAACTGCGGCGTGTAAAAACATCGCACGCTTAAATAAAACGCGACGCGACGCGACACGTGCTCATAGCGTGCAGTGAGTGTGGGTATCAGATTGATCCCCCCCGGCCTTGATTATCAGAAAAGCAAGTCGCGCCCCTGACCCACGTCGATCGGACCTCTCTACGTACAACCGCCGGGTCCTGGAGGACACAAGATCACAACAGGACCCGCTTAGTACTCGAGAACGGATATGGGTCAGGGACTCTCGCCGGAGGTCATTCTCTTTTCCGTATAAAGAGGAGAATATATGCGCTCGGCGAGGCCCCACTTAAGCTGAACCAAGCTGCACCAGGGTTGAAGCGGTAAGAGCTATCACACCTAATACACAGGCGTCACATGTTTCATTCTATCAAACAGAGGTGATCGAGCAAAAATCTCTCCGGTCCTTTCGGTCGAGACATAATCTCGGAAAGCGAGAACCAGAGAACGAGCGGACGAGAGAAAGTGAACTATTCATATATGTATATGTACTCATTATATATTCATTTTAAAATTAGTGTCAAATTAAAAATGAATCTACTATGACATTTGTCATCTTAAAAGTCGCGGTGTGCAAGAAGATTATAATTTTAAGCAAAAGATACTAACTACACTTGCCAAAGAAAGCACGTATACAACCAGTTGTTTTACCCCTCTGCCTTACGATTTCATTTCCAACTGTGCCAAAAGCGTCACCAAGGTTTGGCCCGGTAGACTTATCACTTCTCTGAGTCGTCTTGTTCATGTTTGGCCCGGTAGACTCATCACATCTCTGAAACATCATTAAGCTAAGAGGTTAAAAAGGAGGTTTTTAAACACTTAAAAATGACCTATCAACCTATCACCTAGCTTAAAAATAAAAATTCATGACATTGTATAGAAACAAATATAGTATATGATCGAAAACAATGTTACGTTAATATATCCTGCAATATTATACATATCGAAGCAATCACATAAATTCGAAGAACAATGTAAAAGTGGAAACCGAGAATAGGAACATTCTCTGATCATAAATGAAGTTGAATTCACATCAAACAAACAAATAAAAATAATAAAATATGAATAAGTGGAGTGGACTTACTACTTGTTGTCAGTACATAGGGTAGTTACCAGTGAGCCAGCTGTAAAGTAAGAAAATATTCATATTATAGCAACGTCAGTTAGGCAAGCAAGGCAAAATCGGTTCATTGAAGCGAAATTGGTATTAAGCGATAGAATAAAGGAGGGGAGAGAATATTTAAACAGTTCTTACCGTAGTCATCACCGTCCGGCACTGGTCAGTAGTGGTCAGCAGTGGTCAGTAGTGGCAGGAACGCGAGTCAGCACTGGTCAGTAGTGGTCAGCACTGGTCAGCCATGGTCATCACTGGTCACCAGCGGCCATCAGCGGTCATCAGCAGTCATCAGTGGTCCCCGGTTCACTTCTGGCTATTTGCCCACTCCCGAATCCGCGACGCGACTGAAGAATTCTTCGCAGTGACCCTGCTTATATGTCTAAGGTGATGAAAGGGTGGGGAGACCAGTCAGAGCCAAGGTTGAAGTTAACAGTTAAGACTGTCTTGTATACAAGGAAACTATTTCGATTGGTCCCACCTCTTGACAATTTCTGGATCTTCACTGAACCACTGATCTTGATGTCAACCTCACTGTTGACCAGCAGTGACCATAACCTAGTCATCGTTGATCATTGACCCATTAAAACCATTACGAAGATTAAAGCCTTCTTACGAGGATCCCCTTACAATTTCATGCATGATCTTTTTAACATTTTGTTCCACTTTGGAAGAGTGTATCTCGTTAATTTTTGTCTTTTTGTACGTCAGTTCGAACAATTGACATACGTGAACGAAAAATTCGGAGGCGATTTTAGCGTCCTCTTCTTATGGATGGCGGTCAGTTGTGAAACCATTAACTGAATTAGTAGTGATAGGCAAAGAGCTGTAGTTTTGTGTAAATCCATGTGAGTTGACTATGGAAGGGATTAAAATTCATTTTTGAATCTGTTGGTAACGTTGCGAGTGACACGAAAATGTTAATGGATCCCGGGACTCCAGAGAAACGGTCCGAAAAAATACATTAGGTGAAAGGTCTACTCGTATACCTCGTCTGTGATATAACGAAATAAATTCCGATATCGATACATGTTCTGCGTATCCGGATCCGTTTAGAGCCACTCCTGAGAACTAATTTTGATTGGTCAAACATTCTTTAAACGAACCAAAAATTTATAACATATTTTTATAATACAAATATTCATAATAAAACTGTACAATTACGCTGATGCACACCGACGTTTGAACAGTGATTATCGTACCATAGAAAACACATTAAATATGATTGCATACTACATACTCATAACGACCCCCTGAAACTTCTGATATCGCTTACCAGAGGGTGCTGTAAATCGTTTACGTATTTCAATTTTATTTAATCTCCTTTACTAGACATTTAAAAGTATTACAAAATATACATCTATTGCTGCGATTAATTTTCAATGGCCACGTATTCGTTGTGATTTCGAGCATGTTCCCAAAATTCAGATACGTTTCGTAAGATGTAAAGAATTACTGATTTTCTGCACATAAAAAGTGCACAGATGCACATAGCTACCGTAAGAGAGAAGTGCAATAAACACGGCCAGTAAGAATTGTATCTGAAAGAGGAAGTATCGACAGAGAAGTATCCCAGATTCCTACATTGACGACCATGATACGTCACTTATCTACATAAGTTATGTCTACGCATCAGGAATTGCGAAATCGTTGGAAGGTGTACAATCTCTGTGAAACTGCATTCCCGAAGACCATGTGTCACGTCACGCACCACAGTAACGCACTGCCACTGAAGTGAAGTGGCATGATGCGAAGGAATTTGGATCGTGCGAACTTTGTACAAATAGTCATAGAGTGAACGTGCGATGCGTTATACGTCTCGCAGTGAGATAAGGGTGAAATAGTTCATTCAAGACCGTGCACGCCCACAGGACCGCGTTGACCGGTAATTTCTCATTTAGAACAACGAATTTTTGGCCCAAAATTGCACAACTGTTTTTGAAGTCGAAAAGTTACGGAAAGGACGCGAGCTACCATCAACACTCTATGTTCTCTGTCATTTTCGCACAGTCAATCTCTGTTGCACACATACCAAAGGTGCTCATCGAAAAAGAAGTGAAACGTGAACGTCGAGCGAAGTGACGCTCGGCCAGAAAAGGTAAGCAAGTTTGGGAAACTAAACTAAATCTATTTTCTTGACACAGATCCAAGTAAAATTGATCCTTCGTACATAAATAAACTGTTCACAATTGAAAATCATTAAAAAAAATAGGGGAAATTAAATACTTTAATGCGAATTAATTTAATTGCATCTGTAATCGTTCCATTTTTTTGTTGATATCTCTTTAACAATTCTGTCAACTAGAAATATCTTGAATACCGTAGTAAAATACACAAAACAAACCAGAACGAAATACATATATTTTCGTTGATATAATCCGAATAGCGATTAAAGAGTCAAGAATATAAATAATAGATCTCTTTAGACAATAAACGTTTAATGCGTGTTGAACATGTGGTGAACGCCTATAGGCGTTCGATGAATGATTATAACGTTAAATCTTTAAATCTTAATACTACAAAACTTAAAATGTGACTTTATGTACGTGGTTTAAATTTATCAGGTTCGATACTTAAATGTTATTGTTGCAATATCTTTTTATTTGCCGAGTTAAACAATTCTATTTATATATTGTTACCGAAATCACGTAATTTAGGCATAGCACGTATGATCACGCTAACATATTGATGCAGCTGTATGCAGTTATCGAGTTATACAGCTACTTACACAATTTGTAATTTCCACTTAATATTCATGCACAATGTAATTTGAACAAGATGTATGTCAATTATATATAATAATCTACCACCATTGCTGCTCTTCGTAATTAATTTTTTTGTTAAATTATGCGTTTCGTAAATTCATCAGGATGCTGCGTTTCTAATAAACGGGAAAGTATCTTTCATTCTGCGAAAATGTGTCGTGCTTACAAAGGTATCTTTCATCCGAAGAACGAATGTTTCTTTTTTTATACATGGTCATATGGACGTGTTTATGGAAAAGAATAAAAATTTTACAGAAATTCATAACGATGCAAACAGTACCAGTCGAACTAGTTCGTAAACAAAGCGATTTATTCCATTTTCTTTTTTTTTTTATAGTACGTGCTTTAATGATACTTAAAGAGATGACATTTGCATGCATTGAAACGGCCTCCACAGATTATAACGTCCACGTAATATAAACCAACAATGGGTAAAGTTAGTAATTGTTTTGCAAAATGCGTAGGTTCGATAATAGAATGAAAACTTTGAATATAATACGTTTAACCATACGAGGTAAATTCGTTAAAATATTGCAAAATGAATTAAACTATTCAGTTTATGTGTAATCTCATATATAACATTATATAATCAGTGCTTGTTTAATCCGTGTACACATCAATTCAAAACATGTAATTTATCGATGAACAGTTAATTTTTGCATATGCGACCAAACATTTTAACCATTAATAAATGTTAAATTATCGATTTAGCAGTCAACGGTGATTTACTAGCACAGTGTATATGAATACCAATGTATAATGTAAATCGTGTAAACTGTGCATCATATCGTACGTTTAAATTCTACGAAAACCGGAACTCGTGAGTCAACTACTTTACGGTTAATGAGAAGAAAATTCCACGTTTAAAGGATTTCCAAACTAAGCTGATAAAACGATAGAAATAAAATACACATTTATATTATTTTAAACAAATGTTATAAAAAAAAAATTTGCACTGATTTAAAAAAATCAGTTTATATTCGATTGATTAATTATCGAGCGAAACTATGCAAAATCTTAGCACGTACCCACAATTTTCTTTGGCGCCATCAAATATAATACACTGTCTTCGGAACAAAGGATCGATGTACGCTCAATTTAACGTGTCAATAAAGTCTCAGAATGGCCTGCGATTGTAATCATTTGCTTGGGCACAGACGCATGCCAAATTGGAAACAATTAAATATGTAGTAGCCGTGTGACCAATCGTGTGGTAGAGGATTTACGAACCTCGATCATGATTCTTAACTTACGCTAGAGGTTCGCTTCGTAACGCCTTATGTGAACAACAAGTGGCACGTAATCAAGGCGCATAGGTAAAGGTCAAACGTCCTATTCGTAACAAATCTACATATACTTTGTCCATCGAAAAATGTATTATTAGTAGACAGAACTTTCGAAGTAAAGTAAACACTCGCATATAATAAATATGGACACTGTCTGACCTTGTTTCCGAGTTCCAGGCGTTTTTTTTCTATTACTTTTGGTATAACAGAGCTGAGTTGACCGATTCCTCGAAACTATTCATTCTCTGCGTTTTACGCACAACCTTGATGGCTATTTGTAAATAAGTATTCCCAATGAATACTAACATTATGACTTCCTGCAGTTTCTTTGAAAACGGATTTCTGCGAAAACAAAACAAAACAACCTTTTATTCCGTCTTATTCCCAGTAAGGAATAAGATAAAAATAAATAAGAAAATTCCCGTAATAAAATGATTATTTGCAAGGATGACTAATATAGTTTCTGTTTAGTAAGACTTTTCGTAAACATTTGAAAGATTCCAAACAAATATCATTTACGGCGAAACATTCTTCTCGTATATTAATAATTTCGATTCATTTTTATATATGATATGTATTTTTTTTGTCACAAAGGGATGCCATCACAATGGACTTGGATAATCTTTAGTCTTGTGGTTTGCGCGACTACATCATCGAAAAATGACTTCGCCAAAGTTTTTATAGAATTAACGGAATTTGAATACGAGGATGCTTGTATCAATGCATCCGAAGCTGAATGGGCATTCGTCAATTATCCGTCAAATAAAACACTATCAATATGGGTAAATTTCTGATAAAAATAAATCCAATATAAATGTATCTATACACTTTTGAATTCGTTTATATAAATTTTTGGATCGGGAAAGCTTTCGAGTGCATTTGTTTTTCTGAATTTCAGGAAGAAAAATTAATTTCTTATGCTGCTTTTAAAAATGCACAAAAGAAAGAAATTACTAATATTACGAAGCTTAATGATCTATCTTTACAACACAAATACGATGTTACTGATAAAGCAGGTGATGCTCTCCTGGAGAGTGAAGATTTTAAAACAGTAAGAGGATCTTTAGTGAAATTGATTTAAAAAATCTACATGTTTAAATTGATTTTAAATAGTTTTTATTTTGTTTAGCTTATTCACTTCACTGGGGCAGTGGAATTGTTAAGATTATCTACAGTTCATACAGGAGTTTTGAACAATTACACACGCAAAGGTACTGATTTCAGTTACTAAGGAGAAAGAAGTTGACTATGTTAGTATGTAAAATATCAATATTTTTAGATGTAGAACAAGTACTATCTCGTAATAATAATGTTGAGAGTAAAGACAGTATTTGGACAGCTTGGCATCAAAGCTTATTTCCACTAGTTAAGAATTTTACAACTGTCTTCCCACTTGTTGATAAAGCTGCCAAAGCAAATGGTTAGTACCTCAAAAAAGCAATTTACAGTTTTCCTACATACTGTAATCATTTAATTTGATTGAATATAAATATGCCATTGATTTTGTTTTAGATGCCAAAGATGTTACAGAGTACTGGGAACTCTTAAGTGGATACAGTGATGGTTATAACAAAATTAAATATCAATGGAGAAAAATTGAGAATCTTCATAAAAAAGTATTGAAATTTATTGGAAATAATTTATCACAAAAGTATAATATCACCATAAATGACACAATACCGGCTCATTTACTTGGTAAGTTAATACTATAATAATCATAGACAACAACTTTCAATTGAAAACTATAATCTTCTGTAAAAGGGTCCCTACAAGGAAGTGATTGGACTCCCATATCAGTTGATGTAACACCTTATCCAGATTTAATGTATAATATAAAAATGAATCTTTGGAAAAGGGTAAAGAATGGTTACTTTGTTAATATCTAAATTGAATAATCTACTAATTAAATTTTTGTTTAGAAACTTATTGGGAAATCATTGTATAAAGCTGCTTCTGCTTTGGGCACACAAATGTTGAACCAAGTTCCACATGCCGATTTTTGGGATAGAAGTCAGTTTAATCGACAATGCCCATCAAAATTAATTAATTTTTGTAAAGAAGGTATTATGAGGTATATGTTTTATGATCAAGTACTTAAAATAATTTAGTAAATAAGTTTGTTCTATATTCTCTTTTATGTAATTTTGAACATTTACTCTACAGAGTATCTACTTGCTTTGAGCCTACTATAAGCAACTTCCTCTCTGCCCATAAAGATATAGGAAAGATTTTATACAATCAAATGTCGGTAGAGACTATTCCTGTACTCAATACAGCTAATAGATATTCTGGTAAGAATAAAATTTAAAGAAGAAACATCGAACATTTTTAAAATCAATTTTAGATAATATTAAAATATATTTGTATTTTTTCCAGCTTTAGAAATAGGTGTGTCAGAACTTTTTGGTATCTTAGCAGCCAGTCCTGCTTGGTTAAAGTACACACATATTATGGACAATTCTACTGATAATGATCAACATTTAATTGTGTCTTTAATGATAACTGCATTGAACACATTGCCGCGTCTTGCTTACTACATGTCATTAGATATGTGGAGAATTAATGTTATAGAAACTGGCATTACAAATCCAGAAGATTTAGTATCATCTTGGTGGAAATACAGGTATTAATTTATTCGAATATTAATACGTACAAATAATACAAATCTTAATTTAGTCAAATTTAAACAAAATTTATTTAAGGCAAGAATATGAAGGACTGAGTTCTGATGGAATTGAAACACCCACATTTTTAGATGATGACTATGTTACTAGCAACAAGCCATATTTACCGTAAGTAGTAATACAAACAAGAGAATATAACATTTGAGGCTTTCGGATAAATGTCATGGATATTAAAAATGAAATAATTTACACACAAGTGTTAATGGAAGATTCACTTTTGTAGGAAATTGGCTGGCACTATTCTTGCATTTCAATTTTATCAACACTTGATGGATTCCTCAGAAGTCAGATATGATTCAATCTTAGAAAAACAAATTAAAGTTGAGTTCGTGTATGTATCGTTTACGACTGTCAATTTGATATTTTCTTTTATATAAAAAAAATTTAGAATTTATTATTCTGTTAACAGCAAAATGATTCGACAAGGAGGGGCAGACGATTGGATGAGAGTGATCGACAAATTTCTAGGAATAGACGATATCTCGTCCGATTCACTTCTATCATTTTTCTCTCCATTAGAAGATTTCATTGATGAGTGGGAGGAAGATTTCGAATATAAAGCATTTACCGCTAAGGAGTCCGAGTTCGAAGAATTAAAAAAAAAAGTTATTGAAGAATTTAATGCTCCTTCGACAACTACTGTTATTACTACTAGTACCACATCAAAAAGCGTAGTCGTAAAGAACGAAATGACAAACAAAAACAATGGAAGAAGCAATATAAACGCCGTAGTAAATGGCAATAAGAATTCAGAATCTAAATCGGCGACACATGGACAAGAAGTGAAGCCAGAAAATCATGAAAAGTCAGAAGCGTCAAGTAAAGTTCCTTTAGATGAGTCACTACTTGATAACACAGACGCTGACCAAGATACGAAACCAAAGATTAATACTAGTAAAGCAGTGTGGGCTGTAGGTGCAGTACTTTTAGCTACGATAGTTATTTGTATAATTGCAATTTTTGGAAGACAAAGATGTCGTAAAACGCCAAAAAATAGACGATATGTTTAACAGTATCCTTCAGCATTAAAAAGAGTATATTTATTCTTGCATTTAATTTCTAAGGAAGTTTTTGCCCAAATAAGTTATTGTTTTAAAGTCTTTCGTCTAGAAAGACATTTACTAATTTACAATATTCACCATTGTACATTCCTTACTGTTGTTACTGAGACAAGCGGAGATTATTTGCGAGAAATCGAATTTTGTTTAACACTAGTCTCTCTATAAATTGTATACCGAACAATATACAGCAGAAAGAATATCAACAACGAGAATTAGAGCTTAAAAACAGAAGAGGTGATAAGTATTAGTATCGATTCAAACAAACTTATTTACTTTAAATTGTGACATGTACACATATACTATACATAATATTATTTCAGGATAAAAATTGATACTTTATCAAATGCGCTTATATTTTTTTTTTTTACACAAGTGTAACACAATTCGTACATTGCAATTCAAATATATATGTCTTAAGAATAGAAAAGAAATATTACATACGAAATTATCATAACACGTATATTGTTATATACGTATACAATAGTTCCCAAGCACAACAGTTCCTCTACAAATATGCCAAACTATAAATGATTATTTTTTAATGCATAAAAAAGTGTATTCCTTACATTTTTCTGTAGAACCTTTAAAAAATATATTTTAATAACGTTTTTGGTATGCTGTATGTGTAGTATACACTCAAATTCATATAAGGCTTGTACATAATCATTTACATAGTTCTAGAATGATATAGCGAATACACGAATGCGTGTAGCCACCATAACATCTAACATATCATAAAACCAGTAGAATGTGTGACTTATTTTTCTACCATTACATTACCGTGTACGATAGTTGCATATGTGTGCATCATTTATACATATACAATGAATTGTATGGAAGATTTATATTTTTTATAAAAGTATTTATTTTGTACCTAACAAGATAAGCTAATAAAATATTGTTCCGGTACAAAATTGATTTACAACCTTGTAAATATGTTTTTATGTTAAAACCGAGAGAACTATGTTCTATATATCATAAAAAAGTGAATAAAATCGTTAGAGAAGTTAGCTCGACTATTATATAACAGATAAAAAAGTAGTTGAATTTCATCTGATTGTTTTCATTGAGAACCACTGTTCGCTATGCTAACTCACGCATACTAAAGATCATACATATATCGACAATGCTGTCTTAACTGTACCACTTTATAATACAAAGGAAAATGTCAGCACTTCTTTAGACTTCAATCTTTTATAAGTTAAATAAAAAATGCATACTTAAAGTACAAACTTATGCCCCAATATACATACACGTATAAACGTTTTTATACATGAGAAATAACCCCGTACTAAAAATACAAAAATATATAATACTTCGTATGAAATAATTTACGTACGTTGGTTTCGTCCAGAAAACAAAAAGCGGCCTGGAAGAAGCGTATCCGCCATCCAACGTGAAGAATATCCGAATGAAGATCCAAAAATCGATATCTGTATTTTTTGCATTTAATTTGATGTCTTATTATTGCTTTCATTGACCTTTAAACCAACACTTATCTAATACGAACGATTTAACGAGAGGTATTGATCTTTCGTACAGGATTGTTTGCTGACGCGTATCGATTTAAATATTACGAACTAATATACTAAGGATGAATTTTAACTATGAAATTAATTGGTTTAAAACGAAATTCATATTCAGAAAATAATGAAATAACTATATTATTTACCGTACAGCAATAAAGAATTTTGTCTGAACATGATAACTATAAAATATCTCGTTTTTCTATTACCAACTAAATAGCTACACATATACAGATAGTTGACGATTCGCGGAACCAAGTGGCGCTATTTTTAAATTCCTTTTGAAGCACAAAATTAAAGAACAAGAAGTAATGGGTATAACAGCGATCTCTTTATATTAATATAAATTTTTTAAACATTTCTACTATGTTTTTACATAAATCTGCTTGTACATGTTGCGTAAAATTTTATTCAAAAAGTGTCTTGAACAAGGGACTGTTCCTTACTATTGCTCTTTAGTTGCAGTTGTGCTTCAAGCATAAGGTACAGGTCATGCGAAGAAGTAACAACCTTTGCGACCACGGATATCAAAGCGCAGAAAATCAATATAAGGCGAAGTCGGTTTGGAATCGTGATACGATCATGTATTCTCTTTGAAAAATCGTGTCGCTCTAGAGAATAATTCCTTGTTCACTGTTATCGTTTAGTGATTACTCATACATGTGTAATACCACTGGTAGTTTGGTTGAACAAAGAATATCTAGAAATATTTGGTGAATCGAGAGAGAAGGAATACCGTGGATCAGTTGTTCGATCATCGACGGTTGGAGAGGGTGCACGGACATGCGCAGCATAACCTCAAAACGTTAAGGGATGGCCAGGTCATTAACAGTGTCTTATTGTTACTCCCTTTGCATGGATTCGAACGACGATACTTGGGGCGATAGTGCTTAAAATTGCACGCACGCGAAGGGAACTTAAGAACGAGGAACGGAAACATCCCCTTTCGTTGTAAACGACCAGTCGAATTCGGGAGCATGCGCAACGAAAGCTAGACAGGGGTTGTTGCAGTCAGGGAGGGGCTCTCTTCGGCAGAGTGACTCAGAATATGCATTCCTGAAAGTACATCTTCGTGATTTTAAAGAAGTGACATGGGTATACTGCTACATTGTAATTGTATACTGTTATTCTAACGATATTCCGTGCGATGTCATAATTCGTGGCAGTGTTGAGTGTTACGTGGATCGACTGTCAGCTGTCCCTTCACCATGAACGTGAGTACTTTAGCCGCCTCTAATATCGACTCGTTTTCTAACACCTAGTGTGTGGGCGTTCCTCTATTCTACCGCGTTAACATAATCAGCAGCAGGAATGCGGTGCCGCTGGCTCGTAGAAAAAAAAAAAACAGGATCGAGATATTTTCTGTTTCCTTCCTTTCTTAATGCATTTCTAAACTATAGTTGAACCTAATACGTCATTGACCTCTGTAACACGTAAAATCGATGCGAAGGTTACGTCTAATCGAGAAGCTTCGTATATACCGTGTTTTGTATAGATGTTGACGTTCTAAGAAATTTTCGTCTTTTTCATTTTGCTTAAATATGTCGGTACGTTATAATCGATCGCTGGAATATCGTTTAAGAACGATTGCGATTTATGCAGTGAATAGATGTTTCTACCAGTGTGTTTATCGGGTCGTTCGTACATCCTTGAATTAGTAAATTAGAGGTAACGATGATTAATTTCGAAAGCCGAACGCGTGGAAGATAATTGTATCAAGAATGATTCATCTTCCACTTATTTAGATACGAACTCTTATTGGGATCCAGTGACCTTGTTCCTCGAACCACTCCGGGTTTTGTGTGACTGCAACTGCAAAACAGCTTGAGAATCACTTCCAGTTGCATATACACACACTATCGTTGTAAAGCTAATTGCAATTCGACGCCTTTATTCGTTTGCTGAGATTTATACGGATATACCGTATATACCCGCAGAAAAAAAAAAGGAACGGAACAAAGCCATGTGGGCCGTGGAAAGAAAAATGCGTTTTGAAATTGCAACAGAAGAACCTACATATCCAACGAAGTTTTATCGCGTAACATTTTCCGACTGATAAACCCTTGGAAACGAAACTGTTTCATTCCAATGAATAGGGCTATTCGCGTCGATACGTGTTTTTAACGTTCACGAACGAGACAACTGCGTCACATTTGAAAAATTATGTAGCGCCGGTATAACGTGGTGTAATTTGATCGTTACAAACTCCAATTATTTCTTACGTACGTGTATCCAATTTCTTAATGTTACGTTTGCACCCGTACGATAGACAAATCGATCTGGACGATATTTATCTTAGCTCTCGAGTCGTGACTCTTGAGTCGTGAAGAGGAAATGCACCGATTTCTTTCGAAGATACTGCTTCGTTTCACTTGCAGAGGTTCAAAAATAACACCGCGTTTTATAACGTGCGAAACACGAAACAGCTTAAGAATGTGGATGTTGCGTTGCAAAGTATTTTCGAATAATTGAAAGTACTAAAAAAAAAAAGTTGACTTTTCAAAACGCCTACGGACAAGCTATATCAATCTCCTACCTAGTAGGGTCGTTTCGATTTAAATATTGAAGTATGATTACATCATACGAACAACGAAAAGCCTTCTAGTACGGTATCGCGAAATAATAAAAAACAGTTTGATTGTACTCCCTGTTTCTCGACGTTAGAAATATTGGCAAACCTCTGACCAACGGAATTAATAACTCGATAATATTTTTCAGGCCTTGGCGACAGATATTGTCTACGGCAACGGAGAACGCGTTGGTGAGTTCAGTTGCGCTTACATTTACAAGATTTATATTTCTCCCGACCTATTTAAAGTGTACATCAATTTTCGAAAGACAAAGTTAGACATTTTACATCTTATATACTATATTTTTCGTAATACGTTACATCCAGAATTCCTTTTTCTAAGCACTTTATATTTTAATGTACACTTTACGATTACGTTATTACGAATATTTTTAACGCCCACGAAAGAAAGGTCGAAGGTAGTCGGCTACTCCCTTAATATCAATTCGTATAGGGGCGACGTTTTTTTCCATACATTATTATGCCCTTATAAGCGACTGCATTGTGGTTCTCCGGCATATCCTTTGTCCAGAGTCATTTACAGAGCACTACAAAGAAAACCCTATAATGCGATTGTGGCAAACACGATTATTTCGACCTCCTGCTTCCTTCTGCTTGTTCGTACAACGAGGTTTAACTAAATCAATGTTACGGCTATTATCTACCGTATTTTTTGATTCCAAAATAAATGATGTGTAACTTATGAATTTAATCAGATCAAATGATAAGATCAGATGGAAAATGATAAGAGCGCCGTACAAGATTTATACAAAAATATGATCTTAATTCCTAAAAAAAATTCTGACTTTTCAGAGTGTATCAATTACCGAACTTCCCTTGTTGGTTCAAAGTCTTTTTAGCTCTGCCCTCGTGCATGTGAAAACGTCGTTAAGTTATTTTTAACGTTTAATCCAAGAATCGATCCGAACGTATTTTCAAATCAGAAGCATTACCCTGATTAACCAGTACGTACTCGTTCCAGTGACCGAGTTTCTTCCAAACTTACCGATTTCAAAAAAAAATAGTGGTAAAAACAGCGGCTACAACAATTGAGACAGAGACCCGAAGAACGTTTCAAGTTGGGCGTAAATTCGATCGCAACGCGTTCGTTTCGTTTCGATCAAACGTTCTGTCTCCAAGCTACGATCGAATACTGTTTAATTAAGGGCGAAATTGGCCTGCGTTCGTAAGTACAAACTTCGATATGAAACACTGCGTATGCATTCAATGAGCCGCCAGTGGAGCTGCTCTCTATTCTGGCCGAGGCAGAGCGGGTATTTATTAATAGAGATTAAACTCCGCGTCGTGTCGTGCCGTGTGCAAACGCTCTCCCGCGCAGGACGCGTGCTGTTAGGGCAGTCTGACTCAGACCGCGGTCCAGAAACTGATTCTGCCAAAATAAACGTGGAAAAATCGTGCGCCTATCGGCCAGCGTGCCTATAATCGTAAAACGGATTAAGCTATCTATCCTGACTGCGATCGAGGAGCAAGCCCGACGATGTGCCGAGTGTCGCGTTAAGTGGTCACGTCGCAGGGAAAAGTTACGTGCAAATCGGTGTCCAGTGATTCGCCCAGTGAACGAACCAATTTCAGAATAAAACGAGTTCGCGTACATCCGGTGGCACCGATGACATTTTTCTACTCGTGTGTTTGTGTACATTCACGCGGAAAGCTTCCTCCTTTGTGATACATCATACAGGTTCGCCACATTTCGATCGATGAATCGCACCAAGCCATCCGCATGTTTATCGGCTTACAGGAATTGTTTGTCGCTTTTTTTGAATGCCACCGCTCGACGATCGATCGCGATCGTACAGTTCTGCGTTCGTTTACCGAATGGGAAAATTAATTCCGATTCATCAGCGTCGTGCATATTCTTCCCCATAAAGCGCCACCGATAAGTTCGTTAAGCGCGCACTTACTGCGACGTGTCGCGTTTACCGTGCATTGTTTACTATCACGCCGGCGAGATAAATCGTTCGATATTATCGATACTCCGTAGACTATGAATGGATAAACATGTTGCGTGCACTTAACTTTCTCCGATTGCACAGTTGCGCGTACATTTTCGTTTCTATAACAGAACCTATCGATCTTTGCTGGAAAATACATTTTTAAACTGAGTATCGACCTCTTGGTATTTTTAAACGTAATTCAATATAAATTAAAATTACTCATAGGCCTGATTAACGTAGTTCTCGACGGTATGACTCAGTATTCGAACAATTTTTATCTTCTGCCTGTATTCGAACGCGTTAATCGGCCCGACGTACCCTCGTTATCTTAACGTTCGATTAACTCGAAACAATTGGTTCGCCACTTGTTGCAATTTAGGCGGTTGAACGCGTCTGCTGACGCAACGACTAGTATTACTATTGTCACGTAGAATATTAGACCGACGCCAAAAATACATTTCGCTATTGTCTTCCTTCCTCTTTGACCTTCCGTATCTTTGATTAACCAGCATAGTCTACGCACGCCCGATTACGATTTCGGTGTAATCGATGAATCATCCTGATAAGTTTAACTCATTGATATACTATTCGTCATTATCAATACTCGTGTAAACTTTCTATAGATAGACGAAGTGTCTTCGATCTGTAAAAAGTAAAACGTGGGTTCAGCCACAATACGTCTTGATTGTCGGAGGCGTAAATCGTAAGGCAAAGCACTGGTGCTGTAAACAAAGGGATCGTTGAAAGGTGTCATCGACTGGAATACAGAGGAGTAAACGACGCTGTTTCGCGCGTGTTTCGTTCGTCAAAGTGCAAACGTCTTTCTTTCATGTACGAGAGTGTCGCGAGAGACGAGAGCAACGCGGGAACTTTTCGCATCCGTGATGTAACTTTGAAGTGGTAAATGTACACTGCTCGCTGTCTGAAATAATGAAAAGTGAACATTTTAAAACGATGGACGAACCAGATTTAGTGCCTTCGCGTTTGGACGATTGGTAAACTTCGTGTGACATTATTTTTCTTCTGTTCTACTTCGACCGCGGTACGTACGTGTTTCAAAACATTCGCCGAACCTTTTTTAATGGTTATCCACCGTGAAAGCGTTACTACTATGTTGTAACGTAACAGAATAACAAAACACTGAACATTGACAAATGATGATAGTGCTTCTGTTGTGCGTCATCATGAAAATAGCAGAGTTCTCTGTGGGCCGTATGAGCCCACCACTGCAAGCGCCTGCACGACCGCCACATCTCTACTACGGCAAACGCAAGAGACAGGAACGAAAATATTACCGGAGGCCCAACGAGAAATGCAATTGCTTTCTATACAATCGTAAGAGTACCCAATAAATACTCTTTATGTCTATGATAAATATCTAACACCGTATTGTTCAGAGAGAAATAATCTATCAACAGTGTGGATACCTTAATTCGTAACGCCCCATCAGTTCGATTTTTTCTCCTTGTAATATACATATTATGCGTGCTTCGTGTTCCCCTTTTTCTGTACAGGTTGTTAATGTTATGCACGTATCGCATTAATTATTAGCTTTAGGAGAGTACGCATATTATTCCGCTCAAGGATGTGCTTATTACCAATTGCTAATAGACGCGATGTGTCAAGGGGGAGACACGCAAAGGCAATAAGTAGTTAATAGTTTCATGCAGGAATGCATTTCGAGATCTCGTTGTACTCGCAAAACGTTTCGAACGTTGGCAATCTTTTTATACGTAAATTTTTTTTTACGAGTAAACAATATTTCCTATTTTAAAAGGCTTCTCCCTCGCAGTTGTTTACGAGAAACGGCTTAATGTCTTACTATTTCGGGTAGCAACTCGATAGGAGTGCTTTAGACACTCGGTACCCGAGAAATATTTACACGACATCTGCTGAAACATACCAAATACTTAGAAACGCTGATAAGCAACGCGTGTACAGTTTGTATAAGGAACAAAGAAAGTACTCATTATTTACTTATTTCGGATTAAATAAAACATGCGCGTTTAACTTGTCTCGCCGAAAAATTGCAAAGCGCACAAACCAAACGAACCGGTTCGTTTGGCACAAGTATTCGCAGATTATATTTCGCCGCTTCACGCGTAAAATTTTCGTCGAGTCGCAAAATTTGGCTCTTCAATTCATTCCCCGCGTCCCTTGCTTCTTCTACGCTTTGCTAAAATTATCCGATACCCTCGACACTGCAAACGAAACATCGTGAAAGATTTTTTCTTCGACGAAGAAAACCAAACATTAATAGCAAAACCATCGAGCATGCAACAACTTCCGTCAAATTGTGGTTCGTACCACGAATCAGGTTAAACTTTCCTCAACTTAGAAACATTCGAGTTGCACCTGGAAAATAACATTAAAAACTCTAGATTAAAACGTTAAACAGTTGACAGTGCCAAGTCCTTGTACTATTTCAAAACCCCACTTTCCGTATTTTAAGGTTATTCGATGACAAATATGATGTCACTTTCACCGTATATATGTATTTTAAATTAATGTTTTACCTTCAACAAACATTAATTTCTCACTTAACAGTCTTGTAATTTTTTCTAAATACAGTGCAACTCTAGAAAGTTATGCACGTCACTGTATATTTAAAATGACCGCAGATTTTATGCGTGTACTGCTATTAATTCGATAGAGAAAATGAACGCTGCGTTTTAAATACATCAAGAATATTTTGTGCTCCTTTTCGGTTTGAGTATTTTGATCGAGGGACAGAAGAAATCTTCTATCAAGCGTGTCGCTATCGTAACCTTAATTCAAGCATGTTGTATCCGATTTCCTTTTGCCCACCCTTTACGCTGGATCGGTAATGCTCATGCGCCGCATGAGCAATCGTATTCCATAGGCGCAGTTAAAATGAATTTCTAACTATGAGTGACGGGAGAGTTGTCGCCATATGGTCGCGAGCATGAGTGTTTTCGGTTAACATTTATCAAATGTAAATATTTTCCGTAGAACAAGATCCAAGCGACCGTGGCGATGCGATGGAAAAGAATTTTTCGAGGTACAGTTGATAACTCATGTTCGAAATAATTTTTTTTTTCTCTTTTTTTTTCTTTGATATGATACTCGTTATTTACAACAAAACGAATTAAACGTTATCGTAAAATTAAATCTGTATTACCAGAGTTTACCGAGCCGCTTATTGTTAACCACAAATTATAACGCAAGAATGATGGGCATCATATGTTCCTAAACTATAATTTTATAATATTGCTTGCCATTCGATCGCCTACGTGTATTTATAATTAAATTCAGAAGCTGATCAAGTATAATGAAATGATATTGTTCGAAACATATCATACATACCTTGCGTCAAATGTTTTATCATGCAATGTGATAAATCGATTAATAGAGAATTAGATTAGTTGGGAGATTGTTTACACACAAGCTTTGTTTCGATGATCTTTCGAAGAATGTGCTTCAAGATAATTCTACATCGCACGTGCGTTTTCAACATCACCGATTGCCCAATCTAAAATTAACATGTTCCGATCGATTAATTATTTATTACGTGACAACTAACCTTAAACACGCCCTCTTAAGAGTGCTGAGTGCTATGATGACGCGCAGCCTTGATTATTCCCGATACGGAACACGGGCGCACTTACTCAAATACGTCCGCCATAACCTCAGCCTGACGTCATTGGCTGACAATTCTACTTTATCGTGAACATTCTACGGGCACAGAGAAATGAATTTCTTTGTTGATATCCTTATCAGTGCGTTATCGGTGTTTTTATCGGACTAAAATTCAGTGGTTCCTTTTCTGCAGTCCTACGAAAATGTCATTTACCCATTACTACGACACACTGACACTGCATACGCATTACATCGGCAAATAATTTTAACATAAATTCAGCTTGGTGTCTCGATAAATCTCGATAAATCTCGATATATGTAATCTGTCATGAACTGTGATCAACGCATAAAATACAATATATATAATGGTGCATTGCCAAAATTTGCAAACATGTTTAAAAAACTTCGAGAATGCACTGTGTATGTAAGAGATAATCTGTTCTTTGTTTATTTATCTTTTTTTATTGTAAGACATCCATTGATAGTTTATTAATATTGTATGTGTTTTAGGTGCAGGCAAAGGGGCTGCAGTGATGGAAGATCCACAAACACCAGGATCTGATTGCAATTCTAATCCTGCAACAGATTCTATACAACATAATTTAATTGGTTCTGAATTTGTGCAGGACAATGTGGAATATCAGTGGTTTATTGATTACGGGTAATTTTTTAGTAATATAAAATAAATATATGTTTAGTTTCTTATAAACCTGAATATTTATATTTTTATGTAAAATTTTAGTTACAGAGATGGAGGACTTCATGTTCATCCTAGTGTATTGTCCTCGCTCTCTGCATCTTATTCCCGGGAAGATTTGGGTTACTATGACGATCTTGCCCGCAATCTGGATGCTAACTTGGCAGAAATTGATATGGAAAGTTTCAGAACAGCAGACATTCATACTTTGCTTACAGCATTGCCAGTTATGTGTACAGATCCAGTTCAGCATTCAGAAGTAAATATATGAATGATTAAATTTATTATTAATTTTATAATATTTTATTACAGTGAATATTCTCAGTGTTGTATTGTAAATTATATTAAAACATTGCTGTTATCATGGATAGTTTACAAACAAATGCATTGATAAATTGGGATGAACCTTTTTTTAGGAAGTATCTTATGTCTGTAAATACATATCCTGTGTGATATTTAATTTCCAAATAATTATCGATACCTTGCCATAGTAGTAGAATGAATTCCCTATTTCTTTTTTACATTATATAAATAGTTTATTCTAAATATATTCTGTATTCCGTTATCGCGGCAGTTTAACTATCAAAGGGAACGATATGCCAGTATATCTGGATCTGTTATGGAAAAGCTTGACATCGGTACATCTATCAGCCCTCATACTAGCAGCCAGGTATGATAATGGCTGTGAGCGTTAAATTCCTTTTGTCCCGCGTTAAAAATTATGCGAAAGTATTTATATGGACTTGAGTTTTGCTTAATATCAAAATGAAATGCAATTTGGTTGCAGTTATTCTGCATGGCCAATGAAGGAAATGAGTTTAAACTGATTTGTTTATGTAATAAACACAAAAGATGTTACAAACATTTAAGCTAATCAGACGAATTCTGCCACTTAACCAATGCATGAAGATAAGCTCTGCTAGTTCTGCAAAATGCATGGTAAATAATTCATTGACGTACAAAATATAATAACAATATATCCTTGATTTGAAGGGAGAAGATTCAGCCTGTTCAACGACCGACACGATTTCCATATGCAAGTCGTCGTTGCTCTTTTCTCCTCTGAAAGAGACACCCGTGCTACCACCAGGGGGTAGTTACAGCGTCGACTCTCTGGACTGCGAAGACATGTTACTTACGTGCCAAGTAAACAACAAAAACAACTATACCATTGCTTTTGAGGGCAGTATTACAATGTATTCGGATGGCTCTCAAGACTTTGAAAATCAAGGTATGAAAGTAAATGATTCTTAATGTATAATAGTATTAAACGGATATGATTATTGTGGTGATTTTTTTTTTTTTTTTTTTGCAGAAAAACAAAAAAATTATGAAGCAGCAGAAATGTATTACAATAGAAATACAGATTTGAAAAATGTATTAAATTTATCAATGGCATGTTCTGATTCTAAAATATATACTACATGGAGTAATTTGAAACATTCTTCTGTGAACAAAATTATGACGCGTCACCCTTCAGGCAATAACAACACAATACCAGAATTTTTACAAGGTGTCGGAAATATTATGTCTGGGACGAATAAGAGAAGTCAGAGTTTGCCAGATTTAACTCAAGCTACTCAATTACATCACCTCAATATACCTCTCAATTTTTCTGTAAGTCTCAAAGAAATCCTCTATTTTCACGAGATTAATGTTCACTAACATTTTAAATATTTTTAAACAGGTTGATTCTGCAGAGTCAAATAATCATGCACAACAACTACAGAGTTCAGGATCTGTAATGAGTCGATCTATGAATGAAGAGAGTTCTGACAGTGGAGAAAATAATTCGACAGGAAAGAAACTACAGAACTTAAGTCTTGTAAAATTATTTATGAAACAAAAAAGTATGAGTGCAGAAGGAATGAGTCTTACTTTGGATCAATCAGACTCTGTTAGCGATAATGGATGGCCTACAAGCAATAGCGCTAGTGATAGTGGTACTAATACAAACACACAAATACAACGGCAAAATATAAATAATACCTCAAAATGTCAAGTTCCGGAAGGTGACTTTTCTATTAATTGGGTAAAAGGTGATCTTCACAATAATCAAGAAATAGAGAATCAAAAAGACAGTTTTAAGGACATTCCAAAACATTCATCGGTAATCAACGAACAAAAGGATGAAATGATATCATCCGCGTCTGTAGAGGAATTATCAGGAAGCATGTCAAAATCGGATTTAATGCATGATAATGACAATATACAAAACAGTTTCGATGTCATTCCTAACACATCTGATCATCAGCGGAAAACTGCATGGATTCGATCGTTGGAAAAGAAGTATCCAATTTGCAAAACTACAGGCATTCAAGCAATAGCTGAAACGGAGGATAACGGAGTTCAAACGTCTTTAGTGTTTGCAACACCCGCGGAAAAAGAAAATCCATCTTTAAAGGAAACAATTGTTAATAAAAAGCCAGTTTATGTTGTATATCCAAATTATGCATTACCCGACTTATCGTTTCTCAATATCAAAGATACAACATTAAATAATATAGCCTTAAAACCGCAATGCTTTGGAAAAAATAAAATTAGTTGGAAACGTGCGGGTCGGTCTGGTAGACCATTCTCGTGTAATGACATAGATGCATTACGTCAACGTGGATTTTCTCACGTTAAAGACTGGGAGTCATTGACATTCCTTTTGCCTACCGAGTACAAGAAAATTTTGCACGATGTGCCAGAAGTTTCAAGACATATAAATATTAACGAAGAAATGAAAAAACCTCTGTTCTGTTTGTCGCCACCAATGCGTCATAAAACACGTCCCCTAAGTGAAATCATACCAAATAACTCATCCTCCACTAGTAGTACAGCAACGCAGCCATCCTCTGGATATCGAGGTTCTTCTACGATATTAACCGATTCTTCAACAAACCAACAGACGTCAAATAATACAACTAATCCACTATATCTTTACCGTTACGATAGTATTAGTTCCGAGGCCAGTTTAGTAAGTAACGATAAAAAAATCCATAGGCAAGTCAGTAAGACAAAAACAAATTGCCCGTCTCTTCCAAAACGATCGATCTCATTACCACATGGAGATCGTGAATCTGACTTTAGTAGCGGAAAAGTGCCACCAAGACCACCTTTACCCAGAAGTATTTTAAGAAAGAATAAGGTTCCTGCAAATAAAAGATATAGCATGTTTGAAATGGGAGATGTAGAAGAAATAGAAGATCAATCTCCCGAAGTAAATAAACGAATGTCTTTACAAGAGCCATATTATATGAACAATGATTTACAGTTGTGCCGTGGAAAAATTATTGACTCGGAAAAAGATGTTGACGAGGCAGAAGAAAGATATCATACAGGTATATATCAGTTGATGAGCTTTCATTTCATTGTTTTATACAGTTTAGTCATATTCTCTTGTATTGTACAGAGAAAGTAAATGAAACAACTAGTACAGGAGACATAGAGACTGAAAATTTGGAAAATAGCGAAGACGATGTAAAGCAATTGGAAGAATATTTGAAACGTAGTGGTTTTTCGTCGCAAAGTAGCGACGGAGACACGGAAGGTCCTGATGTTAAATTAAGGTCATATGTAAGAAAGTTTTTAGGTCTCCGAATGAACAAAGATGTTACCAAAACCCCCGATATGATAGAATCGCAGAAAAAGACTGTCAGTTTTGCTGTAAACCAAAGGAAAAAATATTTAGATAATAAGGTAATTTGAAGCACAAGTTTCAAATTATTGTTTTCTATTAAATTTTGCGTATATCGAAGTGCATATTACATGGAACCTTTCGTTATTCCAGCCCAATAATTTAAATGCAAACGAGCAAACTAAACATTGTGCACTTACAGAAGAAAGGAGGGATACGAGTCCAGAAAACAAAGCATTAGATCTAGATGAGAAGAAAAGTAAATATATTGGAAATCCTTGCATATTTAAAAAATTATTTTTTTTTTTTTAAATTATTGTATTAATAAATTTTCAGAAATGGTACTGTCTGCAAATAAAGCGGTAGATTTATTATTGAAATATTGGGATGGCGAATCTATCCGCACTAGACAAAATTACAATGATAAAAGTGAATGTGCTCAAATTTGTCTTAATAATTTATGTCCGGTTTTGTACGCCATCATGTCATATGGATTAAAACCACATTTAAATTCTACATTTGGACCAATAGCAAATAGTGTTTGGCAGGTGGTTGAAGCATCCTCTCAACAAGGTCCACTTACTAAGACATTGAACGAATTAGTACAAAAAATTAATGGCGAAGATATTATTACAGAAGGAATGCTTAAATTTCATGCATTTGTATTTGGTTTATTAAAGTAAGTTGAACGTTATGACCCATGTGGTACGTATATATCATTACAGTCTAAATGTATTTCCCGTTTTCTTTTTTTAGTTTAAGAGCTCTAGACGCATGGTTCGCATACTTATGTACAAGGGAATCCATCTTAAGGAAACATTATAATAATAACAGTTTGTTTGTAGGAGCTTTAGCCAATGCTAATGCACGAGCAATTGTCAATTCCCTCGTGTACTTTTTAAATCCTCTCACATTTTGCCCGTTTCAGCTTGATCTTTTGTATCAGTATCGTCAGCTTCACAATAGTTTCGGAAATTTAAATAACCATATTGTAAGTGTGGGTATCTTTAGAATATTCTAAACGTTTTTTTATTATAGTTTTTAATACAAAAATCAAAGTATTATTGTAATATTAATACTTTACAGACTGTGAACTTTAGGAACGTTGAAATTTCTCCGAAGGAACATCAATTTGATAAAACGGACGTTTGTGCAATGGTTTCTAGTCCACGAAAAATACGTCCAAGATCTTGCGTTGCTTATAGCAACTACGACGATAAATCTGGAAATGCGCATAATCCGGACATGGAAACTGTAAAAAAACGTTTAAGCAATCCTATAGGTTCAAAAGTATTCCGCACTCTCGATAAATTGGCTTCTGAAGATTCTGAAGACTATAGTGATAGTTTAGAACATTCGCCATTGAACAGAGCGTCGAATAAGCATCATCCTGTATCTATAAAGTCTCATAGTCCAGAGAATAAAATTGACGACGAAGAGAATATGTCCGGTGAAGCGAAATTTAGGAAACTTCAAGAAAAATGGGAGTTAATGGTTGGAAAGGAGGACACGAAAAATCAACCAGCAATGTCGTCACCTTTATCGCCAACTCGAACACCTACGAGTGTAGGGAAATCTAAAATACCTAGGCTTCTTACTTCGCCAGTAAAGCAGTCGAGTGCGGTATCAGGAACTGTTAAGAACACGAAGTCTCCTGTTTCGGGAATTCCATCCTTGAAAAAGCCTGTTATGCTCTCGACGACAAAAACTGTACCAAAAAAATCTGTAGAATTAAGAAGCAAAGAAGTAACGAAGCGTACTAGTAGAGTGGATCAAGAGGTTGTAGGAACAACACGAACTCATTTAACGCGACCTAGCTCTCTACCTTACAAATCGTATGGAGTAATGTCGAAGGATAAAAACTTAGTGTCGCCGCAAAGACGAGCAGCATCTACATCGTTACCACGACCAACTACCGCCACTACCGCTACAAAAAATCCTTCCTCAAAGAAACCACTCAAGTAAGAACAGAGAAATTTTATTTTTCTTAAATGACTTTCAATCTATAGATCCTAGATAAAACAAATTAGTATGAAGTGATGTATAATATTAATTCTTAGCATGTAAATTATTTAATTTAATTGCAACAGATTTCATTCCACAGTAGATATATTGAATGAATAAATTCTGAGGGTCGCTAAAATAGAAATTAGTAATAGTTGATAATAGTAGAATTATGTATATTATTTTATTACGCATTTTGCATTTATTAGCTTCTGTAGAATCTACCCATGTTATTTGTGTTTTTTTTAGTGCCGTAAAATTTTTTGTTCATAGCTTTGTTGCTTAACGTTTTGTTGTTTCTTCTGTTTTCTTTTTATAGATTAGTAAAATAACAGTTCGCGCATCTCGATTCCAGAGAAGTTCGCACACTTACACACAGAATTTCGTCAGATAATGGGCATCTCGCGTTTGGTGAAGGCGAGAAGCTGAAAGTAATTTTGGAAGTAGATAATAACTGGTTATTATGTGCGAGAGGTGATCGGAAAGGTTTGGTACCGCGGATGTGTGTGTATAATATTCAGACTTAGCCCTACACTTCGCGTGGAGGTAAAACGAAATAATTTAAGTGAAACAATGTTACATAAGACTTCGACAATTATGAAGATATTTAACGAAACAGAGGAAATGTGTACAGTGTATTAAATGAGAGGCATAGAATTGTTTCTAATCTATGGCATAGTAATTATTCGTAATTGTTTGAAGCTTCATTTATATCGAATTGCGATAGTATTATCACTCATAATATCATCGGTAAGTAAATAGGTATCACTAGTCATAGGCTTTCAAACCAGATTATATTTAATTAATTGAACATACACCTATTTATAACCAGAATGTACATATATACAGTAAAGTATAATGATAATGATGATAAAGACGATAATGACATGTAATAACTTATAATTATTATGAATGTAACTGTGATCATAGTGTATAGGCGAGTAAGTTTATTAATGCGAATGTGCGCAATAACGTTAAATTTTTATTTTTACCGTTGTAACTTATATTTTATTCGTATCTATTCCGTACATCGCACGTTTAACGAGTATTTTATTTAGTTTTATCTGATGTATAAATTATTACATCGCGCGCTTGTGGTTCGCAACAATCACATTTTTTTACTTGCTTCATGTATTCTTTAGTATGCGGCGGCATACTGTGCAATCAAATAAAATCTAAAATTGTAATTGTATTCATCCCTGTATATTTCCTGTAAGGCAACCTGTTTATTTAGAATATGAGAGTAGTACGAATAAATGAATGAATATACTGTAAACAATGTTGTGTAACATCAGAAACACTGAACAATTTAAATATCGTTCAAATGGTTTTGAATCATTTTATACACAGAAAATAAATTCAGTAATGAAACGTGACGTGCAAATATGGCATTCACGTATTCAATGCATATAAATTTTCTATTAATACAATTGGCAAATAAAAAAACGTGTTGGTCGGTATATATTTATACAATTAAACTTGTCCACGTGTACTAAATATACTTTCTAAGTATGTTCCCACTTCTAGCAAAGTTGTTAGGTAAATTTTTATTTGTCCGGCTAACTAAAACTTTTTATTATTTCGTTTGCCTTTGATTATGCAATTGTGTATTATATCATTGAAAAAATAAACTGTTGTTACACAACAGTTATGATATGACAGATGATAATTTGTTTTCATTTTTAACATATCAGTAATGCTAGTTTCTAAAACAAAGATGAAGTTATACTACATGTTTGAATGTTAAAAAATGTTACACTATTTTTCAAGCACCGCTTTTTTTATTCCCTCTTGTATAATGTTAATGTCTATGATCGATACTATAATCATTTTATATTCTGAGGAACTTTCTGTAATTAACACATCTTTCATACAATTCTATGAAAAAAATGATGTGCTAGAATTAGTACATTTTATTCATAGCGTAAAGTAACGTTTCTGCACTCTTGTGCTATAAAAATTTATCAGGCCATTATTACAAAAATTTGTTATTAAGTAACATGATTTTGAAAACAGTTACATCCAATGTGCGTAGGAACATTCTATTGCTATGAGTCACATTATTTTTAAACGATAATTAAGAAATTACTTGTTTAAAGTCTTATCTCTAAATTACATCTTACTAAATTTTATTTACAATTGTTTTCCTTTATATTAGACTAGATGCAGACAGAGCATATCTGGTTAGTCTATATTATAATACGATGTAATTAAAAGAAAATACATGATTAAACAAAGCATTATAAAAAATTACTATGTAATCAATTGCTTAAAATTGTTTACCAATAATGGTAGCAGAAACAGACAATGATACCGAATGATATAACATGTTATGTATGATATCAGACTGACTATGGAATTGGAAGTATTTTGATACTTTAATGCTAAATTACAAAAGACATTCACCATATTTACAAACATCATTTTAACAAGTATTTTATATCTTACAAGATGAGGAAACTTTTGCAACTCAATGTAATTAATTATTGAAATTAGCTTCTTTTTTTTTTTTTTAATAAAAATCTTTGTGGTTTGTTCAAAATTTAAAAATTGAAAGAATTGTAATTTAAATGATAGAAAACTATTAAAGTATTTAATAATTTCTAATTTTTAATCAAGATCTTCACTATGTCTGTCAGAATTTGTATATACTAAAAGTCACAAATTACAATATTGATTTACATTAATATACAGTATATTATATGTGACTGGAATGCCATTATGGTACTGTCAATATTAAAACCTAACTTCCATATATATTGATGGGATATGATTTAGTAAGAGACAAGCAATGTGGCATGATACACGTATATAATACATGATACATGCATTTACACATCCAGCAGCACGGATTTTTTCCAGCCCAAAGAAAGTCATCTCTGACACCAACTAAGACTCTCTTTTATACAAGTGTCTTGATTGGTGGTGGAGGTGATGATTTTACTATGAGGTGGGAAGAATATGTGCGGTCGACCATACAAGGAGTTTCAAAATATTACCTCATCATTGCTCTCTATTGAATCCATATACATATAAGACCATCAAATTCGAAAGATTTCTTTTTTATATTGTAAACAAACGTTTTATTTATATTTAAATCGTACCTTAATAGACTGATGTTTCTTACAAATGCATTGCTTCCCAACTTCTAATACAACAATCCTTTTGAATTGTGCAACAATTAGCAATGATGAGATTAGAATATTCTTATTACATGAATTTTACAAATGAAATTTTTAACATATACAGCACATATATGAAATAAGATTTATAATGGAATTTTTTTTTAAAGGATGCAGTTGTTCTGCTTTTCGATATGTAAAAGTCCAAAAATCTTTTTAAATCTAGATAGTGTCGCAATTAACCCATAATTGATTCCAATGTGCAAGATCGTGTAATCAACTATTTAAGATAACTATTAAATAAACTCTGTGCTCTATGATTCTCAGATTGCTTAACATTATTATAATTATATTGCATTGCAAAGATGAATATCATACATAAAAATCTGTATTTCTATAAAATAAACATAATACTACATAATCAACTATGGGTTAATTTATCATTTAATAACATCATGTATTAAAGATTAATAGGTACACGTTACCGATTTCAATGCGTCTTACATAGCTAGAAATGAATATCCAAAGATGAAGAAGCTCTAATGTGTGCATATATTATTAACCTTTTGGCACTGTTAAGTCCAGTATCAAATATAAATTAACCTGCTGTCTTTTACTTGCTCTGATAAATTATGATCGTAAATAATGGGCAATATTCAAAATACACTTAGGCCTTATTTGTTATTACAACACTTAATTCGCATAATTATTATCACAGCTTATAGTACATTTATACCCTTTCGATTATATAAAAGTAATTTAGTATTGTGTGGAGTCCAATTACTTACTCGTTTCTCAAGCAAGAAAAGTTTGTTATTGTAATGCAATTTATCTCTAATTTAAAGCAAATTTCTTTGTTATTGTAGTTCTAATTGAAGAGAATTCAGAGCAAGTAAAAGAAATCATGTACTTAAAATTGACTCATTGAAACCACAATTTAAATAAATCCGAGTTATTCGAAACGTGCATCTTGAATCGCCATGGTATATGTATATTCACTTCAACCCAGAAAAAAATTCTATACGATACCATTTTAAAGCTGACATGTCCAAACCAAATACCGAAGCTTAAGCACTTTTTCCCCTCTACTCGCTCAACAGGAATATTTCCTATGAAAAACAGCGTATTAGTTATCGTTTTATGCGTGTGATTTCTTTTCGGTGCCATCGTTGCGTATCGACATCGGGACACGATACGACCTATCGATATATTCTCAGTTCCTCGTTAATCGTCCATGCTAGCTCAGTGGAGTGCCGTGCCATTTCTTTTAATATGACGATAAAAAGGACCGACGGATGATTGATCGAATCGGTTGCGTATCTTTGTGTCGAATTTTGATACGCAAGTAAGTGGATACCTAACCGAGGAACTGCGCTCGCGGGTATGTCTGTTTTTCAAATATTATTATTGACTGCTCGATAAATGAACGTTAAATTTTAATGACTCCATTTTGAAATTGCGTATATTCCAAAGTCTTTTAAATATCTATGAAGTAGTAATAGAATACTGAGAGATATTGATCATCTTTTTTTTCTGAGTAAAATTGCCACAGATTCACAACTGGTTGAAGTATCATCAAATACTTTTTAAACTTATTCAGTCTGGTTATGCAGTCTTTAACATAAACGAGTTGGAAGGACATTGAAACTTAATGTACAATTCTAAAGTTTTTAGAAAGAATATTGAGAAAACATAAATTTGGCACAAAATCTTTTCAGTACTGATAGAGTAAAACAGGTTTTGACAAAAACTTGTACAAACTATTATTAGAAAACATTAAATCTGTCAACTTCTGTTAGTTATCCATATCCAATGGTTATTGGATTCACTCAATCTAAGCTTATTTGAACATTTATACATATATGCTAAAAAGAAAATAATTTACTCGATTACTAAAATATTAAAATAAAGCATACTACATTGAATGAACACGATAAGAACGCTTTTGATCGGATATTTCATATCGAGACAATTATGTTATGTGAACTGTAGAAAGCTGGTTCAAGCAAGATGCTCCGCTTCTTTAAATATTACTAATACATAAATAATATATAATAATCACGTATTCGGGGCCTTACATATCCATTGTACATTGGATGCAAGACTCGTTTTGAAGCTAGATCATGTGTATACGAATTGGAGAATTATCTTCTTTCACAAAATTATGTATGTTTGTAAAGAAACTAGCAGAATCGAAGCAAAATGTAAAAGGAAGACTGTTACTTCACACGATCGGATATAATCCATGAATTCTTCTTATGCAACATCAATTTTGATTTTCCAATGTAAATTTTCATAATGTACAGCACTAAGAATCAATAGACCAAGTTGTTACATTTATTATAGCTATATATTCATATAGATTAAACCATATATTCCGATATGAATAAAATATATGAATTTACTTTCAATATGTATTATTTCCATTGCTTTCCTCGGTCAACGTGAAAACGTAATTAAATGAAAGAAGTTCATGGAAAACATCTTATTCCGTGAAGTAAACTAGTCGTCTTAAATACTATATATTACAAAATGCAAAATAATCGGAATAGCTCATTTATTTCGCGCGAAATCCTAATAAATTCCTCATGGCTTCCAATCAGTTAACTCGACTGTTCCTACCAGGTACTTTGTATAAGGTTGTTGAGTCATCTTTGTAACAATTCACATATGATACGATTTTACAGATAAAAGTCATTCATTGAAATTCACTTGGCTAGTGTTTTATCCATTTTGTTATTTCTGAACAATCATTGCGTGGTTGCTAACATCAATGAGGAATGTAATCGTCCCGTATATAGATAAAAAGAAAGAGAACTTTTCACGTTAAAACTGTAGCAGTATATATATTATCTCCATTTTGTGTACTAAAATGGAAGTACTTTTAATATAAAATAAAGAGTATAGATCTCAACTTTCTGTTGATCGGTAATACTGCATGCACGAGGAAATAGTTGTAATTGCATTGTATAATCCACAATTAAGCAAAATTTACGTGTAAAAACATAAATGTTTCAGAAGATAAAAATCTAGGAACCTTTAGTAACAAAACTGTCTTTCATGCTATTAATCCTTCATTTGTATGATTTAATGCTTTGCATTTCGTACCTCTAATTAATCAGGCTATTAATGTACAAAAAGCTAAATACTTGGTTCGCAACACCAATTACAAAATGTAAACAACATTGATGATTTATATCAAAATATTCTAAATATGAACGATACAGAAATGTGTTATATAACCTCTAATAAATAACAATAATTATAAAAATGGCATTGTAAAAATAGTTTTACTTCATATTTAGTTAATTGATCCACGAACATGTTAGATGATCATTAAATTGTTTACGTTAGTTTCAAATAAAATTTGTATAAAAAACGAGGATAAAAGCAAATAATGATTATCAAAAAATGACATGCAATATCTTGACATTCCTCATTGATGTATATGAAAAAGTTATGATACAGAAAATGGTTGTGCAATGTAACTAAGGCTATAATACAAGTAGATTAACTACATACTAGATTCCTTAGTGGTGATAGTCTCGTTGGTATTATCAACTCTTATTAACGTCGAAGAATTTAAAACAAGCGTCCTACTCAATGTAGCAACTCTTTCCATTACACAAGACGCTGAAAGACGCGCTTCAGCGTCATGATCCCAACACTCTTCCATCGTATCACAAATTGATTGAAGTCCCTAAGAAAGTGATAGAGATATTACCGTTCAGACGCGATCGTGTTTTATGTTTAATAGTCAGAACGTGGTCGAGGTGACTTAAAACGTAAAAATTTTCAAAATATCCTTCCTGATAGATCGAAAAATAAAAATGCCATATATGTGAGTTTACTTACAGGATGTTTACGCCATGTTTCTAAAATGAGTGGCCGTTCTTTTTTATGCACAACACTTTCTTGCATATCTTCCAAGGTTGGGTGAAGACCAACTTCATCTTCAAATGGTAATCTGTATTCCCCAATTGGTCCCTGATATATATAGAAACAGTATAACGGAACATTTAACAATATATTTAAAAATGTTTAAATATGTAAATAGACATTTACATCTTGCACGGTGCATCGCGAAGCTAATTCCCAAAGCACTAGTCCGCAAGCGTACATGTCAATTCGTAAAAACGAGTCTCTCGTAAAATTAATTGCGCCTTCTAAAACTTCTGGTGCCATGTATCTTCTTGTTCCAACCTAAGAGCAGTAGGATGCAAATCGAGTTTTATCTATTAAATAAAGCGCACGATAAACATACCTGCCCATGTGTATCACCGCAAGGTTTTCCAGGATGAAATATCAATGCCAGACCAAAGTCTGCTATGCAGGCACTCATGTCAGCTTTAAGCAAAACATTTTTCGATTTAAAATCTCTATGAGCAACAGCAGGTTTGTATCCATCTGCTTTATTGGCTGGTATTTCTTCGTGTAGGTGCATCAAACCTCTGATAAAATTCAAGTAATTGTTACATCAAATTGTATTTAATACAAAATGCATAAAATATTTGTGAAATAGGTATAGAGGCATCACCTTGCCATGGATTCTGCTATTCTACACATCTCAGGCCATGTAACAACATTTGCCTTTAAATAATCGCATAGCGATCCTTTTTCATGGTATGCGGTAATTAACCAGAATTCAGCTTGCAAGTTATCCCCTCTTTTTTCAACGCCTATAAAACGTAATATATCCTCGTGATCCATATGTGCAAGTTTGAAAATTTCTTGTTCAGTCTGCCAAGACTGCTTGTCTTGTGTAGGGAATACTTTAACCGCAACAATTTCATTTTTCAATTGCGCTTTCCAAACTGCTCCAAAACGTCCGCGTGCTTTAATCTCTAAAAGCTGAATCGGACGCAATCCTAAATTAGGAGATGGTTGTGGCAATGGAAGAGGTTCTAATGTGGGTACCTAGAAAATTTACTTTGTATTACGATTACGTGCCAAACGTGGTTGACAATATAACACCAAAACAAAAGATTTATAACGTTTAATAATTTAATATTATGTACATATGTCTTCCAAACCTCGTTGAAATATCCCAACTTTCTACGTCGATAGCACCAATATAAAAATGGTAAAATGATAGCAAGAAGGAGCATAGGTATTGATATTGATAAAACAAGTGTTATTATCTGTTGTTCTGTGTTTGGAACAGGTTCCGACTCTGAAACAGGATTTTACTCAATGATCAGGAATATAGACTGATTATATATTATTTACCACAAATACATACCACGTATAACAGAAGGTTGGATAGGTTTAGAAGAAGATGTTGGGTGAGGATCCCATGTAAAATTCTGGTTACACATGTTGCCATCACAGCAACAGAAAAATAATTCTTTCTTCCTTTCTGCACTGTTTTCAATGCAATGTGGCCTATCATAGCAATCATTACTATCCAAGAAACATCCCTGAAAGTTATGTTATAGCTTTTCAATGATAGAGCAATAAGTTAGAAAATAAACATTATAAATGGATGCATAGTAGTAGTATTATAGAGTTATCAGAATATTGTATTAGTAGTATATATTTGTACCTTTAATTTAATTATAGATTTTTTTGTAACATTATCTATCTGCCACAATACATAACAGTGGTTTCTTTTGCCTGGGTCATGAGGACCACATTCTTCTCTTCCCGAGCATTCCTGCTGGGATTCTGTACATAATGTTTCATTGTAAAATTCACAAACAGATGAACCTTTGACATCATGTCCTAAAATAGGTCCTAAAAATTATAATCCATTAGAACCTTGTAACATTAAAATATGTCAGTGACAGTTTATGTGAATAAGATGTTCAGTTCCAGAAATTAAATAATTTGTTAAATAGCACGGAAATGTATAATAAATAATACATATATATTGTAACAAATGCTGCTTACAATTGGTATCGAACAATTCATCTATAGAAATGAAAAAATAGAGCCACATATATTTCAATTATTTTATTATACATGTACAGAGCTGGATAAAATTTCAAATAGAAGAATTCAAATAACATTTCAAATAATATCCAAGTCTGTACGTGTTCGTTTAAAAAAATAATCGGTTTAGAAAGAATAGAATTGGTATTTTCACGATAACGCAAATAAAAATAGCATTTCGTTTCAATAACCGGCGATCACACTTGATATTAAAACATACCACTATTATTCTTTTGTTTGAAAGCATATTACGACAAATTCCACGCGTATATCGGTTAACGAGTTACGTTTGTAAACACAAAACAAAATATCGGTCCATCGAATGCAGAAGATTTAGTAACGATTTAAAACGCACTCGGCATGGAAATAGCATCGTAATCTCCATGAAGATTTCGCGTCAGCGAATAATTTATGTTGCGGATGCAATTGTCAAACGGAAGATAATGGAACATGCAATTACCTAACAATCCTAGGATGAGATATGGCAGTATCGTCACGTATGCGGACATCATGAACGGATCGTAAAAGCATACCAGAAATTTAAAGTCTAGATGCACGGTGTTCGCGAGATGTGGCTACAACACCGGACTTCGGTGCGCAAGGTCCGGGGTTCGCGCTTAGCCGTCACATCTGGGTTATTTTCTACGTGATCCGCACCATCGCATGTGCCCTGCTTCTAGAATACTTGTTTATGGCTCCATGTTCCCGAGGAGATTGAAATCGCATCAAATTAAGAAATGAGAAAAGAAGAATTCAGTCCTATTAGCTATTAAGCAAATTGTAGTAATTCATCCACCGACACATCTCTCTTCCTCACCCCTCCCACATTCGTGCAGGAACGCGGACACCATGGATTTATGTTATTTTTCACCGTTCGAGCACTTTGATTCCGGTCACTTTTTACCGATCACAGTTATCTCAATTAACGAACAATTCAGTTTAACGGACGCGAAGTACGCCCACAATGCGACAGGTTCCCAAAAAGTTTGTAAAAATCAACCGAACTCGCAAAAGAACGTGCCAAACGCACGGGAGGATTGATCATAAACTAATGGGTTGCGATAGAACGACGACGTCAACGAAAAACTGAAGACTGCGTCTACAACTTGTAGCGTTGTCCTTTTACTGAACTTTAAATTATGCACTAGAAAACTAGAGAATAGATGAAAAGCACAGACGCACTTTTTTTTGTTATTACATGTTGTTATTACTCTAAATTAAGAAGTAGAAAATATTAGACAAACTACATAAGTAACAATACCAATGATAATCTTTAATTAAAATTTACATATGCATGACATTGTAATCTTGTCATTTGAGGAAAATACAGTACAACAAATTTTTAGAAAGTTTTTAATTGTCTCGTGGCTGGAACGCTAGATGGGGTTATTTAAACTCTGTAACAGGTAATCAATTCAATCCAATGAATAGATTATTATTTATTCAATGAGTATCATTGCGTTTTTAATATATTTCTGCGCATTATTTAAATAAAATGAACTTTTAAACTAGTGAATAAACATAAGATATCGTTTATTCCATTTTTATTTAAGTAATGCCCATCCGTATTCGTTTGGCTATGAGTGTATCTTTACTCGCCCTTCAGTTGGTTCTAGCTCAGCATTCTTTAATGACATGATCGTTTCTTTTTAATATTTATGCCAGCGGTTTGCTTAGTTTTTAAGTTAAGTAATAGAGAATAAATAACATGTAAAAGAGTATGAGAATGTTAAGACGAGAGCGCCATAGGTACGGGTTCGAAAGATGACGCATTCTAGTATGAGATTGTGACAATAAATAAATTACTCATTTTATATTCGCAACACTTCAATTGACTTTAGTAGTAAAGACTTTGATATAATGTGATTGTTGTGTATTAAAACTAAGAGCAGATGCTGTTCCATGTATAGGTAGAATTAATATTTATAACAATTAATAAGCATAATGTAAAATTCATTGGAACAAGATCGAGTCATTCTGAGAGTAGGGAGTCAGAAAGTCAAAGTATATTTTAATAACGGGCATTTTATCTGTATATACAAATGCTATATAAGTTTATTGGTTTACTACGTTTCTACGTTTTATATAGCTCTCAAAGTCGCTGTTCGTAAACGTAGAACTTGCTATAAAAACACGCATTTTTTTTTGCAAAGAAAGTACTTTAGTTCGTGAAATACATATTCCCATTGAATGTCCATTCTATTCTATATCTTATCGGTGGTTGTACTTAGTTAAGGAGGTGTCGCCACATCACAGATCACCTGCAAGCTTGCTTTAAATAGCATTTCATCATCCGCACGTCGTATTTAAACTGTGTTGTGCCGTGTTACGCAGGATAGTGTACTGTTTGTAAAAGTGTATTTTTTAAAGTTTCCTCGAAAATTATACATAGGAATGTAAAAAGTTGCGTGAAACGTAAAAGGTGAGTTAAATTGATACGTGTATTATACGACATCTTTCGTCATTCAATGGTGCTTCGCAGTATTCTAAACATTTGAAACTTTTTCGAATTCCAAAAACATTGGCTCTGACTTATGCGACGCACTATTGGATGTGCATGCTGTATGCGTGTATGACGTATGTTATGTGGGACTTTTATGTAAACAATATGATAAAAACTAATTGGAAATTATACTGTCAAATCGTACATTTAAATATTGAATGTAGATGGCACCGAAAAATAAGGTGAACACTGTGCTTGGAAATAAAAAGAAACGGCAAATTTCTGAGGAGGAAGATGATGAAGATTATCGAAAACGTAGGGATAGGAATAATCAGGTAAATAATGTTTATGATTATATAGTATATATTCTTCTATTTAATTTCGTTTTGTTTTTACAGGCTGTAAAACGTTCTAGAGTTAAAAGTAAGTTACGTACTCAACAAACATTGGAACGTGTAAATCAATTAAAGACAGAGAATGAATTACTCGAGGAGAAAATTAAAATGCTCACCAAAGAACTAGGATTTTTGAAAGACCTTTTTCTTGCACATGCAGGCATGTATTACACATTGTGCAATAATTACTTTATACTTCTTAACATATAAGTCATGATTATTATTTTAGGTTCAAGTCAGCATTCTGTGAATTTTCAAGATCTAGACTTGAATGCCCTTTTAGCTGACGATATAAAGCCTGTACAACAGTCAAAGGAAGGAGCTAAACTATAGGTTACATTAAGTTCCACGTGAAGGAAGTAACGTGGTATTGATAAAATCTGAGATGAAGATGTACTTTAGTTCGTCTAATTCCAGCAACAAGTCAGACATCTTGGAAAGATGTCTGCTCCCACTTGATTTCTACCTAGATTGAGGAGCATAAAATCTTTATACATGGTATTCATTGCACTCGAAATTTATCAATATTGAAATTCGGGATATCGCAGGAAAGATTGTACAAAATTCAATACGCGAATGGATGTTGAAAAATTACATGAAATGCACACATGAAGTACAAATCATTTGTAACGGTGGAAGAACGGTGTATTATATATGTAAATTTGCATATTGTGCAATGAAAGAAAGACACATTGGCGTTTGAAGTTTGAAAAATGTAAATTTTGTACATATATTAATTTCATTTGACACAAAAGAAATGATGGGAAAAAAGCACATTGGTGGATAAATACTATAATATATATAAGAGTATTCGCAATGTAAAAAAAACAAAATGATTCCACGAAGAAAACATTTTAACAAAGATTTATTATATATTTGGTATATGCTGCCTTAATTTGTTTATAAAAGCACTGTTTTGATCATTCCAGTATAGTATTTTAATTTGCTATTTTAGACATTTTATGCAGTTGCAATTTCAATAAAAAAGCAATACTCCAATAATTTAGAAGGTAATAACAAGAAATAATATATATATGTATAATAAATCCTTAGAACATGCAAACTGATAAAGAAATATTGTTTCCTTGAATATTTATGAATTATCGAGAGCATTTTTAATTAAATAAATCAAAATATGAAAATATCATAAGTATTTATTCAACATGTGAAGTCTGTTTTAATTAAGGGATGCAAATAAATATACGAATGTGAAGTATTTTGTAAAAATTTTGCTAGACGAAAGATACACATTCAATAAATACGGATATCGAGATTTCCCCTAGAAAATTGGACTCTCATTGTCGAATCACTAGACTCGGTGTTGACTTCAGTAGTTCAGTTATTCTTTCCCGCTTGTACGGGAGTCGGGAGTTTTGGTGTTCAAGCTTAAGTAAACAATATTATCATTTAAATGAAGAGTTGAACATGGGAAAAACAACAAAAGTTGTTGTTTGCGGAATGAAAGGTGTAGGAAAGACTGCATTATTGGAACAACTCGTATACGGAAATGTTAATTCGAAGACAGTAAGAAATTAGGTTATGTTCGTTTAAAATATTTCGTAAAAAGACACATTCTTATATTATGCGATGATCTTAAGAAATATATTTGCTTATCGACTATAAATACAGTTACATGTTACGTTACATTCTTTTTTATTACAATTTTAATTTTATAACAAAACAGGAAATTCATCCTACGATTGAAGATATCTATGTTGCGAACATAGAGACGGATCGTGGTACTAAGGAGAAAGTGCGATTTTATGATACAGCAGGACTGGAATCACCCCAAAATAACGCGAACAATCAACAACTTCCACGGCATTACCTTGGTTTTGCCGATGGCTACGTTCTGGTGTATGATACAGCGAAGCCGGAGTCTTTAGATGTACTTTTCCCATTAAAAAAGGATATAGACAGAAACAAAGATAAGAAAGAAATAACTGTGATTGTTGTTGGGAATCGATCTAAAGCAGAAGAAGATTCCCATAGTTTGGAGAATACAGCAAGCAAGGCTGCAAACTGGTGTACTAGAGAAAAGCTTAAGCATTACGAAGTAAATGTCATGGAAAGGACTAGCTTGTTTGAAGCATTTGTTCATCTGTCCTCCAGATTGAATCCTCCAACCAATAAAAGTACTTTCCCACAGCTAAGTATGGGTAGGAAAAATTTCAAAGTTGAAGCACTTTAATCGCAATTATTTGTGCTTTGTAAGTTAATGGTGGCTCTATAGTAGCCATTGATATTGATTTATTTTGTTTAGTACGCTTAGCATCATCAAATTACTTTTGTAAGAAATTAGCGTACAGTGATATCATGACACGTACTTAAAATATCAATTTGTTTAAAGCTTATAATTATGCACAATGACATATGTAGCTTTAAATTGGCACAAATTGTTAAGTTGCTTGCAACTTCTCTTTTTTTTTTGTTTTTTTTTTTTATCAAGTTTCCATTCCGTCCTTTCTTTTGTACCTTGTACATTTTTGTTCCTTATTTGTACTTAAATTATTTTTACCAGAGAGAGAGATCGACCATATATTGCAGTTAGTGTCATTCGTCTTGATCGCGTATTGCAAAAAAGTACTACACAAACGGTGTACAAATAATTTTAATAGATTGCTTCACCATTCTATTGGTTTTGTTAATTGTCGTAAATAAATATTCGTTCCGAACGCGTAATCCCATAATTTACTGCTAATACCAAAGCCTGAAAAAATGTTTTGTTTGTCAAATATCTGCCCGGTATTCCATAAATATAGAAATTATTACCTAACTCATGATGCAAGAAATGGTGATAATTGTGATTTCTTTTCATAGTATATAGATAGGTTCCCACTTTCGGTGCACCATGGTGTAAATAATAATGGATTAAGTCGTAACAGACGTAGCCTACAAATAAAATTTTCCATATTCAAAATACCGTTAACGTTCGTAATACGCATATTAGATATAAGTATGTCGATAGTAGTACCTGTTGTAGTACCAGCGGCAATAAAATAAACCGTCGTCTCAGAGAACAATAATTTATAAATAGACCACAATAATTTTGCTAGTAATAAACCGGCTCCAGGTGGAAACACTAGTCTCCTATCGTCGAATGGTGCCTTAGGGGGGAAAAAGTTTCGTATGATTCAGGATATTTCTCAAGTATCGAATTACATTTCTTTTTTCTGTACCTTCGAATTTACTTACCTTGTGGTGAACTCCATGAAGCACGAAGTGCAAAGTAATAAGTACTTTCGAGGTAGCTGGTGGCTTAAAGTGAAAAAGTTTGCGATGAAGTACGTACTCTAAAATAGTCCACAATAATATACCGAATATGTACGAGATCGAAGCTTCGAGTAAGTTGCTTCCTGGAAGTTCGAACGAATGCAGCGAAATTCATACTAGTTAATGAACAACTTAAAGTACTATTAATTAACGGTAATTGAGATTATATTTAGGGGTTTATATTAAAGTTATGGTAATTGGAGGTTAAATTTGTTAGTATCGATAAATCGATAGTACATAGTGTACGCACATACATCGATTAGAACTACTAGAAACGTGTAAGAGAAAATAGTGTGAAATAATTACCAGTATATTTGCCGGCGACGACCATAAATCCGGAATAAAGGAAATAGATACACAACGGGATCCAGACGATCGGTATAAAATACCAAGGAGTAATTGATATAATCTCTAAAAAGTTTGATCGAAATAGTCGAATTTGTCGATTTACTGGTAGGTTCATCCATTCCCAATATTGGGCGCCTAAATTGCCTACTTGGTGTAGTATAGGCGCATTCCAATCAATGAGTTCCTAGAAACGGTTAAATCGAAAAAAATAAAAAGTCCACGATAGTATTCGTTGTCGGTGAACGTTTTAATGTTACGGATTCAAATTTGGTTACAGCGTCCCGAGAACGATGTAAAGGAAAATTCAACATTCATAGAGGATTAAAATGAGATTAGTACGTGTTATTTCATAACTTGATTAAAATTTACGAAGTAACGAAATCGAATGAGCGAGTTCCGTTTGAGTCAGAGTGTTAAAAGCTTAAGCGATTAGAGATAGCCGCTTCGTTACGTCAGGTAAATCAAACACAATCCGTTTCCTAATGGTTCGTCGAATGTGATGAAAAGCAAATTTTACACAATAGGCGGACACGACTAGGTTAAGCGTATACAAAAACTACTCGTTATAATTTATTAAAATCCAGGCTGAAATGTAGCAGAAATACAGGGTGTTCGATTCGAAAGTAATTATTTAATTATCTCATCTAGTCGTGATAAAATCAGAAAAATATTTCGTACATAATTTCCAACAGTTGAAAGGGTTAGGTCTGGGTTAGACGTTGTAAGTAAAATTTGTTCTCAATATCATTTTTTGCAGAGATTTCAAGGTCACTGATTTCCCTTTTTTACACGTCATACCTAATTAATATGCGTTCATTCGTTATGATATGATCGTAAAATGATCTTGAACTCTAGGATTAAATATGTAATATGTTTTTTTCGTCTTCAAGTATCAGTGGCAATTGAAGGAAGATCGTGATAGTAAATACATGTTTACTATCACAGATACCTAGAAGATTGATCGCGATAGTTTCAAAAAGATAAAAAAAGAACACAAATATAGTTGTATGTTATAAAAATGTCAATGACCTATTAAATGCTTCTAAAAATGACAATGAAAAGATTTATCTTTGGGGACGATTAAATGGCCTGTTTCTAATAGGACGCTAACTAAATTATTTTCATTGGTGTGTACGTTATCAGTAATCGTAACGTTATTTAAAAGTTTCTTTCTCTGTTTTTAGATTAGAGCCCTCTTGACGACCAGATACGGTTGTTGTATAAATATGATGTTTTTATAGGCGCAAACTAAGTCACAGTCGACCTCGCACCGGGAGCAAAAACTTGTATAAATTTGTCTTCACTTGCATCTGACAAGGTTATTTGTTCCGTGATTTTCGTCTAGCAATAGTATATTAATATTGTAATTATAATGCAAATGGGGCCTTTTAAAAATGTAATTTCGGGCGCGTCGGGCAATATTCTTCTGTTATAATATTATCATGTTATTAATCACTGTATTTTTGTTGCATTTTTAGGGGCACATTGCGCCGTTATTGTGACGACTGGTTGCTAGATAGTAATTCTCACGGTCGTCAGTTATTATACTTTCATAAAAAAAGTTATTTCCATTCAAAAATGGCACAAGGAATATCATTAATAACTGCGTTTCAAGAATCATATACTTCACTTTCCGAATCATTTTAGTTTACGTGCCGTAAATGGTAAAGTAAAATTTTGTATTCTAATCCATTAACTTCATCTTATTCGCTAATTAGGCGGGCGTTTCGGTCAATTTTAAATAATCTTGTTTGACTCTTTATTTATAATGAAAGCGATGCCCTTCTAGAAACAGACCGTGTAATTATCCTCTTCAGTTTAATGGGAAAAGCGTGTACCGCGATTACGCGTTTTCGAAGTAACTTACTTCGTATTCTTGATACTTTTCTTGCGAGTTCAACGTGAAATCCTCCAAAAGATGAAAAGCGCTCTTCGAGTGTGGATTCTCGTCGAAAGCTTTGTCCAAGCTTCCATGTTTAAAATAACGAAGCACTTTCTTCCCGCCGGGATGATACCTCAGGAAGTTACGTATGTCGAAGTATCGCTTCCGATAACTGACCAGAAACTGATCTTCCTTTTTTTCAGACGGTTCGTCGTCGATTTGAACTTTTCCCGGCCGTTCGCGAACGTCGCCAGCGGAGTTCGCGTCTTTCATAATTGAACCGGTCGTCGCCGGTCGGCAGTTCGGCGTTCGAATCTGCGTCGTGATCGAAACTAAATTCCGCGCCGAACGCGTAAATGACGACCTTTAAAACTACGGTTTTATCGTGGCGTTCTCTGAATCTTTCGATAAGATTCCACGTACGCGATTATTGTGCGAGTAGGCGGATTGTATTACCTTTGAAAATCGTTATCTATCGTGATAAGTTCCTGTCTATACAGTGTCGCCATTTTCGAACCATTCATCTCTTTCTCTCTTACATATACGTTCAACTATTCGAAAATCGTTAGAATATATCGTCGATTCGATGCGACCGTAATCATCGTACGTGTCAATGTCCAACGTTTCTCTGTTGCTTTTTATCTAAAATTTCTTCCTCGCGTGCGCAGCTATCCCCTCGTGTTTCGAACCTTGTCTCGTAATAACAGACCTTGAACGACACCTAGGTGGGGAATAATTTGAATCATCATCCTCGTGCTCGGCAATAAATAAGCTTTTATTTAAACGTTTCCTGGATACTCGTGTATACAATATACCCCTATGTACGATCTAATGTTTAAAATGTCTACGAACGCGGCAGCGGTCATGCTCCGGCGTGATGCAGAAACAAAGTAACAGAACGAAAGGAACTGTATACACGCTTCCGGGCGATCTGAGCATTCGCGCTGCCAAAACATAGCGCTTCGAGTGTCGTCGTTGTCGGCGCAACGCGACGAACAGTAATGGGTATCTTCCGCGTTAACGTTCTCAGCGGTGTTCTCGAGTCCAGGTACACGCGAATGGAACAGACATAACGATCTATTCGTATTCGCTAGGTACAAGCCGCTAATAGGACTATAAGACCCGCGCTTAACGGATTTTCAATCAACATCGTTTCTATTTAGGAAACAAAATGATTCCCTTAAAATGTTCTATGGTAATACTATACGGTGAAACGTGTTTATGGTTGGCTGCCACGCGGCATTCAGGCCGTTTAAACTCTAGATACGCGCGTAGGATCATTCTAGACCCGGTCTCGAACTATTTACATCCTACGTTTAAGCGCGCGATCGTCTTTGCTTTCTGAAAAATTTCAAGAGATCGTTATATTTGTTCCAATCACTGCACCGACATTGTCAATGGGGGGGTGAGGTGGGTGTGTGGGGGGTGTGGAGGGGGCGTCACAGCTCTCGAGAATAAGATAATCGGCTCTTGCGCGCGTTCACCAGAATGGCTGCTGTTTGAGCGCCAATAACGTGACCGATATTATCTATCGAGGCACGGAAAGAAACACCGGGGATATCGCGGATGTTACCTCGGTCTCTCGTTTCCGGTTAGATCCTATCGATTCGATACCGGGCACCCGACATATCTGGGTATTCGAGAATCTGATTGTTTCGTATGTAATCCGAGCAGAGATTGGGTAAGGTTACTTTTAACGGGATTTACTCGACTTATATAATAATTGTAATAATAACAACAACGTCTTTATTACACCATATAAACAGTACATATACAGAGTGGTGTAAAGGCAGGCTCACAATCAGCTTGACTGCTATTAAAATAAAAGTAATGTTAATAACAGCCGTGCAACGTAGGAGACAATTTGAACAAAATGGTAGAGATAGAAACGTTGTCGGAGAAACTGCGAGTATTGATAGAATTCAGGGATAGGTTATACGCGAGATAATTTTGTTTGAACATAGTGATACGACGCGGATATATAGCCGGGTACTCGGGGTGTCTCGGGGGTTTGTCAATAGTGCCATTTTCCGATTTGGAGAACGACCGTGCGACCGACGTCGGCTTCCTTGGACTCAAAAATGCTAAAGGACTCGAATCACTGCTTCGTTTATTCTTTTTTTTTCGTTTTTTTTTTTCGTTTTTTTCCCCCCAGTTTTCTTAAGTACGATGCTAGAAATTCTTTTCGACGTTCTCTCTCCCCGTCCCGGGGTACGCGGCAAGCGTGATTCGGGGGAGCGCGTTGACGGGAATTTCGCGGGTCTACCTTCCGTCTTAAGTAATCGGGGGTTCTAGCGGATCGGAAGTATTTTACGAATACGTAGTCGTAACGTGATTTACCGTCTATTGTACGCTATGTCCTATCCGTACGGCGCTACTACGCGTTATAGGCGCGTTACCCCTAATCGTTTAGGTATCGAGAATTTGCAACTCCTCCCGACGTTGTTTCTCTTACCCCTGAGGTTTGGAAGCAGTAGGAACGTAGCCACCGTCTACGTGTCGATCTTCCGAAACTTGAATGACGACAGGTTGATTTCCCATGTATAGTAGAACCTCGATAGATGCAACCTTGATACTTGCACGCGAATCTCGACCATTCCATTGTGTTGACAAGTAAAAGGGTTCGTCACTTAGCAACAAGTGCCTATGTCTTTCGTTCGAAGGAACAAACCGAGAATCGTACGACAGTTCAATATAGCTATCGTGTAAAGCTTTCTTTTCGACCGATCGATTACCTCGGGTATCAAACGAACCTGGCGACCCGCGGAAATAATCGACTTCGTTACCCAACGACCATCGAGGCTCCATTGCGTTACGAGCGGAAGAGACATAGCGCTAAAGTAATAGAAATGACCTCTCTTGTTGGTGCAAGTCGACAAGAGTGGTTTCACGCCACCTATTACAGAACCGCAGGCCTGTTTGCTTTGATGTGCGCAGGTCATTGATGCATTATGTTCGTGTACAGTACGGACAAAATCAAATGGCCGCTCAAGGCCACCCGAGAACCTACATCCAGTTAGCGTGTGTTCTCTGTGCAGAAGCCTATACGCGATACAAATGTTAATTTCAATTGTTATAATTTTGTAAATCATCAAGAGTTTACGAGTGCTTGTTTCCCAACAGTTAAATTTCATCTTAAATTTTCGTAACGCATCGTAACGAGAAGTATACAGATTTGACATTTATAAGCACTAGTGCAAGAATCATTTGCCTTGAGCGACCAATTACTACGATCGTCGTTCCTTCGCTGCGTCTCTTCCTTTCCGTAACGCCGATTCGTTTGCGTCTCAGACGAAAGATCGAAACGCGAACGCAGACGGCGCTCTTTCTAAATCGCGCACGAGGGAGACTGACGTCGACGCGAAAAGGGTACACGCGCGGTTCCGTTTTCTAAACGAGAAATACGTCGCCCGGTGACGTTCAGGCCGTTAGAAACGATTCGCGTCTCGATAGAACCGAACAGACGATTCGACGAAGCGAACGGAGGCGCGACGAGACCGATCTCCGGTCGATCGTTCTCATTTGCAACGCGTCCTGTACGCCGCGTGATATTCATCCTCTGAATTTTACATATTTTTTTTTGTTTTCTTCTACTTTTATTCATTTTGTACGATCCCGTTTCGCGAGTCAGACGGAACGTGAATGTATTGCTTTCGAGAGATCGTTCGGTTCTTGTACGCAACGGAACGGTAATTCGTGTCGTTTCGCGCGTCTCCCGACAACCGAAATCTTCGTATGGACAACGACGATTATCCTTTTCTCGCTGTTCGTGGAGACGCCGTGAGAGAAGAGACTGCGAACCCAGGACGACCGGCATTAAAAGTCCATTACCTCCATTTTGAAGGGTTTACCCTGTAGTTTGTTAGGGACGATCTTCGTAATGGGCGGTGCGCTGTTATTGTCGTCGTCGCTGTTTATGTCCTCGTCCTCCTCGGGGAAGTCTTCGAGACGATCGTGGTACTCGTCCAGCTGAAAAATCGTAGATCGTCTCAATTACGGGCCGTGTATTGCTTGTAATCGGTTCGTGAACGTAACAATTCGCAGCTACGGCTATATTATGCGTGAATCGTTTGAAACGTGGGCCAACTAGCTTGTACTCTTTGCCGGTGAACAGTGCGGTATTGGCGATACTCAAAGCTAGAAAGCGTTTCTTGCCACGAGTGATCGTGTAACTAATACGTATTGGTTTTTGCTTTTCAGACGAGACGTCGGAACTCCTCGCGTTTCGCGGGCCTCTTCATGCTCGGCGAGTAAAACGACAGTGCGAAGCGCGCGTACAGAAGCCAAAAGCATTCCGTAAACATAGTATATTACGGACTCACGTGTAAGGTAGCTATGGAAGAAGCGATTAATCGACGTTACCGCACACAGAACGGACGCTTCCCTACAACTGCAGGTACGCCCAACGTGAATCTTTATGCTCGTTCAAGCTTAACCAACGCACCTCGATTTGCACCCCCGTCCTCCGATTAGTTCGTGACTCTTGGTGCGCTGATTAAGTAGTATTCTACTGTGATGGACTAGGGTCGCTACGTAGTCGAAACTAGCGTATGAGCGTGCTTTGTGTATTCCTTAAAAAGTGATACTCGGGACAGAGGACAATGGCTGCTCAACGCTTTGACTGCCGCGTCATTCGTACATGGGCGACAAAATTGTTTACTTTGAAATTAAAACAATTCAATCTCAAACAGTAATGTCAAAGAAAAGAAATTTTAATAGGAGTCTTGAATTTTAGCGTGATTACTAATTGTCTAAAATCACAGTTTTGATCTGGCAGTCAACGTGTTAACCCGAGAGTAACATTTAACGATTACAAAATGCAGGGTGTTCGGCCACCCCCGGTACCAAAAATAATTTAATAACGAAGCCTCAGTCAAGAAATTGATATTCTTGATTTTCATTTTATTTTGGCCTCCAGAATCTCCCATTAAAATTTTTCCCAGTAGTGGCCAAACACTAGACCCTCGCGTGGGTACTTCCGGGTCAGAGGTACGGAGAAAAACGGTCTTGAGCGGCCATTACCATCTGCCACGAGTATGTATACGTTCGGTGAGAGCGTCGAGACCTTCGTGAGTCATACGATAGACAAGTGATAGAAGATTCTTGTAGAATAAGTGATGTCGACAGATTAACGAGCATAATTTTCGTACGTAGGATCTCTTTAGTGGAGACACAGAAGCTACGAAGATGTAGGAAAAGGAAGCACATAGACGACAATACGTGTATACTCGTTGGAAGATGCATAGCGAGGATGCGAAAAGAATAGCAGGGAATGGAAATGTAAAAAACGCTGTGCCTTCTTTTCGTGGAGGAACAGTGCCTCGCTATTCGTACCCCTTCCACCGAGTATTAGAGAAATGTATAAGTGAATAGAATGATAGAAATACGTGATCATTGTTGGCGATACGAATTAATTGGGAAGAAAGCCCTTTGGGATCAACTCACATCAACGTCACCCATCATTTCCTTGGTAGAAACTGTGGTGTCGATGCGTCGTATACTTCCCTGATGGATGTCGACGTCCAGCTTGACACACTGGAACCGTCTCAAAAGGAAAACGATCGGTATTGGCGCGATACCCGCGAAAATAATTACGACCGCTATGGCCAGCACCCAACTGGGATAACTGGTGACTACGGTCTCACCCTAAAACAAACAATGATGCCACGTTTAGATAAGAAACGTAACGGGTAATTTTTTAGGCGCGACCGAAAAATTCTTACCAGCGAGGCATCCCACGCGGAATATTCAGGCTTCTTGATAAACATAGACGCGATACTAGAAAGGAGGATGCAAACCATAATGATGGGAGCGAGGAACCGCCAGGTAACTTGCCAGTACATTCCCGGTCTGTATCCCGTCATTTCTTCGATGTCTTTCGTGAACCTAGACGTCGAAGAGAGAATGTTTATAAAGCAATCTGTTCGCGTGTTCGTTTATCTCTGATCGTATAGTATGGATCGTGAGAAGTACTTTTCGTGTCCGTAGATGAAGATGACGGATATCATTTCCATCAGCGCGACCATCACCAGGCCGATGGTACCGGCGAAACTGTCGAACATTTTGAGCCAGTATTCACCAGCGCCGGTGCAGAAGATCAGACCAACGAAGAAGCAGACGGTGCAAACCACCCCTGAGAAGGGAAGCAGGTTGTTCGATATCACTGAAAACTTTTCTGATAGAAGGATGGAGATTATGTCGATCGTACCTGTCATGTACTGTTTCTTTATTCTCTTGAACAGGTCTATGTCGAAGATGACGCACAGCATGCCTTCGAGTATACCGATCTGCGAGCCCAGACCGAGGGCGAGTAGCATCAGGAAGAAAATACAGGACCAAAACGGAGCGCCGGGTAACTCGACTATCGCTTGCGTGAAGATTATGAAAGCCAGCCCCGTTCCTTCGGCAGCCTAACCGATCGATCGATTTACAGTCTGAACGGTAAGTCAAAACATGGAAACAGAAAACGGAGAAACCGTTCCAATGCTCACGTTATCCAGCTCCTTGCTGAGGCTACACCAACGAAGCGTGAAGTTCATCGCCGTCGCATTGAACTTATTCACAATGTCGTCGTATTCCTCCATGGTAATGTTCTCGTGGGCTATGAGCCCGTTGTCGAAAAGTAAGTCTTTGTTGCTGGAAAGCAAGAAAGCGATCGTGTATAAAATATAAGAGACAAAGGGTAAACAGTTCTGGACCGCGATAGTCAAATTGTGTACATGATATATCGTAGGAAAGAAAGAAATATCAACTTCAGATATGATATGGTATCGATGGGAATGTAAACAGCGTCGAGTAATGTTTGCTTAGTCGTAGACCTTCGAAGGCTGACTAAAATGTCTGACCTAGTACGATTATCAATTCCATCTTTACTTCGACGCTTCTGTACAGGGCGCCCCGTCTAAATGGACCCAGATATCTTCGAAACTGTTGACGATACTAAAAAACGTTTCATATAATAATTAAACGGTTAAAACTTTGAGAAAGCGTACGTCGAAATTTATGTTTCATTCGACTCGATACTGCAGCGTTGCTTCTTCGAGGTATAGTCACGTATTTAACGAATATAACAATGTCACGATACGTATGTCGTTTAGCAATTGTTTCACCATCGCTGTTCCCGAGAAATGACAAAAATATTCGTTTACCTGACGATGCACCTATCAAAGCTTGTCATCGCCTTGAAGCCTAGAATGGCGAATATTACGACGCTCGCGTAAATAGCAGTGAAGGCATTACAACCGCTGACCAGTAGCACGTCCCGGACGCAGTTGTTGTCCGGGGTGTTGTAAGACCCAAACGCGATCAAGGAGCCGAACGCTAGTCCGAAACTGTAAAAAACCTGCGTCGCTGCGTCTAGCCAGACCGTCGGCTCTAACAGTTTCTCGATCTGTGCACGAGACAAACGGAAAAGAATTTGGAAACGTGCTTGAAACGTGTTTGAACGTTTGAATGGATGTTCGTTGATTACCTTTGGCGTGTACATATGGGCCAATCCAGCGCTGGCACCTTTTAACGTTATTCCACGAATAAAAAAGATAGTAAGCACCAAATACGGGAACATGGATGTAAAATATACCACCTTTAAATCAAGCAAAGAAATAAGTCGTTGACACTGTATCTGACTTTTGCTTTTTTTACGAGCAGGAGTAAATTCGTGGGGGGGGGGTGGTGAGAAAGCAAACGGTCCTTGCAAGGAAAAGAAAGAAGCAGACGGAAGTGTTCGCGTTCGTTTACCTTTCCGGACGACTGTATCCCCTTCATCACGATAAAGAAGACGACGATCCAACTCAACAGTAGACAAAGGACGATCCACCACTTGAGACTCTGACCAGCTTCGATCGACGGGGCCGCGTCTAGCGTGGTACGGTACCAAAAATAGGCAGTTTCGGAACTTTTTGCACATTCCTCGACCGGCTTGCCATCGACTTCTGGACACTTCGCCCATGGCAACGGTTCCTAAATTAAATTGTCAAGATTTCAACGATTCCGGAACGATAACGGACCCGTACATCGAACTATAGCTGTGCAGAAGCTGTCTACGTTCGGTGTCTACGGCATGCGCGACGCGTGCTGTCCCGTTTTTATTTGGTACTCGGTCGTCGAGCGTGCACGATGCTTGGAAAAATAAGCATTGTAATTGGTAGAATACTTACGCCGAATTTAATCGTAACGGCCTAACGCAGCGTGAAACACAAATCGAAATGTTATTCGAACGTATCGTGTATAATTGGTCGAGGTTCGTTCAACGATCGTTGCGTATATTCCGGCGATCGATTGTATTAAAAGTCGTACGGTCATCGGAGCCGTTTACGATCGACGGAATAACGGGCGCGATCGATCGATCGTCAGCCGTGGATGCTTACCTCGAACGAGTTGAATAGATAGTAGAAACACCAGGTGATGATGACGTTATAGTAAAGCGCTACGAAGAAGGTGACGATGCAAGACGCTATTCCTATACCGCCTAGCCACGGATGTATCGTGTTCCATACTCCAAGGGCGCCCTGCCGCATACGTTGACCGAGACCCAGCTCGATCAAAAAGAGGGGTACACCCTCTAGGATTAGCATCACGAAAAAGGGGATGAGAAAGGCACCTGAAAAGCATCCCATTTTTTTCCCCCCTCGTTTCGTTTTTTGTTCGAAGCGATCCACCTTCTTCTTATTTGTTCGTGTAAAATAATATCGTTCGCTGGCCCCTCACTCTCATCTCCGTCATACCAACGATCCTCTTGTTCCACCGACCCTTTATTACGGTATGAATGCGCAACCCGTTCTCTGTTAATCTCTCCCATTTGGCAGAGCTCTGCGTGCCCCTGCTTAGAGAACGTTCTCCGTTCCCCTTTTTTCGTGGCCGTCTAGTTCGAGGCAGCCGCAGCCTGAGTGTCTGGTTCGGTATTGATCGTGTGACGCGTACGTACCTACGTACACACGGTACATGCTTACCGGTTCGATCTTGGCTGGTCAGTGTTTTTTTTCTCTCCTCCAGTCGAAAGCATTTCGGGTGGCATTCCGTTACGCGACGGATATATTGATCAATGACGACAACACCGTTTCGCGAGGTACATATTGCGAATTCCGTTGCAACCCGTTGGAAAGCTGCCCCCGTTCGATCCCCCGTGGAAGTTTACGATCCGCTTTTTGAATAAGGCCAGGCTCGAGGTATCAACGACAACCCGTACAAACGAACCGCGGTATATTAAACGTAATATATGTCTCTGGCCAGCTATTTTTGTACTAAATTACCGTCTTGCTTGGTGTCGAGGGCTCGCATTAAGAAGGTCGTGGTCTCGACCCTTCGCATTTGTGAAAATAACTGGCCAGAATTTGTACCGTTCCATTCGAAAACTGCTCGTTCGGATCGTTAAGTTCCCTCGTAACGTACTCGTCGAAGGGATAACTCGTAAGGGGCGCTTTCGTTTCTACGACCTAAACTTTGCAACCCTTCGCCGTTGCCATCGTAGAGGGACAAGTATTGTATATATGCCTTTGGCCACCGTACCATATATTTATTCTTTATAGAAATTCTGCACGCCGTAGTAAATTAATAACGTGCCTGTCGATTTACAGCACAAAACACTTTACGTCCCCCCACGGTGGCCGTGAAGCACAAAGGACTAAGTAATCACCACAACGCTACTCCGCCGATAGCATAAAGGTTGATACTGTTTATGACTGTGAATAGGGTAATTAATAGAGCGAAGTTTACGTTTCGACCGTGGTCGAGGGTCCCTATCGGAAGAATTTATCGTCGATCAACGTGATTGAGAACGCGGTGCTTTAATCGGATACTCGAGCCTCGAACTATGTATTTTCGATATCGGTAATTTTTTCATTAAATTCCGAGGGGTGAAATATTTTAAGTTATGCGTACTATAGAATCGGCCACGGGCGTAAGAGCAGGTTCGGTGAATGAAAATTTTTGGCATCGAGCGCATACCTTGTAAACAAAAATTACTCGACACTGTAAACACACCCTATATCGACGTTATCGCATTATTTTTAAACCTAGTCTGACCTTTTTCCTGTAGTACATCGTGCTTATGCAATTCGACATTCGCGGAATGCTCTGTAATGAATTGACCGTGTAAGTCGAGGACTGAACTTCTATTTTTAGAAGAATTTCCCAGACGTTACCGGGAATATTGATACAATATCGATGTCCTCTCTTTTGATATAAGTCCCTGACCTTGCTTATAAACGGTACGATACCTCTATTAACGAGTACGAAAGAATTCCTAGATATTTTTAACTCTGTGACTCAGACATTAGAACTCTCGAATACGATGAACGAAATTGCGGTTTTGAAATAGGTATTTTCTTGTTTAAATTGCTAAAATTGTACAGTGGAGAAGGGTTCAGCGTAGGCTTCTGCGATTAACTATTCGTTGAATGGAAATTCCTATCGTGTTATTCAACCGTGGCTATATTTATACTATGTGTATAAACCGACAGATAGGAAACACGGTGTTCTGATTTTCGAATAATTATTGTTATCGTTCGATATCTCGATACGAAATCCCCGGTGTAGTTTCGAAAAAGATCGAGAGGGAGACACGATTCATAAACGCGATGCTAAATGGTTACGTGTGTCTCGATAGAATGGTAAAAATCGATCGGTGCGCGTCGGACGTCGGCGTCGGCGTCGGCGTCGGCCTCGACGTCGGTGTCGTGTCGAGGCACGGGAAAATTCCATTGAAAGTCGAGGAGGCCGCGGCATGATTTTGGTACGGAGTAGGTCTATCGATTCGCGAACCGGGTACCCGAGATACCGGGGTACCCGCGATTTCCGGCGACGACGAAAAAATTCGAAACCGTTTCGGGACGCGCGGAACGCGAATACCTCGTCTTTGAGCGTGGAAACTTCCGCTGAGAGATTCGCGTGGACGTCCACGGATTTAGCGGTCCCGTAAACCGTGGATCGTCCGTGACGTAACCGAGACGTGATTTCATTCGCGATCTGGGTCCGCCACCCTCGCCGCTGCGCCTCCACCCACGTAACGCGCCGTCTAGATGCGCGCCAGCCGGCGTTTCCGATCCGCCCTCGCGCCGTTTCCATCGGAATATAATCGAGTTACGCGACCGAGGCATAGGTCGCGGAGAAGATGGCAGCCCCCGGAGGGTTCAAGGGCGAATTTTATAGGATCTTATCGTTTCCACGGGTTTCCTTCCGTGGATTTCGGTGAGATCGAGCGGCAGGAAGGGGGGCGTGGAGATAGAACGCGATCGACGCGGAGAGATCGCCTCCGCGTACGCGGTATTTCGAAGACACGCGAAAGACTCGCGATATATAGATACATGTATTTTTAAGCGACGGTTAGGGTGAACGAAAATAGCGTACACGTAGAGATTGGTTCGCGGCGTAGATCTGGAGCTCTAGGACAATGTCTGGGTTCGTACGACGTAGGAGAACGGAGAATCGTTCATGGTTTTCCGAAATAAGAGTGAGGACGGGTAACGGAGATCTCCGTGAGCCAGGCGACGATATTTCGTCGCGATTCGCTTACCTCCACCGTTTTGTTGGCACAGGTAAGGGAACCTCCAGATATTCCCGAGTCCCACGCTGTAACCGATAATACTGAGGAAAAATTGCATCTTGCCGCTCCATTCTGCCCTCTTGTCCTCCTTGGACTCTTGGCTTCCAGCAGCATTTTGCGTTCCGCTCACCACGATCGTCACGTTCTGGCCAGCCTGACGATTCTCGTTCAACGGAGCCAACTCGTGCCCATTCCTCGTGTTATCGTTTTTGACTACCATTCTTCACACCGTGGTCTCTCGTTTCGAAGCTAAAAAACTCTCCTTAGTCTCGACGACGAGGGATCCGTTCCTCTCGGTTTGTCGCCGCGCTGAAGTCGGTCTCGATGAACCAGCACCGATTAGGGCAACCGATCGCGAATAGGGGAAACAGAGTTACGGGGGGCAGCGGGAGCAACAACAGTGACAGTAACAAACAACGACGATTAGAAGCGCGAGAGGCCAAGATCGGCACAGGAGTCGTCACGTATAATTTACAAGAGTATCACGTGATTACCGTTAATTCGCGCGGTTAGAAAAAAATGTTCCTTAGGGTAACGCGGAAGGCATGACTGGGGCGAACGGATGCGCCTGTTCGACGCGAGCAGCTCCCACGCGGACGTACGCTCGCGTTTCTCGCGAACGACGGAAAACCGGAGACACGCGGCGAGTTACTGCGCTGACGACCAGTTCGCGTATCAGAGGCTCATGTGTCGTTCTTTCGCATCGATCGATCGAAAAGGCGCGAGAAAATCACGTGCGTTGTGTAGGTCGTGGCACGGGGGACGAAAAAGAGCGCGTCGTTTCGGAGGGCGCGAATCTCGCGGAGCGGCCCGTGGAATATCAACGATTGAAATTTCTATCCCGAGCGTCGAGCGGAATCGATAACGGCGTGGGTCGAGCACGACAGTTAGCTGGTGCTCGCCGGTATCGCGAGCGGGGCTTTATCAACGGAAGAACCGAAACGAAAGCGTACGACGACGCGACTCGGAAGAAGCAAATCGGGGATGATCGAGGGAAAAGGCGCGTACGACGACCGTCGGGAGAAGATTCTCTGTTCGCGCGGCAGCGAGCATCGGATTGGCCTTCAGGCGAGAACGAAGCATCGAAATCGCGAAATTTCCGTGGGTCCAAGCACAACGGGCGGGTAAATCACTTGTAACAAACCGGAGGAATCGAAGGAAGCTCACGTTTCACGTCGTCGACACGGATATATCGTCCTGATATCGGAACATGCCCTCGGTCTTCTGTCTTCTCGACCTGTTTCTACAATCACGATCCTCTCTCCCTGTTTTCTCCTCTTTCTTCTTCCGTAAACGTTCGCGTCCTTGATCGCGTGTGACATAAGCTTCGGTACTACAGCTTCGGTGCGGTCTCGAACCGTGCGAAATTTCGACGATTTACTAAATGGGCAGCATCGTTTATTGGCTCTGTTACGACTCCTCTTCCTTCTGCACGCCGACACCGTGGTTCTCTATGCTCCCGTTTCCACGAAGGTGTTGCACGACGAGGGGCTGGAGCGCGTCTCGCGACGAAGAACAGACTGGAATCGTCCGAAAATTATTTCGAGCCGATGGTCCGCTGATCGAACCGACGCTCGCTCGAACGCGAATAGGAAACGCGTGGACGGTGCAGGGAACGAACGGTTTTCGGAGCCATGTAGCTCTGGATATCGCTAGCCTCCCTCCTCGCCGCGGAATATCTATTTTTTTTTTTTCGTCACGCCTGGTTTTCCTCGTCCCTTTAAAGTTACGTATCAACGGACAAGCCCGCGCGAATTATTCCTCGAGCGGCTCTCGGTGGTTGTCTAAAGAGAACTCTGACTGCACGCCCCGTGCATGCGAACGTCAATATCCGACTGAACCTAACCACCGTTGCGCGGTTGTATTGCGCGCGCGCGCGCGCGCGCGTTCACGCACGCATGCAAGGGAACCAACCGACGAAGCGGACCCCGGAGCTTCGACGCGTTACGATAAAGCTTTCCACTGCTTTCAATCCCCGATTGGCCGCGGTAATTACGTGCATATGGCGCATACGCTCTTCCGTTCTCCCAACCATCGGCTGTTCTCCGTTTCCCCGCGAGCCCAGACCGTTCGACGCGTTCCTGGTGCGGCCGAGTTTCCACTGGCCGACTTTGGTCGGGGTGAAAATCGAAAGGATCCAGAGAAACAGAGAGAGAGAGAGAGAGAGAGAGAGAGAGAGAGAGAGAGAGAGAGAGAGAGAGAGAGAGAGAGAGAGGAACATGCTGATTTATCCCTCGAAACATTCCCCGAAAGAGGACGATTCTCTGACCTCCGTTTCTGGCCAACGCGTTCTGCCTCGAAGCACGCGCGCGCGCGTCTCCACATCGATCTTGGTCGCAGCCAATCCCGGCCATTTTCGTCCTCGACGTGATTACCCACTGATCTTGCGAAGTTTCCTCGCGTTTCTGCGAATTGAATTTTCGAACCGAGTTCCATTTTCGTTTGGAGGACATTCCCGGTCCCGATGGCCCATCACTCGAGCTAAATTTTCATTTAAGGGGGCAGTCTCGCGTGAACGTCGCAAAAATTTAATCATATTTATTAATTTTTTTTACGCGAACGTTACATCCAACGTCACGATTCATTTTCGCAGTTTACTCAACTACTTTTTAATAGCTTTTATTGACTTTTCGTGTTGTCATCACGTCCGCAGTGAAGAAAATTACATTTCGAGAGAAACGCATTTAAACTCTGCAAGATCGTATTAATCAATCCCAGCTGCATACAGAATTCCTTCCAGAGCGTTGGCACAAACGCTGGAATGTCGACTTTTAAAAACAGCAGATGTGTCTTGACCCTGTCGTAAACTTAAAAAATTGAGCCTGACCTCTTAACGGAAACCGCTCCGCCATCACGGTTCGCTCTTTCTTTCGCTCGTTACTTCTCGTAATCGTTCCACGAGCAAATGAATTGCTTTTCGATGCAACAAATCGAGTCAAATCGACCGAGTCCCGGAGTTCTACGAAACCATTTTGTACAGAGATCGGTAAACGTAGAAGAAGCGTGTTTCTATGGAATGCACCCTGACCCGTTTTGGCTCGATCATCTCCTAATTCATACCGTCCAGTTATCGCGATCAAGCCAGGTCCACCGTTTGCAAGTCGACGATCGGTTTCGAAGGGTCGAATCGGTTACCCCGGCACGAATTCGTCGCTCGTCGAATACGATTTGCGAGCAGACGTTCCGTGTCACGGTAACTGGCACGAAAATTTTCGCGGGTCGCAACAAGCACTCGCGTACAGATGACGAGGGTATCCACTCATGAGAACTATCATCGGCTCGAGAATGGTGTCAAGGGCAAATCGTGACCGAGGCACGCCGAAGAAATCAATTTGTTTAATAAACATCTGCCGCGAATTGTACGGTTTGGCCACGTATTCCCGATACGCGGCTGATTTTCGTGCGAACGCAATCGCGACACGAGTTTCGGCCTTCGATAACGCGATTAACATCTCTTCCTATTGGCGTTTCCACGCACGGAAACCGAGTTGTTGGAAAACGGTGAAACCTCGATAAACGAACGAATATTAAATCTTCGTCTTCGTGTGCGTAAATAGATAAGTATCGACCAAATAGAAACGATAGGCGCTGGTTGAAACGCGAGCGAACAATTCCAGGGAGTATACCCTCTCGTAACGCGTCTCACGTCACATCCTCATTCACGAACTTATTAATAACGAGACATTGTTTACGCGCAATTAATTTCGTACCATCCACGTACACGCGGTGACACGTGCTTCCTAAGAACGAAACGACGTGCACGGAAAGGGTCGCCGTGCGGCACTCTTGCATCGCGTTGCGTAAGCTCGACAGGCGGTTAGGTAGAATCGTACGCGAAATTTCGACTCGGCGGGGAAGTCGACGGATTAATTCCGCTTACAATTTCAAACCTTGCATGCGATTCGAACGCACGCGGCTCTCGTGACCGAAGGTTTTGCTTGTTTGTACCGGGTGTCTGAAAATAAAATGATCGCTTGTTCGCGATCCTCGAGACCGAATTTTGCGTTAAGTAGCGCGTAACGGACGTTGGCGGTTCGATCCATATCTTCTTCCCCTCTAAAAATACGCTTTCGCGCGAACAGAATCCATTTTACGATTGATTCGAGCGTTGAAACGGGCAGACGCTCCGGCGACGTAGTTCGTACGGTCTTACGTAAACATCAAATAATATTAGCGCGGTTGGCCAACGACAGGGGTGAAATACGGTCGGGAAAGTGGGAGGTCGGATTGAATGGTGGGCCGATCGAAGCAACAAGATTTAACCGTTAACGTATCAGAGTGTATTTGCGGACATGCACATCGAATACAAGTAACGGAACGGTGGTTTTGGTCGTCTCCAAATTCGACGCGATAGATTGGCCGCAGTTACCGGATCGTTCGATTTCTGTTGAGAAGCACGCCTCCGTTTCGCTGCTTCCATAGGAAGAATATACTAACCATGTTAGCTGCATAAAACCAGCGAATCCGCTTGCGAGGAATGCGAACTACGCCGTCAGCGAAAATGTTGGAACGATCGGTTGCGCCATCGATAACGCGACGAATTAAGTCGAGCAGATCAGGCACGTTTGTTTATTCGATGATGCAGTAACGTGCGTCTGAAAACAAACAACGAGGTCCGATGATGCAAACCGGGCTTCCACGTTAAATTGTTCGTCGTAAGGACCGTACCTGGCGTTGCTGAAACAATCCAATCCATGTAACCGCCGACTCTGCAGTTAACGCCGCTTGTTACGCCGCAACCACTACCGTAATTGATAATTCCGATGAGTAGAAGTCGCCTGGTCGTAGGATTCTGCCATAGAACGGGTCCGCCGCTGTCCATCTGCGAATCGAACAGAATTTTCTTTCATCGATCACGGAAGATTCGTTCATAGAATAAAAAGAGAGAGAGTATTACTTGACAATCGTCTTTTCCTTCCGCGAACGTGCAGAACTGATCGTTGGTTAAGTTATTGTAAGTTTTCGAGCACTCGAGATTCGTGAGGACGCTAAGGGTGGCCTTTTGTAGAGTATCGGAGGGTGGCCCGGCGAACTCCGTCGTTCCCCAACCTGTATCGTACGATAATATTTGTTTAAAATACAAAAAGTCGATTACAATGAAGCGGTTTCGTGTTACCGACCCAATATATCGACGAAACTCCCGCCAAAAGTGTCCGGCGAATGTTGGAAAGGCAAACAAGCTGGGCCAACCTCGTTGCTGTAAACTAAGTTCCCGTCCAGCTCCACGACGGCTATGTCGTTCAAGAAACTTTTGCGAACGTAGTTAGGGTGAATGGTAGCCTTCTCGATGCGGTACAGCCTCGTGGCATTTGACTCTTTGCCTGAATGCGAAAATCATTCGAAAATCTTTGCCTGAAACGCTTTTTCAAAAAAGCAATTCTCACCTGTCCGTATATCGTGCTCGCCCACCACGACACCCAACTTTTGTATGTCTCTTCCTACTATACAATGAGCTGCCGTCAGTATGTGTTTAATGGATATTATAGTACCGCCGCAGTACACTCTTCGTTGCAAAGAATCCACCATGCCGGCCATCATGGGATACTCGTTCACCCCTGTCTCCACGCCACCAACGATTCTGGACTAAGGACAATCGACGCGACAGATTTTTTACGAGACGTTACCAAACTTGTGCAAAACGATAGCGAAGCATTTCGTTTAAGGTTACGTACGGGATTCTTCCACCCGCATTGACATTTCTCGCTGTCTTGAGGCCTTTTGATCGCTTCAACCTTGCAAAGGAATCGACCGCCTATAGACCAGTATGGCGACGATAACGACATGGTCATCGTGTTGTCGTTGGATTGTATACTGAAACTTCTATCCCCGCAATATCGATACGTCGTGGATGCGTCGACTTGGATGACCATTCTATCTTCGAGGCAGTCGACACTCTGCGAGGAACGTTTCTCGCGTTACTATTGTCTTGTTTCTCGATTAGTCGGAGGCTTTTGAACGAAATTATCATTGTTTGGCAGTTTACGAAAGGAAGTCTTTGATCTTACCCCTGGTAAATTAAACGTTTCGCAAGTCAGGTTCACCCGATAAGCGCTTTTTATAGTCCACATACACGACCTTGCTCCGTTATATTTATATGGATACTCCGAATTATACACGTAGTAGTCTGTGCCGGGGACCAGTTCCTGATAGAAATTGCAATCCTCGTCCACGGCGTAGCTAAATGTGACTAACAACGTTAACCAGCCAAGGAACCATAAAGTCGCTGCAAAGAAAGAAAAATAATTCTATTCGTACGCTTACAATAAAATCTATCGACTATCTAAGGAATCGTGATGAAGATAATATTCAATGAATCAAGATATTTCTTCTACTCGACATCTTCTACGATTAATTTCGTAACAAACGCGGGACGTCTACTGTTTCCTACCTTTAGCCATGGCGTGGAATATGGCAGCCGTTATGTAGGATGATAGATTCCCAGATTCCGTGAGAAAACGACGAATTTTTACTTAGGGTCTTGGCTCGATAGAAATGTGAAAATTTCAAACAAACGTGCAGTACTATCTGTCCGTGTTCGCGCGAATTCCGACGTTTTTATCCGCAACGCGAAGACATGCCAAAGTGGCGACTAATAATTTCGCGTACGCTATCATTGTGGTCTTATCAGAAGGTAATTGTAACCTCGAGAATAAAACTCGATTTACGATGACAGGTACTTAATATGTATGTTCGCAATGCCCGCTTAACAAAATTCCAGGGTGGTAATAGTTCGTTTTTGAGGTGTATGCATTTCGTACATTCTGTGTCTATGATCAATGTAGTTATTCTGTTCTCCATTTCTTTATTTCTTGATTATGTCCATTAAATTATAACTAAATTAATCTTAACCGCGAATCGAGGTTTTTTTATTGTGGTACGCATGCGATACTCGAGATACCGATATCTCTATTTTAACTAGAAATCGAGCAAGTCATGTATAGTAGTTAATGGTTAATGTCAACAACTCGATAAAAGATACGTCTTTTGCTTCTTCGTACTTTAAACGGTGCAAAAATATTCCTAACCTTTATGGTCGTCGTGAGAGTATTATTTTATTTCGTTGGTTAAAAAATTAGTGCTGGATGAAGTTTACCAAAAGACACAAAAAGGAATTAGTTTCCCTTGTTTCTGTGTTTCCTTTTATCTCATCGTAACGCAAAATAGCTTGTCTGACCTGTTCGCTTGTTTATGTTCTCGTATCAAACATTGGATAGGTACGTGTTATTTGGTATCCGAAAGGTATTGTTTTGCGAAAAACATATTCCTAGAAAAATTTAAATAATTTTTTATAATTGACATAAGTAATATACAACGTCAAGTGGTCGAGGTCGTTTAGAATTACTTTTAGGCCAGCTGCTGTATTAAGACGCGTAAATACATACTGATAATAGTAATCGCTTTTACCTTCTCAGACGGTAACTCTATACTTAAGAAACAACAATAGCATTTTATACAGAAACTTTCCTTGTACTAGAATTTCCATGTTTTACAATTTCGCAATAGTAAGAGGAATAGTAGATAAATGTATACATATTATTTGAATACCTGGAGTAAAATGGTAATTCTTCGGAATAAATATTATCGAGGTCTCAAGGATTAACAAGGAAACAAATAAAGTATAAAAGAATTTGATCGGTTCTAATCCATTCTAATCCCGAGTTCCCGTGGCAGATAAGTTGACAAACAAATAAATAGATAAATAGATCGCAAAGAAATCAACAGAGATGGAAAATGGCTACTAGTACCATCTGGTGGACACTTCTTAATATGGTAGTTAGTTGCCATGACAATGAGTGGTATACAATCTTGGAGATTAATAAAAATATGCACGCGTGTATGGACAAATGCACGCGTGTACTTATATTACATACTCGGCAGTAATTGTTATATAATTCAGTCAACATAGTTCTATTCTCATGTATTTTAAACAATTCTAATAGAACAATTTTATTAACATGTATATCGGTCTTAAATTATGGAAAAACGATAATAACTAGTTACGAAAGTAGCATCGACAAGAAAAGAAAAAGGTAATTCGTGTCAGCGAAAGAAAATGATATATTTTACATCTAAATTAAATAAGAAATTCAAATTATTCGAATGACCCTTAACCTCACTTTTGGTTCATTTTTGATATCATAGCATAGTTGTAAAAGAATGTCAGCGGCAAAGGGCAATTTGGAGACAAGTTATAAACCAGTTTATCGTCGCAGACGTATTTCTAAAGCTAAACATACGTTTAAAATGCACAATAACCATAAAGATCCATCAGATCTTGCGACAGAAGATGGTAATGATTACGAAGGTGACCTATCTTTGGCAAGCAAATGTGATAAATCTGGAAGAAATAAAAAATTAATCAAAGAAAGTAACGAACAAAAACAAATGTTTGATGAAGGTGATGTAGATTCAGGTACTATTGTTTTGCATATAGCATGAAATGATTTTTGCTGTTTAAAAGTATTGTTTAAAATGTTATACATTATTATAAACAGGTATTATTTATTCAAAGACAAGAGACAAACGTCCCTCAAAAGATACAATACTAATAGTTAATGAGTATCATAAATTAGAAAAATGTTACAAAAATGTCCAGGATGAATGTCAAAAATTAAATAGTTTGTTGGAGCAGCAAAAGGCAGAGTATTTGCAATTATATTCGCGTTATGAAACATTAGTACAAATGGTGCAAGATATTGAAGACACAAAAGTTGATTTGGCAAAACATAATCGAAAACTTGAAGCTGAAAAAGTTCAATCGAGCGAAGATATAGTATTACTAAAACGTATTGTTTATCAATTAAATGCTGAATTGGAAAGATACCAGGATAAATTGAGAGACCAAAAACTTGGAAATGTTTCTACAGACTTTGTAGAAAATGGCGAAAAAGAAGAAAAATACCACCAGCGTGTTTGGCGCGGCATTAATTTTCATAGTTTGGGTCCACTTTTAAATGCCTACCAAGAAAACTTGTCTGAAAAACGGGAACTTGTAAACATGTACGAACAACAGATGGCTGATTTTAGCAGCAGATGCAAGGAAATAATTACAGAGAATGAACTTATGCATAAAGAAGTGGAAGAATTAAGATTAGAGTGTAATAGGTATGCACAAGAAATTAAATCATTGGTCGAGAATACTGCATCGCTAAAAAAACAAAATGATGTCTTGCAAAAAGAAACTGGAGGTTTAAAGAGAGAAGCAAATGAGATCTGTTCATTGTATGAAACAAAAATGGAGGCAATCTTAAAACGTAACGAAGTACTTAGGAAAGAACATGCAATGAGTGCATCAGAACTGAGTAATCTCAAAGGGAAATACGAAATTTTGAATAAAGAGTTCGAGAAGGTTAAAAATAAAGAGGAGCAAACAGTGCCAACCATTGTTCATACTACCGCCATCGAAGAATGTAAGACGCTGTTAGAAGAATTAAAACATCAATATGAAACCGAGAAACGGAATTTATCTAATCATATAAAACGTATGGAAGAGAATCAACCTGAGAAGGAGAAAGAACTCGTAATGATTACAGCTGAAAGAAATCATTTAAAGACTCTTGTTGAAAGACTAGAAAGCAGTTTGAAGTAAGATATACATCATTTTCTATAATATATAATTTTTCTTTATCTCATTCGCATGGTAAAGTGTATGTAGATTTGTTTTAGGCGCATGCAACGTAAATATGAGAATATGCAAACCTTTGTATATTCTACACGCGTTTCACGCGATTCTTTAAAAGAGCAATTAAGTAAAACGACCGCTTATTGCGAAGAATTATTTTCCGAGTATGAAAGAATCGTCGCAGAAAGGGAAAAATTACTAACTCTTTTGCGTGAAACGGAAAAAGAAAATGCTACTATTGATCGTCTCGGGAAAACCATTAATAATCGAGTGGATGATTTAAAGAACCAACTGGAGGTACCTATAAAATATTTACAATATTAATAAAACAGCAAGAAAAGTAACGAGCAATGTATAATTTCAGAACGTACGAAGGGGCGCGAAACAACAAGTAGAAATTGTTGAGAAACGTATAAAGTTACAAGAACTTCGAGTGCGTCGGATGAAACGTGAATATCGTTGTAAAATACGGGATTTAAAAGGTACAATTAAACAGAGAGAAGACACGATTTTAAAATTGCAAGAGAAACATATTAACCGAAATAAGTCGGTCCGAGATTTGCCCCAAGCTATACACGACGATAAACCGAAAGCTACAATGTCGGGGGAAAATATTCATAATCTTTAGATCAATTACGTAAACGGTCAGCTCATTAAACGCATGATAAGATCATTCGTAATAGATTGGACTTTGAATCTGATTTTCAATGAATCTCTTAATAAGCATCTAATTGTGGAATAGGTGCTACTCAAAACACCATCCTTCCTGGTATTTACCGACCATGTCAGTCACTTTATTTAGCGGTGACATCAAACGAGACAAGTGGCTGCGAAGGCTACCGTTCGCCACTATATGAATGGCCGATGGCGATGGCGGCTATAGTAACTACCTCCCGGCGAAAAATTGATGTCAGCCGATATAGGTATGATGTCAAGCGCGTTCCATATATTTATATGCAAAAGATGTATGTTTTAGCCTTAAGCCTTTTATACAGATCAATGACAATTCTAAACACGATAATAATAGATGGACGTTTCGGTAATAACCTGTCAATATAATTCAGTGCCCAAGAGGTTACTGCATTAACATTGATCCTAATATCGTGTGCTTACAAGGTATTTTTGTGATTATTCCCGTCCTTGTTTTCCTTTTTGTTGCTTCATTTTCCTAGTTTTTATGAATATGAATGTATACAGGTTATTTACGATACCATAGTAACCAGATTTATTTAGAAAATATTTTATTATTTTTTATGGATACAGTGGTTTAATTAACAAATGTCATACATATCAAGCGTCTTCTATACATTTGAAATGGAATTAAAGAACAATTAACGTTTAAAACTAGTTTGGAAATCTTCATGCTTTTTCATTTCTATGATCTCATTTATTTGCAAGAAAAACGATAAACAGTGATAATATAGAGGAAGCTTTTAGCGGAAAAGAAAGTTACTTATGTGTGAAAAATTAATTAAAAATGAGATCAATATGACATAAAGATTAGATCAATACGTAATTCATAAAGAAAGTATGACAAATAATTTCTAATAACATATGTACCTCACATAAGGTAGTGGAGTGGCCACAGAGTGGCGTTGCGAATCAAGCTAGATACCGAAAACCCCCACTCCAGTCGCCAAAGTTCGGGGTCTCTCGACTAACTCCGGGCGCTTTCGTCGAAAGCAAAATGTCGTCTGCTAGGCGCGTCGTCAGACCGAACCGGGTCGTATTTCTATCGCGAAAAGCGCTATGAAAAGTGATAATGCGATGTCTCTGCGCGCGAGCATGTAGTGTTTTTTGTTGGAAGGTGTACCAAAAATCGCGAAAGGATATTCTTCGGATTGGGTTGCCACGTTGCTGACGAAGAAATTCAAGGAGAATACCGGTGAACATTGATTTTTCCTGGTTTCGCATCAGCACGACAGATGATCGAACGGTAATGCACATTCTTCTTATTCTCTCAATTCGTTACCTTTCTGAAAACGTTAATAACTTTATCCTATCATCGGTATACGTGGACTTGAGGGGAGTAGAGTATTGTCTCGTCGATATAGTAATATGTTGAACTCGATGTTGGGTTAAGATTCGCGACAATACATGTGAACGAACCGTAGTTAAATTTCATTATTTTCAGTGCGACGGTTATCTTGATTTAGTCAGTTCCGTGTAATGTTTTTCGCAGATGTCGCTGATTCGTAGTAATATTGCACATTGCCTGCATGTAACCCTCGAATAACTAATACGTAGGATTTCTACGATAATCCTATTCATTGGTATCGCGCAGGTCCTAATAACGCGCAAACTCGAAGAATTTATGTTCCTTTCATAAAACAGAATTAATAGATGTTAGGTTAGGTTTAACTTCCAGCAATCGGATTATATTCTTTGTCTCGTTGAGTAATCAAACCTTGAATCTGGTACGTTTCTCATTGTTTGGTTGTTCAGCGAGAGGATGTCTGAATGTACTTTTTGGGATCTTACGTTTGGACAACGCTCTAAATTTGACTGTAAGCATAAAGAGAGAAAGGGGGAGAGAAAAATTACCTCCCATAGTCGCCTTGTGCATAAACTCAAGCCTTTTGAGCCTCAAATATAGAACGGATGTTCGTGTTTTTGCTTCTCTATAGTGTAAAAATAAATTTTATTTGTTAAAGTGTTCAGGCACGTATGAATATTTGAATACAATGAACGATAAAGGATTATTGTTTATACGTTATTCCAATTCGAAGGCTTTCGAGACTGGCATATTTTAACCACTCGTATCAGTAAGCAAGTAGCTCCCCTTGAAAGTAGAACGATGATCTATGCGACGAAGAATTTATGCATGTTTTAATTTTTAAATACCGTTCGAAAATCAATTCGATTCGATATATTGTGTAGTATGCCAAGTGTGTCATCATGTTTATGTATCCAATAATGATCTCATATCCCTGCCTTATACCCGAATCTTGGCCATTGACTCATTTTCGTACCTCGTAGTATGAATACGTCAAATCAATCTTCGAACGTTTATTTTATTACTCGTGTACTTAACAAAGTTAGTTAAAAGGAATACAACAGTTGTTTACCACATCCGTTTCCGGTTCTTTGTATCTGATCTTGCCCGATATATGTATAGTTTTAACCGCTGACGTCTGAATTTATCACGAATAGAAATTGCAACGAGTCCCACGTTAAACATTTTAATAACGTCCAATTTCAGAGAAATCGAACGTTCTTAAATTTTCTTATCTTGTAAACATCCGTAGAAAGCGTCGATCGGCGGAAAATCGCTTTCTCCCCCCCGACCGTGAGTCATAATGCTATTACTAAAATATTAATGCAATATCGTTCATTCCCTTTTCCTTACGTGTTCGCGAACACGCAAGGCGCATACGTTGCGCTAGAAAAATCAGTTGCTCTTGAACAATTTACAATTGGGTTCGACGCAAAACGAATAACAATAGTTTTCTCATTTGTATTCGTAGAATGTTTCCGGAAGGGAACAGCGGTATAGATGACAACAAGGGCGGTGGAAGAACTAGACCGAGGTATTTCGACAAGTGAAACATCGAAGAATCTTAGGATCGTGGCAAAGGTCTTGAAAACGAACAGCAACGACGGGAATTCGAGGCTGCTTTGACTGCTGAGGTTGAGCCTGACCTAACCAAGTTTTCAGCCAACTGTCTAACCTGACCTAAGCGCCGCTCACGACGAAGACACGAAGCATTGCTAATTATCGGCGTGCAGGAAGCACGTTAGTTGCGTTGCTATAAGCTGCCCCGCTATCCTATCGTTCCCCATCGTTAAGTAATTGCTATCCGTCGTCAAAAGGACGCCCCAGACATCGACGCTTTCCCTATTCGTCGTCTCCTTCTCGCTTCTCTTCCTTCCGTTCGTTCCGGCGTGCAGTTCGTGCACTTCTACGCAACGGTACGCTACCGTATCCTACACGGCCGGCGTTCCATAGTAAATAAACGCGCGGCATGGTAAATTCGATTTCCACGTGCGTTCCGGCCGACTGAACTATACAGAATTTCAAGAACACGTCACGAAAGAGGAAACATTGATAGGAATCTACGGGGAAAGAGACCGTTCGCGGGGATGTCGTGTCTAATAGCATGTGCAAAGCCGCCAGCTGCCCGCTGTCGATAACTACGACCGAGCTAGTTCTCTCTCGGTGCAACACTCGACGTTCGCGAACGGTATCGAACGAAGACGACGTAACGTTTCTGGCTCTGTGTCGCGGTTGTGAAATTGCTCTGGTGATTGTGAAACAGTGCCGAACAAGGAGAGGAGTTGCACGAATATGGTGTAAATGAAAAAAGAAGTTTACAGCCAACAACGTATCAGATAATGGAGTTCGAGCTAGACGGAAGTCTGAAGGAATGGGTAAAGGACAAACCACTGAGTATCCTGCAGCTCGATCCCGCTGACAGAGCCGTCTTACGGATTGCCGGTAAGTAGCTGTCATTTGACGCATTTAAGTTTCCGTTTTCGTAAGCTGGTTACGTACTTGAATTCTTTAATCGCGGTACCGCTTTCCGCCTTTCGTTTTCGATCTAACCGTGATTTGCAACTACTACGAGGCGCTTGTTCTTCCCCCCCCAAAAAAAAATTCCCCGATCATTCTAAAATACGAAACGTCACGTGTTGCGTTTCCCCCCCGAACAATTGCAAAACGAGCATCATTACAACGCACGAGTGTGCTAAATTGCACTCGTAGTGATGACGTTTATCGTGCTTCTACTACGATACACGATTCTCCTGGTAATTGACAGCGCGCACGTAATCGACCAGAATGTATAATGACTTGTAAATTAATGGTAATAGTAATGCCGAGAATCAATCGTTCATTCTCGTTTTTTATCTCGAACGATGTTGGTACTGTAATTTGCGACGCGAACGAATCGATAGTGCCGCTCGTGATCGAAGAAAGTTTTGGCCCCCTCCCCTTTGGTTACACGTTAATTCTCGTTCGAATTTTCCTAATCGACTATATCGATTTCCGTACGAGTTTCGCGAGAAGTTGAAACTATAGCAGTCGGTGTACGGCTGTACCACGCGTCGAGCTTTAGTGTTACCGTGAAAAGTTGAGGTTAGTTAGAAAAGTATCAACGTGTACACGTTCGTACAGCTTTTGGACATTAGTTACATTGCAAATTTTCCTGACGGGGATCGTTCGCCGACCTTCGACGGGGGCTGCTGACCAGGAATAGACACTCGAAACCGTTCGGTAAATATCGGATTGCAGCTGCCGATCTCATCTTACCGTGAGAATTTTTTTGAGTGCGCGTGCGTGTGCCCGCAGCGAATCGCTTTGATCGTTAGACGAATTCCGTTTCACGAGCGTTAAAGTCCTCGGGAGGAGGTCTTGTTTCGCGATAAAGTGGACATTTTTCTCGAACGTGGGACATCCGTGTGTTCATGCAAACGCATGCATGTAGGACACATCCGATTCGTGAAATTACAGGCTCTGATTCACGCTCACAAAGGAGGCGCGCGGTCGGTTCCGCACCATTTTCAAGTAGAGTCATTAAAATGGCTCGATCGACGTAACGCCCGCGGTCTCGTAACAAATGCACCGATAGAAGTATCGTGTCCCGAGCACGCGAGCATAATTGTTTCTAATTATAGCGAGCTATCGGCGTGCTATCACGAATGCTCCAGTAACCGGTACTTCTAATCGGTCCGCCTATCGTTTCGAGACCGCGTGCGATCTGTCCGGTTAAATTTATGGCCTTTCCGCGAACGCGGGATAATTCTCGACGCTGAAATGCCCGTTGTGGCCGCGCCGCGATGAATGAAGACACTTGTGTCGCTCTCGATCAAAGGGGTAGACAACCGAGTAACGCGGACCGATTCAACCGCGTCGACGCCGCCGCCGCATCGATGGCCGAGCTTTTCAGCGGTCACGGTCCATGGAATCTTCATAAGAGAGGTTACACTGGTTCACTATGCCTACGCGGCGGTCGAGTAGGGAGCGGAGGCGGCAGGTTAGGTCGGCTCGTATTAATCTAGGAGCGTGGAGGCGGCAACAGGTGCTCGGGTCACGGTTCGATGCCCCAGCCTTCGAGTGCAATTTTCCCCTCCCCTCGTTTTCTCTTCCGTTTCTCTTTTCTTTTTTTCTTTTTTTTTTTCGTTTACTTCCTCCCCTGCGCAGACTCGTTACATTTAGACGCCGTGTTCGGTGACGTCGCGGAGCGTTCGATCGTGGCAAAAGGGTGGACCGTACAGGGTGGTTCTAGAAACTGGCCGAAACTGGAACCATTTTTCAAGCGAACGTGGAAAAAATTGATATTGTTTTTTTAATTCAAAGAACACAGACTGATCTTGGGTCGATATTGAAAATCGAAATAAAAGTTATGTATCCGATTAGATGGTAGATTAAGGATGATAATCGTTAGATATGCGTATTGTGTTTTCTGGTATCTCGAGGCGGTTTTATCTAGAAACATTCTATGCCGAACAGTCAGCTTTATTGTTTTCTGCCGTTAATCACCAGTCATTTAAGTTTTAATCTGTGTTGAGAAATGTGCGTCCTTTGTGTGTTCGAAAATAAATCTTATGCAACTAGTGCATGCACTTTGAAATCTAATGTCGTGTGTTATTGCGAGGTCAAGGTACGAGTGAACAATAGTCGAGAAGATTGGTAAATAATAATTCCGAAGAGGTTAGAACTGATTCTATCTGACAGATATTTACGTACATCGGAAAATTAGGTTATTTCAGTTCAAACTGTGTTGTCTCTAATGAAACGTTCCGATTAAATTTGGATTCGTTTATTGATCGTAGAATTGTTTGTTACGTAAAATACAATCTGTAATTATTGTAGGAGAGTAGAAGGGTTTATAGTTCATAGATGCACGGCGTCGCTTGTATGGCGCTTGGTGTTCGCAATGATCCCTGCATTTCTTCAGTTTAAGCGATGTTTCGCGAGCTACTCGCTAGATGTCCCGGGTTACATGAAGTACCTGTAGAGCCCGTTGCACTTATGTTTTATCTCGTGAAAATCTTTCATGAAATTTAGCGTGGCGTCATCGACTTTGAAAATACGGAACAAGCGATTTCTCGATTTACTGCACGGGTCGACTGGGTCGAATTCGGAAAGCGGTTCTTCCGGTATTCTGACTTACCTTTTCGGGAAATTACCCTCGTCGCGATCGCGTACACATTTCTTCGTCGAGAACATTCATCATTCGAGGGTGAGAGAAACGTTACGTGAACCGACATTGACCCGCGGCGTTGCTTTTCCAAAGACTAAAGCGTGAAGTCGAAGTTACAACGTTCACCGACCGACTAAATTTTAAAGGAAATCCTCACGTTTTTATATATATATTACGTGTAGTAATCTCCGATTGGATCGGGGTACAGTTAGGAATGCGCGTGAACTTGCCAACGGGGCTCGGGGAAAAAATAAAAGTAACAGAAAAATGTTACCAGGTGGGATTCAGGTCATGAGTCGGGAACGGTGAACCGCTGTTCTGAACTCATCGAATATGTAATAGACATAACCAAATAACGTTAGATAGTGGGAATTATCCTTTTCGACGTAACACTACAGTCGACAGCCAAACGCTTATACAGGGTGTCCCAGGTTTAAAGTGTCAGACATTGTCGGTACGGTTGTTCCTCGAAATACTTATTAATGGTTCTGGTAGGAATCAATATTAATAGCTTCAACGACCTCAGATAGTAAACACTGTTCGCGTAAGCAAACTAAACGTAAATATTGCTGGTCGATTCCACTATTGTATCGTACTAACCGTCATCGTTTCCTTCGAATTACGTATATATACCATATTTTTTTATTCCATGAAATAATGTATCGACCATGTTCGGTACCTTGCGCCTATCGACTATCGATAATTCTGGTCTCCTATACATATTAAGTAGGTAATCTTGTTGGTAAAAATGTCAGGATCTTCTTAGTTTCAATTAGCTTATTTGTAATACGACGCGTTGAGACGTAGTACACGCTAGACCTTATTTATCGCTATCCGTGGAGAAACTATGAAAACAGGAGAATCGAATCTGTAATTATCTCATGTATCGGGAGGATTAAGGAACGATTAACCGACTCTTAGTGTATCGACGACACGCGACGTTCTGGACCGCATTAAACGACACGATCTGCTTGACCTACTGATAGGGATGCTAACGGTATCCACTTGCATTGGGTGCCAAGAAGTCCAAGTATCCGTCGAGACATCGATTTTTATAGGTTATGATACGCGTCGACCGAGCATCCAACCGTCCGCAGTTTTCGTCTTACTTTCGACACGGTTGAAAATTTCGATCCTTCGTAACAATATTTCGAGAATTTGTAATATTTTCGCGAGCCGCTGCAAGACACAGAGTCTGGTCTGGGTTTTGGCACGCCGAGTCGTTGCTTGCGGTCACGCAGTTGGCTGAACGAGGGTTAATAGACGGCGGGCCAGATGTGGCCCGCGGGCCGTAGTTTACCGACCTCTTGGTCGAGATGGATGTCCATTGCGCAAACCGTACATGTTGTTGACATCGATAGTTCTGACTGCATCTAAAACTGTAACGGTTAGCGGTTAACACGCGAACGCGATAACAGAATCTACGGCGGGTGACAGTTTCTGACAAACACCGGCCTTCGTACGACCGACGTTCGCATTTGCACTCGAGAGGCGGGGAGGGCACAACGGGCTTTGATTTTCTTCGAACAAAGTATGTATCATGCACGACGATAAGTCGTTATATTTATTCGACGAGTCTGTTATCGTTTATCACGATAAGATAAATATATTTCCATTCGTGATCGCGAGGTGGATTAGCGGTCTAGAGGAAAGTCACATTAAGTGTCCACATCTGTTACGACCGGTCTCGTGTTTGCCCGCGTGTCTCGATGCGAACATAAACAAGAGGTAGAATATCGGCGACGTTAGGAATGATCGACGAAGAAAAAATGGGGTACATTTGGCTGGCGGCCAAATCGCAAGAATTCTCACGCTTCGAGGGCCTTGTGCCGCGCTGCGCGTCGCCTTAATTCTATCGGGTCGTTCTTGCGAGCAGCGTCGTTTTGGTATGTAACTTTAACGATTGCTTGTGTAACCGCGGTTCGAATAATTTCTCGAGAGAGGAGAAAACGCAGGGGAACTGGAATCACGATGGTCAGGGCGGTGAATTTGCCGTGGAGAATTCGCAGCTTCGATATAAACGGGGTAGGTTTGTTTATGGAGGCGAGATAGGAAAACGACATCACTTACCGAACCGCACGGATATATTCTCGGCCGCGGGATCAGGAATTCGCGCGAAACGGTAAACGAAAGAGACAACGTCGAGTTCAGGGGGGGTAGGATAGAACGAAAACAAGTTCGTGTCGTTTACGGGACGAACCCGATAATTCGCAGTTGGCGGTATTTTCGCGGCGCGCCCCCTGTCGTTACGTGACCTGCCCTACGAACCTGTTTGTAACGGCAGCTATTCTACGGCGGTGCCGCTGTCAAAATGACCAGACGCCTCTCGTCTCTCTGTCTACCATAGACTCGTGGTCCCTCCCCCTCCCATCGTTCGTGTATCTTTCTCTCTCTCCTCTCGGTTTCACCCCGAACGGCGGCGTGTCGATTTCTCTGTCTGGCGAACGGAGAAAGTGAAGGATGAACGAGCTGCAATGGCGGGGCACGACGCGGAGGAGTAGGTTCTGGAACCTCGAGGCCCGAGGTAGAGGCAGGCAGCTTGGGTGGGCGGCAGTTGTCCAGGCCGGCGCAGTCTGTGTCGAGGCGACGTGCTCTACACGACGGAGCGGCAAATCGCGTCTTCTCCAACTCGCAAGCCGCACGCTCGCTCTCCTTCTCTCTTCCTTTCCTCTTTCCTCTCTTTGATCTTTGCTCTACCTCTCTCTCACTCTCCGTTCTTTCTAACCCGTTCGCGCGTCTCCGTTGCCGTTTTCCTCCTCCCGCGTGGTTCCCTGTACCTCCCCCTCCGCGCGTCGTTCCTTATCCTCGCGCGTTGCTCCTCTTTCCTCGGCCCATTCATCCTTCTCGGTCCACCTTTCCGTCTTTTTCCGTTCGAGCGTTTCTCCGCGCGCGTTCCTCTCTCTCTGTCCTCGTCGCGCGCGGCCTACAGCTACCTGGCCGTGTTACGGCGGGGTTCCGGATACGCGCGTCGACTTCGTCAACGTTGTGTCGTGCGGTACGCTCTCCGCCACGGAATTCCAGTGCCACGTCTCGAGTTCGAGCCGACGGTCGCGGTGGGTCGGGGACGGTCGATCGGTCGGTCGGTCGTCGTCTGTCAGTCGGATCGCACCGATCGTGCGTGGAGTCAGTGTCGCGTGCGTTTATACCTGTTCTTATCATCATCGTCGTCGTCGTTGTTCCTGCGAACGAGTCACGGTAAAGCGGGTGTATTATTACCCAGTCACGGACGGTGCTAGCAAACCGATACCCCACGACCATCGGAGATAACGCCTCCGTTACCGTTTCGCGTAGTTTACGGGTCCATGAATCGTAAGAACGAAACGGAAGTCGAAGGAACTCGTGGGTGTTTATTGGCTTCGACACGTGCGCGACGAGCACGTTGTAGAGTCGGTGGTTCTTTTTTTACGGTCGGAAACGATATTCGTAGAAAAATTTCGACAAACCCCGTGGCCCGAGAGCAAAACACGAGGCGTTCGTGAGTCACGCTCCGTTCTGTGGCACCTCCCTGCTATTCTACCTCTGTCTGCGACTCCAACTGTGCCTCTCTTTCTCTCTCTCTCTCTCTTTCTCTCTCTCTTTCTCGTTCCCTCTGAATGTGCGTCTTTGTTCCGTTCCACGAACGCGTACACAGGCCGGACTCGCCCGCGCGTTCCCACTTCGTATCTCGCTTCCCCCTCCATTAACGCGTGCGTTGTTGGTAATCACGAAACGGCATCGAGTCGAGACGGTTAAGCGACCGATTCACCAAATAAGAAATACGCGTATCGATATTCTATCGTGTCCATTCAAGATTACGATTTCGTTCGATTCCTCTCTCCGCATGCAACGATTCCTCAAATCGCTCTCGAAACCAGGCGCGCCATCGTTCGCGCGACCGTTCGAACGCCGATAACGATTCAAAGGTTCCCGATTACGAGTAGTCGACGATGAATCCACCCAGTCGACTATGGTCTCGCGTACACCGTGCAAAGGGTTAGACGGCGGTTTTTAGCGGCGAGTGAATAAGAAGAAAGTCGTTTTCATCGAATACGGGGATTGCGTAATAATTACAGACTGGGTAGAGCTCTATGACAAACCGGCTTCGCGAGACACGCCGCGCGCACAATCACGTACGAGCGCGCGTTGCTTATGTGTCCCCGGTTGCCCGGCGCGTACGTGGAATTTCTTAATTTGGTCCGATCGACCTATTCTCTGGCCCGAATCGGTCGTAACCGGTACGTACCCTCGTCGACCGTTTTGCCGTTTCGAGCGTCATCGAACCCCCGAAGGAACGTCATCGTCGATCTACCAGAAAAATCACGAACCGAAAACGAGAAATGACGACTGGCGGGGCGTGTTTCCTTGCCAAATTGTCTTCAAAATGGCACGATCGTGCCTCCCCAGCACGAAGGTCCGTCCCGTTCGAGCAGGAATGCCAATTATTCGCCGCGCGCGATACACTCTCGTTACCTTCCGAGGGGGCCGCGCAACCTAATTTCTTAAACAGATTTTCCGAAATGAAACTCTAAATCGAAAGTATAACGCTTTGGTTCTCGATTGTCCTGCGTCGATTTTCGACAATTTTCCTCGATTTTCGTTTTCGTCTGTTCTCGTTCTCTTTCTACTCGTTAGGTTAGTATATCGTCCCCACCTTCGTATCCGCGACCTCCGGCGCGTTCGCGCCGAAAGCCGTATTTGGCTGTCGCGTTAACAGAGACCCGCGAAAGTGCAAGTAAGCTTTATCGTCGAGCCTGTCCTTTGAGCCGAGTGCTTCGAGTGCGCCCTCGAACTCCTTCGTCATCGGGAGGGGGGCACTCTCCTGAGGCGCCGTTTCTTCATTTTTTTTTCTTGCCCTACACGAGTTTTCGAGGAACGATGACGTCGTCGAGAAATTTGTTAACGACATTATCCTCGAAAAAAACTAGACCGAACGTGTTTCGACGCGTCCGGGAGGTTCCGTCTTGTTCGCGTCGAATGTTTCATTTCGTGCGTGACTTGGGATCGCCGTTGCGTTTGCAACCTCGAAAACCAGTTTTAGTTGCGTCGCGAAAAAGGAACGTAGTTTAGAGAGGTCCGCAGACACTGTTAGTCAAACTATACGATTTAACGAGCCGGGCTCTCTCGAGCTTCTTCTTCGATCTCGCGAGCAAAGGTCGACACGAAAATTCATCGACCGTGTTCGATCGCGGTCCGTTCCCCTCGAAACTGGTGAGAACTCGAAGCGTGCGCGTAGTTTTCGAGAGTATCAAGTTCGAGGCTGTGAAGAAAAACGTTTGGACGCTACCGCTAGCAAAGGTCGATCCGCAATCGATACCCCGGCCTCCGGGGTTACGTCGTTTCGACTGGTTGGTGTCTGTAGGTCGACCGGTCGCGAGGAATCGACGCCTCTGTTCGTTCATAAGTGGCGAGTAACTGGGACGAGAACGGTGTAGCGCGAACGCAACCGAGAAACGATGATGCCTTGGACCGATCGAGGATCGACGGTGTCGGTACGGGTTGTCGTTTCGCTCGAGGCGAGGTGTTACGAGATGTCAAGATAGGTGGGGTTTCCGTTGGGTGTACCAAAGGACCGACGAATCGGAAAAACGAACGCGACGTCGAGAAGGGAGGTCTTGTGAAAACAGAGGGAGAGGAAAAGAAGTCGGTGCTCGTTATAGCGAGTCGCGCTTTGCCGCGTGCTGCTCAAGGTTGACCGAACTGTACGGCCGCCGCCGCCGCGGAGAGAGTCTTCTCGGCTTCCAAGAGCCCTCGAGAGTCCTCCGAGAGCCGACTATGGACCCGTTATACTGCTACGCCGTTGCCACAAGAATGCCGCCGAGCCGGCCCCTCTGCAGCTCGCGTTATGCCGATCCGATCCGATACGCGTACACGCGCTTCCTCCTCCTGCTCCTTCGCCGTCCTCGCTTTTCTCCGGCGCTTCTATTAGTCTCCGGTGCACGTGAAACTTGCTTTTTCTTTTATCGCACCACGAGAGTCCACGGACCTTCGGCTGGGACCGGGTGCAAAATCCAAACGACCACGGAGCATCCAAATTACCCCTACCTAAATATCTCCCACAATTCTACAAAACATATTCTCTATGCAGTATTCGTAACAAACTTTTCATTTCAAGATCGTCGATGTTTTGTTCCGTTGCATCGCGTCGTCGATAAAAATACGGTAAAAATACGCTCAGATATTGTATAGATATACGCGCGACCTTTGACTTCCAAAAATCAGAATGAAACGAAAGGCATTTGTTGTTTACGATTCGCACCCTGTGCAATTGAATCCTCGTGTCATGTAGTTTTGTTATCGTAATAATTATTTTAGTATGAGGTAACGCTTATCTTATCGAAATCTTAGTCACATACGTGCAAGGGATAGAATTCTACGAAACAATGCGATCATTGCATTCTCATTCCGGATAGCAAACTCGAGATTACCGAGAAACTTTTACGCGGAAACAATCTTGACGTAAGACTGACCGTAGCGACATGCGATGCCACGACCGGCTGGGTATAGGATTGCAAACATTTTTTTGTCTAATAAACGCCCAGTCGAATGTTTTGGGATCAGTGACCCCAAACAGTCGAATCCAAACTTTCATTCGTATTCTGTATCCGATTTTTCTAGATCGACTCTTGATAAATCTTCGTACATAAGCTACAAATGATCTTGCTTCTTGGAAAAGTCCTGTGAATCCACGAATTGGAGAAATTCTCCTTTGGCTGCTGCAGTTCGCCATTTGCACCAGCTTATATTTAATCGGTCTGATCCTTCTGTTTAAATGCATTTTTCTCAAAACTATCTTTTCTGAAAAGGCTTCCATGATATCTCAAGATATACTTGATGAACTTACTGTCGCTAATTTTCAATATTTTTTGTTATAAAAATTTGTGAATATCACTGAAAGAGTAATAAATATACACGCGAAACACCGATGCAAGAAATTGCATAGTTTCTTTATAAAAAAATAGCAAAAAGAAGATAGAAAATCACGTTTTACAGTATAAGACCCCCTCAATATAGAAGTAAATACAATACCAGTTGTTCGTCGTAACTATTCTCAGTCCCCGAAAGGACCAACATGCGCGTATAAATTACAATCTCGTTCGATTCTGCAAAAGTGCAACCTCGGGTGGAAAGAACGTTTCGTTCGTGCCGCCTCGATACTTGTTCGGTAGCAGTCGACAGTTTGTTTCCTTTCTACGAATGTCTCGCTTTAGAAGGCCGCGTATCGTTCGCCGGTGAACGAAAAGCTCGTAGGAGGCAGAGGGGTAGGTGGGAGAAAAAACACGTCGTGTTTCGACGTGCCGTGATGTCACCGGTTTCATTCGTATCTCATGAATCGTTTTCTTCTTAAGGAGCACGGAGTAACCGATGGTATAATACCTCTGCTTCTCCACCTTCGCTACGTGGTTTAACATTTGGCGAACCTGTGGCGCGTTCGATCGTCCTTTTCTCGTCGGATCGTTTTCGAGTTTCCAATAAAATTTCGATATTCGACTCCGTTGGCGCGTTACGCGCGCCTAGGTTACTTTCTCTCGAACTTTCTACACCGTCGTCCGACCAATGCTACGGACACGGTCAGAAGGAGTTCGCCTAACACCGCGTGGCGCGTGACATGCGTTACTCTATTTTCTATTCGCATCTAATTCCGTCGGACCAAGTGAGAACCGGGCAGACGCGAGTCGAGTCGAGTCCGATCGAGTCGTGTCGAGTCGCGATCTAAACGCGCGGCCACGCGACGCCGGGCATTAAACCATCGGGGAGGAAGGAACGGTTCGATTCTGGTGTCGCGACTCCGTTGTTCCGTTGATTCCGTCGTTCTTGGTGCGATGATAAAGGTACCGGGGCACGCGAGAATATCCTCGCGCGGTGAACCCACCACCGGCGATATTTGTTCAGTAAGGGTTCGTTGCCGCGACGTGTCGCAATCGCCTGGTTTTCGTTACGATCCAGAAGACGACACCCACATGCCGTTGCTTCCATTACCATATGCGGAGATCCCGATGGTCTTGGGTTTCCCCGGGTGGCACCCGTGTCTCAGTCACCGAGCGTCTGGTGGGCCGTCAGTTTGGTAGATCGCTCGCCTGGTTCGCTCGATCAGCCGGTCCCGGTCGTTCGTTCGTTAGTACAATCTCCGATTCGCTCGTGTGCTCGGTGGCTCGATCGCTCGAGCTTCGCTCTGTCCCTGCCAGTCCGATTCAATTCGTTAATCGGTAACCGTCGCGCTCCCGCGTCCCTGCACTCCGTAAACATCGGTTCTCGTTCGTTTTTTCTCGGATCGTCGAATATTAATCGTCCGTACGTAAGTTTTGGCAACGGTCTCCACGAGAATTGCCCTACGGCGGTTGTTTCTTTATCGCGTCTGGATGGATATAGTCTCGGTACTCGGGCTCTCTACGCGGGGAACGATGAACTAGGCGTCAGCGAAAGACCTATTACCGCGTCTCACCGCGGGTTCACCGTGGTTCGCTTTTGCCAGAGAAACGTTGAGTGGTTACGTCTGCGACGTGCCGTGATAAATTCGGTCGTTGATTCGTTAAGGTTCGTTCGTCTGGAGCGGCCGAGCTGGCCGAACAAACGAACGGACAAACCCGGGAACGAAATTAGCCCCGTTCTTCTCCTCTTCTCTGTCCCGTCGCATTGTCCGCGTCGTCGTCGTCGTCGTCGTCGTCGATTCGCCCTCGAGAGTTCCTTCTTTTCCGATCGTCCGTCCGACCCATCGGGGTCCCTCAGCGCGCAATCGTTCGACCTTTATTTCTCTTCTCTCGACAGTGCATCGCGACCACCGTGTGCCCAGTGTCAACGTATCCGATCCAAAAAGAAACGAAAGTCAACGAGGAGCACGCGAACGGAGCAACGCAAGGGGAGGAAAAACGAGTTTAATTAAGGGACGAAATTGGGTCTTGCATCGACTCAAAGTGCCATAGTAACACGTATACGCCAGAAATATATAAATAATATCGAATCTTCCCGTGAAGATAATAAGCCTAAGTGATCCTCGACTTGGTGATATTCCTCGAAACGTTTCGCGTTCGATCGTGGTTTTTTGGTGTCAGTACCAGTGCGCGTGGTTACACGTGAAAACAAGGGAAGATAAGAAACGCCGCGCGAAAGAGAAGCCCCCCCCCCCGATGAACGGCGAGAGCGCGTCGTCTCCTCGTCGCTGATCGTTGGGTCTCGAAAGAACCTAAGGGAGACGAACGATCGAGTTAACTGGCTAACGAGATGTCCACTCAGGCCTATTACAAGGAGAGGCTCGGTTTCGATCCGGCCGATACCGTGGCGGAACACCATCGCGAGCAGAGATGGCAGCACGGATACGAGGAGTCGCTTTCCAAGTTCAAAGGTCAGAACGAAAATGGATTTTCGTGGTGGATGATGGAGGAGCATCGGGAGAATTGTCGGGCGGACGGGGCCGCGGAGGAACATCGTTCCGGCAGCTCGCAGGCTTTCTGGGGTTGCTGGGCGATGTTCATCGAGGCGCACGGTAGGTGAAGAGTTGGCATGCCGATGCTGGATCACGTCCAATACACCTTGCCCCTGACCCTTTCTCCCCCTCCTACCGGCGACACTTTTCTTCCGACTTGCCACCGAACGTTCCTCTCGTTTTACGTTTTATTTTTCTTAGTTTTGTTACATTGAATTTCGCTTTAGCTTCCTCCTCGGTCCGAATATCACTTACCCGTACGCTTGCTCCGCGTTCCTCTTTCGAGCCAGAGAATCACCGATCGCGAGAACCGGAGAGTAGTTCGTATCGGCTCGGGAGAGAGATCAACGCGGCCGGAAGTAGCTTTTTAAGGTCGTTTACCTTTTGCCGTTTGACCCGAATGTTTCACGGAAGTAACCGCGGAAATAGCCGGGACGAAATAGTACCCGGCTCGCGATCATGGCAGAATCCGCAGAGACTCGAACGCCCGATACGAGAGAATTCCGGCGCACGGTTCCGACACTTTGAACGTGTTCTTTTCGTATTTTTTTTCTCTCGCTTTAACATTCACTAACACTTTTGAAGTGTCTTTGTGTGGCTAATATCGCGTCTAGATTTCTTTTTCTTTAGAGCAATTTGCATTAGAATCGCTTCTTGCATTCGGTTACGGGTGACAATAGTCCCTTTGTACACGCAAACACGCACCGCGGACAGCGTTCTTCGCTTACGCAACGGGCCCACGGAATTTTTAGCGATCTTTTACCTCGCGAGTCTCGATCGAGCACGTAACTCTTTTTTTTTTGTTTCGGTTATCGTCACGCATCGTGAGTTCCCTCGCGTGGTTCCATCTCATATCCAAGGACGCTCAGCCCGTCCGTTCCCCGGTTATCACACGCTCCGAATAGTCCTCTCGTTGTCCCAATTTATTTCCATTGTGTTTCGGTATGCCACTCTTCCAAATCGTCGTTTCTTTCAATGATTACGGGTTAACGTCTTGTCACGTTGATTAATACGAATGTGCCTCTTATTTTTAAAACGCTTACGTACGATCTATTCAATCCATCGTATCATCAAAAGCATATCGGCTGAATAACGATCCTTTGTGAGAGCGTCGTTACGAAACGATGCAAAATAGGTTCGAAGGTCCGAAAGTTCGTAATTCTCGTTAGTTGATCGTTTTAATTTCGTCCCCCCCCCGTCGATCGACGACGTAACTGTTTCTCGTCCAGAGAGGCTACCGTCAGATACCATCGACTAATCGGTCTTAATTAATTGCTGCTCGGGCGAACGAGCGCCTCCTACTAGATTAATTTCGCGATCGAGTCGTGTCGTCGAACTTAATGCTTCTCGTACCTATATGTATATTTCGACGTCCGTAAGAGTGGTACCGCGAACGCCTTCCATGGACGTTGTAAGGTTGCTTAATCGGATTATACGGAAAGGTGCATGGACTACGACTCTAAGAAACAGGGTCAACCTTCTTGCTTTGTTCGCGAACAAGTACATTTCAGGGCTCAGGTTGGGGGCATATCGGCAGGGAACACATTCGCAATTAACAGACACCGACCGACACCAAGTTTTAACGCACGTTTGCTTATTTGCCCGTTGGATCGCCTGCTCTTTTCCTACCTGACTGCCTACGTATCAACACCCATCTACCTACCTGCCTACCTACCTACCTACTTACCTACCTATCTAACCACCTACCTGTCTGTCTGCCTGTCCGTCTATCCGGCCGCTTGACTGCTTGCTCGCCTGATGCTTGGATGCCCGATGCCTGTTCGCTCGCGTAGGCGATCGTGTTCGTGCGTCGGTGCAAAATGCAAATCGACGGTTTAATTAGTACCGTCGACGTCACGCGGAAATCGATGAAAATCGAGCGAGGCGGGACGGCTCGTTTCAACCCCGCGCCTCTAACGAACCATCGTTTATCTTTCTGATTACAGACGAACGAGACGCAATCCAAAAGAAAACATTCACCAAATGGGTGAACAAGCATCTGAAAAAGGTAAGCCTCGCGCGAGAAGCGTTGTACACGCGGTTTTCTGCGCGTTTCGACGGCGACGCGAATCGATCGAGCGCGTTTTCGACGGTCACGGGGTTAAAAGGGTTCCGTGATCGCTCGAAGGGGTTACTTTCCTCGAAGGCTGGTCGCGCGGCGGCCCTTCCTTCGAAATATCGAACGTACTTAATTTTAGACCGACCTTAGCAGGAGGCCACGGCTGACAGAGCCGGAGAGGCGAGAGTATCGAAACACCTGATAGGTGCGAGCGCACGAGACCAGCGACGCGCAACGCCCAGGACAACCAGCTGTTTCGTAACCGCGTACACACGTAAGCGATAGGGAACCTTCTCAGCCCCCTTGCAGGTATACGCAGCTGTCCGTGTAGGCCGTGTGCGTGGGCAGACTCCCTTCCAAGAGGGTATTTCGCGCGCGGCTATAGAAGGCAACATCACCGAACCTACCGAGTGGGTGAAATCGAGAAAATCGTTACCGATCGCTAACCACACCGCCTCTCCAACGAGTTTTCTCCCCGTTTCGTGAATTACGAATCACGTTTCCGCGGGGGAGGGAATAGTTTTTCGACGATTGATCGACGGAGATTCAGACACAGAGGGGAACAGACGCGGTCTCTGTTCCCCGGATCGGACACGCGACCGGGTCGGGGGAAAAAAACGACGCAAGAAGTCTATTCCGACCGATGCCAGCGAGGATTCTGACGCTGACGAAACTGCTGGCCGGATGACCACGGTGACCACGACGACCACGACGTGGCACGCGACCGCGAACAATTCTTGTTACTCGAGACACGTTAGCCTTGATCTCGCGGACTCTGGTCCTCGTTTGTTCCGTGGCGACGATGACGCAGGTTCTACGTTCGTTTTCGGCGGAGAGGAGTAAAATAACTATGATGATGATGCATAGAGAAAGAGAAGCGCCATGCGTTCGACGGTTCGAATCGAGCAGCGATAAATTCTCCGCGCGGCTTTCTCGTTACTCGATGCTCGCGTATGCAGAGAGGAGTCAAGGAGAAAGGAGACGAGAGGCAAGGTTGGAGCTGTTCGTAAGCGGCTCGAGCATAACTCGAATGGCATTTCGAGGGTTATCGAGGCTCATTTTCTTCCTGCGTCGGTATCGGAGCGGTGGCGCCTATCGAGACGGCATTACTCACCCCTTACTCACGCTCCGTTCCATTACCTACCCCTTTGCTCCTCTTTAAAGCTCTCTCTCTCGCTCTTCCCTCTCGGATCGTGCACCCTCCGCGCTAGAGAGATTCTTTCTCCACCGGTCCACACGTACGGTCACACCGCGCGACGGGAGCCAGTTTAAATCGACCGACTTAGTTTCGTCTCTCTGTAATGGATTCCAGGGTAATACGGAGAACGGTACTGCGTGTTTGCGCGTCGCTCGGTACTGGTTTCTGTTGGCTACCTACCTGCTCGATTCCGTGCGCCCACCTTTCCTCTCGTAAGTCTGACCTTATTCGGAAACGTTCTCCTGCGAACGACGTTCCCGATTTACCACCTCTTGCGTCGTAAGTAGGTGGATAAGTAGGCGGTTAGGTACGCAGGTAGGCAAGCCAGCAGTCAGTCAGTCGGTCGGTCGGTAAGTTGGGCTACGGGAGATGTTGCGTCGGAAGGGAGGGGAAAAAAACTGACGGCGATCGCTCAAGAGTGAGTGCATGGTCGGGCATGACGCATCGTCGCCATTGCGTAACGTTCCTGCCAGGAAATGGTCCGCTGAAGTAACTTCAGCGCCCATGAATTCCGATCTGTTGAATAAAGCCGTTTCGCGATCATTCCCGTCGCGTATCCAATAATTTTTGATTGTCCGTCCGTACACTCGCGTTGCACAACCACCACCCGTGTAGTTTCCTGCCTTTCGAACGGGGCTTCGACACTGTTATGATACAGGTATAGCTTCTCGAAACAGTTATGAATCGCAACGAAGCTTCATAATACTTTCCTTTCTTACGAGGCAATAAAAGAATGATTTTCGTTTTGTCTCGGCAGGTAGAAGGTACCCTTAAATATTTGCCACCAGGTAGTTACTCGATGTTAGTCACCAGCTATGCTCGAGTCATTTACGAACAGCTTGACCTGCGTCACCTGCCCAGGGTCGGTCACGCTAGATTTAAGCTCGCAAGTCCAAAATTTACAATAAAAACTTGCAAACTTGAATCAGAAAACATCGAAATTACGATCAATTGTGAATAATAAACACTCGACGTGTTAAAAAGTCAAACGTACGGCCGTAAAGTGAAAGTTTTCAGCGCGAGGTATCGTTTCTGCGTAGCCCCGGGGGTTACGAATACGAAACACGACGTAAGAAAAATATCGAACCGTGCGTTTAAAAGCGACGCGTCGGATATCGATCCATTCACTTTTTCGATGCTCATTCACAGCAACGCGAATCGATCTCTGCGCTCGATCGTTCGCGGCGTTCGTCGTTTACCCAATTCCGATCCGCGATCGGTCGGTCGTCGTCCCGAGCCAGTGGCTGCAAAAACACACCGTGATGCGAGTACTCGATCTCTGTTTCTACTCATCCTGTTTTTACTTTCGTTTTACTCTCGCCACGGGAATAGCGCACGGCTCGCGACAACGAACCGATCTCGCGTAACGAATTCTCTGTTATTACGTAAGATACGCGAAGGGACATTTCGTTATAATCATACTCTGTGTTTGTCTATTCTTTCATGATTGCCGCAGCATTGGAAGTACGTGAAGGTATGAATCTCGGAGCATTTATTCCGATCAACTGCTTAATCAATTAGGACGAGTGGTTCGGACGATTAGATTATAGGATAGCTTTTAATTGCGTGTCAATATTTCAGGAAGTGGATCCAGAACAGACGTAGGTTGTCTGAATCATGGGCAATGCAGTCAGTCACGCAATAGAGTAGTATAGAGTATTTAATACGCGAATGCATTTCCAATTTGTCGTCTAGTATTTAACGTGTTCGTAGAAATTTCTAAACGTTATAAATATTTCGAAATACTTCTAAACTTTTTGATATTGCTGAAAATTTATGCTCCCTGGATCGAGTTCAGACTTGATTTTTTAATAACCGCGAAGGAAACAAAGCCTGGACAGCCCACGTTGGCCTAGATATGCTCTAGATTAACACCTTGAAGCATTGACATGCAATGAAGAATTGTATAGAACCTTGTGAATTGTTCGCAAAGGGAAAATTACCCGACGCTTTAGTATTCTCAGTGGCATGCCATAGAATCCTTCGGTCAAGGACCATTCGTCCAAGCGACCGACGGTAGTGGAGACTCCCAAGTTTCAGAATTAGAGATAACTTAGCACGGTAGCGAAAGCTTCGAAAGAATCGACTTGAAAGTATCTGCTTTGTATCGGTTTCCGCGATAGCTACCGAATCTTCCAGCAGTTTCGTTTGGAGGAATTGTTCCCACTCTTGCCGCCATTGACCGATGACTGGATCGTTCAAAGTTCGGTATTGTTCAATAAAAGTAACGATAAGATCGCGTTGCGTGTATCTCTGTTATTCGAGCCAATTTTAACGCACGGATACATAAATAATAAGTGCTCGTAACGTGGTTTTGCAACTTGAGGCGTCGTAGGTAAGTCGATTCTTTCGTCGACTTCATCATAGAGACGAGTTAGCGCAACGATGTTAATCTCCTTACCTACCACTACTTTCGGTCCCGGCCGGAAAAGGCACGCGGAATAAAGCAACATATCCGCGGCTTGCTCCTTTTTTAATCGATATTTTTTTCAGACTTACACGTGCCTGCACGTGTGCGTCCTTGTGAACAACCAGCCATGCTGTTCCCCCACTGTAAGTCAACGGCAGGTGTCGTTAACGACCCGTTAGCCGACGTTAGAAGGAATTTTTCGCATGTCTCGTTTTGTCGATCGAATGACTGGCCGCTTCCACAAATAATACCCGTCCTGATTTCTTCTTTCCTTTGTTCGCGAATGAAATCCTGACCATAGTCGGTCTTTGCGAAACGCCGCGACGCGCTGTCGTCTCGAATGCGCGCAATCATCGGCTCAGAAACGGCTCTTTGAGGCTGCGACCGATCGCTCCGGTCGCCTCGATACGGCGATCCCTCGCCGCGTATCTCGTACGCGACGTTTAAACTTTAACCGGGAGTTTGAGGGTCGATGATTGTTGTTATTCGCGCGTGACGCACCGCGTCGAATAATTTTCCACGTTTATTTTCGCGGGACACGCGATTATCTTATACCTTGCCTGTTGTCTTTCCTAGACTTTATATCTGTCCCAGAGTGTGTGTGTGTGTGTATTAGCACGTACAAGTTCGTAGAATGAAATCTTCTTCGTTGCTCGTTGCTTGTTCGGTGTCCTTTCGTTTGCGAATCGTAATTCATTTTTTTTTTAGCTCGAACACCATTTTTTTCTTTCTTTCTTGTTGTCGTAACGTATTCACGTGGTTGTTTTTACTTTCAGTTAAGTTGTTCAAAGACACTTGAACGACGAGCCATTATGCAGGGCTCTGATCCGTGAAATCGTTGTTGCAGGCCAGCAGACATGTCGGAGATTTGTTCGAGGACCTGCGGGACGGGCACAACCTCATTTCCTTGCTGGAGGTTCTCTCAGGCGAGCATCTCGTAAGTGTTCCACGTTATTCCAGCCCCGTTTCGACCGCCCACGCAATGCAGAGAGACTTGGCAATGTTTTACCGAACCCTTTAGTCGGTAGGGTGAGATACGGTTACGTAACCGGTGGGGCGGGGCCAATGTGACCCGGATTAAAAATTGAACGAAACGTACAGTTAATGGGATTAAATTGTTACGTAATCGTAGCCAGCAATATCGATTCGAACGTATAACCAATAACGATTTTCCGACAAACCAAACGCGATGCGTAAAAGAATGTAGGGCGTCATTTTGACGATACCAATTCCAATTGTATTAGTTCAGATTGTCGATATTATTTTAAGATTAATGTTACGATATCCTTATCGATAAAAATACACAATGCGTTAATTAAGATCTCGGTCGATACAAACTATGTTCCAGAAATAATTCGATACGACACAGAATACGAATTTGATTTAGAAACTGAATTTTTGCTAGTTACTAGTTACATTTTCTAATCAAATTCTTCGCTCGGTTTTCTGTGCGTCACAATAAGTATATCTAAGTCAAACACGGTAAAGTTACTCATTCTTTATCAAAGTATGTTCTGCGAAATCTAAAGGTTTAATGCGATTTGTTTGACCAATAAAACGATACATAAGGATTCTATAATACTGATTAAAAAAAAAAAGTATTGAACATCTGAAAGTGACTCGCTGTAGGCTCTAATAGACGAATCAATTAATATCCGATATTTGATACCGCTAGCTTATAGTTAAATCGCGTGACCACGTTTCAATCTCTGTATAGTCTAATCGATGATCTTTCTAGCCGCGAGAGAGGGGTCGAATGCGTTTCCACATGCTGCAGAACGTGCAAATGGCCCTTGATTTTCTGCGATACAAGAAAATCAAGCTCGTCAATATCCGTGCGGAAGATATCGTCGATGGAAACCCGAAGCTCACCCTCGGCTTGATATGGACCATCATACTTCACTTCCAGGTGAGTGGGCCCGCGACTCTTCATTCCGAAAACATCGTCGCCCATCGCGCTTTTGCGAGTGTTACCTTGAACTCTCGCCGAAGTAGCTTAGAAACGGTCGACGCTTCTCGACAGACCTGGTTCGCCTTTCGAATCGCGATTATCGAACAACGAACAACCCACCACCCCCTTTTCCCCCCCCCAGCTTCTAAAAAACCGTGTGTTGTACGATTTGACTGTCGTCGTTCCAGCGCGGTTCCGGTTTCGCGCGGACGAGTTTGCTTCGCAACAAGCGCGAAACGATACCGATCGAAAGTTTTGCTTCCGAGAAATTCCGCGAGGGGAAAACGTGTTTCCTCCCGCGCGTCGCCTAGGAGGAATTCTCATCGCGCTGGAATTCTACCCCGACCACTCTCGTTTTTCTCTCGCGATTCTCGTTCCGATCGAAAGCGAGTCAGAGGGAAGCACATGCTCGTTCCAAGGCGATACTCGCTGGCGTCGAATGCCACCGGAACGGGAACGCGATTACGAGCAGAACCGCCGTCGCCGCCGCCGTTCGAAATTACTAGGTCGGGGATCGTCTTCTGCGGATGGACGGGCGCAAAAACATGGAACGGAGCCGTCGTACGCGGCGAGAGTATCCGCGTTACGCGACCGCACAAAGGGAGACAGTGTTCCTCGTGCTCGTGTCGATGCACGGACACGCGTTTTCCTAACTCTTTTATCTCGCGCCCGGACGACGGGGGCCCTAACACTTTCGAGACGAGTAGACAAAAGGCCACTGAACGGACCTATTTTCTACGCGGCTTGTTCCACGCGAAGCACAGTAGAGTTCCGATCATTCACTCGGACTATTCTTCGGTGAATGTTACGGATTTTATATCACATAAACAAAGAAGTCACAGCTGCATGCATCCTGCAGTAACGCCGGTACTAAACAGTCGACTTACAAAGCGTAGGAATTTTATATATTTTATGTTTACTCAAAATGAGAAACAAATTTTTAAGAAAAATTGTCAGGAGGTGCCTAAATTTTTCGACGAAATTAAAAAATTTCAAATCGTTCTGGAAAAGATGTGTTCGGTTGCAGGGGTCAATTACAATCATTTTTGGTGAATAGACATACCCACGAATTCCTAACCATTTTCGAGAAAAAAATTCAGTAGATGCCGAAATTTTTCGGTGAAAAAAAAATTTCAAATCGTTCTGGAAAAAATGTTTTCGGTTGCAGGGGTCAATTACAATCATTTGTGGTAAATACACATACATTTGTGGTGATTGTACATTCCTAACAAATTCCATATCCAATTTTTAGTTCTCGTTATAATTGTCAAGATTTATTATCTGTCATAGCGATATAATACTGTGATACCGAAACTAGAATAAATCCGTCTTCGCGTGGAACGACTCATACAGGATTAGGCCGTAATTCATGATGCAATGGAAAAGGTCGATTCTTCGAGTAAAAATCGGTCGATAATTTGGGATATAGTTCTTTCCATACGGGGTTCACCGTTCGTACGTATTTATAAACATCGACAAGTCTTGATAATGCGTTTTTTAAACAGTTCAGCTAATGCACAGTTACACTATCAATTTCAGTTAATCGAGACGCATGGGAATCGAAATGCTTTGGTCCAATTAGATACTGCTTCAATTATTAGAAGTTTTATGGTTACTTTTACGATCACTTTACTCTTTAGGGTTTGTCCAAGTGGTACAAATCGTTCACGACGAACATTAATCCAAGTTCTTCGCCTGCTCGTACATAACACTTATTTTATATCTTCAACTTCTACCTAGAGGAATCGACGTCCTTTCGATCGCACCGTGGATTACTTCAGTCCCTGTATTTACTATACCTAGCGGTCCGATGCATCTATCTAATGATGTAATTTTTTGTTTTGTTTCGCGCCGCAGAGCTGGCGACGCAAGGTAAGTTCCCTATATTTTTATGGCGTAGTGGTTCCCGATAATAAAAAAAAAGATAATAAATAGGGAACCAGAGAAATTCGCGGTGTCGTGGATTCGAAGACGCGCGTAGGTTTGATCTCTTATCGACCGCGTGAATCGATCGGAAAAGCTAGATGGCGCTCGCGGGCGGATCGCGTCTCGTTAACGACCTATCGTCCCACGCACGGAAGCCGTCGACTATCTTCCGAATCGAGCGCCTCGGGATCGTTTCGTTATCCATCTCGATCGATGCAATCCGCGCGCGTCATGTATCGTCGCCGCCGGTGACGACTGTCCTTCCGTCCGCAGCTCGCGACAGACGTTACCGTTTATGGTATTTCGCGCTTACGTCGAGTCAGCAAGGCGGAAGGTTGACAGCCAGTCGGAACCGTGGTATCCCGGGACGTGGGAGGAGGACGACGCGGACTGTCCGCGATACAGAGCCGCATTGGCATCTCGGGGCGTCTCGTGGTCCCGGTGTCGCGAGCCGCCCACCTTGTAATTATGATAATCAGAATCGGTTGATCGAGCACCGAATACAAAATCGCGAATGACGCCACCGGCCAAGGTCACCGGCAAACGCCCGTCCCTTTCCAGCGCGTTATCGGGGTACGTTTACGATGGCCATAACGGAGATCGTCTCGCTGCTTTATCTCGAAAAACATCGTCCTTAACGCTTTCGTCGAAACGTCAAAAAATCACCTTTATCATCTTTATTCTCAATATTTACGACCAGTCGATCCAAGTTTACAGTTCGCTGCAAATATCATTATTTCGTATTGATACTGCGCACATATTGACACGCAATAACAACTCTCGTCTATAGGTGAAACTTCGTTTTCGAAACAGGTTGCTCAAATAGGTTTTTCATAGCACGACTATCATCGGCCACTCGAGTCGAAAAAACGTAAATAGCGGCAGAGGTGATCTCGTCGTAAGCATATTTTCTATAAGTGGAACGTTTCGAGAGTAGGCCAAGAAGGCCTGATATAATTTAAACAACGAGGCGTTACGAGGAGTTATAAAAAAGTACACTCGTACTTGTTCCTTACGGTCGCTTGCTGTCGAGTGGCCCTTCGCTGCGTTGTTCGTTGTACCGAAAGGGTTAAGGACGCGTACGCATGCTTTCTGCCGCGCGGAAGGGTTAAGGAAACAGGGCATAAGACATCGCCCACCCGAGGCGAGGATCGAGACTTCCTACGCGCTGTCTGAAACGAAACAAAACAAAACAAGGCAGGAAAGGAACTGGCGCGCTAGTCTACCCACGTTTCAAAGCAAATAAACACTTGTTTTTATGACGGCTATTCGTTCTCGAGAGGGTACAAGTGTTAATACCGCGTTCCTTCTTAAGAGGGCGTCCATTTTTTGCTTCTTTGTGTTACTTATACCGGCTGTCTCAAAACACGCGGCACCGCCGGAAACGTTCGTTTACAGCGCACGAAAAACAAACGAATTCGATGGATGGAGGGGGTTCGTCGGTGCAGTTTCGAGAAAATAACGACCGGTCATGGACGATCTTGCAAACGATCGATTCGCGCGCTCGGTCGCCTACCGGAAGCAGTCCTGGCGTTCAGGCGGGCGGTAGCTGGAGCGCTGACGTCACATCCGGTCTCGAGCAGCCGCGACTCTCGTCCCGACCGTTTTCCGTTCCTTTTTTCCCCCCTTCTGTGTTTCCTGCTGCTCGCGACGCTCGGAGACGCAACGCGTCCTATTTTCGCCTCTTTCGACTCTGCGCTTATTTAGGCATTGTTTTCGTTCCCTCGTACGTCTTCACGCCTCGCCCTCCCCCTCCCCCTCCTTCATCAGCGAAGAATCGTTCGTCGCGCGGAGGCCTCGCGAACAGTCGACGCGCATTTAATTAACGAGACGCGCGAATTAGGTAAGTCCCGATGCGACTAGGCACACCGGGGCGTCGAAGGTGGTGCTTACGGAGCGTTAGTGTGCCGGCGGTGAATCGTCGAATCTCTGGAAAAGGAAAAGGAGGAAGGACACGATGCGCGACGAGCGGCGAAGTGGGGCTCTCTCGGCTCTCGGCTCGCGGCGAGACCTCGCCGATGGCTTGTACGATATCGCGCGGGCGCATGCGCGATTCCCCTGCACCGGTTGTGCAGCAAATATATCGCGTCGACGAGGACGAGGACGTCCAGGAGGACGACGATTCCGGCGGGACGGGGCGGGCGTCGCGGAAGCGAAGGAAGATCGGTGACGTAGTTCGGTAACGGGGGTGGGCAGGACAGAGGCAGGCAGCACGGTATGACAGGCACGGACCGGGGGACCGTGGAGGAGGCAAACGCCTAGCTAGAGAGAGAAAGAGAGCGTCGGAGTCGAGAGGGGGACCCGTCGGAGGCGTCTCTCACCTGTGCGCATTTCGTTGGCCTACTCTCGCGACGGCAGCCGGATACAACGCGGCACGCTGTCGGTCGTTCGGTGAATCGCGACGGTATCCTGTTCGCTACGTTGTCGCAACGTTCGTCGAATAAGATTCTATGCGACAGATCGCGTCGTTGGTAGCCACGAACGGAGGGACACGTGTCGCTGCTAGACGGTCGCGACGAACCGCGCCGCGTCGTGAAACCCTATCGGTGAAACGTGCGAGCGAACGAGCGAACGAACGAACGTTCAAAGAAGCACGGAAGGAACGCGCGAGTGGGGATCGGAGTCTCGATGAGCTACCTGTAGTGCGCGGCAGTCGGTTCACGATACGCGCCGAGGAGCCCCCCCGGTATTCCGAGTGTCTCCGATAACCACTAATTCCTCGCGCGTTATCGACCTCTGGTTCCTACTTATTCCCGTGGAACCCTTTCTCCTACGCTACCTTCTGCCTTCTATCCTTCGAACACGCGTCTCCGTGCCGCGGGCTGTTCCCCCGAACAGTAGATCGCTCTCCCCTCCGCCGGGGGGGACCGTTCGAGTGCTAAAAACGCGACGGTGCGTCAAATCGAGATTCGCGGTTCGGTTTCGGACCACCTCTCCGACGATAAGGATCGACGAATTAAAGAGCGGCCGACCGCGTTCCCTGAAGCTCGCGGAGTGCCTAAGTTGGACTTGGCGGCGAGACGAGCGGTCGATTCTCGTTAATCGGCTTTCACGCGGCTAGCAAGCGGTGCGTCGCGGCGAGCGAGGCGCCGGATAAGGCCTGCGAATGAGTCGTGCGTGGCTCGCCTCTTTTCCCAGAGGTCGATGGTAGTTTCGCGGAGCGCGCGATTCTTTTCGCCGTCCCCGTTATCTTCGGTCCTGCGAGAATGTCGATATATCGGTTTAGCAAGGGCGGCCGGCTGTTCGTGCAGGGCACCAGAGAGGATGACCCTCGCGAGAACGTCGTCTCGCCAGCCTCGAACGCGACGCCAGTCGCCGACGACTTGACGGCGATTTATACCAAACGAAGACTCTCGACCGAGGTTCTAGGTAGGAGATTCGAAGATCGCGATTGTTTGGACACCGAGTTTCGAGGCTCAGAGATCGATTCGAATTCGAGGATTCGTTAGGTTGGTGCCGCGGAAAGATGCACGGAACGTCGTTCCTCTTCGATATCACAGTTTCGCTTATCTTATCGTAGCGCAAAATTTAACCTTTGCTAATTGGCGTTCGCAAGTCCCAGCACTCGGTAGGTTTGTCTAGTGAAAATGCTACGAATTGTAAGTTTTTATGTCGTATCAACGTGCATAATACAGTACAAACGATGATGTCACATCCAAAGTTAAATGTTGTTCTCATCTATGTACACGCCTCACCGAGAAGCAATGACTTGTGTTAACCGCGTTATCTGACAATGAGATTTGCTCCGTTTCGCTGAATTTCTTTCCTCGTTACACGCAACCGTGTCCAAATTGGCGGCTCGTTGCATTCCTTTTAGCCGACAATTATCCTCGGATTCTTTGCACAATGTCTCGTACGAGTCTTTATATTCAGATAGTTATGTACGCCAGCCTAACGAACAAAGCCTCGTTGCACGATCGGCTTCTATGGCTCTGAGTTGGAACAAAGCCGAGTTCGAGTCGATCGTGACGGGATTTCGAATCAGTCGGTCGATCGGGACGGAACCGATGTTCTCGATCCTCGTCACTCGGTGGCCCGCGAAGTTCGAACTGATAACGGCACGATTCAGGATCGTCGATCGAGTCAACGAAGACGTCGAGACGCGGCGAGAACGGCACGAAACGTATCGTGACCAGAATCGTTCGTAAAACGACAACGTTAACACGAGGCGAGGAGAGATGCGTGGCCGAGGATCTGACGAAACGCGCCTCCGCCGGCTATTTGCAGGAAGTCGCTGGTTCCTCCACTTCCTTCTCCCTGAGTCGGCAGGCCTCGCCAAAGCCAAAAACCGTTCGGGTAAGCGTAACTTTGGTAAAACCGGCCGGCAGAAACGATCCCACGTTTTTCGTTTTTTGCGGTCGTGTGTGGCTATTTTCGCGGATAGCAATCAGGATACAATGGCGGGCGAATGTTTCGCGGCTCGAATCGCGCGGCTGAACATCGAAGGGCGAACCAAGCGGAAACGACGTCGAGGCCCCGTGCACGACACCATAATTAGAGCGAAAAGACCATTCAGACGATCAAAGACCGTACAGGATCGTTTTTCTGACGATGTATTCTCTTTCTCTTTTATAGATATCCGATATAGTCGTGGGCCAGGAACCTAATGTTACCGCTCGCGAAGCTCTCCTGAGATGGGCCAGACGATCGACGGCGCGTTACCCAGGTGTACGCGTCACGGACTTCACCGGATCCTGGAGGGACGGTTTGGCGTTCAGCGCCCTGATACACCGAAACAGGCCAGACCTGGTCGATTGGAGAGGAGCTCGTTCCTGTCAGCCACGAGAGCGGCTCGACCGGGTCTTCCACGTCGCGGAGCGCGAGTATGGCGTTACGAGGCTTCTCGATCCCGAAGGTAATACCGCTTTGATCGATACAAGAGTCCCCTTTCGTTTTGCTTTTCAAGTTTCTTCCTGCCCGTGCACAACGTTTTCTCTCCTGTCGTATATTTTCTCATACTTTTTTCTCCTCTGCACGGGACGGTCGAACACGTCGTTGCGTCTACCATTTCCGGTCGTCGCTTGGACCGTGACGTTCGCTTCTACCTTCGACTTTTTCCCTTTGGCGCGCGATAAGACGCTCTGGTGCTTCTTTTTGGGAAAGGAAAGGAAAGTCGGGCAGAGCGTAACTGGTTCGGGCGACGATCGAATCTTTTTCTTTTCCTCGTACGCGGGATTATACGTTCACAGGACGTGCACGACGATTCCACGGAAAGTTCTGTTTTTATTTCAAGCTTATCGTCCAATGGATTCTAGTGATTGCATCGACGTAAACGCTTGGATCCCGGTTGCATACCTCGCGCGAGATTTTCTCGAGTAACCGGGTCAATTTCTTGTTTTCGCAGACGTGGATACCCCCGAACCGGACGAGAAGTCCTTGATAACGTATATCTCTTCGCTCTACGACGTGTTCCCGGAGCCGCCCGCGATTCACCCGTTGTACGACGCCGAGGCTCAAAGACGATCCGCGGAGTACAGAGAGCTCGCCAGTTCTCTTCATCTGTGGATACGCGAGAAGATGAGCTTGATGCAGGAACGTGCCTTTCCACCCACTTTGATCGAGATGAAGAAACTGGCGGCGGATAGCGCGAAATTCAAGAACGAGGAAGTGCCGCCTCGATACAGAGACAAGCAACGACTCTCCTACATATTCAGGGATCTGCAAAAGTATTTCGAGGCGGTCGGCGAGGTGGATATGGAGCCGGAATTACACATCGACGTTATCGAGAAGAATTGGAACCGTTTGATAATGCTGCATCAGGAGAGGGAGCAGGCGATCATCGACGAAATTAAACGGTAAGATCGTTCTCTCGATCCTGTCGATCCGCGTTGCAGATTCGTTCCAGGTTTAGTTTTTGCACGCGCATTATACTGTTCCCAGACTCGAACGACTTCAACGACTGGCCGAGAAAGTTCACAGAGAGATGAAGACGACCGACAACCGATTGGAGGAGCTGGAGAGACGCGTGGAAGACGAAGCGAGACGCCTCGATCGTCTTCATCCTCTCGAAGCGAAACACGCGGTGGACCTTCTCGAGCAAGACATACGAAACACCGAAATTCAAATACAGAATATATTCACGGACGTACACACTCTAACCGAAGGAAGATACAGTCAAGCGGCCGAGCTCCACAAGAGGTATATTCTTGGATGTATTATGGATCGTGTCATAGATAATAGCATTCTTGATCCGCCGTAACGGTTCGGTTCGAGACCAGTTCGTTTTTCAACCTAGAATCCCGACCCGAGTGCACGCTTTCTATTCGTTTCGACCTACCTAACCTTCCCTGCCACTGTATTGCAGAGTTCAGAAGCTACATCAACGATGGGTCGCGCTGCGATCTCTTCTCCACAAACGTTTGGTACAGCCGCTGTCGGCCGTGTCTTTCCCGGTGGAGGAGCGCGTCGTCACAAAACACCGTACTACCGTCCACGAAACACGTTTGGTAGACACCAATCCGCATTTCCGTGCATTGCACGACTGCATCGACTGGTGCAAGGCGAAGATCAAGCAGCTCCAAGAGGCAGACTACGGCTCGGACTTGCCCAGCGTGCAGAACGAGCTGGACGTTCACCAAAGGGAGCACAAGAACATCGAACAGTTCCATCCTAAAGTCGACAGATGCGTGCAATCCAAGAGCCACTTCCACGGGGAGGAGTTGACGTTGTACAGTCAACATCTCGCCGTTCTTCAGAAACTCTATGCCGAATTATTTTCGGCCTCCAACAAGAGACTGTCCGACCTGGACACGTTACACGACTTCATACAATCCGCTACCGGCGAGCTGGTTTGGTTGAGCTCCAAGGAGGAAACGGAGGTGACGCGCGACTGGAGCGACAAGAACCTGAACGTGCAGAGCATCGAGCAGTATTACGAGGTATTTGACCTTTCGGTATTTCTGATGCCCGATAACCCTTTCACTTCCCGATCCCCGTGACCTCTGAACGATAGTCGGCGCTCTCGATCGAACCAGTCTTCGCTAAAGCTTCTCCTTTTCCTCCAAGCGTACCTATGGATCCGGTATAGAGGTAACGAGAAATAAAATTTATAATTCTGTGCACGGAAAATCGTGTCACCGTCGAATTTGCATACGCGTAATTATAGATGAAAATCGTTATATCGCTGTAGCGTAACTTAAGACGTATGCGAATTCGACGGTCTTTACGGGCGCCAACCTTTAATCCGAGGATCGACTCGATTGCAGTCCCTCATGAGCGACTTGGAGAAAAGAGAGATTCAATTCTCCGCGGTGCAAGATCGAGGCGAAGCGCTGGTTCTTCAACATCATCCGGCTGCCAAGACGATCGAGGCTTACATGTCGGCCATGCAGAGTCAGTGGGCTTGGCTACTTCAGCTGACACTGTGCTTGGAGGTTCACTTGAAACACGCGGCTCAAAGTCAACAGTTCTTCCGCGAGATCCAGCAGGCGGAACAGTGGATCGGGAAGAGAGACGAGACCCTTAACACCATTTACTCTCAGTCCGACTTCTCCCTGGACGAGGGTGAACGACTTCTGAAAGGCATGCAAGAACTCCGCGAAGAATTAAACAGTTACGGCGATCACGTGCAGAAGCTGGTCGACCAGGCGAAAGACGTCGTTCCCATGAAGCAGCGTCGACAGCCCGTGACGCGACCTATGCAGGTCACTTGCGTCTGTAGTTACAAGCAAGTCAACGTGAGTCCATCGATCGTTTTATCGTTCGTTCGCTGATTCGTCCATTCGCGTGCACAAATAAATTTGCTTGTTTCAGATGTCGATCGAGAAAGGAGAACAATGCACGTTGTATGACAACTCTGGTAGAATAAAGTGGCGTGTCAAGAACCAGGAAGGCGTTGAATCCCCCGTACCGGGCGTCTGCTTCGCTCTTCAACCACCCGATAAAGACGCCCTCGACGCGGCTGAGAGATTGCGACGACAATACGACCGTAGCGTCGCGCTCTGGCAACGAAAGCAGCTGCGTCTGCGACAGAACATGATATTCGCGACTATCAAGGTAGTGAAGGGTTGGGATTTGCCGCAGTTCTTGGCCATGGGTCAAGATCAACGAACAGCTATCAGAAAAGCGTTGAACGAGGACGCTGAGAAATTGTTGTCGGAGGGCGACCCGGCGGACCCGCAATTGAGACGTTTGAAACGGGAAATGGCCGAAGTGAATAAGCTGTTCGACGAGCTAGAGAAACGAGCCAGGGCGGAGGAGGAGTCAAAGAACGCGGGTCGTATTTTCAACGAGCAGGTGTCGGCCCTTCAGCAGGCGCTCGATGAAGCGGAGAGAGTGTTGAATGCTTGCATAGCCGCTCCTTTGCCCAGAGACCTCGACAGTTTGGAACACTTGGTCCTGCAGCACAAGGACTACGAGCAGAGTCTTCGTCGCTTGACGCCGGATCTCGACCGGGTTCAGCAGACTTTCCGTGGCATCACTTTGAAGACTCCAGCGATGAGGAATAAGCTCGACGCCATTACCAGCAAGTGGAATCACATCTGGAACGCTAGCAATCTTTACATCGAGCGGCTCAAGTGCGTCGAGATTCTGCTCTCTAGTCTGGAGGAGAACACGACCGTGATCTCCGAGTTCGAAGTGAAATTGGCTTCCTTCGATGAACTACCAGCCGATCTGAAGGGTCTACAGAACGTGTTGGAGGATTTGAGGGTTCTCCAGAACGCCATCACTCAACAGCAGAGCGCTATGGATCAACTGAACGAGGACGCGCATAACACCAGACGTCTCGTCGAAAGGTCAAGGCCTAGTCATCGTGGTCCCCACACGGACATGGACCGATTGGACGCGGAAGTAAACCGACTGAACGTTAGATGGACGAACGTGTGCGGTCAACTCGTGGACAGAGTTCGCAGCGCGGAGGCGGCCTACAGTCTGGCACAGCAAATGGAGCACGCGTATAGAAACGAGGTTGATTTCGTCGACGAATCCTATAGCAAACTCGAGGTGGAGAACGCGAAGGTAACGTGCATAGATTACGGAACGAATCCTCATCGGTATATTTATTTATCGTGTAATAATTTGGTCGTAGAATCTATTGAACAGAGTGGTGGATCGAGCCCCAGCGATCGAGGCGGTAAATGTGACGGGTGGTCGATTGATTCGCGAAGGAAAGGTAAGATGAAGACGCGACACGGTCGCGACTGGGTATTCGCAAGCCTTCGGTAGGCTCAGCTAGCATATTAGGTAGCCTTAGATAGCCATAGCTTACGGTATGAACGCTTGCGTGAATGGTGTATTGCGTGAGTCCTTCTACGTATAGTAGCCCCAACAAAAATATCGCGCGATCGTTTCTCGTCGTGGTTTCGGCGTCGCGGTTTCCTCTCGTCCCTGTTGCCTTCGACGTCTACACTCGACGAACGTTAGATTCGTGAAGCTGCGAAGATGCTCGTCGCCATCGTTGCCGTAATTGTCATCTGCCGCAATCACTAGGGAAGCGTGCGCCACGATGGACTCTGCCTTGCAGCCAGCATCGATCGCAACACTTTCAGCGTGTCTTTCAATGGGCTTTTAGGCGGACGCGAGCAAATCGTACGAACCGTCCAAGGCTCGTAGGATCCTCGCCATGTCACCGGATCAATGTATTTAGACTTTTCGAGTTTTCAATATTGTTTCCAGGGATCAAGGATGCATCGCGAGCTATTTTTCCTCCTTTGCTTCGCGTCACCGAATTATCGCTTTGATCGCCTGGTTGTATATACAATATAGCTGCTGTACATACAAGCGACGTAGGCTCGTCCCGAGGCTAACGCTACGTAGGCATCTCACCTAAACTGAGAAACAAGGCGAAGTCGTTTCGAACGGTGCAAATCGAACACTTTTAATCTACCTTATATCGCTTCGAACACCTACCTCTTGTACACGAGCTTCTCCCTTACTATCCGCGTTATATCTAACTTTGCGCACACTCCCTTTGCAATGGACACCCAGAGGCACGGTTAACCGATCGTTCGTATCAAATGCGAGACCCTGTAAGGTACTTTGCAAGATCTGGAACGGACTCAAGCGGCTTTCTCTAAAGGAATGTAAAATTGATAGAGGAATTTTCCTTGTTGACTTCTGTCGATTTCGTTTTCCTTTAGTTAGAACGATTCAGTTAGTTCGTTCCAATTCTTACATTGATCCTACTTGGGGAGGTGATTCGTCCAGCTTGGTTCACGATACTCACGTTAAGCTTAACACGAGGCACTTGAACATTGATAAAATCCGAGTTCGCTTCTCGATCTCGGTCAGCCAGGAAACAAACCGCTTGTAATCGCTAAAACGTCTTCCTTGAAGTCGATTTATCGCGACCGCGTGATTCAATCCACGCGGTTGCTTGCTTCCACATCGAGGGTACACCTTAGGACCACGGTACTAGGGATGCTAAGGGATAGAGGGGTAGCGACGCACAGGCGAGATCTAATATACTTATCCTCTAACCGTAACGGGCTAACCGAAACCCTTAGATCTATGGACAGAGGCTTCGAGCGTTCAAGGAACAATTGGAAGATATATGCCCGTCGATGGACGCCACGGTGAAGAAGCCGCGAAGAGAGTTCGTTTCGACGGTCGACGACGTGGCGCGAGACCTAGACACCCTTAACAGGAAGTACACCACGCTCGTGAATATCCTTCAGGAGCGAGTGAGGCAGATGGCGGCTATTCATCCCGAGGATGCGTCTCTGCAGGTGAGTACCTTCTATTCATTGTCTTTACTTTTGTACTTAGTATTCAGTGGAGTTTTATTACTTGTAATAGGCGATCAGGAACGCTATTCAATTATTTAGAGATTCATACGGAGTATCTAGAATGGTGTTAATTGATTCTCCAGATCATAAACTTTCCACGCAGGAATAGCCTATATTCTGTTCTCGATGGAATTCAAATCAGGACTCGGTACGTGTTTCGTTTCACAATTTACGTGATTTTACAATTACGATTCGTTCTTATTTTGCATTTATCTTGGAGTGTCCGGTGAGTTATGGACGGGAGTGTACGTATTCTTTGATGGAAAGAAAAATAGATGAAAAGAAAACATTATGTCATACATAAATACATACTTATATAAGACAGACACAAGGACGTAAGTGGGAACGCAACTGCGTATACGAATACGCGTAACTCGAGGACTTACTGTATTATAATATTTATTGTGTCGGACAAGAATACCTCGTGGGTGGAAAAATTGTCGATCTATAGCTTCATGAAACAAAATTCTAACGCTCGGTAGGCTTCGATTCTTAAATTAACTGAATCTTGTAAGGAGGAAGACCTTAGGAAGTCCTTAGATAGAATTCGCTACAAAGAAGTCCGAGGAATGCCTAATTCTTCAGAACGTGCAATCGATAAATTTGAATTCTCAGCAACACTTTCCCTCGCTGTAACAATATTTTCAACGGTGGCTACGAATTTTACGTAAATCAAACGAGAATTACAGGATTCAGCGAATAACAAATATGGCGGCCATTGGAGAACCCTATGTAACACATCGCGAAAAATTGGGGGCACTTTTTGTATTTGACCAGAGGTTTCTAGCAAATTTCCGAGCTTTCTCGATCGTTCTGTTCGTTGCAATTGGGTCTTGGTCGGCGATCGAGAAGTACGTGAAAATCATCGCGATCTATGGTAGGCGCGGTCACGGCCCACGGCAGCCTGGCCTTCGGCTGGAAGACGTGCACGGTCCGCGAAATGTTAATTGTTCGCACGTACGTGAACAAAATTGGCGAGAAACGTCTCTTGTTTCCCGCGCGTCCTTCCGTCGTCCTCCCACGCGTTGCTCGCGCGTAACGAAACTAGCTCGGAATTAACGCGTAACCGGAGGTAAAGTTTCGTCGTTCTCGGTTCGCGGGGAATCGATACGGTCGCTCAGAGAGCGGTTCGATAGGCGAGAAGAGGCGACGGCGCAGAGGAGGAAGTTGGCATAGCTGGCGCTGGTCATCGTCGAGTAGGCTTTTACGCGGTGCCGCAGACACGTCGAGATCTGCCGGCTAACAGTGTCGTCGGTCGTTTCTGTCGTTTTGAACGCCGAACGAGCCGTTTTTCGTCGCCGACGAAATGCGCGTGGAGGCCGGTCACGCGACCTCCAAGAAATCCTCCGCCATGCCCGGGATCAGGATCGTACGAAAGGTACGAGGTTACATGGGAAATAACTGTGTCGATCATGCTCCACGAACGGGTTTGACCATCGGACCGTGATAGATCGAAACGGGTGGGGTCTGTACGGCGACGATAGGCAACTTTTTCTCGGTGTCACGTGCACCGTCTCGGTACGAGCACGTGCCGTTCGCCGCGTTACTCATCGATTACGCTATCCTTTGATCTTAGGCGGATCTCGAGGTCGATACGGTTAAATTTCTACCTGTTCGCGGACGATCGCCGGTTGAGGACGAATCGATCTCGCGCGTTCCGTCGTCTGGTTAACGCGTAACGAGAAAGGGACGCCGGCGACGATCGGAGTCGGTCGCGTTTCTATAAAAAGAATCTGGCTTTTCCACGCACGGATGCCTCGTTTCGCGAGTTTACGAGCTAGCCGCCGGCCTCGTGCCAACTCGAGTCCGAGTCAGTCGCTCGTCGGGAGCTCGCGGTGATTAAATACGCGTTGCGTTTCGCGCGGAGGATCGCTTAACATGTTCGCGGCTAGACAGCCTTTTGACAGTGACACGAAGAAGCGAGACACGGTCTCTCGAAACGTTCCTGGAATCGTATAGTGGCTAAACACGCGCATCGAGGCTTGAACGTCGCGTGTTTCAATCGGTCGAGATCCATAGCTGTCCAATGGAAAACGGAGTCGCGATGATGCTCGATAGGAAAATCGTCAGCGCGGTAATTCTTAAATCACGTTTATCGAACATCGTCGTATTCGTAGTCGAGGTTCGCTCGTTTTTAGCGCGCCTCGCGTGACTTTGGACTTATTTGTACGACTACCAACGTTCCGTGAGTCATAAGTCGTTACAGCGTACGATAATTTCCCTTTAGCTGAAATTTTCCAAAGCATTATTCACGGCTGTATTCGGTTACTATGTCAGCGTTTAAATTCGTACAAACTTCGACTTACACTCAACCGATGCGATTGAGGGCAAAAGTTATCTTCATCCGACTAAATGCTCCAATGTACAGGGTGTCCCGGTATCGAGGAGGGAGTGATTTTAAATGAAAAAATAAAATTAATCTGAATTTTACTTCGAATATTCATGCATACCATTATTTATTTTCCCACCTGTGCACAATCGTATCGACTACATGTCGCGTACACTCGTTGCAACGTCATACACTCTTATCTTATTATGTTGTTATCTTCTGGCTTTGACTGTCAATTTCCATCGATCTAAATAATATTTACTCTCAAACTTATCGAGACCTTCCAGAGTTTTAAACCTCGAATCGATTCGAATTTTTCGCCAAAGTGCTTCAAATCTCATCACCGGCTGAACAGATGTATCTTAAATAACCGCATGTCAAAAGGGTCTCGGTATTTTTAGTACTTCGTCACAAAGCCTCTTGAAATGATTAGAATTACTCTTTGATAGAATTCAAGATTGCAAATGGTGTCGAATCTTTTTAAATATTTATTCCAAATGCCTTATTTACAGGCGTTAATAGTTATGTTCCGTATAAATAAATAAATAAATATTGCAGCGTGCTCTTCAGGAGCAAAGGCCGCTCAAAACGTTTCGGACGGAATTCAACATTTATGAGAGCAGCACCTGCGAGGAGCGCTACACTTCGACAACGACACACTACACACAGTCGCAGTGAGTAAAGAAATCGCACGAACGCTCGATGATCTATGTCACGCGTTGAGAAAGGATTTTACAATTTCGTTGATTGCTCTTAGGTACAGTTTGGAGCGGCACGAGAGGACAGAGCGGACGGAGAGGACCGAGACGGTCTTGTCCAGCGACACTACACGCCATTCGAGTTCCCAGGACGGGTCTCGTCTCGGTCAGGATGTCGCGATCGTTCCGACCGCGCATTCGGAGAACGAGATCGAGAGAGAGAAAATTACGCGAAGACGAGAGAACGACGAGAAGAGGGAACGCGTGGACGAGAGGGACGAGACGTCCTGGTCGAGGACCAGCAGCGGCGGCAGCGTGCATTTTAGCGAGATTAGGAGTTTAAAGAGGATAGAGAGGGCGGAAGAGGGTATAGGTACAGAGAACGTAATAGAGGCTAGGGGTATCGTAGATCAGAGAACGGGGAACGTGTTGACGGTTGGCGAGGCGATTAGTCTTAGGATTCTGGACGTTAGGAAGGGTAGAATAGCGTGCTCGGACAGCAGAAAGACCGTGACGATCGAGGAGGCGGCTCGTGAGAAGATAATCGACTCGCGGCTCGCGGATCGTCTGTTGGGCCCGTGCGGGTTCGACGAGGAGGGACGACCGGTGTCTCTGCTCGAGGCGATTCAACGGGAGCTGTACGACGCGGAGAAAACCGACGGGTCCGGGCCCGGGGATAGAGCGAAGGTAACTTACAGACAGAGCACGCCCGTCGACGCGAGCGAGGCGGTTAGCGTAGCCGATGCGATAAAGGAGGACACGGTCGAAGGGAGAGGTTCCGCGTTGGACCCGCGGACGGGCGAATTCGTTACGGAGGACGGCGAGAGGCTGTCGGTCGAGGAGGCGCACGCGAGAGGCTACCTGGCCAAGCTAGACGTGACCGTTACGGTGAAGAGGAGCGCGTTGCCGTTATCCGACGCGATATCGCAGGGTTTGGTGGACGAGACGCTTGGACGCGTGCTTGATAGAATCACCGGTGAGAGTTACGCTATCGACGAGGCGATCGAGGAAGGGATTCTGGATCCTACGGCGAGAGAGATCGTGGACGCGAAGAACGACACCAAAGTGACGCTTCTGGAGGCCATGAAGCAGGGTATCGTTAATCCAAAGACCGGGAAGTACATGCACGGACTGACCATGGAGAAGTTGTCGTTGAAGGAGGCGCGTCGAAGGCGGCTGATCGTTAAGCCGATGACGCTGAAAGATTGTCGGGATTCGGGGATCATCGACGAGGGCGGGAAGATCACTAGTCCCGCGCATCGAACGAAGTTGACCGTGACGGAGGCGATCGAGCGAGGCGTTCTCGACACGGATCGTTTGAACTCGATCGTCGACCTGAGAACCGGCGAGAGAGTCACACTGTCGGAGGCGTTGAACCGTGGTTTAATCGATCCGGAGAAGGCCACCTACAGAGACTCCACGGAGGAGTGCGCTATTTCGGAAGCAGTCGAGAAGGGGCTCATCACTTCGCTCGCTCAGAAGACGATATTCGACGTGGACGGATTCAAAGATCCGCTGACCGGGGAGTACGTGACCCTGAACGCTGCGCTGCTCAAGGGTTTGATCAGTTCGAAGTCTGGTGGTAGCTACATAGTAGATCCCAACACCGGTGAGACGGTCTCGCTGGCCAAAGCAGAGGAACAAGGCTACGTTCGACCAGAGGTTTCGGAGATGCTGAACCGAGGAATAGGAATTATCGAAGAGGGTAAAGAGATCACGTTTCTCGAAGCCGTTTTCGCCGGACTGCTCGATCCCAAAACTGGTCTTTTGTTAGATCCTAGGACCAAGAAGCCAGTGCCTCTAGAAAACGCGATTAAACGAGGACTTATCACGCCTGACGGTGCTGCTTTGCTCACTGGTTTGTTGAATGTCACCGTTACCACGCAGAGTGTAACGAAAGTCAGAGAAGTTCAACAGGAGGTGGTCGAAAGAATAGTCGACAAGAGACCAACGGACGCGAATGAACGATCGCCTTCCGTTGATAGTACGATGGACGTCGACGAATCTTCCGAGTCCGAAGAATCTTTGGAGTCTAAGCTAAACGACAACGTACCTAGAGCGATTGGCACCACCACGACCATAGTTTCTTTCTCGGGGGTAGATACTAAGAATGTAGTTAAAAATAAGAACGAAACTGTATTACGTACCATGAGAAGTATGTCCCCGGATGACAATACGAACGTCGAGCGTCTGTCATGGTCGAATCATCGTAAAGATCCAGATCAAGATCAGGACACGACCGTCACTGACGATTTTACGATCAATGAACGCTCCAGAGAATGTTCACCGACGGAAAAACGCGTGTTCGAATTGCCTACCGACGGATGGTCGCTTTCCGATGCGATCCATCAAAAGTTGTTTGATCCAACCACGGGTCTGTTTATAATCCCCGGAACTGACAGATTGGTTTCCTTCGAGGAGTGCGTGAAACTTCGAATAATAGATCCTAATTCGGGTCTCGTGATCGATCCGAGCAACGGAAGGAAAGTGTCCCTGCTACGAAGTTTAGAAAAGAACATTTTAGATTCTACGGGTCACTACGCTGAACCAGAAAAAATTTCAATGAAAAAAGCGATCAAGAAAGGTTTGGTGATCTTGATAGGTAGGACTCCTGCAGACGAAAGCCCCCAACAGAGACTATTACGAATTACTAAGGTATCCGGGGAACCGGACAAACTCGAGTTGTCGCGATCAGATGATCCTTCGAAACAGTTGGAGATCATTCCATCAGAAGCTAGTCTCTCGATACCGGATCCTGTACGAGTCTCGAAAGGTCTCATCTACGATCCAAGCACGGCTCTGGTCATATCGACCGAAACTGGAAGATCGAGCGAGCTGTTGTCAGCCCTGTCCGACGGCACTTTGCCCTACGACGTGGTGGTCGTTAAAGACCCCCTCACCGAGAAGGATATCGGAATAATGGAGGCCATTCAACGTGGCATAGTGAACAAAGAGAAAGCGGAGTACAAAGTCGACGAGAAAAGGAAAATATCGTTATTAGACGCGGCGAAATTCGGCATAATAACCGTCGTGGGTTCGCCCCTCGAGCCAGTCACATCTTTCACGCCTCCAACCGAAGAATCGTCCGTCTCGAGGACCGACGGAGAAGCTGAACCAGAGACGGAACGTAGAGACGCAACGTTGACATCTAAAGCGAGCTACGAGCCCAAATACACAGTGACCATTGGGAAAGCCATGGAAAGCCAATTCGACGAAGCCAAACCTATCGTGCTTCAGAAGATGAGAAAGAGAGTAGTGAACAGTAAGGAAGCCGTGGAGAGTGGACTGATCGACGCAGAGACGGCCGAGATTTTTGCCAGCAAAATGACAACGGACAATGGTAAACTCGTCACGCTCTCGGAAGCTATTCGCGATAAACGGATAGACGCGAAATCAGGGAAGATCATCGATCCTCAGAGAGGAGACGTATTGAACATTGGCGAGGCAGTGGAGCGTGGAATTTTGGATCCGGAGAGCGCCGACGTGCTGGTACCTCTGGCGAAGAGCCTGTCGATTCCTGGCTTGTACCGCCAGGGTTTGTTAGACCCCGTGGAGGGTAAAGTTGTTCACCCGGAGACTGGCGCTCATCTTACTCTCAGAGAAGCGATTCTCTGCGAGATAGTCGACCCTCTGTCGAATCTAGAGTGCTCGAACGGTCGCACCGAGACTCTTCGTAACGCGATCGAGAGCGGTCTCGTCGATCCGGAAAGGTCTTTGATAAAAACCACCAAAGGCGAGAGCGTAGGACTGGTCGAGGCTGTCCAGACAAACGTGTTCGTGGATTCGAACAAAGGTCGCGAACAGATACCTCCAGTCGGCATGACGTTCAACGTGGCGCTCGAACGCGGTTTGATAGACACGACCGGCACGCAAATACGACATCCGACTATCGGTGATCAATTGTTCCTCGAGGACGCTATAAAGGAGAACTTCATAATGTCCTTGCCGTGTCCTGTCGCGTCCGACAGCATGGAGGTGACCAAGGCCCTCGAGGCTGGTCTGATAGATAGGGAGAAGGGAGTTTTCGTCGATCCAACGACTGGCACTCCGATACCGATATTGGAAGCCATTGAATCCGGTTTGCTGGTAGTGAAATCGCCAGCCAGCCGCGTATCCACGGTCGCCGACTCTGGCGGCGTCACTGAAACTGTCACTATTAAAACCATTGATATTTCGCAAGGTTACTCGTTGGCGAACGCTACCGAGGTGAAGAATATCGAGACCGGGGACACGATCAGCATCGAGGAAGCCCGTCGCAGAGGAATCGTCAGAGACGTGTTGGAACGCAGAGAGTTTACCACCAAGGACGCCAAAATGAATTTCGACGACGCGCTTCAGAAAGGATTGCTCGACATCGCCGCTGGTACTTACACCAATCCTTCGACAGGAGTCGCGATGCCTATTCCAGAGGCTATCGAGAACGATCTCTTGGACGCTTCTTCCGATCAGACCGATACAGCTACCACCAACGCAGTCCAACAAATCGATCAGATCTACGACGAAAAAACCGAGAGATTTCTTGATCCAGATACCAAGAAGTCTTACACTCTTACCGAAGCAATGGAGATCGGATTGGTCGATCCGAACACTCCTCTTTACGACGCTAGAACTACCGAGACGGTCACTGCTAAACAAGCACTCGAGAGGGGAATGATCGATCCTGTCACGGGGAAGACTAAAGACGCTGAAGGTCGTGGTTCCGTTTCTCTGAAGCAGGCCGCGAAATTGGGACTATTGGCGGTGGTGGCAGCGCCAGTTCTCGCTGGAAAAGCGGTGTACGACGCTGTTCGCGATGCTTCGAGCAAGAAAGACAAAGAGATTGATACACGCGCGAAGCAGGAACCTGCCAAGGTTTCCCGCCAAAAAGAAGAACAAAAAGTTTCGTCTGTGGTGGATGGTGGTTTTGAAAAGAAATCGATGGTAGCAGAAACGCCAAAAGAGTCTCCTCCGGTGCAAGAGCAAACAGGAAAGGTAGAACCGTCCAAGCAACAACCTGAAACGAAGGAACTCGTGAAACAGCCAGACGAGAAACTGGAAGAGCCTTCGAAGATAAAAGTAAAGGAGGAATCACAATCACCAGTTCAGCATTCAGAGATGCAGATGAAATTAGAAGAAACGGAGGAGGAAACAGAAAAATCGGACGAAGTGGAGAAAATAGAGACACCACAGAGAGAAGAGATGCCCACCGAAGCAGAGGCTCTGGAGGAGTTCGAGCAATTGGAGGCGGAACAAGACCAGGAGAGAGAAACCGAATTCGAGACCGAAGAAGATGGAAGACGATTGACGATCGAAGTGACGCCCGATTTAACGGTCTATGATCTCGTTGTTCGAGGCGCGTACGACCTAGAAAAGGAGAAATTCTTGGATCCCGAGACAGAGGAGGTGGTCTCGTTCAGTAGTTTCGTTCTGGACCTCGGCGTGTTCGATCCAGACCGAGTGTTGGTGAAGAATCTGTCCTGCAGAACCACGGACAAGTACGTGACCCTGCGCGAAGCGATTGCCAAGCCTTTGGTAGATAGAAATCACGGATACATGGTCGATCCGAAGTCGGGCAAAAAGATACCGTTCTTCGAGGCGGTGAGTTTAAGCTTGATCAAGCAAATGCCTGCGATCGATCAGTCAGAAATCGCTACGAGGGCTGGTCAGGATGGTCTGACTCTGCGCGAGGCCATTGAAGACGGTTTGTTCGACTCGTCGACCTGCGAGATTCACGACCCAACGACGAATCGAACGTTGAAGCTGAACGAAGCTGTCGAGAGTGGACTGATCGACCCCAGTTCGATCAGCGTTCGGGATCCTGTAAGCGACGAGGTTTTATCCTTGCAAGAGATACTGGAATCCGGAGCAAACATCGACGTCAAGGATGCTTTCGATAAAGGACTGGTCGTTCCCAAATCGCGTAAACCAATTTCGTTGGAAGCTGCTATCAGAAAGGGGCTGTACGAGGAGGACACCGGCAAGATCCTGGACGAGTTAACCGGTCAGTCGATAGACGTGGAGGAGAGCGTACGCAGAGGACTGATCGACGCGTTCATCAGCGAGTGCGAGGACACCAAAGCAGGAACGTTCCTCTCGTTGGAGGAGGCTCTAAGCAGCGAGTCGAAGTTGCTGGATCCGAGCACGGGTCGATTACGAGACACCAAAACGGGCGAACTGCTTCCATTGAACGTTGCCCTGAAGAGAGGAATCATCGCTACCACAGCTTTCGTCCCTTCCTTGACCGACGCCATCGTGCAAGAGTATTATTGTCCAACGACTGGCCTCGTCGCGAACCCTACAACGGGGGAGGAGACCACTTTGAAAAAGGCACTGATCACCGGCTACGTCGACGGGGAAACAACGATGATCAGGGACGATCGAGACGAGAGAGTATTGTCCCTACAGGAGGCTGAGGAGAGTCGATTGGTCGATCTCGAAAAGGGAATACTGGTATCTCCGCATCCTATGACACTGGACGTCGCGCACGAGAAAGGATACATCCTCAGCACCTTGAAACCTTGGACCCTGCAAGAAGCTCTGGCCCATCAGACTTACGATCCCCAGAAAGGCACGTTCAACATAGACGGCGAGATCTACACCCTCGAGAAGGCGCTCGAAATCGGTTTGATCACCAAAGACAGTTCATCCGTGAAGGATCCGAGGAACAGTGAAATAATCTCGCTGAGCGAAGCCATTAAACAGGGCCTGATCGATCCTAAAACCGGCACAGCCCTCGATCCGTTGACCAGCTCGCCTTTGTCGCTGACGGACGCTCTCGATCACGGGATCATCGTCCCTGCGAAGCGCAAGATCTCGCTACCAGAGGCGGTGTTCAAGGGTCTCTACGAGCCCACGACCGGTCGCTTCATCGTTCCGGAGACTCGCGAGAAGCTACCGACCGATCGTGCGATCAAAGCCGGCGTTATAGATCCCAGCACAGCGGTGGTGCTACGCCAACCGGACGGCAAAGCGATCACCTTCGACAGAGCGATCAAAGAACTGATCGTCGATCCAAAAACTGGAACGGTGACCAACGAGAAAGGAAAACGCGTGGACTTCCGCGAGGCGTTGGAGCACGGATTGCTCTTGGAGACCAGACGACCGATGACCTTCAGCGAAGCCATTTCCAAAGGTATTCTGGACACGAGAACGAACACGTTCCTGGACCCCCAAACGGGCGTGTACCTCAGTTTACTGGAGGCGATCCAGAGGAACCTGATAGACGCGGACTCCGTGACTGTCAAGGACGGCAGAAGCGGTTTCCGGGAGAGGATTTCGCTGATGGACGCCATAAGGACCGGCTACATCAACGGTACCACCGGCAAAGTGAACGTCACAGCAGACTCTGTGATGTCGTTGCAAGAAGCTTACAACGCCAGCTTGATCATCGATCACAGAGCGGCCATGTCCTTGCAGCGGGTGATCCACAAAGGATTCTACGACGAACAGACCGGAAAGATCACCAATCCCAGGACAGAGAGATCGGTCACTCTGCACGAAGCCATGAGGAACTGTCTGATCAATCCTACGCTTCCCTGTTACTGGGACAAACGAGCGGACATGTTGCTCTCGCTAGCGGAAACCTGTCGCGCGGGAGTGATCGACAGACGATCGGGGATGTTCAAGGAGCCAGGGGCGAACAGATCGGTATCGCTGTCGTTGGCGTTGCAGCTTGGACTGATCGTCGACATCGAGATCACGGAGTTCTGCCTCCACCAGGCGATCATGATGAACATTTACGATCCATCCACAGGGAGGTTCACGCATCCGTCCAGCAACCAGAAGCTCACTCTAGCAGAATCCTGTCACGCGAAACTGATAGATGCCGACGCGTCGATCGTCCGTTGCGATCAATCCGACCGGTACATGCCGCTCACCATGGCCATTTCTAGCGGTATCATAAACGACACTCGCGGAACGTATACGCTGTCTGACAACGGCGGATCCATCGATCTACGAGAAGCAGTCTCCAGAGGACTCATCGTATCCTCGAAGTTCCCGCTCAGCATAGAGGAGGCGGTCGCCTGCGACCTTTACAGAAGCCAGACCGGCGTGTTCGTCGATCCACGTACTAATAAGAGTCACGATCTCACGCGTGCCTTCGACGTTGGCCTCCTAGATCCCGACACAACCGCCCTCAAGGACGCGATCACCGGACAGATAACGTCCCTCTTGGCGGGCATCGAGAACGGCGCCATCGACGTGCCACACGGACGAATCCTGGACTCGAAAACGAAACGAGCCTATCCCATCGACGTTGCCCTCGAGCGTGGCCTCCTGGTTACCTTGGAGAAACCGTTGACCCACGAACCGGCTCGTCAGAGCGTCACGCGCAAGGAGGAACCGTCCCGTCAGGAGTGCAGCATCCAAGAGGCAATCGACAATCGTCTGATCGATCCAAACACAGCCGTGGTCAGACACCCGAAGAACGGCAGATTCGTCACGGTGAACAGCATCCTGGCTGACGGCGAGTTGGATCCAACAGTCAGAGGAACGATCGAGTCCGACTCGCCCCGTACATCGGATGGCAAACTGACGCCGCGTTTCGTTCGTTTTGGCGACGTCGAGGTGTACTTCGAGCGACCTCTGACCTTCGAGGACGCCGTGGAGAGAGGACACTTGTCCACGGAGAGCGGGAAACTGACGGATCCGAAGACAGGCGAGCTAGTTACGTTGAAGGACGCCGTGGGACTCGGTATCGTCGATTCCGATTCCGCGCTGATCAAAGACACCAAGAAGAAGAAGCTGATCAAATTGGCCGAGGCGTTCAGGAAAGGTCTAATGGACGCTGAGAAGGGTAACGTCTTGGAGACAGAGACCTCGAGACTGTACCCGTTGTCGAAAGCCATCGAGGCGGAGCTCCTCATCACGCCCAAACGCGGTTTGTCCTTCATCGAGGCCCTAGAGTTCGGACTGTACGACACCGCGTCCGGTAGCTTCGACGATCCCTTCCGTGTCGCGTCCGCGTTAGATCGTAAACCGGCCACGTTGACGGAAGCAATCGACGTCGGGTCGATCGATCCCTCCGGCACAGTGATCAAAGAACCCGGTACCGGTAAAATCGTTAGTTTGTTAGAGGCTATAAACACCGGGATAATAGATCCTAGGGCGGGCAGGCTTATCGAAGACCCATCGGGAAAGAGCCTTGACTTCGCGAAAGCCCTGGACCAGGGTTATATTCTCACCGCAGAAGCTAGGGTAAGTGGCACTCTTTCTAGACTCTTCTTCTTCTTCTCTTTCACGACGCCTTACGTCGTTCTTTAACGCGTTTGTCGAATTGGCGCACACGAAATTTACTTATTTTACCAGGTGGACACTGATGAGTTCAAATAGAAAGCAATCAACAGATGATACGAGCAAATTAATAAATAACGCAACTTGTCCACCATTACTATTTTTCTTATCGATCTACGTTTTTATTTAGTAAATTTATCGCGAGATTTTTTGTACACCTGCTAGTTTAACCTTTAATTTTTTTATTTCATTTTATGAGATCTATACTTTTTCCACTATTCAATAGATTTATAATAGTATAATTTTACATATAGACATTATGGAAAGAAACAGCGTACCTTGATTTCGTGTGCACCAACCTGAGACGCCCTATAGAGCATACCTTCCACGCTCACTGTTTTTCTATATTTTTTTTTTTTTTTTTAATTTTTGAATATTTTTTTTTTTCCCCTGTGCTATATTTTGTCAATCTGTCTATTCGGTATCCACGTCTTCTCCTATTTTTGTTCACATCTTACGCTATTTATTTTTGTCCATTCTTTTCACATCTAATCCTATTTTTTTTAACCGCTTGCCAAAGGTTATGGATCGTTACGTATTGTACGCTTACGATGCATCCTGTCGGCTATCGCTCTACGTGTGCGACGATAGCCCGACGTTGTCTCGCAAATTGTTCGTTCTGTCACTACCGAACGATGCTTGTCGGTAGCAGCAAACCGCAATAGCAACAGTAAAAACGTAACCATCACGACGTACCACATCTCTGCCCTGCATGGAGACCCTAAGAGCGTGCCACGATCCGCGTAGAGGCCAAAATGAGAAAAAATCATCAGTGGGGCGCTCCTCCTATCCGTCCCCTCGTTCGCACTCGCATCTCATGTCTACACCAGTACGCACGTCATTCACATCACGTAACAGGGGGCTAATTGTCATACGTAATACTAATCGACGGTGCGCGTATTACCGATTAAAAAAAGGAAAAAATGTCTAAGACGAATCGTCCGCAAAATATACGTCGTCGTACGTCGCGATCGACTCTGATGTATTATAATTCTATCGATCTTTTCGTGTGTCGCCTGATCGCATCGGCAATGCTAACTCGATCATAGTATTAATCGTAATAACGTTTGTTGTAATTTGCACGTTGGTTCGCCGAACGTTTCGCGCTTTCCTTCGAACGATTTGTACCCCAGTCACCATTTTAACTCCATGGAAATTGATTTTAAATTCCGTATGGGAATCAAGCACATGACAGAAGGAAAGCACGAAAGTAAAATAATGTATTAACGCGTAATCACGGCACCTAGGTGACCTGTACTCTTCACATGGTATAACGCAACGATCGAAACCATCGAATCGACAGCGACTAGTCGTTCAACGCGTAGCCACGTGTTACGTGCGATATCGCATGCTTCGACCAAAGGTTTATCATCGAACGCACACCCCAAAAAAACACCCCCCACCCCCCCCATTTATCAGAACAGTCATTTATTTTTCAACCGTTACATTGCAATTGTTACATTGAAGTTTTCCTTTTTTTCAGGTATTATCGTTACTCGTTTTTTTTTAGCTCGATCCTGTTTTCTTTCTAGCACGAGTTTGCGGAAATCTCACGATACCATACAAATCCCACGTACATACGAGTACCCCCATGACCCCCCTGCCCCCCTTTCTCTCGTCATTTCGTTTGTCACCGTCGTCATTATTCGTATCGCGAAATCGTATTCTTTCAGTTTATATAATACTTGCTTGCAGACGCGTCTTATTGACGAGAACGCGGCTTCCGTTCTGTTACCATCGTTCGCTTGCCGACTGCATATAAGAACAAAACCACGTACGGGTACGAGTATGCAGTTCGATTACTCGCTGGCAGATCAATCAGACCTCTTGGGTTCTTCTAAACTGTGTTTTTTTGTTATTTTACTTATTTATACATTTATATATACATATAACGTTGTCAAGTTTTGTTTACGTTCCAAGTGTGTGTATGTGTTTTGCATGCGTGAGATACGTCTATAAGCTTACCATGTCCCTGTATTTTTTTTTCCTTTTTTTTTTATTTAATTTGTCGATTCTTACAGAGAGACCGCCGTTGGTAAGCAGGCGGTCTTTACCCCTCGTCGTTTACGTTTTAAGTGAGCACGTTAGGAGATAAGATTATCGTTAACTCGCGTCCACGTTGTTCGTCACGATTGGTACCAACATTCGCGCCTTTCTCTGTTGCAAATTCTCATAGCAAGCGGTCGAGGAAAAGTACAAACTGTGCGACGAAACGTCCTCGAAGCTCCTCCAATGGATATCCGAGGTCGAAGACAAACTGGCCGAGCAGGACAACGTCAAGGAAGACGTCGATCAGCTTCGAAGTCAGATAAACGCGATGAAAGTGAGGGCGATTCGGTTCTTCGAACGTATCAATACCCTTCACTTCGAATCCAGAATTTTATACATATATTTTTAGGAGATCAAAGAAGACCTCGAGGCCCACGCCCGACCAGTTTCCTCCTGCCTCGATCAGATTCGCCAAGTGGTTCTAACAGGAGGCAACGTGCTGTCCAGCGAGGAAGTGTCCACCTTGGAGAGAAACGGTCGGTCCCTGAAGACCAGGTTCGACAGAGCCTCGGATCGAACCGAGAGAATGGTCAAACGTCTGATCGCCGCCAGAGACGAATTGGTCAAATTCAAGTCAGTTTCATTGCTCGTTTATATTTTATCCGTTCCCCTATCCAGTTCTTCAATCGATCTCTTGTCTATAGAAACGAGTTGTCGACGTTCTCTCACTGGCTGGATAACGCTAGACGAGTCTTGGAAGAGAAGGAGCATTCATTGTCCGACTTGAACAAGTTGAACAGCAGCGCGGACGCCACGCGTGATTTCATTAGCGACGTTATAGCGCACCAAGCTGACCTACGGTTCATCACAATGGCCGCGCAGAAGTTCGTCGACGAGAGCAAAGAGTTCCTTCATGTTCTGAACGAGTTCCGGACCAGTCTGCCGCAGAGGCTGCCGCACAAAGAACCGATAGCTAGTCAGGACTCGCCCGTGCGCGGTGAGGTGTCGATCGTCACTGCTCAGTACAAAGATCTGCTCTCGCGGGCGAATCTCCTGGCCGACAAGCTCTCAGGAGTTGGTGGAAGGCAGCGGGATTACCGCGAGTCCTTGGAAAAAGCGAAAACTTGGCTGAAGGAGGTCGAACCGAAGGTTCACAGAGCCATTTCCGAGTCGATCGCGGCGGAACCGAAACAAGTCGAGGACCAATTGAGCAAAGCAAAGGCGCTGAACAACGAGATGCTTGCTAACGAACGCTTAGTGGAGAACGTCAAGGTCACGGTTGACGCGCTTTTGAGGTCTCTCGACGGTCAGTTAACACCGAAAGAGGTCGACGAACTGGAAGAGCCGGCAAGAGCCTTGGAGGACAAGTACAGACAGTTGATCAACGCGATTGGAGAGAAGTGCCAAGAATTGGATGCAGCGTTGGTTCGAAGCCAGGGAGTGCAAGATGCTTTGGACAGCTTGGTACTCTGGTTGAACAACATCGAGAGTCAGTTCAAGTAAGCGAGATACTTTGCAGAGTATTCTCTTGGAGGTTGTGACTGGGTAAGAATGAGTTTGAATCGTTTGTTTGCAGGAACATTCAGCGACCAGCGAGTTTGCAGAAAGAGCGGCTGGAAGAACAGCAGAGGGATCAGCGTCTTCTTCAAGCAGACTTGGACAGTCATCGTTTGAGCGTGGAAGCAGTTGCAGGCAGTGCACGGGATCTGCTCACGAACTCGAACAACACACGAATCGCGAAGCGTATCGAGGGCAAGTTGAAAGACGTTCAGGTCAGGTTCGAGAAGCTGATGGACAAGTCGTTGCGCCGGGGTGAATTCCTCGATGAAATCGCGCAGGCACTTGGAGACTTCTTGGTAGAGACCACCAAGTTCGACAGCTGGTACGCTCAAATGATCGAGGCGTTGGAGTCGAGGGACTTGAACAAACTGGACGTAGCCGAGTACGAGAGCAAAATGGAGTCTCTGATTGATAAGCGGGAATATCAACGAGCTAGCTTCGAAGAGCTGATCCGCAACGGGAAGAACTTGATCTCGAAGAAGGATGTCACGGACGTAGCTCTGATCAGAGACAAGATCAAGGCTCTCGAGTCTCAGTGGAAGGACGTGAACAATTTGATCGACGAGAAGCTACGGCTGAGCAGCTCAAGAGCGAAACAGCTTTTCGCGTACGAGAAACTTCGCGATCAGGTTATCGATTGGTTAACACGCACCGAGAACAAGGTTCAGGGCCTCGAACCCGTAGCTGTCGACTTGGAGAAGTTAAAGAGACAGGCTGACGAATTGAAACCAGTGCAGAAAGAGTACCGTGATTATGGTAACACCGTAGATAAAGTGAACGATCTTGGAATCGCTTACGATGGTCTGCTGAAAGAACGAACCGAGAGCCCAACTCGACGTCGTGGTAGTACCAGTCCAACCAAGAGACCAGGTATATATTCTGATCACTGTCATTCCCGTTAGACAATTCCATTGCTGTCTAATCGCTCGATAGCATTCTCTCTACGGCCCGTCTCTTCATACCTTGACGAATCATTACGACTCTATCACCAGCACAGTTCGCTCAACTCTCACACATTTTTTTTTGTAGTACGACGAATGTCACAAGACGGTCGCTCACCATCTCCCGCTAAATTGTATGCAGCTCAAAGTCCGGTCTCTCCAGGTGGTAGCAGCGGATTCAGTAGCCGCCGCTCCAGTCAAGACGGTTTTCATCTCGAGGACTTGTCGCCTGTTCAGCAACAGCTTTCTGAGATCAACAATAGGTACGGATTGTTGGGCGTGCGCTTGACCGACCGGCAAACAGAATTGGACTCTGTGAGAGACGAACTCAAGAGACACGTGGATAACTTGAAGACCCTGTCCCAGTTTCTGGAAAAGGTAACGTGTATCTTGCGAGATAGAGTACTACGTCGGACAGGAAAATGTTTATTGTCCGTATCGATGCACTTTTTTCTTTTTAATGTTGCAGATTCAGCGACAAATACCGAAAGAGTGTATACCAAACACGAAAGAGGAGGCGGACAAGACGGCGAAACAGATCAAGATCGTGATCGAGGAAATGTACGAAAAGCAATCGTTGCTGGACACTACCAGGACCCAAGTGCGCGATTTGGTCAGACGTAAGAAGGGAGCACACGGTGTGGACAGACTAAACGATGAGATGGAAGATGTAACCAGCCGATGGAGATCGTTCAGCGAACGCTGTAAGGATAGAATAAAGTTCTTGGACGACGTGAAGGACTTCTACGACACATCAGAGGGCCTGGTGTCGTGGCTCGGGTCGAAAGAGAGAATGTTGAGCGCGTTGGGTCCCATCTCGGCCGATCCTAGAATGGTTGCTAGTCAGGTGCAGCAGGTTCAAGTTTTGCGGGAAGAATTCCGTACTCAGCAGCCTCAATTGGATCACTTGGTGCAAGTCGGAGAGAATATTCTCGGGGTGATAGGAATCGATTCCACGGATGGTCAGAGAACTAGCGCGAAGTTGAAATCTATTTTGGACAAGTGGGCCGATCAGTTGTCCAGACTCGACGAGAGGGCGCAAAGTTTGGGAGACGCAGTTGACACCAGTCGCGAGTTCGACGCGAGTCTGAACCGTTTGCGCGACGCTCTGCAAGGAATCTCGGACAATCTGGACGAATTGACCCTCGAGAAGGACCCTGAGGATCAGCTGCGGAAAATCGAGAACCTCGAGAGACAATTGGAAGGCCAAAGACCTTTGCTGGCCGACGCCGAAGCAGCGGGTGAACAGCTCTGCGAAGTCTTGAGCGATCCGGCCTCAAAATCCGAGATCCATGGAAAGTTGGCTGCCGTTGGTAAACTTTACACGAACCTTCAAAAGAAATTGGACCACAAGAAAGCTGAGATCGAGGGTAACTTACGAGATGGAAGACAGTTCGAGGCCTCCTGCACCAAAACCTTGGGTTGGCTTGCCGATGAGCTTGGAAACATGTCAGAGAAATTGTTGGTATCCGCTGACCGAGACATCTTGCAGCAGCAACTCGATCATCACGAGGTAAGATGATTATTTTACTGATTTTTTAAGCGTCTTTATCGTTTGTGCTTCCGTTATTTCAGCCGATATATAGGAACGTAATGGGCAAAGAACACGAGGTCATCATGCTGCTGAACAAGGGACGTGACATGCTTACACGGTCTCAGAAAGTCGAGAATCGATCTCTGCAACGCGACTTGGACAAAATGCATTCGCAGTGGGATCGTTTGAAGAAAGACATGCTCGATAGGCACACAAAGTTGCAGACCTGCGCGGAACACTGCAAGAAGTATTATAAAGCGCAAGATTCGTTCTTGCCGTGGCTTCGACAAGCCGAAGACAGACTCGAGTGTTTGAAACCAGCTTCCTTCAAACGCAAGGACATTGAAAAACAACTCAAAGAACTTTCGTCGTTCAGAAATGAGGTCTGGAAACATTCCGGGGAGTTCGAAAACAATAAGACTCTGGGCGAAACGTTCCTCGGAGCTTGTGACATTGATAAACAGAACGTCAAAAATGAACTTGGTGCCATGAAGACTAGGTGGGACAAGCTGAACAACGGTAAGCTTTTTCTTGAGTTTATATTGAAGGTTGATCGAGGTTACGTTGAATCTAAATGAATTGATCGATGTTGCAGATCTACTGACAAGAACACAATCCTTGGAAGATACTGCGCGACATTTGATGGACTTCAACGAAAATTTGCGAGATTTGCGACACGGCTTGCAGCGTTGCGAGGATAAATTGGCATCTCACGACGCTCTCGGTGGAGCGGCTAAAGATCCGAAGCTTCTCGATAGGATAAAGGTATATAATTATGATAACCATTTGTCGGTTCCAGTGCTTGAAGGCGATGTCATTTATTTCAGAGTTTACGAGAAGAGACGACAAACTTGAAGAAACCTCTGCAATGCGTGAAACAGCAAGCCAATGACTTGGCGAACAAGGCTGGTGAACAAGGTGTCGACGCGACGCACTTGCAGGACGAGGTGGACAATCTGAACGATCGAATCAACGACCTGCAAGCGAAGTTGGACGACAGATGCAACGAATTGCAGAGTGCAGCTACCGCTGTCGCGCAATTCAACGATCACGTGAAATCGATAGGTCAACAGGTCTCCAGTCTCGAGAAGGAATTGGACTCGATGAGAGCACCGGGAAGAGAAATTAAAATTGTACGATCTCAGATAGAGGAAACGACGAAAGTGATCAGCAAGGTCAACCGATTGTACGAGGAAGTCACCGATCTGGAAAGCCTCGGCGAACGTTTGGTCGATTATGGTTTCGCGGCTGACGCCGTAGCTACCAGAGAGCAGGTCGCTGGCTTGAAACGACAAATCGGAAAACTCGACGATCGTTCTCGGGACCGCCACGACGAACTTACCGCAACACTTGACAAGCTGCAAGAATTTTATCAGGCGCACACCACCGTAATCTCAGAGATCGACGAAGCAAACGAACAGTTCAGGAGGTTCAGGCCTGTTGGGTCAGAAGTAGAATCTATAAAAGCACAACAGGAGGACTTCAGACTTCTGAAACTCCACAAGATAGAGCCGTTGGCCCGTGCCGTCGAAGATTGCAACTCGCTGGGCCAGGGTTTGATTCAGACTGCCGGTCGCGACGTTAATACCAGCAATATCGAAAAGGATGTCGACAAGATGAACGACAAGTGGAACGACCTGAAAGATAGGTTGAACGAGCGGGACAGAAGATTGGACGTGGGGCTTCTTCAGTCGGGCAAATTCCAAGAGGCTCTGGACGGGCTGGAGAAATGGTTAACGGACACGGAGGAGATGGTCTCCAATCAGAAGCCACCGTCTTCGGATTACAAGGTGGTCAAGGCACAGCTGCAGGAGCAGAAGTTCTTGAAAAAGATGCTGATGGACCGACAGAACTCGATGTCGTCTTTGTACAACATGGGCCAAGAGGTGGCGGCTGGAGCAGATCCCAAGGAACGAAAGATGATCGAGAAGCAGTTGAAAGAATTGGTGGGAAGATTTGACAACCTAACGGAAAGTGCTGCAGAGAGAATGGAAGCGCTCGAACAAGCAATGGGCGTAGCTAAACAATTCCAGGACAAACTGGTCCCGCTGGCAATCTGGTTGGACAAAACGGAGAAACGCGTTAGGGACATGGAGCTGGTACCAACGGACGAGGAGAAGATTCAGCAACGCGTTACGGAACACGACGCTCTTCACGAAGACATTCTGTCGAGGAAGCCCGACTTCAGCGAGCTCACCGAAATAGCTAGTCAATTGATGGCCCTTGTAGGCGAGGATGAGGCTAGCTTGCTGGCTGACAAATTACAAGACGCTGCTAACAGATACGCAGCTTTGGTGGAACGGTCGGAGGCACTCGGTGGATTATTGCAGAGATCCAGACAAGGCTTGCGTCATTTGGTTCTGAGCTATCAAGAACTCCAGGCCTGGATGGAGAGCATGGAGATAAGGTTATCGAAGTATCGGGTCTTGGCAGTACACACGGAGAAGCTTCTCCAGCAGATGGAAGATCTTGCGGATTTGACCGAAGAAGTCTCAACGCGACAGACCGAGGTAGACAGTACCACCGATGCAGGCTTGGAACTGATGAAACACATCTCCAGCGACGAGGCCCTTCAACTGAAGGACAAGCTCGATTCCCTGCAACGACGATTCAACGATTTGGTCAGCCGTGGTTCGGATCTACTGAAACACGCGCAAGAGTCCCTGCCGCTGGTCCAACAGTTCCACGACAATCACAATCGGCTGATGGATTGGATGCAGGCCGCGGAATCCGCTCTGCAATCCGCGGAGCCTCGCGAGGACGAGATCGTGCGATTGGAAATGGAAATATCCGAGTACAGACCAGTCTTGGACAAGATCAATGCCGTTGGACCACAGCTGTCTCAGCTATCACCGGGCGAGGGTGCAGCGACCATAGAGGGCTTGGTCACTAGGGACAATAGACGATTCGATGCTATCGCGGAACAGATCCAACGAAAGGCCGAGAGGATTCAGCTGAGCAAGCAGCGTTCTCTGGAAGTTATTGGCGACATCGACGATCTACTGGAATGGTTCCGCGAAGTGGACAATCAATTGCGGGAGGCGGAACCACCGAGCAGCGAGCCCGAGATCATCAGGGTGCAGCTGAAGGAGCACAAAGCACTGAACGATGACATATCCAGTCAGAAAGGTCGCGTCAGGGACGTGATATCGACAGCGAAGAAAGTGATACGCGAGAACGGCCATCACGAGGATACCTCGACCATCAGAGAAAAGATGGAGGACCTCCGCGAGACCATGGAGATCGTGTCTGGCCTCTCAGCGGACAGACTGGGAGCTCTGGAGCAAGCATTGCCACTGGCCGAGCATCTCCGCGATACCCACATCGGTTTGGTCAGCTGGCTCGAGGAGGCCGAACAACAGGTCGCCATGCTCCCTATGCCAGCCTTGAGGCCCGACCTGATCGCTGCTCAACAGGACAAGAACGAGCTCCTGTTGCAGAGCATCAACGAGCACAAACCCTTGGTCGAGAAGCTGAACAAGACCGGCGAGGCACTGCTGAAGCTCTGCAACGAGGAGGAAGGTATCAAGATACAGGACATCCTGGAAGCAGACACTGCTCGGTACGCAGCCCTCAGAGCCGAGCTACGAAGTCGACAACAGACTCTGGAACAGGCGTTGCAGGAGTCCTCTCAATTCTCGGACAAACTGGAGGGTATGTTGCGCGCTCTTTCCTCCACGGCGGACCAGGTACACGGCGCGGAACCGATCAGCGCTCATCCTGGTCGCCTCAGGGACCAGATGGAGGAGAATTCGGGCCTGGTGGACGAACTGGCCCAAAGGTCGGAGGCGTACGCGGCCGTGAGACGCGCCGCGGACGACGTGATCAGCAAGGCGGGCAACAGAGCCGATCCAGCCGTGAAGGACATCAAACGGAAGCTCGAGAAACTGAACAAACTATGGAGCGACGTGCAGAAAGCCACCAACGAGCGAGGACACACGCTGGACGATGCCCTGACGATAGCAGAGAAGTTCTGGTCCGAGCTGAACGGCGTGATGTCGACTCTGCGAGAGCTGCAAGACGCTCTCGCTGGTCAGGCGCCGCCAGCCGCTCAGCCGGCCGCCATTCAACAGCAACAGGTCGCCCTGCAAGAAATCAGACACGAGATCGACCAGACCAAACCGGACGTGGAGCAGGTACGCGTTTCCGGCCACGAGCTGATGGGTCTATGCGGCGAACCAGACAAACCCGAGGTCAGGAAGCACATCGAGGACCTGGAGCAAACCTGGGACAACGTAACCGCCCTATACGCCAGACGCGAGGAGAATTTGATCGACGCGATGGAGAAGGCCATGGAGTTCCACGAAACGTTGCAGAACCTTTTGGAGTTCTTGCAGGAGGCCGAGGAGAAGTTCGCCCGCATGGGTCCGCTGGGCAGCGACATCGACGAAGTTAAGAAACAGATCAAGCAATTGGCCAATTTCAAAGCGGAAGTAGATCCTCACATGGTCAAGGTCGAAGCCCTGAACAGGTAACCAAACACGGTTCTTTGCCTCTCGCTCCATTTGCGTTCTTTTGTTCCATTTTAATAGTTTTTTCTTTTTAATCGAATTCCGGAGAAGCTCCGGAACCATCGATCACGGTCTCTTACCCCCACGCCGAAGTGTTCCACGCGTGTATAATCTTATTTGTCTCCTTTGCGCGGTGTCCATTTCTACAGTAACATTTAGCAAGAATTTATACCTCTTCTGAGCAAAAACAGCGAGATTCTAATCCCAACTTTTGTTTTTTACGCGCCGGTTCCTGAACGCATAGGAGTCTGACAAGGCAAGTCAACCCTCTCTCTGTGTTGTAGCTGTAGTTAGAGCATGGCTTACATTTATTCTTTATCGTACTTCGATCGCACCGGGTACATAATAATCCCCGGTGATAACCGAATGTGGACCACCCTTTAATCTCGTAATCTCCGTAACAACCGTAATACCCCCCTTTGCTCGCGATCAAATAATCGAAAACCTTAACTTTCTTTCTCTCTGTGATGGTTGGAGTTGTTCGAACAGAGTTGTTCTTGTCGTCGGAGGTTCGTTGTATTTGCCTGCCTGTCTGCCTGGCTCGTGACGTGCCTGTTCTACTTACATACACAAACATGCCACATTCGTAGGTATTTAGAGACTCGAGAATGGACGAGAGTCGCAGCGTTTTCCTCTCACGGTCGGATTAAAACCGAGACGGGAAATAACGATCGCACGAGGTCGTCGATCGACTATCGACTATCCTCCATTTCTGGTTTCTGGCTCCATCCGTCGAACGACCTCGCGCGATCAAGATTTTCTGCCTCGACCATAGTTCTGTCACTCCTTTCCCGTAGATTCGTCGACCCTGTGTTCATTCTGACTAAACATCGAATTAAACGTACGTGTCCTAAGTAACGGCCGTACCATTTATTTACAAGCATCTCCCCATGGTGTACGCTTTCTCACATTCGGGCGTACAGATCGTATCGAAAGATCCGTGTGAATCGTTTCCAACGTTCTCCCCTGACGTTTCAGACAAGCCGCCGAATTGACGGAAAGGACATCGTCGGAGCAAGCAGCCGCCATCAAAGAGCCGCTGGGAGCCGTGAACAAACGATGGGACGGATTGCTCAGAGGCCTGGTCGAAAGGCAGAGACTCCTGGAGAACGCTCTGTTGCGGTTAGGACAATTCCAACATGCGCTCGACGAGCTTCTGGTATGGATCGAGAAGACGGACGACACTCTGGACAATTTGAAAGCGGTGGCTGGCGATCCACAAGTGATCGAAGTGGAGCTGGCCAAGCTGAAGGTGTTGGTGAACGATATTCAAGCTCACCAGACGAGCGTCGACACGCTGAACGATGCTGGTAGACAGCTGATCGAGGACGGGAAGGGAACAGCGGAAGCGTCGACGACGGCTGAGAAGTTGGGTACTTTGAACCGTCGTTGGCGCGATCTGCTTCAACGCGCTGCCGATCGTCAACGAGAGCTGGAAGACGCTCTCAGGGAGGCGCAGTCCTTCACCGCGGAGATACAGGATCTTCTGTCTTGGCTCGGCGACGTGGACAACACCATAGTGGCTTCCAAGCCGGTCGGAGGACTTCCGGAAACGGCCTCGGAACAGCTAGAGCGATTCATGGAAGTCTACAACGAGTTGGAGCAGAATCGGCCGAAGGTCGAGACGGTTCTTCAGCAGGGTCAGGAGTATCTGAAGCGAGCCGACACGCACAGCGCCGGAGGACTGAACCACAACTTGAAGACCTTGAAACAACGCTGGGACAACGTCACGGCACGAGCCAGCGACAAGAAGATCAAGCTGGAGATCGCGCTGAAGGAAGCCACGGAGTTCCACGACGCGCTCCAGGCGTTCGTTGACTGGCTGACCAACGCGGAGAAGATTCTGACCAACCTGAAACCCGTGTCGAGGGTGATGGAGACCATACTTGGCCAAATAGAGGAGCACAAGTCTTTCCAGAAGGATGTGGGAGTTCATCGCGAGACGATGCTGAATCTCGACAAGAAGGGAACTCATTTGAAGTACTTCTCCCAAAAACAAGACGTAATTCTGATTAAGAACTTGCTGATAAGCGTGCAACACAGGTGGGAGAGGGTAGTGTCCAAGTCTGCTGAGAGAACGAGGGGTTTGGATCACGGTTACAAGGAGGCCAGAGAGTTCCACGACGCTTGGTCGAGCCTGATGAACTGGCTGGACGAGACTGAGAAAACTTTGGACGAGGTTGCGGCTGACGGTGGCCTCGGTGGAAACGATCCCGAGAGAATAAAGACGCGACTGAACAAACACCGCGAATTACAGAAGGCGTTAAGCGCGAAACAGGGCACCTATGACACCACCATGAAGAACGGTAAGACGTTGAAGGATAAGGCCCCCAAGAGCGACGAGTTCGCTCTGAAGGAACTCTTGAACGAATTGAAGAACAAGTGGACCACCGTTTGCGGCAAGTGCGTGGACAGGCAGAGGAAGCTCGAGGAGGCTCTGCTATTCTCTGGACAGTTCAAGGATGCCATTCAAGCGTTGCTCGAGTGGCTCAGCAAGTCCGAGAAACAACTGGCGAACACAGGACCGCTCCACGGCGACTTGGACACCGTGGTGAACTTGGTCGAACAGCACAAGACCTTCGAGAAGGACTTAGAGTCTCGAGCCTCTCAGATGGAGTCTGTTATAAAAACCGGTCGAGAGTTGCTCGGCAAAGCGACGCCCGAGGACGCATCCGCCATTGGATCTCAGCTGGCCGAACTGAACGACCTCTGGAACACGGTGTCCCGATTGTCCTCCGAGAAGACGGACCGTCTCGAGGACGCGCTTAGAGAAGCGGAACGTTTGCATAAGGCGGTCCACGTGCTTCTCGAATGGCTGAGCGACGCCGAGATGAAGCTGAGGTTCGCTGGGCAGCTGCCGGAGGACGAGCAGGAGAGTAGGAATCAGTTGATGGAACACGAGAAGTTCTTGCGCGAACTGCGTACCAAAGAAATGGAGAAGGATCAGACTTTGGAACTGGCTCACGCGATTCTCGCGAAAGCTCACCCGGACGGCGTTCTGGTCATCAGGCACTGGATCACGATCATTCAGTCCAGGTGGGACGAAGTGGCCACCTGGGCTCACCAGAGGAATCAGAGATTGGAGAACCACATGAGAGGACTTCAGGTAAGGCGTTAAAAAGTTCAGGAAGAATACAGAAGTTTATGTCACATGGTACTTATGTTTTGTTGCATCTTTCAGGACCTAGACAATCTCTTGGAAGAGCTACTTTCGTGGCTGGAAGGTCTGGAGAATACCCTGAACGCGCTCGAGGCCGAGCCTCTGCCGGACGACAAGGCTACGTTGGAGATGCTGATTGCGGATCACAGAGAGTTCATGGAGAACACTAGTCGAAGGCAGAACGAGGTCGATCGCGTTTGCAAAGCCAGACAGATCAAAACAGTCAAAGACACAAAGAAGATGTCGAAGGCTAAGTCACCCGCGCCGACGTACGTTCACATTCTTTTCTATTCTCTTGCCCTGGTCCCCAACAATCTTCTTTTAGCAAGTTGTCGCGGGTGGAACGCCAAGGATCGCGCTCGTCGGAAAATCATCGCTCCTCCGAGGTAGACGGAATCGTTAGCGAACGATACTCGCCTGCATTTGCTTCTCGAATACCCGGTTTACCATTCGACGACCGTACTCTATTGTTTCATAGTTTTGTTTTCCGTTTGCGTGAGCTTTGGCGTATTGGAAGTCACACTTGCCCGTGCATGTTGCGTTTCATACCGATCTTTTTTTATTTTTTTTTTTTTTTTATTTTTTTTGTTCTTTTTCTGCGTGAAAAGTTTTCGTTGAAGATCGATCGTGGACGTCTGCGAGGGCAACTACAACGACAGAAAGGTTCGTCGTCGAAGGATACGGGTCTCTTCGTCTATGCTGTTGACTTTACACGCTCCGTCGAAGTCTATTCGGTTTATTTTGTAGCAGTGTTTCCAAGGGCGAATACGACAAAGTGAATGCGCGTTGTAGGCAGCATGGTAGAGAGTAACTTTTGGATTCGTGTATTAAAAGACAAATGGAACGCGTTCACGGCGTACAGAAAACAGGAAACTTTAGTCGGAATTTTTTAAATCGCGTCCGCAATTCACTTTCTCATCGGTAGTTGTAAATTCTTTGCGACGGAGTTTGCGAAACGTTCTGTAGTAAGTACAGAGAATAGGATAGCGACCTATTCTCCTTCCTGTTTTCTCCGTTTGCTCGTATTGTAAGGAGCCTAAGGACCGATCGCTGACTTGGGACACGGCGATCGGTGCACGAAAAACCGTGAATTTCGTCACGCGATGGTCTGGTAGAAGTGTCGAGTGATGTGACGCATGTTCCTGTTTAGCCGAGCCAGCCCGGGCCGTGAGAGAACGCCAGATTCGTTGCCGCACATTGGCCCACGCTTCCCACCCAAAGGAAGGTTCGTCACACACATCCACACTTCGATTCTCTGCTTGTTCATGCTCTGCTTTCAACCCTAACACACACCAGTATTTTGGTTTTTGCTTGCAGTTAAATCGGTTACAACGATCACATTATTCAACAATAGTATAGATTCTCCTTCGTTTCTTCTTTTCTTATTCTTCGATACATTTTGTTCGTCTCGTTTCACAAAAGAAATAGTGTAACCATAGTTTTGAACAACCGAGTTCGTTGACTCTAGAAAGACCAAAGGCGAGGAGCTCGTCGAGCCCACCTAGTCAGAGGATCTTTAAAATATGCTATTTCTCACGTGCATTCATTTTAGCTTATAGCTTTAAGGAGATTAATAATAAATGAAGAGCCTATTCGTATCAACGTGGAAGTCGCAGATGGTCTCAGTCTAATATTTCATACATTAATAAATATTGTTGCTGTAAATACATATTCTTCGTTTATAACAACTTATCAGAATGTTCGTTAAAACATGAATAGACGAGGGATCGTATAAATGTTTTAGAAAATATTGGGGAAGAAGTTAGAAACCAATTACAATAGAAAAAGTTTACATAAGATGGCTAACGTAGGTGGGTTCGATAAGCTTCCCCATAGTTTTTAACGCGACCCTTTGTGCCTAGGTCTTTGTAGTAATGATCCTCTTCGTCATTCATTTGCTTTCTTTGCTTCTTCTGCTTGGTTCATGTGATACTACGTAATCGTAATGAGAGAAAAATTGTCATTTCTTGTCTCCGTGTACAGCAAAGGCGCCGAACCGGAGTTCCGTAGCCCGAGGGTGAAGCTTCTCTGGGACCGGTGGAGACACGTGTGGATGTTGGCCTGGGAACGCCAACGCAGACTCCAGGACAAGTATAATTACATTCAGGAATTAGACCGTGTCGCGAACTTCAGCTGGGAGGACTGGCGTAAGAGGGTAAGGGGTGTCAATAGCTAATAAACAATAGTTTGTATTCCTTACAATTAAGCTACCTATGATAGAAGATCTATTTCATTCAAGTACGCGTAGTCTTCATGACATTAAAACTAATGCAATTGTCGTAGTTCCTGAAATTCATGAACCACAAGAAGTCCAGGTTGACAGACCTCTTCAGGAAGATGGACAAGAACAACGACGGACTGATTCCGCGCGATGACTTCATCCAAGGAATCATGAACACCAGTTAGTTTCTTCCTCTTGTTGCCGCCGTGTATACTGTTCCAAAGTTCAATTAATACCTGTAACGTTTCTTGGTAGAATTTGAGACTTCACGGTTAGAAATGGGAGCAGTCGCGGATTTGTTCGATCGCCACGGGGAGGGACTGATCGACTGGAAAGAGTTCATTGCCGCCCTGAGACCCGACTGGGAGGAGCGCAGAACGTACAACGACACGGACAAGATCCACGACGAGGTGAAACGGTTGGTGATGCTGTGCACTTGTCGCCAGAAATTCCGTGTGTTCCAAGTCGGCGAGGGAAAATACAGGGTACGCGATCAGAGTTCAGAAAACAGTTTTCGTTTACCTAGGGTATCGTAGGTGGACGTTTTCTCTGACGCGAGTTTTAACGTTTTAGTTCGGGGACAGTCAAAAATTACGACTGGTTCGAATTTTACGATCCACCGTGATGGTACGAGTCGGTGGTGGATGGGTAGCCTTGGACGAATTTCTATTAAAAAATGACCCTTGCCGCGGTGAGTATCCATCCCATAAATTCGCTCTATCTTTTTCTCTCTGTTCCGTTACCGTCGAATTATTCTGTCGGAATCGATGATTTTTTACGACAAATATTCGAGTAATACGACTCTCGCGGCTATGAAATTTCCTTCGACCGTTCCGACACGTCCCTTGTCTGCCTTGAACGCGACACAGATCGACCGGATCTCGATCAAGAACGATTACTTCATTCTCTCCTGGCCCCCTCTCTTCTCCCTATCCAAAGAGGCAGCTAAACGCGTTTATGTTTCTTTCACCGAATTAGAGACGCGTGTGGGTTTGAATCGACTGGTTTTTTTTTCTTCTTTTTATGGAATTGTGCGTTCGAACTAACGTTGCGTGCTTTTTACCTTGAGTTCTGCCAGAGTTTGTGTTATATTCGTTCCCCCCCCTGTCCGGTACTAAATCATACTCGTTCGCTTCCCGCTGCCTCGGGAATATTTCGTGTTCGCACTTTCATTCGCGTAACATCTCCATACTAAAATTCATTCGCTAAAAAGAAAAATTCTCTCATCAACCAAAACCCTTCGTCGTGTCTCTTCGTGCAAGACCGCGCGAGCATATGTTTCATGTATCGCATTTTCGTTAGTGCATTCACTTACGTGTACGATCTCAGCTCCTGAGGTACGAAATGTGAGCGTGACTAATATTATTAACCGACCTTTCACGACTTTTAACATACGTGTATGTACATAAGCAGAAGAAGAACAAGAAGAAAGCGTGCGCTCGTTATACTTGTTGATCTCCGCTTCGCGCGTATCTTACTTGCGTATTTGCTAGGTTTCGTGTTGGCTTTGTTACTAACGTTAAACGAACCATTGCGTTCCACGAGCGAATCGAGCTTTTCAACACGCTGCTCGGAATTAAATAAAAATGTTCCTATTCCAAGTTAAAATATTGTTATATCGTAAGAAAGTTCGTGGAACGCGATCGTTCGCTCGAATACCATAGCGAATAGAGTATCTTGGTACTTTAGGAGACTCCGTATCGCTTGTCATTAGTCTAACGTCAATTGTCCGATCCCTCTGCCAATCCCTGGTTTTCTCCCAGAACATAATTGTCTCCGTCTGGTTCCATCGAAACATCTCGTTTTATTGCGCACAACTTTGGTGACGTACCTCTCCGACATCACGTGTATTCTTTTAATTGCGCATCGAGTTTATGAATATTGCATGCCTTCGTAAAACTTACAAAAGAAAAAGGACCATCACTAAACTCCTAAAATCGTGATTAACTCGTCAAGTTTTTCTAATGCCGATACCGGACCCTAACAAACCGGAACAACATGAGGGTTGGTGTCCGCTCGGTGAGAATATTTTTATATGGGAATAATTGCGACTCGTGGCCCGTACGAGCACCACTCGTGGATACATTTATTGTCGATGAAACAACGTTTTGCGGTAACGCGATTGAAGCAAGGACCAAGATCGCGCTGGCCACGAAGTCGACGTTTTCGTATATCCTGCATGATTATACGTATCTGTACGTGTACATACGTTTGCTTCCTTGCAACGAGTTTCGAGTCTTGTGTATCTTAGTTCGTTTCGCGTGTTTGTCGTGCAGAACTCTTGCGTGTGCGTGCGTGTACGTGTGTGTATAAAGTGGCATGCAAATACCGATTACCTAATTTTTTGAGTGTACCGTAACAATACAACTATAAATCGTACTCGCGTAGTCCGTCGTTGCGTTTTATCCGGTCAATTAGTACAGTCATATTTGCCCCACGGATCATTTCCCATTTCATTGTTCGGCGGAACGACGAGATTCGTTTCCCGAATGTCGTCCCCTTGAGTTACCAACCTTTATCGAAACCACGTTCGACGCGGTGTTTCTTCCACCCCCGATTCAGCGTCGTCGAAAGTCTAACGCTGTATTCGAGGAAGAGATATTTTTCAACGCGTTAAAACACCAGTCGACGACTAGACTTTCGACGCCGATGTTCGCATGTCACTACCCCCCCCACGTGTTATTCGAATCTTTTCCGCGGTATCAAGCGTAATTAACGAGAAATGAATAAATCGACTCTTGCCTTCCTCGCGTCTCTTATTTCGTTCCGTTAATTGTACAACGCGAGTAGAAAATCACAGCGGTATCTACGACACCTGTTCGACACTACGTTTTGTCTATTCTTATTAATCTTTGATCATTAATTGAACCTTGCAACTCTTACCGAACAAACGATCTATAATACACTGTATTTTTTTTCTCTTTGTTTTCCACCGTACACTCGCACACAAACATACCGTGTACGCCGCTGCCATCGCTCTAATAACTGTCGCCTACTATCGCTGCTACTATTACTTGTTGCTGTTATCCGTATACTCTATCTATTTTACTCTCTCTGTCTGCGCAAATCGCGTTGAATCACGGTGAAACCTGGCTGTCGTCAACGCCGCTGCAAATAACCCGTATCTCGTCGCTTATACTTTCTATTAACTACCTTCGATACGTACCTCCTGTTCTCTGAAACTTTCCGCTAAAAAAAATAATTACAAAAACTGTATTTTCTTTTCTCTATTTTCCCCCCTAATTTCTGTGTTACTATTTCTCAATCTCTCTCTCTGTCTTTCTATCTGTAAAATATTTATCTGTACTTTGCCCCCTAAAATCCCGGCATACATGTCCTGTAACGGCTTCCTTCTAACTTGCGTGCACGCAACACACCACTGTAGCCAAGGGAAGAACGAATATCGAGCTGCGAGAGCAATTCATACTGGCGGACGGCGTCAGCCAGACAATGACGGCGTTCAGATCGAAGCCGAGCCCGACCTCGACGTTGCAGCGTACGCAAATCTCATCCGCGAATACCGGACCGATCACCAAGGTAACGTCACCATACTCTCCGTCCCGGTCGATGGATCGTGAACGCGGGTCCTCCTCGGCGTCTGGACACGTTCGCGTTCACGATCCATCCAGGGACAATTGACTTACTTCGTTTATCTCTATTTGCACACTCTCTGTCGCGTGTATCTATTCCGCGAGACACGATGCAAACTGGATCGCTGGATCGTTCGTTGATCCATTCGATATGTCCTCTGGATCGGACAGGAATCTCTCTGGGCGACCCTCCTTCAGAGGTTGCAAGTTCAATCGATCGAAAGTTGCGGAGTATCGTTTTGTATTTTCGGTTATACGAGACGAAGGATTCCTCGACTCCCAACATTAGAAAGAGCGATAGCAACTTTTGGTCATTTTGAATTTCCAATCGCAACGGGTGGTCCCGGAGTGCGTTCGATCTCGAGACAGAGTAATATCAAGTTTATCAGAGGATGATTCGGAGGTTCCCTGGTTCGACGATCCCCGATTCTCTTTCTCTTTGGTCTTGCCCGCCCGGTCGAAGTCTTGATCGTGCTCGCTCGTTCGAGGTAAGTACTGACCGCCTTGAGAGCGCAAACCGGCCGCTCTGACATTTATTTTCTTTATCCTCCGCATGCGAGCATGTCAGCTTAAAGACGGTAGCAGTCGTCGCACACCTAGAGCTACCGTAGACCGCCCACGCACCTCGAGGTAGTCGCTTCAGTCACCCTTCTCTCCGAATCGGTTCCAACCCCCCCGAAGCTCCCTTTCAGTTTTCAGCCTCGTCCACCCCGATCAAAACGTCCTGGCCCCCCATCCCCCAGCCCACCCAGCCACGCTGATATGCGTCTTCGAATCGGAATATCAAGGTCGTGCCGTGAATCGATCCCTTGGCGTATCGCCCGGGGGAATAGTACCTCACCTCAGGAGATGCGATTTCACGAGATTCTCTCTCTCTCTCTCTCTGTCTATCACTCTATTTTCTATTTGTCTATTTTCTGTGATTCGCGACCCGACATCGTCGGCTCGAGCGACCTGATAATCGGTCTGTCGATCGGGTCGAGGCCTTCAGCGTTCGCTCGATCGACGGACGAACGGGAGAGAAGAACGGTTCGCCACGTACGACCCGGTGGTACATTCCTAAACTTTTCGTTTGTGGTGTAGCGGAGGAGTTTATGAGCCAGCTGACGCCGATATTTGAGAGTTTGAGGCAAAAGGAGGACCTCCCGTGCTCGTATCCCCTCCACATGCACGCCCCCTCTTATCATTGGGTAAATAAGAACTCTATTCTCTGATTTCTGCTGTCGTTGGTGTGACACACGGTGTACCCGATAATCTTATCGTGTATTCCGTTACGTTTCTCACAATCTTTCTGTTCTCGTTTTTTTGTTGGTTTTCATGTTTTTTTATTTTTCTTCCTGTTCGTATTTTTTTTTTATTCTTTCTTTCTTTTGGTTTTTGCCTCTCGAGTGCGCTTACGTTCCGCTGCATCGTGCGACGACCGACGGAACGCGTCTCTGTTGCTCGTTGCCTCACGACGACCGACCACCGTATCGATCTCGCGATCCTGCGATCCCACCATAGATCTTTGTCTTTGAGTTTGCGCTGCTGCTGTCGCTGCCGTTGCCCTCAGCATCCCCCGCCGCTCGTCTCGATTATCGCAATGCCAGTAACGCGTGCCCGCGTACGGGACACCCCCCGTCGACATAGCATAGCTTTCATCGACGGTCATGCATGCGGTAGAAATGGTAGATTACGTAGCTCGACGACTGGCGATTATGTTCTCACGGTTTAGGTGCGTCTGGATCCATCGAATCACCCTCCCCCGCGCATCCAACGCGCTGCACTGGAATGGGGTAACTCCACGTTTTCTCATAATATACTTCATCTCGATCATTGATCACTGTTTTGCATCAAAATTTCGGACTTTAGACCGTGGGAACGTCACTTTACGTTGGTGCATACGCAATTTCTTCAACAAAAATGTTATCAGACTGATACTTCCCTAACAAACTAATACAACAGAAACATAATTATAGAAACCTTAACTGGACTTTAAAAACTCAGGATGTCCACATCGTTAGTATTTACTTTGCATCAGTAGTTGCTATACTCGTTAAAAGTCTCTGGAGCGTGACCGGGTCATAACTGCAGGAGGAAACTATCAAACGAAAATGAATGTACTATGACTGCGGCATCATACTTTTTTTTATATAAATCCTACGTAAAAAATTATTGTAACGTAATATTACATATTATATATTTACAGGAATATTCTGTATCGTTTCTATGTCCGAAGAAGTTCGGTATGCACCAACCTAATTTAATATTGAAACTGCGCATGTTTCGCGCGTCCCCGTTTCCGTTTTCGTTCGCCGCGTCGCCGAACGTTCCGTCGAGTCCACCCCCGCCAGTAGCTTCCGGGTTATTCTTTTTCGTTTCCACGTCCGTCAGCCTGATTTTTATTGGATGCCTCTGAACGATTTCCCCCTCCCCCGTAGAACGAACCGGGATTTTTGTAGCAAGGTTCGAACGAACGATCGGTACCCCTGTAGACGCGAACGCAGACACGTCGATGTCGAATGGCGTCTGGAAAGGGTGTCGAGCGTTTCGAACGGGCGATTCTCTCGCGAGACGTAACGCGATTCGCGTGCCGCGGATACGGTGTGATACTGTATCGATATGTGCATAACGATCTCCTGTATTGCTGTATTGGTGCGTGCATAGTGGCGTTGATCGGAGATACTTCGAATCACCATAAGCTACTCTATCTCTCCCAACTTCCTCTGGTAAGTTTGCATGGATCTTTGTTTTTTTTTTAGACGTATAATCGCTCTCTTCGTCAACGGTTGTCTATATTTTTTTTTGTTTTTTCTTAATTTTCTCGACGCTCTTGTTTTCCTTCGATCGATCGATCGGTTTCTAGTTCGCATCGGTGGCGTTGAAAGGTTCTAAACGAACGACCGAGCAGCACCCGCGAAATTGCCAAGTTTTCTCGCGCGATACCGCCCGAAAGGATCGCGCGGCTGAAGGGAATTTTTTTTTACAAATACCAATAATTAATGTTTCTTTTTTGTTTAAATTAAATTTGCTTCCTTCCGCCCCGCGATTCGGCGCGTATCGCTTTGTAACTAACAGCATCGACGCGCCGCATTAGCGCGTCGACCGTTCGAAGAACTCTTGCTGTTTGTCTATCTGTTTGTTTGCCTATCTGTCTCTACACGCATCTCTCTGTACCGATTCCCATCGTTTCGTTTACTCGAGCCGAGATTTCTGTCGCGTAGGTGAGAGAACGAAGCGCTCGAAGCGTTCCTATGGGACAGTCCAGAGCGTCGCGCTCCTCTCTGAGCGCCGGGACGCCGGACAGCCTGAGCGACAACGAGAGTTCCTTCAGAATTGGCTCCGCCAGGAAGACCAGCACACCCTACAGAAGCACCATCACGCCCGGTCAGTTCCTTTCTTATCATCGATCATAAATAAAATTAGCTCCTTGTTCAATTTACGAATTCCCTTTGCCAAGCAACTCCTTAATACGAATCTTATTGCAGGCGGTAGTCGTCCATCGAGCAGACCGGCGTCGAGACCAGCGTCCAGACCGACCAGCAGACCCGGAAGCAGACCCGCCTCCAGACAGGGTAGCAAACCCCCGAGTCGCTACGGTTCCACTCAGTCGCTCGACAGCACTGGTAGGGAATCTGAACCTCGTCTGCTTCTACTTTTTACCCTTTTCAATCTGGAGACTTAAATTTTGGTTAATAAAGTACGGGACACGGTCAGAAATATCAAGAGATATCTTAAGCAGACTGTGAAAGATTCCAAGGCTTCGATGTATCCCAAAAGGGGGCCGATTTCAATTGTATTTTAAGCGTATTTCATACTGTATAGAACCTCAATTACAAAGTCTCGTTCACATAGACAAACACGGTTGTCTACGTGTAAAGAATTGTCCAAAGTACACCTTTCTTCTTCGTACATTATGCCTACACGTAGTGAACGGCCTTACCGCAGAGTGAACAAGTTAATTACTTTCAGATGACTCGACCAACCTGAGCCGTATTCCGCGCAGGACGAACGTGAGTACCACAGGGAACACGCCGACCTCCAGCAGACATAACAGCGTGTCCGGAAAGAGACTTGGAACGCCGGTGAACGGTTCAAGTTCGAGGCCGCGAACGCCCACCGGTCTAGTTAGTCCAGCCAGTGGCGTTCCCGCGAGGTTTGTACACACGTACCTGCTCTTCCTCGTGTGTTCACTTGAATACCAAAGAAACGAAACCATGAAATGGAAATTACTTAAGAACGACTAACTCGCATCTTGTCGAATCTAGATATTGATGATGATTGTATCGCATCGTACTTCGTTGTAGAGATTAACGACGACCGTACGTGTATCGTGACGTATTCGCATCTCGTACCCTACGATCTAGGAATGAATGTTGATCGACGTGTCGCGATTGTGCACGTTTCACCGGTGTTTATTTCATCCTCCCACCGGCATTCTCTGCCTTGCCGAATATTGTTTCTCTTTTTTTTGTTTTCCCCTGTTGTAACGGGAGACCCGGTTGAGAGAAGAACGACGCGATTTAGAACGCCCGGTGCCCACGCATATTAACGCACACACGGTTCTCACGCGTTAGTTAACGATTAACATAAAATCTGGTTAATAACATTTTTTTAGGTTTGGCACAATCCATAGAGCTTCGAGCATTCCAACCCTGACTGGTGTCGGAACACCGATCAGGTAAACCTAAATTAACGATTACGGAATCCATTCTCGGGAACTGGCGGATTGGCTTTCGCTTGATCTATTCGTACCACACGATCTATGGCAATTTCTAACTGGGACGCTTGCGTCACGGTGTCTCGAACAGTTTGACGCTAATAATCACTTTTCTAAATTCATACATCTGTCGTGTAATGCTCGCAGCAGTGGTGGAGGCAATTTAATTATTTATTTCATTTCTATTCGTTTACTTTTCATCCGTGGATTTTTCGCCCGTGTTCGTCGTCGTTCCGGTCGGTTGTTTGCGAATCTCTCGATAGTGATAAACGTTAAACTGATGATTCGATGGTGATGGTTTAGCCGCTCGAGGATTCCCGTGTACATCGGCTCGGATATTAAATCCCCGCAATCGACGACCAGCAATATATCCACTCATTCTACGCAAAGCAACAACTCGACGGTTTCTACCGATTCTACCGGGTATGACCGTACTGTTTCCTCTGCTGTTAACACACGATTAGCCTTCTTTTCTATCTCTGCACTGTGTGCTTGGTATGCATGATGCACAAGTATCTGTTTTGTTCTGTCCTTTTACCGTTGTCGAAACGATACCCGACAAAAACGGCGGACAGTTCCTTTACTTTGACGTTTTGTTTGCTCGTTTGTTAACGTTTGCGACGTTTCGACGAACACGCTCGTTCGACGATGAAACCAACGGTGCATAGAACTTCGTTGTAGCGAATGCGTCAGCTTCGTCGAAGCGTTAGTGTGTTCGTGTTCGTTTTATTTTAGTTTGCAGCTTCCGCTCCATTAACGGCCGTTAACACTGCACCGCTTGGGGGACACGTTAATAATTCAGTGTCGTGTTTGTTTTCTAACACTAGGAGCAGCTCGGTGTGTACAAATTCAGCGACTAACACCTCCTCGGCCGTTAAACAAAATAGGTAATCATCGTTTCGCTCTGACTCGGTTTACTGTGGTTTGTATGTGACGCTTGTCGTTGGTGATCGCGCGAACCGTACCTAGAGGACCAGAACGGACAAGATCGGTGGCTCTATCGGTTTTATCGGGTACCCGAGTACCCGATTAGCTGGCTAGTATCTGGGTACACGGGATAATCGGTCTCCAACCGATACCACAGTCAGTAAGGGCGAAAGAATCTGGCCACTCGAGGCTGTTGAGATTAGTTTGTTCGTTTCGAAAAGAATAGACGTTTGAATGCCCACTAATGGTGACCATTCCTTATGGGGGATAGCTCGGTGGCCTTGACCAGCCAAACTTTATCGCCCTTGCTTGAATTAAGCAGTCCGTTGCTCAGTTTTCAACGCACCGGGCCGACCAGGCTGCGTATTTGTGCGTGATATCGTCCATTTGTCGATCGTTCCAAACGGTCGCGATTAACAAACGACGCCATTAGGCGGGAAGAGCAACCTTTCACGTTAATTCTAATGCTTTCTTAGAACGAGAACACCGTCCAGCGGTTCGAGCACGCCGCTGCCACCATCCCTGAAGCTGTCGAGGAAACCTTCCGGGGCCTCGGACACCTCAGTGTCAACGACACCGACCACTCAACGGAAAGGAAGACCAACGCCGATCGACCAACGAGCACCATTCCGATTATAGTCGCCGGACATCCTTATAGTCAACACGAAAGAAAGGCCAAACGTCGACGCCGGGATCGGCAATCCTTTTTACGTGATCCCCGTCGACGAAACGCTTAGGATAATCTAATATATACATATATGTAATAACGATTCGAACCGCGAGGACGCCTCGGGAGATACCAGTCGTTATTGGCTCTCGTTTCGAGCATAGCGCGAATTCGATATCGAAGCGAGGCCCTCCTCGGGCGCGTCCGCACTAATCGACCGTAAAAGAGCTTAACATTATTATCGAACTATTTTGTAAAAAACGCATAGAATCATGTAATATGGAACGGACGCGACGCGCGATCCAAAGAGAAATTTATTTGGGAACAATCGTCGGTTTTGCGTGAGAAACCTCTGCGTAACGGAAACCGACGGGCCTCGTTCTCGCGCCCCCACTCCGGCTGTATCGATTTAACTCTTTTTTCGTAAATACGTTTCTTTACATACAGAGAATAGCGATAACGATTTATTATTAATGTAATTTGTAATTTTACGTTATCCATAGAGCTAGGTGTTTATCAGCAGACACGTGCGCGCGCGAAAGTAACGTCTCGTCCCTTGGAAAGAAAGAAATCCGTGGCGGGTGTACGCGTACTTGCGAATTCAAGATGGCGGCGTACGCTCGATCCCGCGTCGCTGACTACCGACCGATCTTTTCGTTGTCCGTTTCCTTCCCCCTCGATCCTCCATCCTCGATCGTTCTGTTAATCGATCCAAAGGGCCCTACTAGAGGAGCAACGAACAGAAGGAACGCCTGTTTCTTTTTTTCTTTTATTTTTTTTTCGTTTTGTTTAGGGGAGATTAAAAATCACGATGTAAATATTGCTCGATTCTCCGGCTCGGTGTCGCAACCGGGAACCACTCCGCGAATAAGACAGTTTCCTAGAAAAGACACGAGTTTACGCTACCCGCAACGATTGCCTTAAAAGTCTATCGCCGTACCGCTTCTGCGCGAATCGTACCTGCCTGCCGAGGCGAACCGACGCTCGGATGAAACAAGTAGGGCCCCGAACCAACGGAGAAGCGATTCTTTTCGTCTGATCGAGAACCGTTCGCCCCGCCATCACGGGCGCACAACACAGAAATATCTATTTTGCGAAAAGGCATTTTTTCCGATTCTTCTTCTACATTTTTTTTTTTTTTTTTTTTTTACGTTTTAGATGCGATTAACGCGATAGCACTGATTCGTACGATGATGCGATTAATCTATTAACTATTCTTAAATGTTAATCTCTGTTTTCGCTTTACTTGAAGGTTCTGTATCGTCGCTACTAATTGCAGTGGAAAAAAGAAATATACGCAAAACGCACACGCATTTGACACCAAACTGACGTTCCTCGATCTTTCCTTCACAGAGACATATAGACAACGTATAGAAACAAATCGAATATGGCACGATGGACGGATCGTGTTCCGAGAAAGTTCACGACGAACTCGTACTTTTCGACGAGTGAGAAGATCTATGATACTATGTTTGAATACCTGCGTTCCAAACCGTAGGTTCTTTTCTTACTTTAATACCAAATTCATAAAAATTCATTAAAATTTAAATCTCGCGTAAGAGTGCTGGCACGTACCCAGAAACGTAGTGCTCTTTCCATTTTCCAAAATTTATTTTAATATTCTCCATTCTAACAGAGTCAACAAATTCATACATGTTTTACGTACTTATCTATGTATTTTATTTTTTATTAATAAACATCACTCCAATACTCATGGTTGTTGTTTAAGCTAACCCGAACATTTTAATGGACATCTAGGAAGCGACGTCACCGTTACAAGAAATCACCAAACATTCTGCCACCTCCTCGGATATCATGTTCTCCTGGCACAAAGTAAATACGACTGATTTGGTTCGATTTTAAGTAACTTTATTTTTATTAAAAGTATAAAGCGTTTTTCTATGTACATATAAAAGAATGTGTGTTCCTCCTTCGATTTTTATTATGCCTTTTGTTCGGTCCTAAGCGTGAGAGCAAATTAATTGTGCGAAGATGTCAAAACGTGAATCACGGTCTCAAAACCAAGTATAGTATTCGTTGTTGAAATAGTTTCTGAGATACAATTTGCCCATCCCTGGTCTGTAACTACGTCAAGTTACAGACCTCTGTTTGCCTCGGGTGTGCGATTGAAGAAAGGGAACGATGCTCGTTCGTATAAAAAGTATCATTTATTAACGATCGAATCAATTTGTTCGCGGAACATTTTATATACAAATTGTGCGTGCAAACTTAACGAGACTATTTACAATAACAGATTCATGAACGAATGTATATATCTACGAGAGAGAATCGTTTGTTCGACAAAATTAGTGCCGTAAAAAGAGGGACGTACGATCGATCCAAGTGCTGTCGTTTCGCGGCAGCCATGACTGTTCGCGCTCGAAAATTAGCATTCAGAGGCCTCGGTTCGTAAACAAATATGCACCAAAACGGTGTATCTACGATCACTACTTGCGCGAGAGCTTTTGAAGCCGTGCCTTCAACCCCGTGGCGCTCAGTTTCAGTTTCTCCACTTTGGTCTTGCTCTCGTACTTCTTTCGTATCTCCTCCATTCGTTCCTTTCGTATTCGTTGTTGTTCTTTCTTCCAGATGTCCTGCAAGACCAGCGTAAAGGAATCCAGTCATTCGTACACTCCTCAAAGTAGCCCGGTTCGCTCTCACGACGAGGTACGAGATTTTTTTTATTATTATAATTAGATTCCATCGAACAACGTCGACAGAGTTTGTCCAACCGTTTTGGAAACAGCATGCTCGAGCGTAATTGTAACACAAAGGTTCGCGTACCTTGAAGTCCTTGCAGAAACCGAGCCAGAGAACGAAAAATGCATTCGGATCGGCCGTGTCCAGGCTGCTACCTTTAGGAGTGTACTGATAAAATTGCATCACAGCCTTAAATTTGTTCCTAGCCTCCAGCAACGCCTCCTGCTCGTTCGCCAATTCCGTGGCTGCCTCGCGGAAGAACGAGTCCATCTTTGCCTTGAACGGTCCCGTCGTTGCTGAATCTGCTTCCACCACTTTGTTGCATTTCTTGGTGCAAGCTGAACAGGACAGGAAAAACAATGTATTGGTAAGCTCAGAAAAATATTATCACAAGCATTTTGGTAACAAATTTGTAGACTTTACCTTGCAGTTCCTTCTGTAGCCTGTCAAGATCGGCCGTGATATTGTCGAAGTTGATGGTCGAGGCGGCCTCCACATCTGCAGGCTCGGGTACTGGCAAGGGTAACGGTTCCTCGAAATTATGGTCCTTCTCTTGAGCCAGTCTAGCCCTCACGACGTAATGGAGAAGAGTTATCCCCGGAACGTTTGATTTCACGTCCCTCAGCTTGCCCAGGATTTCAAGGCCGAAACCGTCCGCTTGGCCTCGCGTCCTGTTCCCGCCGTTCATGTAATTGCCCAGCGTTAGGATCAGACCTATGACCTTCTTCAGGGAACTGGAGCTGCGGAGGAAATCGCAGGTGGTGCGCATGTTCGTCAGTTTCGTGGACACCGAGGATATGGCGTCGTGAAATTCAGTCTGGAACATCAGGCAGGCTATCCTCTCCGTGAAGCAATTTATACACGAGAGTTTCTTCAGGAAGATCTCTGGCCGGTCCAGAGGCACTTCCGGGTTCGCTTCCTCGAAGGCCTTTATGTCTTCCAACTCTTTCTGCGTTGGCCTCTGTAAACAATTGGGATTTCAATCTCTATCACTACGCGTTGCAATAGGTGCACTGCCTCGCTTCTTGCGTGAATTTCCATACAAAATGTCGAATGCTGTTTCGGTTTACTGGCTCGTAAGGCTATCTGGCACATTCGTAGCAAGACTCCAGGTGCAAAATTAATCAGAGTCGCGTTGTTGCTCGAGGTAAGCAGGGTAGAAAATAACGGAGACTGAACGTGATTGACTGGTGTTGTTTATTAATGTGTCGATGCGTGGTGTGTAATGTGGTACTGTTACGACGATACGTGGCGTGTACTAGATCACTGGGTAATGTAAAGGGATCGGTCCCCGGAGGTGGAAACTGGCAAGAAGAGAGACAGTACTGTGGCGAGCCGTACGATTTCGTATATCTGTTGCAAGGCCTCCAGGTTGACCACGCTCGTGTCCAGATTGTACACGGCGTTCTCCACCTCGCAGAAGTCCACGTGCAGGCTCTTCTCGAGTATGCCCACGGTTTTCGAGCGCTTCGAGTCGAGAATCTTCGCCGGCTGCACCTTAGACGGCTTCGAAGAATCGTCCGCCTTTTTGACGGGCTTTCTCGCGGTCACCTGACGCGAAAAGAGACCGGCGAACTCTTTCATGTCCAGGTTTTTCTCTTCCTCTAGCTCCAACCACAGCGGAACCTGGAACGATTTCAGTCTGTCGAGTAAAAGGTGACGATGATGAATCGAGACATACCTGAACGGGTGAATCTGAACTGTCGACGGAGCCATGTTCCGTCGGTACCACCGGTACCAGTAACCTCGTCCAGTAGAGCGGTTTCATGGGCACCTCGGGGCACAGCGATTCTTTCCTCATGCCTAAACGTGGAAGACAGTACTGATCATCGCGATGTCTCGACACCACGCGTCACGGCGACGCATCCTGCGTTCTGTTACTCACACGCTCTGCTTGCCGGGTTCCAACCCCCCACTGGAGGCGCGGGCAAGGGACAGGGGCCCGTCGATTGCGTTCCTTGCGCCGTTGATCCCGGCGGTGGTGGCGGTGGCGGAGGTCCACCGGGTATTACGATCGACGGTGGTGGCGGTGGAGGAGGTGGACCTCCCATCGTTGGCAGTGGCGGAGGTGGAGGCGGTCCTCCAGGTATCCCCATGGGGGGTGGCGGTGGCGGTGGTATACCGGGAATCGAAGGTGTCGGAGGCGGTGGCGGAGGGGGTGGGACAGGTGGTCTTCCCATGGCACTTATCGAGGGTGCTGGAGGTGGTGGCGGAGGCGGTGGTGGAGGAATCGACGAGCTTTCGTAGAGTACACCGTTCGTGGTTGCCAGTAACGATGGCGGAGGAGGAGGGGGTGGTGGTGGAGGAGGTACAGAGCACATCGATGGTGTCGGTGGAGGTGGTGGAGGCGGCGGAGCACCCAACATGGCGCCTAACGACGGTGCTGGTGAGGGTGGTGGAGGTGGCGGGGGTGGAGCAGGTGGCGGGACAGGAGTTTCTCTGGTCAGTGGTTGCAGGGCTGGTGGCGAGGGTCCTGGAGGAGGCGGAGGCGGCGGTATTCTCGTCAACGAAGTTATGTTTTGCGAAGGAATCGACTGTGCTGGCAACGAACAAACTGGCAGTGGCGGTGGAGGTGGTATGGAAAACGAGGCAGGCTGCGTCGAGGAAATCGAACACGAATTGTTAGGGGAACGATGATCTAGGAAGGGTGATGGCGGCGGTGGAGGTGGCGGGGGTGGAGGTGTGCTCGAGAACGTGGACGGGGATGACATCGATGGTGGCAGTGGAGAAGCTGGCAAGAACGGGAAGTCCCTCGCACTTTTAGCATCTTTGTAGCCATTTGCAACCGGCAGAGACGCTATCCTGGTCGCAGGCTCCTCGAGAATAACGTCCTGGACGCTCGATCTCTCCGTAGGGGACGCGGAATCTCCCGAACTTCGTGTCCTCGCGATATTTCCAGGACCTCCATCCAGAAACGCAGTCGTAGGGGACGTCTGAGTGGATCTCCCTTGGGTCGTTCTGTCCGCATTCTTCGTCAGTTCACGAAGTCGCTCGACCTCGCGTCTTAACCTTTCCTTCTCAGAGTCTCGGCGATCTTTCGCGATCGCTTCTTCCGAGTTTAGGCTAGCAGACGCGGGCTTATCTTCCTGAAACGATAGACGCGTTACTCTTGCTCCGAAAAACGGTCGTTGACTCTCTGTGTGCACATCTTACCACGAATTCCTTGTCCTGCGTACCACCGTCGAGCGTAATCGCGTCGAGAAGGCCATCCGAAACTAGTTTGGAAAAGAGTCTGGAGGCGAACTGTTCGACTTCGTCCTCCGTGAGTCTCGACTTCAAGTGTTCCGGCAACGCAGAGATCAGGGTGTCTACGAGTCGTCTCTCTGAAAGATCAAACAACGTCCTTGAACCTTTTCCTCTCTCGTCTCTCGTTTGGTAAAGTCGAAATCGAACCTGTGTAACTTTTAACGACCGGGTACGAACACAAGCACGAGTTAACTCGTATCATTCCTCGTCGATCCTCAACGAGTACTCCGAGATTCGCGTTCGAGGATCGAAATAGTCCAAGTGGACGTCTCGTGATCGGTTACGTTCGTCCCCCGCGACGCGAATTTCAATCAGATCCGCTAATATTTGAGATTAGCGTTTATTGACCGACGCGTTAACCTCCCGAGTAAGAAAGATAATTGCGCATCGTCTGGTTGCCGCTAATTGAAACGCGCTCGTCGTACGATCCGTGAAACCGACGACGATCGGAACCGGTGGCTCCAGATAATCCACATGTGTTGTCACGAAACTTTTAACGCCTTAAACTTTGGTCGAAGCGGCGACGTCCGAACGCGAAACGAGAAACGGTCCATCGTTCGCGACAGAATGCGTTACACTGCGGATACACGAACGCAACACGTGGCCAAGTCACGCCCCTGCGATATCTCTTATCGCGCCCCTTATCGAAGACACGCGTTTGTCTCGCGTGCGTATTATCACTGCGTACGAATTTCACGAGCATCCTCGAACCGTGGTCACCCTGAGATTCGTCGGTAATGTCAAAGAGCGTTACAGGATGCTGCATAATCTGCGACGCAACGGGAAACCGCTTCTAAACGCAATTCTCTCCTAAGATTCGTCCAACAAAAATTGTTCATATTTCTAGAGAATGCTTTGTGCAATCTTCGCGATAATACTACGGCGCAAACACGGAGATTAGCAGGGTATTAGTTCAGCTACTAATTCCGTTATATTACATTTGTTATTTTCAGATAGATTGTAGGATGAAAGATGTTCTTTGAGAAAAGAAGAAAGTGCTCACCGGTGAGCGGAGACAGAGGAGACGTTTCGGCGTCGCGGGTCTTTGAAACCGGAGACGCAGACGGAGACACCGTGGGGAGTTGCTTTTTCGACGCCTCCGCCGCGCCCGTTAGATCCTCTGGATCCGTGAACACGCTGTCGCTCGACGACTCCTGACTAGTTGGCATCGAGATTTCCGTCACGACGCAACCCTTGTTCACCAGTCGCCAGGAATCCGTGACCAGAACGACTGGACCCTGTCGCTGATGGGGTACAGAGACCGGTATCAACAGCGTGTTAGGTGGTTCCGGTTCTACTTTCGTTTCCGTCGACTCGACCGTGTCCTCCGATCGCTGGGACCTCTCGTCCTCGAGCTTCTCCGTCGGCTCCTGCGGCATCCTATCCTCATCCTCGACACCGACCTGCTGAACCTGCTTAAGAATAGAACTCTTCAAAGGAAAATTATCGATATTACGTTCGTACGATCATATTTCATATTCCCCTTGTATGCACCATCAAAATATCCAAGGACTCTGGTATTTTATACGCGACCTATGGATCTCAAAATTCCATAAATAGAATGATCTCATTCATGCTGACGCGAGTCTGAAACTATCCATTGTGTACTGTACACGTTATCTTGCTATTTTTATTTTGCTCCCCCTTACATATTACTTCCTTCTGTACGAGACTCGATCAAACGTGTTCCGCCCCCTACCCACGGCAAAACGAAGGACAGACGTCTCCGTCACTGGGACGCATCCCTGACCTTTCTCTCGTTGGATCCAGGCGGCCTGGGTGCCTGTCGTTTGCCATGATGCGACGCCCGCACCTTCTCGAACGCGATCCTCGGCGGCTCTTCCGTTCTCCCAGTCCCATGCGGCGTTCTGGCGCACGTATCGTCCGCGTCCCCCGTCTCCCCGTCGTCGGCGGTGTCGTTCCCATCCTCGAGACCGTCCGCCACGGACCCGTGAGCGCTCGGTGTCCCGTCGACGTTGCCCTTGGCCTTCTTGGTCCTCTTCTTGGCGTCGCTCTGCAGGTTGCCCATCGTGGCCGCCTCTGGCACTCGACAGGCGGTGGCTGCGGTCGAGGTTGCTGACGCGGCGGCCGCGAACGGAACGACCACGTCCCCGGCACAAAAGGCTCTGAAGATGTTGATACAGAGGCGGCCGACTTCGCGCAGCGTTGGCCTAGTTTGCCGCGGAGAGACGGCGGCTGCGCCCTCGCCCTCGCCCTCCTGCCTCCCTGCCATCCCCCTGACGGTCGATACACGACGAGTCCTCTTCCTACGCGGCAGTCCTCGACGTCCTCGAGCACGGGCACGCGTTCACTCGTCGGTGAACCACCACCAAGTGCGGGGCTCGAGGGGAGAAGATCTATCATTGGAAGAGGTATGCCAAGTACAGCGTCCCTCCGAATCGAACCAGAGCGTCGGCGGTCCTTTCAGCTTCGATCCGCTGGATCTAAGGAACAGATAGTACGCCACTGAACAGACGAAAGGAGAACGCGAGAGCTTCGTCCACTCACCACGAGAAATGACCGCCTCGTACCGCGTACATACGCCGGGCGTTGAAATTTTTCGGATCCGTGGATCGATCGAGGGTCGAGAGACTGTCTGGAAAGTTTCGTAAGCGGGAGACGCACGCTTCGCGGAACTGTCTCGTAAGTCGCTGTTATTGTTGTCGCGACACGCACGAACGCGTCCGTAGAATTTATCGATGCGTCTGTCGGGCTAGCTTCCATCGATCGAGAGGATATTGCAAATGCGGGGCTTACCTATGTTAAGGGAAATCGATGGATCTAACGATGGTTTCTCTATCGATCCCGTCCCGTTTTCGAATCGTTCAACGGGGAGGGATCGAACACTGCGGATCTGACCGCCCGAGTTGTGTCGATCCCCGGACTGGTTACCACGGAGAGTAACGCGTCCGGTTCGAACTTCTCGATGACGAATAAATGTTAATAACTTCCGTTGTTTGGCCCGCGACGCTCTGATGCTGTTGGCGTCTCTGTTCCGGAGACACTTTTCACGAATGCGAAATTCCATGGAACGAACGGGTAAACTGCCGTTGGCGGTTAGGTGCGTTCTTTGGGCTGGCACTCTTAGGCGTTTCCTTTTTTTACACAAACGTAGGGAACAATGTTATAATCGAAATTCATGGTGGTCACTTCGAACGGTAAGTTTGTACGCGTAGCGTGCATGGACAGGCCGTGGCGACATAAACACCGAGACTGTCATGCGATGACCTACGAACCGCGCAAGCTCGCGGCACAAAGACGCAGTGTGCCTCTTCGAGGGATTATCGATGTCTCAACCTGTTCAATTTAAAGAGTGGCTTCTCAATAAAGAGACCACTTGACTATGGTACTTGACAAGCATGCATAAGCGGCGTGCATATTTTTAGGAGGCGTTCTAGTTTCAAAGTGTCGCCATTAGATGGCTGTTGCATTTCTAAGTCCGTTACTAGCGTTACTTGAAAGTTGAAACGCTAGATGGCGCTCATTTTCGACCTCAGGCCCCCTGGTGCTAAAACGTCCAAGTTTGGCTGGCACAGTTCAAGACTGTGCAAATCATGTACCACCGATGGGTCACGCTTGAATATTTTCAGTAAAGAATTCTTTTTTCTCGAAAATGGTTATGATTTCGACGGTATGTCTATTGTAATTGACCCCTGCAATCGAAAATAAGTTTTCCAGAATGATTTGAAGCTTTACAATTGCGTCGAAAAATTTAGTCACCTACCCCCTGTCGATTTTCCTACAAAATTCGTTTTTGATTTTTAGTAACTTTGTTTGACGCCCTACAGAAAAGTTGTCTAATACTTTTTTGTAGGTGCCCATGAGCTCTACTTCAGAGAAAAGTTTTATTGATATATGTTCACTATTGTAGGTGGTGTGGTCGTTTGAAAATTTTTTTACGGACACCTATAGCTGCTGCTCATATGTCTAATTCAGAAAGGTCTACTCGTATACGTCGTCTGTGGCACAATCAGCGTCAGCTTAGTTATCGACGTATGAATAACGACACAGACGGTACCACAGCGACCTTGCATATGTCACGGATAAAAAAAACCAGTTTCTGTCTGTGGTTACGTCATAATCGATGGTCAGTTTCATCGGCTTGGCCGGTAAATAGTTACGAACGAACGAAACAGCCATTTTTAGTTGAATTTAATAGAATCGTAATTGTGTCCCGCAGTTCTTTAACGTTTTAGGTTCTCGTCTTGTTTGATTCGTGAATAGCAATCAACGTATGTTGAAATTACGAAAGACCAATGAAAACGAAGTAGTCTACGGCAGTGGTAATTTAAAGCTTGATTGTCCTTTTAACTAGGTGAGAATAGAAATTACTTCCAAAGTTCAAGTCCTCGTAAACAAAAGAAGAAATAGGGATACAGAGACACTTTGCTGCTTGTTGTTTCGATGATTTGATATTAATTCTCGTCGTAATAGGAATCGCGATCTGATAATGGGTAATGCTGGGAGCAATCAACCGATTGGTCATCATCACAGCAACACCAGTAGCAGGGAACATCGTCATACCAAAGACCATCCCCCGCCGTCACCAGGAAAAGAAGGCCAAGCTTTCGTTTTCGATAAAAAGCCAAGTCAAAAGTTGGTTTTCCAATCATCTAACGAAGAAGAGGAGCCTTATTTTGCTAAAGTACATCGAGTATGCCATTACAGTAAACTAATTATTGGGAATCGTATGTTTGTCTTTCAAAACCCTAATGTTTCTTTTATCTAAAGACCGGTCACCATGACAGAGATGACTTTGGTTCTCAACGTCCACGTTCCAACACCGTATCAGAAGGTACAAAAGTAACGGACAGTAAGGTGCTACCGACGGTCTTTAAATGGGAAGGAGGTGGTAAACAAGTTTATATCAGTGGAACTTTTACCGGTTGGAAAACTTTGCCAATGGTTAAGAGTCACGGTGATTTTGTAACAATTATTGATTTACCAGAGGGAGAACATCAGTACAAGTTCTTTGTCGATGGTGAATGGAGACACGATCCGGACATAGTAAAAAATCATTTTATCGATTCTAACATTACGAAGACACGATACGAAAGTTCCTTCTATGTATCTTTTTAAATACCTGTTTTACAGAAAATTGTTGACAATGGCATGGGTTCCAAAAATAATTTAGTATCCGTTAGGAAATCTGATTTTGAAGTTTTTCAAGCACTCGCGAAAGATAGCGAGGGTATTATTAGCAGTGCTCAAACAGAGTACGGTCAAGAAATTCCTCCTCACAAACCTTGGGAGAAAGTAGCTGGGCCACCGATATTACCGCCGCATCTGCTGCAAGTAATTCTGAATAAAGACACACCCTTGTCTGTAAGTAGATCTATTAAACATATGTACATAAATTTTTATTAGATGCAAAATTGATTAATAACGTAATTGTAGTGCGAACCAACACTTCTACCAGAACCAAATCACGTTATGTTAAATCATCTCTACGCCTTAAGTATCAAAGACAGCGTAATGGTTTTGTCGGCAACGCATCGTTACCGCAAAAAATACGTCACAACTTTACTATACAAACCGATCTAAACCTCTGAATCATTCCCGATGTTGTCGGCGATCGTTAGTTACATCGAATCAATACATGTTTTGTAGGTAAGGTAAGAATATCAACTTTTAATGAAGAAAAATATTTGAAAACTGGCAGTGTATGAACAGTTTGTTGTGTCTAAAATGTAACATACTGTAATTATTATTTATTAAAGTAAAATATTTTACATTAGATGTCTTCCAGATAATACGAGTCATTGTTATTAATATACAAATTTTATTCGCCGGCGCGATTCCATTATCCGTTCGAAAAACACAAATTTGATTGAACATCGAATGCTTTGTTTAAACCGAGTTATCGGTTATCTCCTCTTGGTAAGCGTACGGCGATTCTGATCTTGTTCTAAGAAAATATGTTCCAGAAGCCGCTTTGTCAACGTGTTCTCCCATAAATGCAGTATCGGAATAGTTGCAATTGCCACCCATAAACTGATCCCAGGTATTGCATTTCCTTGCCACAAATCCCGCCTTGGTGGCTATACTTTCCGTAAAGTACACGTACGATCTTCCATGACTACATGCCTCTGAAAAAAAAAAGAAAGGAAACAGTGAAACAACATAGAAACGTGTTTAAAGGTAAATCATATAAACTATAAAAAATCTATTACCTACTACTTCCGGGATACAACAACAACCAGGTTGAACAGCTGTTCCCGCGTTTGGGTAAAAGTCTGCGCTACCTAGAGGTTGTAAAAACCCTAATACACCGCCGCATGAGTGAATAATATCGACGAACAACGCGTCTGTAGAATCCAGTCGGGTCTTGTCTGTTGTGAGCAAATGAAATCCTGGCAAAGCGGGATCTAAGCCAGTTATCCTTCCTAAGCGACCAGAAGTCAGCGAACTTCCCGTATTCCCAGCTACGTGTGCTCCAAGCGAATGTCCTTAATTCGTAAGATTTAAATTAGAGTGAGTACAAAATAATATTAATAATAATACGTACCCAGAAAATGAATATTTTCGGTGTTTAGACCCGTTTCCGCTACTAAAAAGTCAATAAATTCAGCGGTCGTTTTTCCGACTCTTTCCGTGTTTCGCATCGGTCCAAGGTAAAACGTACTCGCGGCTAAAGGTTGCCAGTCAACCATAATGACATTGTAATCGTTAAAATTTAAATATTCTGTGGAATTAAAGTGGGTTTGGATTAGGTCTGTTTTGATAACGTTTACACAAAGATTTGTTTAAATCTAAATACCTTCTTTCATGTTGAGCAGGCCACCGCTCATTGCGCTGGATTTCCACCCATGCGTTATAAATTTCGTCTGCCACGATGGATTGAAATTGGATCCAGAAAGTCTCGTAGTATCGTTCGTATATAATTGAGTGCCATTTTCAGGGCCAGACCTTTAACGCATTGTATCATATCTCAAAAATAATGGTCTTGTATATTCAAGCGAGTATATTATAAAATGATTAGCTACCGAGTGTACAAAATATAAGTGACTTGTGATTCGTCAAAAATGCCGCGCGTTTCCGTTTCCGTGTGTTTCAATACTGCTACTTGTGGCTGATCGTTTCCATCAGGCATAAAAATCCAATCTTCTCCGTATCCGTCGTATTTTTCTCGCAGACCGCTATTCCACGCTTGGCAAATTGTAAGATCGTAAAAAGCAAAGAGCAGTACCGCGAATTGTACAAATTTATACGTCACGATCATTTTCCTACTCGTGAGAACACAGGTCTATGGATCCACGTATACGCGTTACGAAGTTTAAGAATGCCACTAAATTACGAAGGAATTTAGCCGCACGAGTGGAAATTTAGGTATAGAAACGTTTACGTTCCTATCGCCTGTATTGATCGGATGGCACAAGCCACAGGGTGAAACCTTCTTATAAACCCTGACGATGTCATAATGGACGTTAACGGACCCTCGTATGGCCCCGTTTCTTTTAGTTTATCTTTAACGCCATATCGTACGCGCGGAAATACTGTCAAGTGGTTGCTCGACGGTGCTTTAAACATTGTAATCGTATTCAAGGAGGTGCAGGTTTTTGCCCAATTAACTCGGGGCACCACCGGATGTTTTCGTATCGCTCAAAAGTAAACAGTAACGCATACATGATATTAGCAGGTCTCCCGTTCCCTCGTACTGATAATTATTCCTAAATTTTCGTGATAATAATGTGGGAGGGGCGTCATAAAATAATGATCCCATTATATGAACATAGAATATATTATCACACATCGTCATGTAACACACTTTTTTTGCTGATATAAGTCAAAACTGCTTATCCTTCTTAGTAATCTAATGTACGTATACTACGTACGTTAAAATTCAATTATATTAGTTTAATGTCCCCTGTACATTTGTAATAGTATAGAAATTGAAATCAACTCTGTGAAGTTCAACCGTACGTGATTATCAAGAAAACTGTAGTCGTCTCGTTATATAAATTTTTTTTCTTCCTTGAAGATACTGCAAAAAAATATATATCATGCATTACATGATTAAGTATATAGTTTCTTAACTTGAATCGAACACAAAACATTACCCAAGCTTGGTAATGAATTTATCCCAAACTCTCCGTCACCGAAACAACCTACTAACGGTACTTCCGGGAATAATTGTTTGAAAATAGTCGATTCCGTGTTGCATACGTCGAACATACGTTCTCCACGCGCGCAACATGCAAACATAAATCCCATGGAATGTTTTTTTAAACAAATGCGATTTTTAAACGATTTCAATCGCTGTTCAATTCGTTCTCTGGTTTTATAACTTTTATCAACGACTATGGACCACGTGTCCACGGACCCGATCAAAGCAACAACGCAAATTGCAAAATTCCTGCATTTGTTGTTTTTACTATCTTTTGAATTACATACTAATAAATCTGTGGCTACACCTCCCCATACAGACAGTTTATTTGCTGCATAACTAAATTTACAAAGAAAAAGAGGTGTATATTTTATTGTAATATCTCCACAATATTAAAATAAAATTTAGAATTTTTTACCGTCTCCTTAAGGAATTTGAAATTTGTATTGCTGAACTACGACCTCGTAGATCAGAAAACAGTAATAAACATTTAGGCATGTCGGGATTATTTTCAGGTGTGCTAAGAAATTCTTTTATATCTTTGCTGTACTTTTTTACAGACTGTGATATATCATACGTTTTTGTTGAGTTGTCCCCAATTGCAAATGTTTTAATTGTTACGCCGGGTATTTCTGGCAAACATGCGCACACAATTTCTTCCGAACTATTCTCAATTTCTGTACTATCGATAATGATTCCGTATGTACCCAACGTTACGGTATCACAATTTGGTGGAAGAACTTTACAGTGGCAATCTTGATAAAGTCAAGATATTATCATTAGGGACGATCATTAGCATGTAATGATTATAGGTCAATGAATATTAGGCTAAGATTAACATAATAAATACCTTTTTTGATAAATGGTACAAAAGGAGATGTAAAAAATAATCCTAAAACAGGTTTTATCCGCAAATTTTTAATAATTTTCGTCTTAACAAGTTCCATACTGCACTGCATTTTGCAGTATTCCATCAAATAGGTAGGGCCTCTAGTTTGTTTTTCATTATTTGCCGCTTCTAACCAGGATCTGCAATAGTAAACATCACGCGTAGAAAAATAAGCGTTTCCGTCACTTAAAGTATACAAAATGATTAATCGATCTCGCACCTGCAAACCATTGCAGCATTCGATAATTCCATTCCATTTAAATACTTAAATATAATTCTCAAAACATCATAGGTTAAGCCCTGATTTGAGCATTTCTCGCTAATTTTCGTACACTCTTCGGTACTCGATTCGTCAGTGGCATTTCCTCGGAGCTTTTTTTGCGGTAAAGGCTCCATTTACACAGACGTACAAATTTGATTATGTTCACCACAATTTTTAGGCGATATTTATCATAAAAGTACGACTCAAACCACTATTTTGTGTTTTGCGTCGCGTCGTGTTTGCTTGTGTCACGAACAACCATAATAAACAGGTTCAACGTCGTATCTACAAATGTTCCCTTTTCTGGAATTTCTGTTTTTCTTCACAATTGAATTTCGATTAGATTTGCTTTACGGATACTGACAATGCAAATGATGATAAAAAATAATTATCCGAAAAACTAATTTCTTTTGTAGAAATCGTCGAATTCTGGCAACGATTTATTGACTTTACATAGAAACTCTACCAGAGAAACTTGATGGGCTGATGGCCTTTCGCAGAAAAAAGGAAATAAAGTGCGTGTAATCGAGAAGCAAAGTGTAATCTGATTACATTTGCGATAATTACTTCTAGAATGCAATTGAATGACAACAATTTACGATAATGATTAAATGGTAATTAGACGATAATTGCTATATAATTACAATGCAATTGCTTTGTAGGAGTAATCGTAACAAACATAATCAAATTACATGTTACCCAACAGTGCTCTATGGTTTGTCTGCTTCGATCAAAATCAAAGTAGATTAAATTGGCGCGTCAGAGTGAAAAATAGAGATAGGCGATGTCAAAGTAGAGGTAAAGGGAGTCATTTTGAACAAAACATATGATTTAGCACCAATCACAATCGACAACAGGGTTCGCGCTTCTTTGATTTGAGGTTTTCTAGAACGTCGCTGCAATGTTCCCAAATAATAATTTGCATTGACGATCGTGGAGAGTTCGAATGTAAATATCTTTTGGGTTCAACCCAGTGGTGCCAGAAAGAGGGCATGTGTCAGTTTGCCTTTGTCGACTCCCCGAAACTCCACGAGCTCACGTACGCGTGATCTGGCATAGTGTGAGTAGTGCACCCGGTGCTCAATCTGGCATCACTGGTTCAACCCAGTTCAGTCATTATTTTCGCTAGGATCTAATGGAGACCGAATCTGAAATGACAGTTTTACTCAACGGCACTGGTAATCCTTGCCGCATTTGTCTTAGAACAAATCAAAATAACCAATATATTTTTGGAGTTAAATGGAATAATCGGGATAGCAAAGACACCTTCGACTTATCTGAGAAATTCCGCTTGTGCAGCGGTGTTGAGGTCAGTTGAGTATTTAAACTTGTTTCTTTTCCTAGTTTTCTTCTATTTTTCGTTTCTTTATTACTTTATTGATGAAGATTTCCATTTGTTAGATAATGGAGAACGATGGTTTACCTACTACTATTTGTATGGAATGTACAATCAAAGTTAACAGTGCTCATGAATTAAGAAAACAATGCCAGCAGTCAGATCTCAGATTAAGAGAAGTATATGGAAAATTAAAATCAATGTGCAATACAAATAAGTTTAAATCCACCAAAGTAAATGTTCATGCATATGCAAGGAATAATTGGATTTATATAGTTGTAATTAATTTTTTCTTTTTATTAGGATCAATTTTGCCAGACAGAGTATACCTTTACCTATAATTTTATCAATGAAACGGATACAGTTTCTCGACTGGATCATAATGTATCTTCAGCTCCAAATTGTAATTCAAACACAGAGCGTATAGATGAGCTTAAAGCAATTACTAAATCTAATAGCATAGACTGCAATGAACTTAATAATCACCAGAATTACACCTATACTAAATATAAACAAGCAGCGTGTGAAAAAACTATTACAGGAAAGGAAGCTTATAGGACCAGAAGGACAACTATGTTTAAGAGAGTGACTTCTATGGAAAACTTAAAGAATCATAAGGAAAGACAAAGACAGTACATAAAAAAGAATACAAATGTTAAGCGTGATATTGTAGAAAATGACCATACTTTGAACATTGAGGATACAGATTCTCAAAATTCTTATGCTTGTCCAAAATGTACAAGATATTATTCTAATAAAAAATCTTTGGAAAAGCATATAGCAACTCATAATGATAAACAGTTTATGTGCGACAAATGTAATAAACAATTTGTTCAATTCGACGAATTGGTAAAGCATAACAAATTACACAAGGTTAAAGAAAAAATTAAACCAGTATTATGTAGAATATGTAATAGAAATTTCAAGAAAACTGATACTATGGTACGACATTTAAATGTTCATAAAAGAGCTAATCCAAAGGAAGTTCTCTCTATTCTGAAAGAAATTAGGGACAAAAGAAAATTGGAAAATATCGGCGAATTGAAGGAGAGGTTTATAGAAATTGGTATTAATAGTAAAAGAAAAGAAACGGGAGAAGGATGTGTAAATAATGAAAATGATACATCAGACATGTTTAAAAAGTGTACATTAGAGTGTGAATATACAAGTTCTAATTCTCATTTATCAAAGACAAATGTTGGCATTGACAAACAATTCGACGCACTTAATGACACGACGTTTCATCGATGTAAACATTGTAATAAATGTTGCTCGACTGATGTACTGCTTCAAGAACATTTGTTAATTCATGCAGAAAAAAAATTCGTTTGTAATGTGTGCAATATGAAATTTTTCCGGCGAGATAGATTAGAAAGTCATAAAACTCGCTATGGGCATAACGAAGACAAAGTGTCCTTGGAAACGCAGAAACCATCCGATGATAAGTCTGCCATTAAATTAATAAACAGCTGGATAAAGGAGGAGCTTGACTCTGATAACGAAGAGAAGGGCTTCCCTTGTAAAATTTGTGGAAAATCGTACGATACTAAAAGATCTCTCTTAAAGCATCGGTTAAATACGCACAATTCGCAAGATGAAGACTGCACGAATTGCGGTAAAGTGTGTAACTGCGACGTAAAAGATAAAGATCAACAAAAATCGAACGAAGTATTGAAACCATATCGATGCGACGAATGTAATAAATCATTTGAGAAAGAAGTCAAATTACAGAAACATGTAAGAATCCATGAACGCGCCAAAGAGCAGGAGGACGCGAATTTCAAGAGATTTTTGTGTCACATATGCAGTAAAACATTTAGGCAAAATACAGGTCTCATGTTTCATATGAGAACACACACTGGTTACAAACCTCACGTTTGCAAATACTGCGGGCGAGGATTTACGTCGAATTCGAATTGTATAAATCATGAAAGAACGCATACTGGCGACAGGCCGTTTGTTTGTCATTTTTGCAGTGCCGCTTTTGCCAAGTCGTGTACTTTAAAGGCACATATTACAACGCATACCGGTGAAGCAAATTACCACTGCAAAACATGCGGGAAATCGTTTAGAAGACTGAAGTACTTGAAAGAGCACAGATTCACGCATACAGGTGAAAAACCGTACGCTTGCAAAATTTGCGGCACGGCGTACAGTCACAACGGGAGTTTGTTCGTGCACGAAAAGAAATGTAAAGCCCAGTATCAAAATGCGCAAAACTATTGCCAATCCGAGACGTCCTCGCCAAGCATAACTCCTATCATCACGATTTTACCTCAAAACCATTTGAACGAAGTTATCGTTCCGTTGAACATTCAGGATAACAAAACTTACGTCGACGATATCCAGAGAATGAGTTCCCCAAGCATCGACAGCGTAAGCCCTGTCGGCACTCCAGATCTGCATGTTCATCCAAACTCGGATGCTTCTAATGTTTCTTTGACCGTCAAGAATTTCGCTTTCATCGGACATATGTTTCAATCGTAAAACGATTTAAATCAATAATTGACGCTCGAGTTAAAATGTTTCTGTGATAAATTTTCATTTTGCGAATGTATTTCGATTATCGAACGAACTGTGTTCGCATTTTAAGAAAAAAAAAAAAAAAAAAAACGTATAATAAATGCGCGAAACGTCTGTTATTGCATCTTTTACAAGCGTAACGCGTTGTATATTGCATTTTATACATTATAGGATGTGGAGGAATGGGTCTATTTTGATTTTATATTTTATTCTAGTTCGTACAACATAATACAAATAATATTCGTATGGTGTCCCGTCGAATATTATTGCTGTATAAAGGAGCAAGGCTGGTCTATAAAATAAAATAAAAATCAATCGTTTAATTGTTTCTTTATTCACAGCAATCTCCTCGACGTAAAATCACCATGCTTTAAACGAAGAGATTGCTTAAAATTCATTGGTTTTTACCAAGTCGGTATTTCAGTTCTTATGACATCATATCCATAAGATGCATAATCTATTCTGTACCTAGTCTGTGGTAACGTGTTTACTGCTCGTTAACGATATGTTAATAATAAGAAATGTCAATCTCGTAAAAAACTCTATTTAGAATAATTTATTACCAGACATCTTTCAATGTCACACTTAGTGAAAATAAAAAGAGGAATAATGAGGATATACTCGAGTCTGCTTAAAACTGCTCCCGTAATTACTTTGAATTATATAGTTCTTTGCATCTTAAATAATTAGCTTTCTCAATATGTAGTCATAATTTCAAACGGTAAAAATACAAAAGTTGTATTCTGGTCTGCACCGATAACGTTGGTAGTGACATGGGAATGATAAGGGGGTTCGACTGTCCCTAATATGTATGATACGATAAAGCATTGCTTAAAACGTCTAGGTATTCTATACTTCGTCTGTGGTTATAAACTGACTGTGAAGTACAAAGTGTGCTCGAAGACTAAAATCTCGCCGCGAAGTATCTTCGTCTGTGATTTCGTATCGAATTGGGTACAGCTAGTGTAAATAGATAACGTTGTCTGTAATGTAGGCATATATGATCTACACAAAGTGCAATGACGTGCTGTGAAACTGGTGAAGAGTATTCTGCTTTAAGATGACGTATGCCGAGACTTTTGGTTTTATATTCGATTAAACACACACACACACAAGCTACGCAAGCACACCACACTTTAAAACTGTTTTTCTAAAACCTTGTTATATGTTGTAAATAAAATTCTTAAACGAATTTCATTACTCGGAAGTGATTTTACATTACAACGAATAACGATGAATATTCGATAGCTTAATTTACATATACACGATATATTTCTTTTTTTTTTGTCCTAATTTATTCTTTCATGCGATTGGATAAATACTATAAATTCGCTGTCGCCACTTCCATGTATCGTTAATGTTCTACCCGATTGTTAAATAAAATTTTTGCGATGAAGCCCGTACGTTACATGTAGAAGACATGACAAAAATTGTGAAACATTTGAGAGATGCGTCTTTGGTCGCGAAAATTCAGAAAGCTTTTGGTGTCAAAATACATTACAGAACAAATTTGAAAAAACATGAGGATGATTCGTGTAACGCGACACGTGAAATTGTTTCGCGAGAACTTGAACACGACCTGAATAATTGTTCTTCGAATTGTGAAGAATCGAAGAAAAACGGTCATGTCTTGACGGAGAAAAAATCCGTCGATTTTGCAAGCACCTGTGCATCAAACGACGAAGAAAAACGATTATCATCGATCGCCCGGAATCCGAATTACACCATATCAAATTACTTTTGGTATTATCTGTTTCTATTTGGAACGGAATTAGGAGATGAAATATTTTATTGTACATTTATACCTTTTTGGTTTTGGAATATTGATGGAGTTGTGGGTAGACGAATTATTTCAGTATGGTGTATTGTTATGACTACAGGTGAGCTATCATTTAATATAACTGTGCATGTTTTATTCTTAAGCTAACTGGTTATTGTTGCATTATAATATATCTGTTTAGGTCAAACATTAAAAGATATTATACGTTGGCCACGACCTGCATGTCCACCAGCAGTTCGATTGCAAAAAAAATGGTCAGAAGAATATGGAATGCCATCTACCCATGCTATGATTGGTGTATCAATTCCATTCAGTGTAGTATTATTTACAATGAATAGATATATTTACTCTCTTTCTATTGGCTGTACAATTGCTTTTCTTTGGTAAGTGATACATTATGCCTTAACAGCAGGTTTATGAAGTTAATAAGGAACTCGAAATATAACTATCTTTGTGTGTTTGAAAGGTGTACACTTGTGTGTACAAGCAGGCTCTATTTGGGCATGCACACAGTGTTAGACATTCTAGCAGGCTTAACATTAGCCATTACATTAATGATTCCACTAGTACCTTTAGTGGACACGATAGATGATTATATTGTTTGTAATATTTGGGCTTTAGCAACCTTAATTGCCATTAGTATATGCGTTATAGTTTATTATCCCTCTGGTAAAAAATGGACACCAACTAGGTAATAAATAAAGTTAATTACATTCAATGGATACATTAATGTGATTCCATATAATAACTTTTTCATTCTAGGGGTGATACCTGTATGGTGGTATCTGTCACCACTGGAGTTCATTTAGGAACATGGCTTAATTACAAAACAGGAGTCATGTTAGCTCCTACAATACAGCCACCATATCACATTGTCTGGCCTTCTCATCTAATGTATGGTTGCATGATACTTAGAACAGTACTTGGACTTTGCAGCATTCTTGCAATAAGAAGTCTTTGCAAACAATTTAGTTATCGGACAATGTGTGCCATATTAAAAATTAATTTCAAGGACCTTATGAACAGTAAAAATTATTCCAAAAATAAAAATACGATTTTTATCGATCTAGTCAACAAGTATCTAACTTGTTTTATGATAGGTGTAAATACAGTGTATTTATTACCAAAAGCTTTTTCCATGATTGGAATCGAACGATCGGCGTTTTATACGGAGTTATAAAATGATTTTTAATCTTAAATACGAAAATGGCATATAAGTTTGTGGAGTGAAGCATTTCTAATGATGCGGTGTGCCATAAAATGTAATTATCAACATATATAGCTACATTCCAACAACAGCGTTTGTGATTGTTTTTATGTACATTATCGTACATAAAATTACATGCAACCCTGTAAATTGTTTTTACAATGTATTGTGTTTGATATTCTGTACTATTTCTTATACTAAAATAGCTACAGATATTCAATCCATACTTGTGCCGTTTACATACAGGTTTTCATGTAATATAGACTTAACAGTAATCATGCTATTCACGCACATTGAAGAACTATTTTTACTGGAAAAAAAAAACTAGATTAAAAAATACTGCTTTTTACATTTTACATGTTTTGAAATGTAATTATTGTTACAATGTTTCATGTTTGTTAACATCATACTCAAAACAGGTTTTTGTTATAATAAAACAATTAATAAAATTATTCCGTTTATATTTATTGCTTAGTAACTTTGTACACTGTCTAAAGTACTTTGTACAGGCATGTCTAATCTTAATACCTATAAAAATTATGAATAATATGGTCATTATTTCAACAGGAAATATGTTTATAACAAAACAAATCTTATGATAAATTGATCCTTGTCTTACCCTAAGATCTTTATCTAGAAGACATTTTACGCGCATTATATTTATAGTATATGGAACTGAAAGGTCATATGTTAGATTAGTTTTATCGACAGTAATTACAATACGATTTTCATCCAAAAGTACTTCCACATCTTTACCAGTAACCTGTGCAAAATATAACGATTCATAGTTTCTTTATTAATTGTAAATAAAGTTTTGCCTTACCCCTTTAGGCATTTGAAATAAACCAATCAAATGTGTTGCTGTTTTTTCTAAAGGTTGTTTTAATAACAGATAATTTAGTTTGGAATCGACAGTAGACTCTAGAGGAACATTTTCCGATTGATTAACATCAGTTTCTTTTCCATATGTACTTTTAGCAGGAGACTTAATTTCCTCGATAAGTGGTTTTTTAATTTGCGAGTAAGTTCGGGGTTCGCGATTTTCAATTCTATGCTGTTGTAATTTTCCCATGACCTGCAATAAATGTAACAAAAGCAACAAAAATCTGATTGCAATTTTACTTGGTCATTGTATAATTACAAAAAAATCGCACCTTCCGATTTTTAAGGATTACATATTCCTCTGCATTTAAGGTCTTCTTAAACTTATCCGATATACCATCCATTATAACCGATATTGTAAACAGTAAAAAATTCTTTTTCTCTTGACATTTTTCAAAATATGCTGTATTAATTGCAATATCATATGTTATACAGGGTGATCCACCTATAATATTAAATACATTGTATCACTAACTGTTACATTTTACTAAAATATATGTGCAAGGTTTAGGCACCTCTATCTGATTCCAGCCTTTCACTGCCAATACTCATAGGTACTGCAAAATTTGGATTTTCCTCTGACAATATCTCAAACAGTTTTACATCAGATATATCTTCAGGTGCTGGTATTTTATCGGATGTACATATATTTAAAAAGATTTTTTCTCCGCTGTCTGTCTTTGTTTTCACACATATGCCTAGAGTATCATAAAAACAGAATTTATTTATTTGATGCAAGTAATTATATAGAAATATATTACCAGGTGTAGGCTGAATAATGAAGAAAGGTTTTGAATTAGGTTGTTTGTTTATATTGTCAATCTGTGATGCATTTTCCTAAAATTATTAAAAACATTTTTACCGTAGATATCAATCTTAGCATAAAGTTTGCATAGTTATATTTACTCACAGGTAGTGTTAAAATTTTCGTTAATATTGTATCATCAACATCGAGATACGTTCTGTTATTCATGATTCGAAATGTTGCGAATTACTTCAATCATACGTTCTTTGTTCTAATTTAATGTATAGAAAGGATTAATTCGCTTCGATTGATGTAATTACGATATGTCAAACGTAGGTAGGATACATGTTTCTTTTTTCTTAAAAAACTTAAATTTGCAGCGCAATTGAAACACTAGATAGCGTTATTGTAGGTTTATAATAGGTTATCAATTCAACGACGAGATTATTATTTATATTATTGGATTGTAATAAACTTGTATATATTTCGTTTAGGTAAAATATGCAAACATCAGTATATGGTAGTATGCAATAGAGGACCAAAATCGTACGACAAAAAGTAGCATATTGCTTGCAATATCTATTTCATTCCTTGTTGAGCAGGATGCACGTTGGTTGAACATAAACAGAGAGGAGAGAGATAATCTTGAAATATGAGATGAGAACTTAAGGTCACGAAACACACGTTGATACCTGTTGATAGCATCCAGTTCAGAGACGAAATCGAACTTTGCATCAGTTACTAATCTCTTTATACATACAACATAGTATCGTGTAGAGTTTATATATTTATACGATTAAAATGGCAAAGTGTATACACGCAAATGAAGGATTCACACTACGGTATATGAAATCGAATGTTCTAGTAAGCTGTGTATTTAAAATCATAAGAACAAAGAATGTATTAAACTATTGGTTTTAGTGATTTAACATTGAACGATGGTCTTGTGTTCGAAATTGGCGATTACGAGGGTATGGACGAAGAAGAATTTCCTTATACATCATCGGTCCCGTTGACGAACGACGAAGTGTTAAATTTCTTAAATTTGGATGATTTTCATGACGATGACAACGATGATAACACCACAGATAATACTACTACAGATAATTCTGTTCTACTCTGTAACATGAGTTTTGATAAATTAAAAACTAAAATGACTGATATTTTTGGAAATAGTAAAGTAAGTGCTCTTTTTTATAAATTTCTAAAGGTATTCTACATTTCAAGGAACAATATATCTTTTTTTTTATATTGTTCATAGGTTATGAAATTAGTAAAGCAGAAAGGGGTCGGAAAGATTGTACCTTCTGATGCATTAGTTACTATAAAATATGTAGGACACTTTGAGTATACGGACGAACCATTTGATTCTAGTTTTGTTCGTGGAAGAGCAGACACTTTTCAACTTGGTCAGGGCACCTTATTACCTGGTTTAGAGATTGCTATTACAAGCATGGAAAAGCATGAAATAGCTGTATTTATTGTACATCCTGATTTGGCATATGGAAAGTATGGCTGTGCTCCTCGTATACCTCCTGATGTAGAAGTTTTGTTCATAGTACATCTACTCGATTATGTGGATAATGGAGCTGTCAATGCTACTGAGAATTTGTCCCACGAAGAGAGAAGAATGTTTTCATACGTTATTAAACGAGCTTTAGCTATGTTCAATAATGCCAAGTATAATTTTAAACTGCTCAAAGTCAAGCAAGCGATAAGAGAGTAAGTAATTTGAGTATAATGTGTTTATATGCTATTAATTTCATAATGACAATATATTATCAGGTACAGCAAAGCAATTCAATGGTTGGAAGAGGCAAGATTACAGAACCAGGAGGAGGAAGATGAATTTAAAAGGGTAATTTCAAAAGGTTATAGCAACCTTGCTGTTTGTTATAACATTGAAAATATGCCGCGACGTGCGTGCAGCGCGTGTAACAGAGTACCAATACCATCTGCTAAAACTCATTTCAAGTATGTTTCACAAAATCACCGTTAGCGTGTCGGAAGTAATTACGTAGATATAAAAACAATTTATGCTTTATGGAACAGTTATGGTCGAGCATTACTAAGAATGGGAGAGTATGACAGAGCAATGGAAAAATTGCAACTTGCGCTCACCCTAGAACCGAAAAACGAAATCACTATCAAGGAAATTAAACTGGTAAATATTAAACTACGGAATGCAAGCTAATTCTGAGAACATTTCATTCCATTTGTTTATCACAGGTGAATGAGAAACAAAGATCATACTTGGAAATTGAGAAAAAACTTTGGAGAAACTGTTTAAAGACCGAGCATAAAGGGACAGATGAAACTGCATTTCAGAAACTGGTACGCCAGATGTGCAAAAGTTTCTCCGAAGATAGCCAGGCATTAAGGCAACCACTTCCTGAAGCATTGACAATGGACGAAGATGCATGGATACGCGAACAAGCTGCTGCATTTGGTCTCTCGGTTACCACACACGAAAGATACGGCCGAGAAATAACGTATCTTAATAAACAAAACTATTAAAGATGCTTCTTTAGTTGAAAGTTAAGTATTATATGTACAGTTACATGTAAAAGAGTACAATTCATATGTTTATAATTGTTTATACTTGTAATAATCAGAGGAAGTTTAGGACTGTGGTCATGTTTCTTATTTGGTATTATAATTTTTCTTTAGGCTTAAAGTTAATCGCAATAACTACAGAATAAAAGAGATATCAAATAATTTATCGCGAATCTGTAGCGTTTATAAAGATCAGCAAAAGTATATATATAAAATCGTTTAAACGTTCGTATCGATGGCGGACGAATCTTCCGGAAGCGGTTTCTCGATCTCGTTTCCAAATCGTACTCTGTATTTTCGTTTCACGAGGCCCCAGTCGACGACATTTTCGATTCTCATTGAGCTCTTTAAAGATAATTGACTTCCCAACGGGCTCGGTTGAAGCAATGGAAAATTGATGGCGTCACGTTGTTGCGACGATATCCCATTACCCTACACAAACAAGAAAACAACACTTATCGATACTTTAAGGCCAAATGGGATTTCAATGCTTTGCGTACCTGAATAAACGAATGACTCGGGAACAGGCGCATCACTCCCGTTTTACGTCCCACGCTTCGAGTTTTGCACGGTTTCCCAAGATACGCGATCCAGGAACTAACGAGGTTCAATGGCGAAGGCGCAGTTCGTGTTCTTGAAAAGGCAGGTGAGCCGATTTTTGTTACTTACTGTAGATCGTTGCGTTGTACGAATTGTAAAAACCTTTCCTGCCTTTTGTATTTAACGGCGCTGCCACTTCGCGACGATACAATGGAGTCTTGATAATACAAAGTAATCGGGACCAAGGAAGATTTAATATAAAATAACCCCGATATTTTTTTTTCCTCTAGTTAAGAATACGGCACGCGGATTATCGAGACTCCACCGTAGAAATACTCTTCGCGGTCCACTTACTTTTGCATGTTACGAATGAGTTTGCTGAGCCCGTACTTCCACTCGATATCGCTCTGAGATTGGATACTCTGGTACGTGTCGGACATCATCGCGATCAACAGATTGATCAGCACTATGACGCTAACCAACATATACAGAGAGAAAGACACCTGCCGGAACATTACCAGGAGATCATTGATCGCGAATCGTTGGGCTGTAAGCAAGTACTAGATCGAGCGCAACTAGTCTACGTTGATCTGACCTTAAATAAATATATCGTCCAGCTTGGTTGCAGCTTTCGTTTTAACGATACCGTGAAGTCGTCCGTGTCCTTCTGGCCGAAAATAGCGAAGAAAAGATTTTCCGTGATATCGATGGGATTCACTTTCACTGGAAGAACGTAATCAAGCGTCTAAGTAGTGCGATTCGCGTCTGCGTCGATCTTCGTTTCGATCGTAGCGATCCAATCGTAACAATGAATGTCGTCGACCCAGAGCTGATTAAAACGAACGTGCACGGTCTCTGTTTCAAATGTACAATTGTTCCATCGTGTTTTAAAATGCTATACGTACATTTTTGCACAGCTTTGCGTCGACGGAAAGAAAGAGATATGCGCCGTAAGGCGTAGCACGTGCGATGGAAATGAAAAGGAGAACCAGAGGATATGGACGACGATAGATGAATCGGGGATAGAATGTATGACGTGAATGATCGACAGTGAATTTCGAACGTTTTAAACGGCGTATGAGTGACAGTCGAATCGGCATTTATGATATCGAAATACAAGATATCGTGATTGAGCGATGCAGAATGCGTGTTCTGATCGATAGGAAGCTGATCGTTTGGCAGAATAACGCTCTTGCTCTCGTAAAAAATTCGGTCTCGAGAAGATCCTGGCACTGCCGGACGAGGGGTTCACTTTATTAAGGAATCAGATTGTCGATTCATCGGTTTATTGGTGAAAGATATCGTTTCCTCGGTATCGTTGCCTAAAACATGGTTGAAACGATAATCATGTTACATCGTGGCGCGACAAAAAGGTGAGAGGTGCGCGATCAATGGTAGAACCACAAAACGATCCGATCGGTTTGGTCGTTTATTTTGATAAGAAAGATCATACGAGACGAGAGTGTACATATCAATGTTGGAAAACTAATGGTTAAATTGGCCGTGACTGGTTGTCGCAGAGATCGATCGGTTCAGGGGAAGTTGGCGGACGCAGCCTGGTTCCCGACAGGAACAACGACCAACTGGCTTTCCATAGTTGCCGACACGGTCTCTGGTTCCGCAGACTCTTTCGATTCCTCTGTATGCTTATCGATCTTTTCGTCGTAGAGATCTCGGTACTTTCGTCTGACCGCCTCCCAGTCAACGACGTTGTCGATTCTGACGGCGTTACTGAACGACAGCTGACTGCCAAGGGGGCTCAGGTGAACGACCGATAGGGCGACGCTGTCCTTGTGGCCCACCTGGGTCTTTTTCACTTTGGACAGCCACTTGGCGCCCATTCTGGTACGCGGTGAGAGCGTGTCGGTTCTCTGCAATCCCATCAAACGGACGATGGACGGTCGTTGTTTATTCACGGCGCGTTTCTTGCATAGCTTGTACAAATATGCCAACCAGGTGGTAAGTAGATTCAGCGGCGATGGCGCTGTGCTTGTCCTGCGCATCGATAAACGTGCCCGATCAATTAGAATTGCGGCGGTGGATCGAAACGTAACGAACCCACAGTTTATAACGCGCGCGGGGCATGCAACGTTCGTAAATCGACGTCGGATACCAAAGGACAATCTTGTACACCGATTTTCGATTCTGTGCAGGGCCGATTTCAACAAAATATCGCGTTCCACACGAATCAATATTCGAACGCTGTAAAAAGATAGCTGTGTCTCTAAAACGGCTAGAAAAAAACTCTATAATCTCGATCACACTGTTCGATGGGATTTCTAAATCTGAAAAATAAGAAGCAAACTAACATTAACGTCAGGAATTGCAAAGTTTTGTTTTAGGTCTTCAATTCGGATATCAGCCGTGAATTTTCTGAAGGAGCTAACAACGATATCAGGTATTTTTATTTATCTCCTTGTTCGGCTTCTCTGAATCGCGCAGAGAGCTCAGAGTTTTGTTATAGTCGGGGCAGTATTAAAAGTGGTAAACGTTTACCTTGGTTACAGTTACCGAACGAGTGAAACCGGCCCTGGTGTCGAGCAACGAGTCCCTCTTACCTGTGCATGTTCCTAATGAGCTTACTCAATCCGTACTTCCATTCGATGTCGGACTGAGCTTGTATCCGTTGGTAAGTGTCGCTCATCATGGCGATTAGCAGATTAATCAGCACGACCACCGAAACCAGCATATAAATACCGAAGGTGAGTTTGAAGAGAACCGTGGTCCACTCGGGCTGCATTGATGAGTCAACCTTGAATAGTTCGTGGGTCGTCTGACCGAAGATGGCGAAGAACAATAACTCAACGGCCAGTACGGGACTCATCCTGACTGGAAATACGTGGGAACGATATGTCTTGTGAAAACTCTGCTGTATCGTGCCGGCCTTCTTATTATTCAATCTTGTCTGTATGTACGTAGGTATATATGTATATTGTTGCGTATGTATCGTATTCGTGTTAAAGTACATGCGTGTTGTTCGTTTGCCTGTAGGTTCTCGAGGCTGCGTGTCGCTAATGGCTAATCGGTATAAACGCGAGGGTACGCGAGTCCTTCTAGGATCTTAAATTAAGGGACGCGTTTTGCGACACTTGTAAACACCTGGCGCAAAGTTTCGCTCTGTACGAGCAACACGGAACCGAGAGACGTTTCACAGAGGGAAACCGTCGGTCGATGGCCATCGAGGCGCGACTCGAGATCTATAGATCTAGCTATTCTCGGTGAAACGTCGTTCGCGCGACGACAGTCGTGCTATCCTACTTACGTAAATCCCGACAAAACACGCGCCATGTATGCCGATCGTGGAGAAGTCACGGGGTTTTCAACTACGAAACGTTACCTAGGTTGTTGATATCGATGCCATAAGTTGTATTCGTGGCGCCGTTAGCGCGACGAGAGTCTGTCTTGTGTTCGTAATTTACGGTTTCGTTAGTTCGCGACGATGGATCGAACTTTCGTTTATTATTTCCGAGGCGAGGAATCTCGGTTCCTCTAGATAGGTGGCGTCGACATCGTCGCTGGTACCGCGTTGGAGTTGGAGGCCGTAGGTCCGTTCTCCTCCTCGTTCTCGTTGTCCTCGTCCTTCTCGTCTTTGTCCGCTTCTTTCTCGGGCTCGTTCCCGGTGAGGATCAAGTATTTCTTTCTGATCGAGTCCCAATCTACCACGCTCTCGATCCTCGTCGCGCTATTGAAGGACAGTTGGCTACCGAGGGGGCTCAAGTGTACCACGGACAACGCGACGCTGTCTTTCGGTCTGACCTGACCCTTTTTCACTTTCGCCAGCCATTTCGCGCCCATCTTGGATCTCGGGGACAGACGACCGGCCCTCTGGAGTCCCATCATGTGGACCAACGAGGGACGCTTTCGTTTCGCGGCTCGTTGCCTGCACACCTTGATGAAGTACACGATCCAAGTAGTGAGCAAGTTAAGGGGCGACGGGGCGGTGGTCGTTCTGCAACACGTAATCGTGTGTCCAGCCTATCCCGTTCGTTTGGTTTCGTTAGAGGATCTACGGCGAGGAGGCACGCGTCGCGAAACGGGACCAGCGCAGAGCACGCGTTCGTCAGAGAACGCAGCCTTCCATATTTTTGCCGCGGTAGCGAATATCGGATATTTGAATTTCGAGCGTTACGACGACGAAGGTTTGGCGGCAGCTTACCTGTGCATATTTCGGATCAGTTTACTGAGCCCGTATTTCCACTCAATGTCCGATTGCGCCTGTATCCGCTGGTAGGTGTCGCTCATCATGGCGATCAGCAGATTAATTAATACGACTACCGAGACCAACATGTATACGCCGAATGCCAGCTTGAACAGGACCGAGGTCCACTGCGGCTGATTGGTCTCGACCTTGAGCTCGCCATGGGTCGTTTGGCCAAAGACGGCGAAGAACAGGTACTCGAAGGCGAGTACCGGATTCATCTTTACTGGAATTCGAGGCACACACACATGTTTCTTGATTTTTTGTCTTTCGTTTGCGCTTTCTCTCGTGACTGCTTGTTGCTGCTTCGTGCCGTTTAGACAGGCTTGGCTACTGTGGACTCGCTATGTATGGATGCGGGTGGTGTATTCATACGTACATTAGAAGTAAACGAACGAACGATCGAACGAACGATGAACGTACTGAACGAACATGCTCATGCTAATACAGAGACTGGCCATGCTTGCGAATAACGTTGGATGCATGCCGGACGTTCCGTGAGCTTCGATATCCACGTATAACATTTCGGGTGTCGTATAACTTGTCGTATATGTTACTTGTTATTATTATTTATTATTATTATTATTATCCGTGTGTTTGTTTTCTCTCTGGTTTCAGCGCGAGAACCCGCGACGAGCGACTCCGCGGGATGCATCGAGGATCTACAAAGCCGAGTATTTGCGTGTGTATATATGTTTATCGCACGAGGGCTCTCCGCGTGTGTTCTTCAGTACCCCGGTTCTCCGGAACTCGACGGGACTCGCAACATGATCGCAATTCGTTTGCTCTGGACGACGAGATGCAGCATGCAGACGACGAACCGTTTCTCTTGGCTCTCTCACACGCGCGCGCGCGCTCACTCTCTATTCCTCTCGCTCCCATATGTCCTCTCGAGCATCCGAGACGAGATCTAGCGACGAGCCGCGGTTACGAACGCGAAACGCCGAGATGGAACTATTTACCGTGCGCATGCAAGGAGAAAAAAGATCGTCGGACGGTTCGCTGGTTACCGGGGAAAATCGCCGCGTCGAGAAAAACGCGAAACGACCGGCGCGTCGGAGGGGAGGAGGGAATCGGTAAGATCACGTGGACGGGATCGGGGATGAAACGAAAGACGGGAGGATCGACGAGATGTCGTTACCAATGTCCGTGTCCGACTTGGCCGATACAGTGCCACACAAAACACGCATTGCGCAAGACTCGAACAGCACGAGGAAAACAACATTGCTCTTGTACAATTATATGTATGTATGTTTATAGAAATGCAAACGATACACAACAGAGGCTGTGGAGAAACGCGCGCTCGATTGGCGCCTCCGTGAGATAAGAAACAAGCCGGCAGTGGTCGCCTGAACCCACTCGGTGGGTGAGCTTGAGATCTCGAGATCGGAACCGAGATCGAGATCGAGCCGTGGACCATCGAGTAGCTACGATTCGAGCTCGCGAACGGGGCTACCCTGCACTTTGGATCTCTGACGGAATATCTCGTACCGAAGCGGGGGAAGAAGATGAAAAGGAGGTGAACGGAAAGAGGATTTACCGGTCCGCGTAGCCCGAATCGCAGCGCGGGGTTACGGCGCGTAGCGAGAAACATTTCTCGCGACGTTGCAGATGTATATTTATGTTGATTGGAATCAGGCAGCAGTCCCAGCAGGCAACACACATCGGGCGAACGCACAATGCAGACGGTACGACACCAAGAAGAATCGTGTCCTGCATTCCGTTGTGCACGTGCCATTGCCATTCATTTCGCGTTCCGTTCCGGTTGCGGGTCTCGTTTAGACGTTCCCAATCGGCAAAACTTACTATCTCGGGAGCTATCGTCACAACACTCATTCTTTTTCTTGTAGCGGCCGTAGCGACGAGGAGGCGCCGTCGACGGCGTCTCCATCATCCATTCCGTAACATTGGCGAACAAATCTATCATTGCAATTTACACCGATTATGCGTTTGTCTCGAGGTAACGAGGCTTTTTTTATGTTTTTAGTTCGGGACAGTGACGGGATTCTTGGTCCACCTTCAAAAGTTACAAATATTCATCGGTGGTCCGGTACTCGGGCGACAGCGATACCGAAACAATACCGATCTCTATATCGAGTTTGTCATCGAACGATCATATGCCGCTTACGTTCGAAACTCGTTTCAAAGGGCGCCGCGATGGACAAAGGAACATTCGATCGACAAGGCGATACGGTACGTTACGTGTACGAGTTATGCTCGGACCGTTCGTGTAGTTTCGAATATCAGAGGCGTCGAGTACGCGTGCTCTTCCGTGAACCGAACACGCGTACCAGCCGCTGACTTTTCTCAATTGTTTTTTTTTTTACTTTTGTTTCGTGGCTGCGATCGTATCCGAGGGATAAGAGGGTCAAAATCAGGAAGCTAAATTTCTCTCTCTCTTTCTCTCACTCTCTCTCTCTCTCCTAAATTCTAAAAGATCACGTGCTTCGTCGAACTTACCGTCGTGGAAGGCGCCCTTCTTCTTTCTGTCCTCGATACGAGCCTCCTGAATCGACTGGTTCTTGAACGCTTGGTTCAGCGCGACAAAGTGCATCGAGAACCCGAACACGAAGATGGCCAGCACCGCGAGGAACCGCGCCAGATCCTTCATCAGGTTGCCGATGATGATTGCCCACGGTCCGAAAAGATGATGGAACGACAGGAAGTCGAGGATTTGCACGCACGCCAGCAAGAAGCTAAGCGCGAACAATTGGTTTCTCAGATAGAGCAGTGTCGGCCAGTAGGGTCGTTGAACGATCACGAATCCCATCAGATGGAACGCGACACCGAACACGCCGAAAAGCAGCACCGCCAGCTTGATCCATCCCAGGCCGCTCTTGTCGCTCGGGTTGGTCAGCTCGAAGAGCAACAGCCCGGACAGCATCACGAGCAGACACCATTCGTACCAGTAAGGCAGAAGGCTGGCCCTCACCACCGGGTATATAGGAATTATACCAACCAGCAAAAGGAAGACCATCAGATAAATGTGAGACGTGAGGTACGACATGAACTTTATAATGGGAACGTTGTTGTACTTGTGACCGAGGGGCAGAGCGAACACCACCCAGACGGGCGGGCAAACGACGAACGCGATGAACAATAGAATCGTCCTGAAGGCGTTCCAGTTCAGGCTGCCCTGCCACAATTCCTGCAGGTATCGCTGCACCACCGTGTGCGCGATCACCTCCTTTTGCTCGTTCTCGATCAGAACGTCCAGGAATTCCACGTTCCTTCGGTCCATCGACGTGAGGATCCGTCCAGCCGAGTCGGCGCCCGCGGCGAGGGCCAACAGTTCCGTGGCCATCGCCTCGCATTGTTTACCCGCGGCTATCAAATCCTTTGCTCTCTCCTTCTCTTTCTCCGACAGTTTCATGTAGATGTTGGAAAGCTTCGCGGCCGTGTCTACCGGTGCCGGTGACACCAGCACGAATTCCTCGATCGGCTTGTTGTTGTTGCTCTTACTGCAGACCATCATGTTATAGACGAACTGAAAGACCAACGAGCTTGATCGATCGAATTCGTCACGAATGCCGTTTAACGACGACAGAGGAATGCGAACGGGGTAGCGGTAGGATCGGGAGATCGCGTGCACGGTATCTAACCGTTGCCCCGCTCGCCGAAATTTAATGGTTCGATCATTGTTCGCGTTAAAAGTTTAGCGAAACTCGACGCGGCAATTACGGTTCGAGTTTTCGGGGCTTTCGGGGGTGAAAAATAAACGAAACGAAAGAACCGTCGGTGAAATTGGACCGTTGCGGCTTACCCTCTTATCGTCCATCAGGGCGTACGTATCGTGTTCCTTCTCCATGAGATACTTGAGCACGTCGTTGTGGCCCTCCGAGGCGGCGAACCAAATCGGCGCGCTCCCGAGATTGGTCTCGCTCTTCGGCGAGGCACCGCTCTCCACCAGCAATTTAACAACATCGAGATAACCGGCGCGAGCGGCGCAATGCAGCGGCGTCCAGCCGTTTTTGTCGGTCGCGTTTATTTCGGCCCCCTGGCCGAGGAGGACCTCGACCATCTGGTAGTGGCCGTGAGTCGCGGCTATATGCAGACCGGTTTTCCCGTACCGATCCGAGCTGTGCAGCAGTTCCGCCGATCTGCTCAGGAGCAGGCCCACTACCGTGATGTGGCCGCCGAAGCATGCCAAGTGAAGCGGATTGAAACCGTTCTCGGTGGTCGCCGCCTCCACCTTTGGGCAACGATCACGCGTCAGGACCGATCGCTCGGAGGAAAAGGATTCTTACGATACCTGAACGCCGGCCGAGTTCAACAGCAGCCGCACGACGTTCTCGTTTCCGGAATAGGCGGCCAGATGCAACGGTGTCATGCCAGACTCGGATCCCAGTTCCCCTACGAGCGATCCACCGGTCGGGGGATCGGACTTTACCGTTCCCGGCACGTGTGTGAGCAACTCTCGAACGGTGTCTGAAGCACACCATGACACACACGCAGGTATTTGTTATTTTTTGAATCTCGATAGACGAGGCAATTGTACGAATACTAATTAGCAAAATGAGCTTACCAGCTTGACCGAAGTAAGCGGCGACGTGAAGGGCCGTGACGCCGAGCTTCTTGCTGGATATGCGAAGCGACTGGGAGGATCTCATCACTTCGAGTACCTGACCGTGGCCGTATTGCGCGGCCAAGTGGACCGCGGTGAATCCCGCCTGATTCTCGTCGGCGCAGGACGCACCTGCCCTAACCAGCGCCTTGACCACCTCGGCGTGTCCTCCCTCGGCCGCCAGCTGAAGCGGCGTCGCCTCGGTCAGTTTGTTCCTCGCCGAGATGACACCTTGCCGGTCGAACTTCATTAGCTCCTCGATCACGCGTACGCTGCCCTGCATCGCCGCTATGTGAGCGCAGGTGTTACCGTCCTTGGTGCACGCCATCACCAGACTCGGGTGCCTCTGCAAAAACAGCTGAGCCACTTCGGCGTAATTGTTCATAGCCGCGGCGTGGATCGGCTTTTGGCCTTGGTCGTCGGTCGCGTCTATGCTCGCCCCGAGCTCCAGCAGTAGCTTGCACACCTCCAATTGGCCGGCACCGGCCGCCAAGTGGAGCGGCGTCTGCTTCTTCAGCGTGAGAACGTCGATCGCGGCCCCGTGGTCCTGTATGAGGAACTTTACCAGATGCGAGTAGCCGTTCATCGCCGCCAGGTGCAACGCGGTCCTGCCGACCCTCGACTTCGAGTTTATGAACGCTTTGTTCGCGAGCAGCGCGTCGCAGACTTGAAGGTAGCCGTGCTCGGCGGCCAAGTGGAGAGCGGATCGTCCGTCTTGGTCGAACACGTCCACCCTCGCGTGATTCGCCAGCAGCGTGGTGACCAGCTCCATGTGACCGCGATGCGCGGCGATCAACAACGGCGTCCAGCCCACGGAGCTCTGACGGTTCAAGGCTTTTTGCACCTCGGTCGCCGACATACCACTAATCATTTCCGACAGAACCTCGTTGTTGCCGGCCAGCGCGCAATAATGGAACGCCGACTCCTGAGCCTGTTTCGTTTGCAGCGAGACGTCCGCCCCGCCCTCCAGGAGGGCTCGAACGACCGCACGGTCGCTGCCGGGTGTCCTCACTTCCGTCGGTTCGATCTGAGCGGCGTAATGTAGAGCGCTCGCGCCCTCGTTTGTCAAACTGTTGACGTAGGAGGTCGCCGTTTCCGGACCCTTCCTCTCCTTCACGAATTCGATCAAGTGCCGCACCACGTCCGCCTTGCACCCTCTGCAGGCCAAGTGCAGCGGCGTCTCGCCGTTCTGAGGAAGGAGGACGCACGGCGTTACGGAATGGAAACCAAGAGGATCGACGGGTACTACCTTGGACTTGTACATGGGATCTCCGCCGTCCTCGAGGAGCAGCAACAACGTCGCCAGGTTCCCGTGGCTCGCTGCCACGTGCACGGGCGTCTGGCCGTCGTCGGTGGTCAGATTCGGTCCGGCTCCGGATTTCAGCAACATCAACGCGCACCTGTCGCCGTCCGGGACTCTGGCCGCTATGTGAAGCGGAGTTTCCCGCAGCTTTCCACCCCTCACGTGAACCTCAGCGCCGTACCCTAACAGAGTCTCGACCACCGCGGGCTTCGCGTTCTCCACGGCTATGTGCAGCGCCGTGTAATTGTCATTCGTCGTCGCGTCTACCTACGAGCGATTTACAGAGACCACCGATCAGTTAAGTATATTAATATTAATCCGATTTGCGTGGTGTTTGTTTCAAACTAATAGACGCGTATACCTTTTCTCCCCGTTGCAGCAGAGTGCTTATGATGCCAACGTGGCCGTACTTGGCCGCCGTGTGGATCGACCTAGCGCCCCGCTTGTTCGGCATATGCAAATAAACGCCCTTCTTGAAGAGCATCGTCGCGCACTCCGAGTGCCCGTTCAACGAGGCTATGTGCATGAGGGTGGACCCGTCCTTCGTTCTCTCGAATATGCTGGCTTTGAACTTGTCGGCGAGTAGTTCGATTATGGAAGCGTGTCCGTTCTCCGCCGCCAAATGCATGGGAGTTCGATCCTGGTGATCGGTGATGGACGCCGAGGCCCTCACCCCGTAGAAATACTTGACGAGGGTCTCGTCGCCCTCGGCGCTCGCAATGTGCAGCGCAGTTTGTCCGTCGCCCTGAAAGTGATACCGATCAGAGTTGCTCTCCTTCACCGACGCGGGCCACCGTCTCTGTCGTACGTTTTGCATGTCCACCGTCGCTCCGTAGTCCACCAATATCCGCACCATATCGATGTCCCTTCTTCTGGCAGCCAGATGAAGCGCGGTGTCTCCCGTGGGGGTGGTGGCGCGTAGCTGATCCGGTGCCTGTTGAGCCAGCAGCTCACGACACATCGACTGGTTCCCAGCCTCCACCGCCAACAGCAGAGGAATCTTCCCTTTCTGCGAAATATCACGTAACCGAGAAACTCTCGCGAGCTGTTTTCGAGCCATTTTCGAAGGCAGAAGAGCGGACACTCCGCGCGATTTCCATAAATAGCCACATTCGTATCTACGAAGACGTAAATATCGACGTCGGCAACCCTTCCCTCCCCGAATCGCATAGACTCGGTCGTTTACGAGACAAAGAACGAGAATATTAGGAGAACCGATGTATGCGCGCGCGCGCGCGTGTAAGGAAGGGAAATAGATGTAAATGGGGTAGGCGGGAGTCGGAAGAAGAAGAAGAAGCGCACCAGCGGAGAATTATGACAGCTGTTCGGTACCAGGCAGGGATATTCCCGGGGCATCATTCGCGGCACGCGAGAAACCTGCTCGAGAATCGGGAGCATTGCGCGATATAAATCACAGAGAAAAAAAAAAAAATGTTAACTCGATTCGCGAATGGCCTTACGAAATGCACGACGTTCGGGAAGAAGTTGCGGAAAAATTCGTTCGGCATACTTACCCCGTCGACTTTCAATCTGATGTCGCGTCCGGCGGCGGCCAATAACGCCCGAAGAATCGACGTCGCAGTGCCAGTTTGCCTCGATGCAACCAGATGCACGGCGGTTTGCTGCCTGGGCTGCGCTCAAATATTTCACGAAACCCATTGTACAGAATGTTTCAGAAATTTATGGAAATATTTAAGAAGCTGAATCGCGTCATCTTATTCCCTATGCTTTTTTCAGCTTATATTCAGCTTCTTGAGGAATTTACATGCAATTAGAGTTCATTTGTTTTAAAGAATCGTAAGACTAATCGAATATTCGTTTACAGGTTTATGAAAAAATGAATCGAGTGAAGAATCAAAATATCGAAAGGCTCTGATTTATGAAGCTGATAATATGGTGGACAGGAAATGCTCGTACCCCTCCTGTGGCGTACGGATCGACTCCCCGTTTGGACAACAGCAACTTGACGACGTCCTCCCTGGAGTACATGGCCGCGATGTGCAGAGCATTGTAATTGTCCTGTGAAAAACGCAGAAGAATGTTCTTAAGGCAACGCGTCGTGCCATCGACGATCGACGGTCGTCATTCATCCACTTTCCGCGGTGGTTACTTCCGCTCGAGCGAAGGCAATAGCTACGGTGGATGAAAATAAATCGTCGGGAGCGCGAGATTCGCTGGGTCGAGCGGCCGGTATGCAAACCGGGTTATAAATCGCGTTTCGCCGCGCCCAGAATAAAAGGTACGGTCTATATCGCGGAACAATTCGAAAATGATGTCGAACATGCGGCGAGTTGGGCGGGGCTGCGTATCCCGACCCATGACCATTAGCCTCGTTAGGCTATATTCGACGATGATCGAGTCAGCTTCTTTTCCCAAAGGTGGTTTCCGAGAATTCGCGACGTCGGGGAATATCGGTTGGCGTCAGCAGGACGCGGGGATCAGGATCGAGGGAAAGGCGCGGGCGTAGCCGCGGAAGCACGACGGCCGCGAAGAAACGCGCCGATAGAATCTGGGTAATGTCGCGTTATCGTTTCTTAGAATCAAACTACTTTTTCGCCCCAGTGACTCGTCGGCCTACTTGCTCGCTTACTTTCTCGCCATCGCGGCAAACCCCTTGGCCTTGGCCCTCCTTCACGCGATCTTACCCTCCTCTACCTCGACTTCAGCACGGATTACAAGGAGATCGTTAACTGTACACGTTTCGCGGTCTCCGCCTTAGCCCGGCCACGCAGCTACTCGAATGTTACGTGTCGCCGCCACGTAACGCGGGCACGAGCTTATTTTAAAAGCCGATGCCGTGAGAGTCGACACGGCACGAAAACGTGCACCCTCACGGGGGGGTATCCACGAGAATCCGACGGTTTCGAGCAATACTTGCGTTGTTTCGGGCGCTCACGTCTGCCCCCAGCTCGATCATCCGATCCAGCAACGCGGTACGATTGTCCTTCACGGCGTACATCAAGGGCGTCATGCCCGTTGCCTGGAAATCAGAAGCTTTCGTCAGCAGTGACCTAGATTAGTCGTACGTCCTCCGTTCCTCGACTAACCGGGTCCATGACGCTGGTCAGAGGGGCCACGGTCCCATCCTCCCCGACGTTCTGCACCGCCTTCTCCATAGATTTGAGCAGCTGGTCCACCGGTGCCCATTCTCCGCGCGCGGCAACCCCGAGGAGCTTTTGCGCGGCTTCCCTGGTGGTAGCCCCTGCCGATCCCGGTTTGCTCCCGGGCTGCGTTCCCTCCGCGGCCGCTCCCCCGCCGGCGCTTCCCGTCGACGACGATCCTCCGGCGTCATCTTTCGCGGACACGGGGCTCTCCTCTTTGCTCGAGGGGCTTTTCTTCTCGTCCTTCCCGCCCGACGTTTTCTTGCTATTGCTGCTCATGGTACCTCGTACGTGGGTCTCTCATCGTCAAGCCCCGACATGTTAATGGTAACCGCGACGTCGCGACTCCCCGCGGAATCAACCAGTCACTGACGAAAACAATGCAACTCGACCGAATCGAAGAGACTTTCCTCCGTGGCGTTCGACGCCGAGCGAGGCGCACGTCGCGCGTGTTAACGGCGCGTTTATCCTGGCGATTCTGAAGACGTTACGTAGCGTAGGCTCGCGAGGGTTGCCTTTCCCTCGACCCTCTCGCTGGGAAACCAGGATCGACCAATCACTGTCACGCCACCGCGCGAAACCTCGGGGGTAACGGTACGAACGTGGTGGTTCAGCCAGGTTGCAACGACGCGTGCACGCCTAACCGGCTCACCCGGTGTGTCGGTGCCTAAGAAAATGCGGTAGACCGGTGGTGGTAGCAGCGGCGAAGTCGAGAACGCTACCCCACCAAGGTGGGGGCGACAGAACGGCGGTACGGTGGTGGCATGGTCGACGTCGACACGCGACTTCCGGCGCGGCCCGGCACACACGCCATCCGCCTATCTCGCCCCGACGGTTTTAGACTTTAACCGCTGCCCTCCTCTTTCCTTGGGATTTACCACCGCCGCCCTCGAACCCTTCGTTCTTTCCTCGCAACTTTTTCATCTGCTCGAGCCCACGACGAACAACTTTCGTTTGGAGAAGGTCTCTTCTCGAATGGGGGTTGAAAACAGTTCTGAGAACCGAGGCGATGGCGCAACGTTTACGGATAGAGAAGAACCGAATCAATAGCCACAAGTTTAACGTGAGAAATTTGTTCGATAATTACTGTCTTCCTGTTTATCAAAAAAGATAGATTGACTGGGTTCTGGTTTTGGTTGGAAATCGTACGAACATTCGTGTAAAATATATTTTTTGTCATTTTTAGGACACTTGGCTCGGGCTAGCAGAAATGGATTCTGTTTCTACTTTCTAGGTCATGAATTGACCCGATCAAGTTGTATTTCGTTAGAAGTTTTAACTATTAAAAGCGAAACGTCCTAAACTACGTACGTAGTACCGGGAAAAGTTTTGCCACAACATTGCCAGCACCTTTTCGAGGTAATTTCTTCTTTAAACTTTATTACGATACCAAAAAATAGTTTTTCGTTTACTGCAAATTGTGAAGAATTTTTACATTCATGGTTCTAGCATAAAGGGAACGATATAATGTGTAATATGTATTTTTCCCCCCGTAAAAGCGCAGGAGTATATTCTACAAATAGAAATAAAAAAAAAGGTATTATACGAGGCTCGGCTATAAACGTTTTATTACAAAGTTATAAGCAAATATTAAATTCCTCGTTACAGAAAATGAAAGATCGGTCGTGTTTGTTTTATCTGTATATTCGCGCTATGTTTTCATGATTAGCAATATTCAATGTATCGTTTAGAATAGTAAAAAGAATGCTATATACAGCGAAGATGATAATAAAATAACTGGCGTACAAATTTTACCGATAAACTTACAAAGACAAAACAGAATAATAAAATGTTGTCACTAATACCTTATCGCATGGATATCAAGTTTATATTTCAGTACAAAGATGATGTATTTAAATATTCAGTCAAGTATATTAATTAATCAAACGCCCCTGAATTAAAAAAATAAGATAAATATAATCAGCCTTTTATGTTCGGTAATTAAACATTTGACGTTACTGATTTCGTGTTGCAAACATTCTTTTACTTATTTCACTATGTAGAATATGTTCCTTCAGTTAGGCAGGACAAATCAGTAAAACCTAGTCTTACGTGTACACGCAGGTTTCTATGTACATATTAATATTCATGAACGTTTTTAATGGTTTCATTGATTTTAATAGTTTGCAATCCAGGTTCTCAGACATTGTTAACATGTCTGTGCACTGTTATCAAGAGTTCAAAGGTATGATCTTGGCCTTACGTAGTGATCGTGACCCCAGCAGGTCAGCTGGCAATCAGCGTTAATCAGTATGACGAAAATAAATAAATTTATTGATTATTTCATAGACGAATCTAGCTTTACCAAAGATAACATGTTTCTAGAACTCGCGACTGGACACTTGAATATTCTCATCCAACAATTTTTATGATATTAAACAAATTCCTCGATCAAAAATAATTTCATTTAATTCTACTCTAATGTAATTAATTCGACGAGCAATATAAGCACTGCTGCGATAATAACTACTTTAGAACGTACTCCTCGATAAGCCTTAGACGAGTCAATCTACAACCTCGCGTCTTATTACATTCAAAACATCATAAATTGCGATTATTGAATAGCTGTGTCTTCGATAGCTATTTCTACCAATCGTTTTCAACTATATCCACCACCACTGCGTGAAAGCCAATAGGAGAATCGAATATCAATTTTACATCGAACGTATCAAGGAGAACAGGTTCACATACGTCGTTCGTGTCAATTATGCATCGCTGTATATTATTATTATGTAAATGTCTAAACATTACATGTCTGATTCAGCGTCGCTGTACACGGCTCCTAGAGAAGCTACATTTACAACAAGTACTATTGCGCAGCGATTGCAGAGTCTCGTCGAAAACACTGTACGGATCCTTGGTGATTATTTAGTGTTCTAATTTCACTAACGAAGAAAGAAGCCCGATCGTTGGACTTCGATATTTTTTCAATTTTTAACATTTGCATAAAACTGTTACTATTTAACCGTTGAAGATACTAGGAATTTTATTATTTCATATAAGATTTGAAACTATTACGTAACTATCGCGTATACTGTAAACGTGAAAAAATTTCGACGAAATCCAAGTAGATCGGTTGGGAGTCTTTCCCCAGAGAGAAGAAAATGCAGAGAACAATTCGTGTAATAATCATCAATAAGATTAATTAATCTCAACTCTCACTGACCTATCTGGCTCGATACACCGAGCCCTCGTCGTTTCTGTTTGTCACTCGCTAGTCTCTAACTATGCTTCTAACTTTGTAGTCCGACTCGCACAACGGCTTTCAAGTACGTCGCTTTCGAGTTATCATTTAAAATTCTTGTTAACATTTAAAAACGAAGATAAAGTTACCGTTTATACTGATTATCGATATTGCCGGATCTGCTGTTGCAATATACATGTAATTATCGGAGGAGGAAAGTGTTTGTAACGTCATTTTCTGTGGAAGAAAACATGGCATCGGTTAGCATTGAATATTAAACGTCTGTTACAGCCACGCCAACGGTCCATGTACGTGACCCGTCGGACGATATCACAACTTGAAGATAGCACAGTTATAGTTGATGTCAGCGCCGATAAAGTGCGTGTTGTGTTGCTCGAACGTGATCAGTCAGTCAGTCGAATTCGTAACGCGGCTCGAAGCTGTTCGTTAAGACGGACGGGTCTGTGATTTGTACCTTCGATCAATAGGGGGATCGTTGACCTTGCCCGGGGCCGTGAATCGACAGAAATGCTTCGCTCGTGGATCAACAGGAACTCGACCGTGTTGTCATCCGCCAGTTTCCACGTTCGTCGTAAACATGGATCCGTTTCGAAGGACTGGTTACTCGGTGAGTACTTAATAGAACAGAGTCTATTAGCGCGTCAGTGGCAGTTATCGCGAGTCCATTTTTTAATTTTGTCTCCAGCTCGTTCCCAACCCTGGGAATCGTGCGGCGCTTGGATGCAAACGAAACGGCTGAATCACGGTAACGCAGAAAACTTGGCGCACATAGTGAATGGCGGGAGTACGCCGCTGTTGGACAAAACCGTAGGGAAGTTATTAGCAGAGACGGTGGAAAGATATCCAAACAGAGAGAGTCTGGTGTGCATTCATCAGAACGTACGTTTAACGTACTCGGAGATTCTGCGTCGCGCCGATCGTTTGGCGGCCGGTTTAAGGAAATTGGGCTTGCAACCTGGAGATCGTCTGGGCTTGTGGGCGCCCAACGACGTCGAATGGTTCCTGACCTTTATGGCCGCGGCCAGGGCTGGCTTGATCCTCGTCGCGATCAATTCCGCTTTCCAAATGAGCGAGCTCGTCTACTGTTTGCAAAAAGTCGGCGTGAAGGCTGTGATATCGCCCGACAGCTACAGGACGCAGAATTATTCACGCATGCTGCTCGAGTCGCGACGGGACTGCCCCAGTTTGGAGCATATAATCGTCTATTCGAAGGATCACGTGACGTAAGGAAGCTTTCGATCTAGCGCATCCGGCGATTCGTCGTGATGTTTCGTTCTAGTCGACACGAATCAGTGGACAATGGGACGCGGTTATCTTTCGCGAATGATATATCCGTGTTCCCTTGGAATTTCGTCTAATTTAAGCGAGGGTACGGTACGTCGCGCGATAACTCTTGGCATCCGGGCTAGGGCAGATCGATAACAGAACAGGACGGCGACGAAGTCGCGTAAATCCTTCGTCCTTAGGAAACGCGGCGAGCCCCTGCGAAGTAAATTGGTCGCGACCGGTCGTTTCTCGCGATAAGTCCGGATCAGAGGAGGTCGAGCGCGAACGCGAACGCGGTTTTAATATATTCGCGCCCCCGCATAGCCGCGCCGTCCGGTTTGATCGCACCTCCGGTGATTCATGAATATCGCGTGCGCGCGACGCGATCGACGCACAGCTCTCGTTCGAGTTTCTTAGAAACGGGTTAATTGTTAGGTCGGCCGTCCGAGTTTGTCGTCGCGGACGCTTAGGCATACGAGGCTCGATAGATAAAACCGACCTCTCTATAATCTAACTATAAGCAGAACCGCCCGTAAATATTATGGCCCGTCAGCTTATCACATAATTTCACGCACAGCGAAGACGAAAATAATTTCGTTTCGGAATTTTACAATATACTTGTACGCTCAGTCTGTCGGTCGATTACTTTTATCGTGTTACGAACGCGCTCCGTCTCATTGTACGACGATTACACTCGCGAAGATGCAATTATTTAATCGACTTACGGGAAACCTTGGCCTACTTCGTTGAAGCTAGAGTAGCCTAGGCGTACTTGCGTTTAATCGTGTGTTCTTTGTTTCTCGTGCCTCGTTCGACGCTGTTTCCACGATGATAATGCCCAGCATCTCGACGTCAAGTAACCTTCATACAGAGGTTCGCGCGTTATCGCGTCGCGTGGTGAAAATTTTTGAAAACCCGACGTTTCACGCGCGGCGAACAAATAATTGCGATAACACGTCGATGGTCCGCGAGTGGAAACGAATTACCCCGAGTGCTTTGCAATTTTCTAAAAACGCGACCTCGAGTCCTTCCTCTCGCGGCTCGAGGCCGCAATCAGGCCACACGCCGGCCGTCGTCGATTGATCGTCTGGTTCGCCCTGTCCGGCCAATCTATTTTCATCCGGGACTCGTAATTTTCAAACTTTCGTCCGATCATCGGGGCCGATTTGATTAATAATCGCCGGTTGAAGGGAATCACCGTGACGTACAATTAGGTTAATGGCTGTGCCGTTCCTCGGTTTCGTTGCACGCGTCTAATGCGTTCGATCGTTCACGAATCCTTATAGCGGGACCCGTCGGTATTGCGACGTCGAGGAACTGGCGTCCAGGTCCGAGGTCGAGAAAATAGCAGCCGAACAGGACCTGATATCCTGCTACGACGGTTGTAGCATACAATTCACCTCGGGGACCACCGGCAAGCCTAAGGCCACCCTGTTGTCGCATAGATCTCTGGTGAACAATACGAAACATGTAAGCTCGCTGGCCACTGTTTCTCTCATAGATATCGACAGGCCTTTAAAATGATTTTCTGGTTTCGTCCATCAGATCACCGTGAGAGCGGACATCCAGAAAGACGTGAAAGCTTGCCTGAACGTTCCCCTGTTTCACGCGTTTGGCATATCTAAAAGTCTAATTATGCTTCATAGGGGAACTACGGTAGTTTTGGAATCGCCTACTTTTAATCCTGTAAGATCCCTGGAGGCAATAGTAAAGGAGAAATGCGAGGTCGCTTGCGGGACACCGACAATGTGGGTAAGAGAACCTTGTCTCGTTATCCGGACGAACCAATAAAATTCTCGTTCGGTCGTTGAAATAAGACATCGACGTCTTTGTTAGATCAATATGCTGGCCGCCCATCAACAACATCAGCATCTGCCAATCAGACTGCACGCCGGCTACACGGGGGGCTCCTCCGCGGCGCCGGAACTCTTCAGGAGAATAAGAGAATCTTTTCGTTGCGATGACATGAAGGTGAGCGACAAACTTTTTTCCCCCGGAATAATTGGATTCGGTTTATGTCCGCGTTTTATGGAACGCTTCTCGAATTAAGCATCGGTCGATGTAGTTATTCAACGGCGGAGCGAAGAAACGTAAGCAAACTTTCATCGATTCGATATCTACGATCGTTGTTTGTTCCCTCCATAGTTATGTAAGGTGAAATTTTGTTGGATATAAGGCAGGAACAGCTCAGGGTGATTCCCGTATCTCGATAAGAAAGGAAAAGTAATTATTGTACCGTACGACCCGACGGTTTTTCGTGGAACGAACAGTTTACGAGTAATTTAAGGTGGCCGAGTTAGGTGACTCACTCAGCACGGTTTTATTTTCAACAAAAGTTTGAAAAGTCTTGCCGTTTCCACTTCGAATATAGCATAGTCGACATACCCCGTGGTAAAACGTTTATAGCCACGATATATTCGACGAATTTTGATAAAGACGTTCACAGTTGCGTTAATTTTGAGGAATATCGATCGAATCTTTAGAGAGCGTGTTTCCAACGATCCTGAATTACAAGGAAATGCAAAGGAAAATCGATTTTTTCAAAATTCCAGAGTAAAATAGACCCCTTAATCTGTTATATAGTGACCAAAAAGTATAAAAACTTCATCTCAGGAATCTTTACTCCCGACATTCGAGCACGGTTCGCTTTCATCTGGTTTTACGACGTCGCTATATTTCGCCCGCCAAGTATACATTATCTTAACGCATTGCCGACGGAAAATGTAGAATTACGCTTTTCGCGTCTCCGGAGACGCGCACCCTCGAACCAAGATAGGGTAAAACGGGGGCACTAGAGTCCTCTGCGCGACCATCCTCTAATATTCATACGATTAGATTCGATGGAAAGGCATTGAATCAATAATTTTCCGTAAACGTTGTAAGGCAGCGTCGGAGAGTTTTCAATGGGCCGGGACTGCCCTTTAAATAGTTTAAATCTTCCCCGGTCCGCAGTGCGTTAATTTATTCAGTATTTGTACGATCATTGAATGGCGGCAGGCTACGTGCAGCCGCGTCGGTATGGACGACGACGATGTCAAGGTAATCGTGTTGCGCAATGGCGCAATCGAGTTCCATCGGGCTAGAAAAATGAGATCGTTTTAACGCGCGTGTATCCCCTTTAACCGCGCAATTTATCGAAATTCAGCCGATTCCTCCGCGGACCGAGGATCGACGAAGGTCGTCGACACGATGGGGGTTGTACTTGATTCGGGTCGACATAACGCGTCGCGTACGTCGTTATCTATGCACATATCTCTTGCACCGGGCAACTCCTCGGTCCGTATGCATAAATACGATTGCCGCGAGGAGAAATATCGTTTCTTGCCGGCGATCAATAAGCGTTCCCTTTCGCGAAATCGGTTCCCCGAGGCTCCGCGCCAGTGAATCTCGTTGCTTATTTCGTACCGTCGGAATTTTCTTGGTCAACAGACGATCTACGGGCAGACGGAGGCGACGGCGGTCATCTTCCAGTCGTTTCGAAACGAGGAGAGATCGCTGACGGAGAACATGGTCGGGCACGTGTCGGATCACGTCGAAGTGAAGGTAGGCGAAAACCGTTTTCCTTTCGCGCTGCATCGGGAATTGGTTTCCCTGTAAAAGGAAGTGTTCTCTTGTTTGTTCTCGCGGGGGCCAAGGTTGTGGACCAGAACGGTTCCACCGTGCCGTACGGTACCCCCGGTGAGCTCTGGGCCCGCGGTTACAACATCATGATGAGATACTGGGGCGACGAGGAGAACACCAAGAAGACCGTGACCGAGGACGGTTGGCTGAAAACGGGGGATCAATTCATTCTGCATGAGAACGGCTACGGCCACATAATCGGGAGGCTCAAGGATCTGTTGATCCGCGGCGGGGAGAACATTTTCTCGAAGGTACCCGTGACCCATCGTCGTTGGTGTGTTCGCCCCCTTATCAACCCGAATCGTGTTGCAGGAGGTCGAGGACTTTTTGATGACGCATCCCGCGGTGCTCGAGGTGCACGTTATCGGTGCTTACGACGAGGTCTACGGCGAGGAGGTCTGCGCTTGCGTCCGGCTAAAAGAAAACGCTCGTCTCACCAAGGAGGAACTGAGGGATTACTGCAAAGGGAAGATCGCCCACTTCAAGATACCGCGTTACGTCGAGTTCGTTCAGGATTACCCAAGGACGGCGAACGGGAAAGTGCAGAAATTTTTATTGAAGGAGGAAATGGAGCGTAAGGGCACGATTCCCGCCACTCCGAGCACCAACGATGATTTGGTTTCTGCCGCGAACCGTTCCCCCAGATAGAACAGAATTGCCGCGTCGTCGAAGAAATTACAGTGTCGCGTTGAATTTCTTTCGACGGGTATATATGCGCAAGGGCGAGTCTCGAAATACGCGGGTCAGCTCGATAGTGAGCGATTCTTGGTCTCGATATTCGGTGGAATCGATTTCGAGGAGAAGTCGCCGCCGAAGTGGTACAAGAGCGAAACTGTATGGTAAGGACTAGTTTTATACGTGATACGTTCTCTTAACGAAATGCTCCTTTCGACTATAAATTATTATGTTTGTGTCTAATCGATCCAGGAAGCAATTACGATCATTTAGGATTTTGGAAACTTTTGATATCTTCCGCGGGATAAGCGTATAATCCATTCTGAATTGTGTAAATAAGCGAAGCTGACGTTTTGCAAATAACGTCAGATTATCGAGACTGTTATCGTTCAGGGCGATAAAAGAATTTAGAGCAACGGCGATAACGTGGAACGCGACGTGCTCGGTTTGCCAGAGGACGCCACGTATCCGTGGGTAGAGCGATAGTCGCAGAACTCGGCAAAGTAGAGAACTATACGACTAACCCCGCACGATTATTACCATCCAATTGTACGAGCGTTATCTTTCGAAGTTTCTTTTTTTTTTTTAACGTCCTTTGTACACCGTTTTTATACGAATTTATTAAATTTTTACGAGGTACAAAACGACCAATAAAAAATTTCCACGACAGTTGACGGCGTACGGATGCACGGGTAACGCGACACCCCGGTGATCTCTAATTTCCGAAACGGCACGCGTCAGCGTCGTCGGTGCTTCGCCAACTGTTGACGCGCGAAACGTCGTCGATCGATGATCGATGGAAGCGGCGTGGAAAGGAAGGAAGCCGTGAAACGCGTAGGAAGTCGAGCGGGCTGAAACGGAAAGGAAGAAGCGACGCGAAAAATAAGGACGAGGGAAGCCGTCGAAAATCCGCGGATTCGAGTCGGGCACGTGTTTCAGGTGGCGTCTAATTGAGAATGGATGGCCTCGAGCGGCGAGTCTCGCTTCTCCCAGGGCTGGAAGACTTGGAAGAGGCGTGCATTACTGCGGCAGATGGTGGTCGTGATTGCAGCTGCTCCTCAACGAACACCTGCCGTTTTCTCCCGGGCGTCTATCGAGATGGACGAAATCACTGTCCAGCCTCCGCAGCCTCCTCTCTTTCCTCCCCCGTGTCCGTTCGGTTGCTCCGATATTTTTCGTTCGTAAAAGCAACAGAGGCGAACAGGATACCGTCGATCGTCGTTTCTCGTCGCGTGCCACGACGCGACGAAAGCGATGCTCGATCGTTGTTCCGGTGTCTTTTTAGCTATCCTCTCGGCGAGACCGCAAAAACCACGCGCGGAAGGGCTCTTGGTCGTAATCGGGGGCCAGTCTCAGGAGCGAAATTAATTCTGGCGACCGGCCAGGATCTACGAGCGCGGGCCACGTAACACCGACGACGCGGGGGAGTAAATTCGCCCGGGACAGATTCGCGCGGAAAATTGGTGGCCGCGCGCGGCCGTCCCGACAGCCTGGAACAGACGACCGTGACCACGGTTCCTCTTCTCCCGGTTAAAGGAGCTAACGAGCTGTCGACCGTCGGCGAATCGAGACCGTTCCGTGTCGCCCCGATAAACGTCGATGCCCCGGTGCCCCGCGTCGCGTTCCTTTCTCGTCGAAGACGGAGTTCGGTACAGTGTCTCGAAAATTTCCTCGAGCGACGCGCAATCGATTCGCCTTTTCGCTCCGGGTTCGATTTCCGGTGGGAGGGCGGCCCTGGCGACCAACGCCGCGAACAATGAAACGATGACGGGACGCGGGGAAAGAACGAACGAGAGGAAGGAACGGGCAGACGAAAAGGCAAAGGACAACAGAATCCCGCGGATCGGGGCGGAAAGAGAATGGAAGAAATTCCAGGGTGGTAGGCGGAGAATGGCGGTAAATTAATAACGGCAGCAGCCTAAGGGGTTGGGGCGGGGTTCGTTTAATCGCTTAATCGGGACTCCAGAATGCTCGGCGAACCGGAGGCTCCGTGCGCTTTCGTTTCGTCCCGATGAAAGCTCTCGAAAGGGTCGGCAATTACTTAAAAACGAAGTTGCGCGCCATCATCGCCGCCGTTTTCTTCCCTCCCCTCCTCCTCCTCTTGCCGCACCCCTGACCAAGGGTCGCCTCTTTCCGGTTCCTTTCAGCCGTTTCGGCTTTCCTCTATCCGCGTTGCTTTTACCGCGGTTTTCCAACGAGGCCCCCCACGTATCACGCCGCGTGCCCGAAAAAGATGGACGCGCGCGGATCCCGGTCGAACGAACCCGGACCCTCTGTTCGGCTAACGACAGCAATATCCAAATAGTAAAACGGACGGTGGCCGGCTCGAGGGCACGGCAAACACTTGAACAGTGGCTGGGATCGATGAAAGGTACGCGAATCGCGGCAACCGCCGTAATAAAAGAGTCCGACCGCGTAAACGTAATCCACCTCCTGCCCCCCCCAACGCCCAACGTCCGCCCCTTGACCGGGTCTCGCCCGTCCGAAACTGTACGCTTCGTTGCATTCTTGACGTTTCGAAAGCTGGCGTGGCTGTCCGAAATTCGAAACTCGCCGTGGTCGTCGCGAAAATTCCGATACTAACGAGAATCGGTGGTTTTACATTCTGTCGGGATACCGTTCGCCGTGCGGTGCATCGAATCGCGCCGCTCGAACCGACGAATCTGTCGGGTACTTTGAAAAATAATCGTTATTATTTATAACAAACAGAACGGGACCTTCCGCCACGGCCCCAATACATAGAATTACTGGAGTATTATTATTACTAGAAAGTAATAACTTAGCATAGAATGATTTTTCCCTCGATTGCTGTAAGAATAAGTGAAAATTAGGCAGGAAGGTGTAAGATATCGGGATCGAAAAGTCGCGTCGCGCTCGAGGGGTTGATACGGCGGAGGAGGGAGTAGAATCAGCTGCCGCGGGACACTGTTCGTCGTTGTTCATCCTTCCGCGACGTTGCAGCTTCCGGGCGGAGGAGGAGAGAATGGACCGTAGTGTCAGAGGCAACGGAGAAAGCGATGAGTAATAAGGAGGTTCCGTCGGTGCGGCGGACGAATATTTTGTCCCGTCGCGACACGTAGAGCCAACGTAGACGCGCGGACGACACGTAGCGTTCGTCGCGTAACCTCGATTCCGCGAGGACCGTGCTCGCCAGGTCGATATTCTTATTCCAGCGGCGATCGCGATGCCCGAACGAAAGAACGAACGGTGCTCGTGAGAGTCCACCGTGTCCGCGTTTCGATGTAATCTCCGGGGGATCGATCGGCCGCGGGCCGGCGAACGCGCGCGCGATACGGCAAATTACGCGTGCGGAAAATAGGTAACAATGAATCCTCTCGGTCGGGTTTGGCGTGCGAGCGGGATTTTCTTTTTACAGCGAAACGCTACTCGGGCAGATGGAATCGCCGCGCGGCAACGAGAATCTCGGTTCCGCGACTCCGACCGTCTGCAAAAACTTCGGGAAGAAGCTTAATGGAGCGTCTTCCGAGCGGCGGAACGATCCGCTCGCGAGTTTTTCTCGCCCCCCCTCGAATCGCAGCGGCGTCTCGGCTGCTACGGAAATCCCGCGAGGGGCCCCGAGATTATCGCGTTCCCATAAAACGAACGATAGCTCCCCCCCGCGCCGGGGGGATGGAAACGCGGAAGAATTTCGCGCTTCCGGTCGCTTTGACGGCCGCGTCGGGCCGTGTCGCGGTGTGCCTTTCGAAACACGTCGCTCGTGGAAATTCGAGAGAGGCTCCCGATGGAAATCGAAATAATCCGAGCGGGTATAACGATAACGATAAAGCTCGGAACGCCGGTGACGAGGGAGGATACGTCCGTGTGACGGTTTCGAGACCGAAAACCATGGCGTTTTCCGTCCACGTAATCGATTTACGAGGAGTCATTCGTCCCCGGCGTTTTTCTCTCCGGCCAAACGTCGTCGAGGCACGAAAGCGAGGTGGAAGCGTGCCGGTCGGTTTGGACCGAGGGACCGTGTCCCCCTTCCTCGATCCCGCTCACCCTACTGCCACTCTTTCCATCTTCATTTCCCTTTGTCGCTGCGTTTTCTCGTGGCTGCACCTCACCCTCTGCCTGTGCCATCCACCCTCCGAGCGGAAAGCCCGCCAGAGAATTCTCGTATCGATCGAACGAAGATGGGGGAGACGAGCAACCGTCCCACGATTTAAGTCTATTTAATGCCCGATACATTGTTTAGTATCACGAGCGAGCGTTTGCCTAATACGATTCGGGCGTCGTTTCGTCCAAACGCCCCTCCTGCCCCACGATGTTTGCCACCGTCGCGTAAAATCGCGGCCATTCGCGCCCCGGGACGCGTACCGATACACGCGTGACCAACGACACCCAGCTTTTTCGGCCCCGGTGTACCCGCAGAGACGCTCGACCCGGAATTAATAAAGCCTTTCAGGTAGAGCCGTACGGATTTTTTCTATCAATTTCTCGGCTGCGTTCCATATTTGAGCGTATTGTGCTTCGCGAACAATAACTCATCTCGATATTGCTGGCCTGGCGCTCGCATCCGGCGAGAGACCGTCTCTTTCCAACCATGCCGCTATCTTCGTTTGCTTTTCCCCGTCCTCTCCTGGCCATCGCGTCGATAAAGTCGCCGACAGTCGCGATTTTACGACTCGAAACGGAACTTTGCCTATTAAAGCGTGGCTCGTTAGCCTCGCGACGCGACGCTCGCGATCGAGCGAGCTCGCTCCAACGACCAGATGCGACGCGTTTCGATTCGTTTCGTTCTTTCCTCTTCCGCCAATCGTCGATCGTATATTAATGCTTTAACGCCGAGTAACGCGCCGCTGCGTCTTTTCGTTTCCAAATCCCCGGCGTCCGTTTACGCGCCATTGCCTCCTTTTGCGCGAACAAACCGGGATCCGGTCAAAGACATCCCTCTTTTTTTTTTTTTACCCACGCGTACGATTATTTGCTTAGAATCGTTTTCGTATCCATCTATATTTGCATCGCCAAGAATTTTCTGGTCGATAATCTCGTTGCACCGTTTTCTGTAACCTCGAATCACCCGCGCCGCTAAATCCGAACTGGCCGCTTTCGAAACAAACCCGAAATCGTTCTGGAATTTTATTCAGTCCGTCAAAGATACTTCCTCCCGACCGTTCCGCATCCACTTCAATAACCGTCAGCCAGTCGATAATCAATCTATCGCTGATGTTTTTGCCGATTACTTCGTCCCGGTGTACCTTGGAAACGTAAATTTTCCCGACGAGCTCTGCCTTCGATCGATGCATTAATACTTCTGACAACAACGTCGATATCGTCGGTAACGTTCGGCAGTTTTAAATTTCGAAATACGGAACCCCGGGCGTTTTCGACCCCGTTTTCCGAAACTTGTAACTCGCGTCTCGAATTTTGCATCGGGGAATGAAAGGCAGCGTATACATAGACAACTAAATAAACAAGAGGAAAGTTTCGAATCACGTATCGCGGAGACCACAGGTCGCTTAAATATAGGAAAGGAGAGTGTTCACTAAATCATGAAGCTCGGGCACTTTTCCTATACCCTGGAAAGCATGTTTATAGCCTCTTTTTTTTATAGTCCTATCAGTATTGAAAACGTAATGCCCGAGAGATAATTCTCCGGCGGGAGAAACGCAATAAACACAACCGGTGTGCGGAGATTTATTGCCAAAATGTTGGTGGATTGCGGGACGAAACTTAGCTAGCTCTCGTGGCCGGTTGCCTCTGCTTCCAATAATGTTATAATTCTTACCGAGACTCGGCTAACCAATGGCATTTCCTCCACAGAGCCGGGAATGAGTCGATATAATGTACATCGCCGTGATTGGAATCCCTCTACCGACTTATGTAAACGAGACGGCGGAATCTTAATTGCTATTAATTAAGACGATGCCTAATTCCGCGATCGATTCCAATATAAATAACTTTGGTCATTCCTCTGTAAACCTGAAATTAGATCTGTCCCGTTACAACTCCGGAGCTTCTTACATTCTTCTAAATTATTTGGCGGTGCGAATTATTCTATGTCCATAGCATCGACCTTCTCTTATCTAATGCCGATTATTCGGCAGACGAAACCTCCTTGGACCTCTTATTTCCTCGCTTATACCGCTCGCGTTTGCTCGCTTGAGATTTTTAAATCCACTCCATTCGAGAAGTTCACAAGTTCTCGAGTATCGTTTCAATATGGCCGACTAGATCTAAAATTATCTAAACTCCGTCGAGTATTCGTTAAGATACGATAAAAGCAGCCCTTTTATACTCGCACGCATTAAATAAATATTCGTTCCGGTGAATTTGACGGGTTACCAACAATATAGAGAGAGGTTCTCGGGCCGATGCCATTTATCTTGATTTCCGTAAAGCTTTCGACTGTGTGAATCATCTCATTCTTCTATCTAAATTTCAAACCCTTGGGGTTCATGGTACCTCCATTGCATGGCTATCTACCATTTTAATCGAGAGAACTCAAATTGTAGAATTTAATGAACGCTGCTCCAATTATGGTTTCCGTGCGCTCAGGTGGTCCGTAAGGATCCAATTTGGGACCGGCGATGTTTTTGCTAATAATGAATTTTTGCCTTAAGAAGATGACGTAAAGATTTATCGTTCCATTAACAGTGCGAGGCTCTTCCATAATACGATCTATCCCAAGTTTTGTTCGCGTTCTTGCAATATTCTTACGCTTTATCCAATTAGGAAAATTACCAGAATCGAGACTATCGATTAGAAACAAAGCGAACTAACTTTATTTCATAAATACTGCCCAGTCCGATTGTTTATTTTCCGACACATTTTAGTGAGCAACAAATTTGAAAATATCGTCGTACTAAAACCAGCATCGAATAACATTTTAAT